AGGCGAAGTTTGCCGTCTTTCTTCGGGACAAAAAGGACCGGAGCGCCGTGAGGAGAGGATGATGGGGTGATGGCACCAGTAGCCAGCTGTTTGTCAATAAAGTCTTTAAGGGCAACTAGCTCCTTTTCAGACAAAGGGTAAATACGGCCGAGAGGCGGCGAAGCGCCTTCTTCCAAGTCAATCTTCAGGTCGTAAGGTCTGTGTTCAGGAAGTGAATCTGCAGCAATCTCGTCGAAGACGTCTGCAAACTCTGCGTACTCTTCTGGGATAGAAGGATGGAGTGGAGGGACAGTAGGAGTGGTGGAGGAGCGGTCGGCGGCGTGGGCCGCGACCTCTGAGTGGATAGCACGAAGTAAGATGGGTTCCATACCAGCGTCCTTGCAAGCCCTGTTAAAGACTGCAGCACTGACAAGTGCAATGTCGACCTCGGGAGTTTCCAGTTGAGCAGCGAATTGAGAGACCGTAGGGTAGGAGTAGATGGGTTCAAAGGGGAATTTGGACGAAAGGGGCTTGGCCCGTAAAGTCCGAGAGCGGGAGCGAGAGCGAGATGAGTCCCCAGGAGGGGTCTCCAGAATTGTCGGTGAAACCGACGGCGAAGGTTCCGGTAGCGGAACAGCGACCTTTGCATCAACGGTGTTGATAGCAGAAGGCACAGACGTCTGTGGAGAATCAGGATGTGAAGTGTTACGGAACGTAATGTTTCGAGATGCCCAGTCAATCAACGGATTGTAGCGGGATAAGAAACTGTAACCTAATACTGCTTTACAAGATGAATCTAAATGTGTGACATAAAAGGGTAAGAGAAGCAGCTCGCCAGAAGGGAACCGAACGGCGATATTCGCCATATCGGTAATGGGTTTAGAAGATAATGAACCATCAAAAAGACGAAGATTAACAGGAGAGATTTTGGTCGTAGGAATGGAATTTTGAGAAACATAACGAGTATCGATGAAAGAGTCAGTAGAACCAGAATCAACAAGAGTAGGAAATTTAAGAAGAGCAGAGATGGGTTCGGCCGGCGCGGCCGAATCGGACAAAGGAAATTCAGTAGTCAATGATATTACAAGAGATCGTTCAATGGAAGAAAGAGCGGACGCGTTGAGATATAACTCCCCAGGTGAGGTACGAACCTGATCAACGCAGCTCCCGTTTCGTACCGGGGAACAAGAGCTGCGGATTAGTTTTCCGAATCCTCTTCAACAACCTCAATGGTTGCTTCGGGGGTTTCTTCAACCTCGGCAGCGCGGCCCTTCGATTCCCGGGCCTTTCGCTTGTTGCAGTCAGCAATCTGATGCTTACCACCGCAGAAGAGACACAGGTTGTTCTTCATCCTTCTTTCCCGTTCGGAGGGAAGTACTTTACCATCTGCTCCTAGATGATTGAACGCGGGGCGCTGACCGCCGGATTGGCCGGAATTCGAAGAGTTCTGGGGCTTACCATTGTTGTTAGGCTTACCACCAGAGAAGGGTTTAGGTTTCGGCGTGAGCGGCGCCGAAGAGCCCAAAGGCTGAGAATTGTTTTGCTGGTTAGTAGAACCAGTCTTGAAGTCCGAGGAACCCTTCTTCGGGTTCCGAGCAATAAAAGGCTTGCCAGCCTCACGCTTCTTGGTTTCTTCGCGCTTCCAATAACGATTGTCAATACGAAGAACTTCTAGACGATAAGCGGCGAGCGTCGCCGGTTCGGGCAACCGCGCCATTTCGTCCTTAATGCGTTCAGCCAAGCCTCGTCCATAAGCCCATTTCAGGGCAGCAGAATCCCAGTTGGTACTAGCAGCCAGGGTGTTGAACCGGATGTTGTATTTCCGGATGTTCTCAGTTTCCTTCATCTTCAGATTACCGAGAGAATCTTCGGCCTCGCCTTGGGCGTCGTAAACGCCGAAATTGTCCTGAAGCTCCTTTACAAGGGCCTTGAAGGAGGACGTCCAGGCCGGCAGCGAGTCGAGATCCGGATCGAGGATATCAGGGACAAACCATTCTTTGGCTGACCCACTGAGATAGGAAAGGGTATAGTTCACCTTCCGTTGGTCGGTGAAGTACTTTGGACGGTCATTAAAGACCAGGGCGAGATTGACGAAGAACGTCTTGAGTTTTCGGGGATCCGAACCGTCGAAGACCTCTGGCTCCTTGACCTTGCTCTTGGATTCAGAGCTATCAGAGGGACGGCCGAGAGCGGCGAGGACGGTACCAAGGGTCTCAATGGAGCCCTTGAATCCCGAGAGGAGTTCCAACATAGCACGTTGCTCGTTGGGGATGTCAGGAGATATGGGAGAGCGAGGTCCACCAGGTCCACCAGGACCGCCGGGACCGCCGGGACCACCAGGACCACCAGGTCCACTGGGGTCACCAGGCTCACCACGCGGTAAACCGCCGGAATCGTCATCCAGATCGTCGTTATTGTTGTCGGCACCCGGATCGTCGGGGTCGACAGGAGGGTCTTGATCGTCGTGATCACCGGTGTCCAAATCGAAGTGAGGAGGTGGGTCACGAGGAGATTCAGAAGCAGCTCGACGTTGGGGTTGTTTTCCCGTACGGCGGGCTATGGCTTGGAGAATTGGAGAATCAATTCGAGTAGTTGACCGGCCCCGAGCCGGAGCAACCACGGGGGGTTGTCCACGGCGAGGGGTCAGGACTTGGACAGGTTGTCCGTCACCAGTGTACAAGGTGCTGTATTCGAATTGTTGTTCTTCTTCCATGGCTTCAGGAAGAGTCGACGTAGTAGGAACTGTGGCTGGACCGAAACCGCGATTACGGCGACGTGGTTGACCGATGGCAGAGATAGAGTCGGAGAATGGGGCAAATGATTGAGCTGTAGTGAAGAAAGTATTTTCTTCGGAGTTAGCTCTAGATTGAGCTCGAGTTTTCGGAGGCATAAAAATGATATGTCAGTACGACGTTAACGGATTGAGTTTAATTATACTGTTAAGATCATGTACACCGTGTAACCGTGCCAAAGCTACAAGGTGCCTAAGTGCGGAAGACGAGTGGGACAGTAGTGAAGTTATTAACAACACCGCCGTTACGCCGTTAGTCCCCGGAGAGCGAGAGTAGAGAGAGAGGAACTAAGTAGCAGCCAGGTCGGAGCGGCGGTATCGCCGGTGACGAGGAGCGGACCAGAGAACGTTAAAGTCCTAAGGTCGAGGAGAACGTACTTCAAGGCGTTGAGCCTGAAGACTTAGAGAAGAGTTAAGTTGAGAAGGGAGATCTAAGTTGATCTAAGTTGATCTAAGTTGATAATTAAACTGAGGAACTACAGTAGCGTACAGGCAGTATTTATATCTACGGAACGGCGCAGCGGTGCGGAGCGCCAGACTAACTACTAGGAGCTATACGAGTAGTACCTGCAGGGTAAAGTAAAAGACAATAAGGAGAGACTAGAACGAAAGGGTAAAAGACAATAGTGAGAGACTAGAACGAAAGGGTATGTGTAGCGAGAAAGAACAATAAGAGGCAGACTACAATAAGAGCAGATCTTCGGAATACCGAGCGGCGGAATGGAGGCCCGCGGCATGGACTTGACAGGATCAAGCATTTGTTGTCATTTATAGATAATTGAAAGGTTGGAAGGGTTCATTCAACATACCTAAACAATCACTGTGCTCCCATTGCTGAGACTAGGTAAAATGGCCAGCTCATCAAAAGTATAAGATGGTAAGAGTAAAGTAGATAAAAGTGCAATGCTTCTAGAGTTGGTTTTGCATACAATTTATGATATTGACTAGGACTCAATGATTTGTTCAAATGGAATCAGTATCAGTAAACTCTTCAAAAAGTATTTATTGAAGTTATACTTTGCTGGGTAAGTGATCCGTAGAAGTTCTGCGCAAGTTACACACATGTTCCGCGCGAAGGTCTGTGCATAGTGTCATGCCCTGGCTACAACCAGACCAGTCCCAGTACCAGCCACATGTTGTCACACTTCCTATCTACCTCTGCACCTCCCCAAGACAGTACCACCATTTCCCTGATATACCTACCCAAACGTCCTGACGATCACCCCGACACGCATACAAAACCCTCCTAACCGCCAACCCCATTAAGTACTAATCTTGATTACCTTCCTCCCTCGATTAGCTGCCTCATGTTCTCCAGATGTTCTCTTGTTCACTTCCCGTACCTATTTAAGTAGCACCGCAACATCCCCAAGCCCCAGCTTGGTATATTTTGAACACACACCCTTTTGCATAGGTCCAGTCCCTGTCCCTTTGTACCTGCTAACTATACGGATTTCTCTTACTCTCAGTTTCTCTATCTCTGTCTCTCTACTCTTGTCTTTGTCTCTATGATCGTCTATACGATCCAATATATGCTTTTACTTCACGTCTAAGCAATCCAAGTGAGTCCCCGAGCTCCCCAACTGTGAGGCCTGGCACAAAAGGCCTGCTCTCGTCCTATCTGGACTGGGCCTAAGCAAGCAGGACAGCTGCCTAGGCCGTACAAGGGGAGGTGGGATAAGTGCCGCTACTGGTGTAGGGAGCCTGACCAGTGGTGGTTGCGGAGCTTGGGTGGACCTAGCCAAAGGTCCTGGAGTGGGGGAAGGAGGTGTAGTTGGTGAGGATGGAGGTGGTTGGGGGTGTGGAGCCTCGACGTAGACTGTAAGTTGTAGGAGAGGCTCAGGAAGTTGAGAGAGGTGTTCAGAGAGGTGAGACAGAGAAGAGAAACAGAGTTGAGTGAAACAGAGGTGAAGGAAACAGAGGTGAAGGAAACAGAGTTGAGGGAAACAGATAAAGAGGAAATGTATGACAGGTGAGACGTGTCAGGCCCTGTTAGCAAGTACAAGTAGACTGTACTAACAGGGACCAAGCCAGGTTGGAAGAGTTTCCAGATAAGATTTGACAATAACACGCTGGGGAGTCCCCAGCCTATATACTATACATGTGACAGCCATGTGGCATATTACATAATGGTAAAAGCGGACAAGGGGAGCTCTGGGTATACAGTGGGGAGATATAGGAAGGTAGTAAGGAGGAATATGATAGGTAAGGAAGCAAAATCAGGCAAGGCATGACACCAACGCCTACCGCCTTGGTGAGCCAACCTTCCCCAAACCTCCTTGAGCTCCCCAACTGCTCCACAAGCTCTGGGACCTCGATCTAGGTAACGTCGAAGCTACCCCTTACGTCAAACTAGGTACTGCTTCACCGTCACCACCTCCACCACTCGAGGACGTCTGCCGCTACCCCCCACTTCCCGGGACCTCCTCCCAGGCTCACACCTTATTGGGAGCTCACATATCCGAGACCTCCATCAACTACAATCTACAACAATCCTATGTGGACATTCCTAGCTAGTACAACTCATACTACTTAGCGATTTTACATCTAACGGTCTCCGTTACTTCTACCTTCCCTCGTTACGTCCTAGGGACCTCCCTGGACCTTCTAGGAGCCCCTTCACGGGTCACATCTCTCAATCCAGCCACTACTAGGTCATTCCTGTCCTCCGTTGCGGTTCCCATAGCTCCCTTCGAGCTCCAGCCTGCTCTTAGCACACTACAACATAAATCCATTATACCAAAACCTACCCTAAGACCAATTCCGACCCAGGTCTTACACATAGTTACGGCAAATGCTAATGGCCCCTTCTGTAGTAGATAGATCATTTACCAATTGATCTTGTTGTTGAAAACATACTGTTTACCAAGAGGTGAGGGAGATTCAGATCGGGTACACAATTCTCATGACCCCCAATGAATTGAGAGTCCAGGCAGGGTCTATTTGTGCAGAACTGTCTCAAATGCCCTTCAAGCTCACATATACCTTCCAGACTGTACCTAAGTAGTTGGATATCATCAATAAGGGACACAAACACAGGTATTCGAAGATTTCGAACAAGTTTTATGGCCTCTCGAACCATCATAGGATGCCGTGCAGCTCGGCTTGGGCTTGGTCAGGGTCTTTTGCGTGGCAACATAAGTACCCCCGATCTGAATCTCCCTCACCTCTTGCTGTTTACTACGGACATGCATACAGTCACACATTGTGACAGATCACACTATATATTCAGTGTACCAGCTCTGAGACCAGGGCTCATCTGCTTTCTCCCATCTATTTACATAGAGTACTCTCCTGTATCTTAGCTCTCTCACCTTTCTCTCCTTCTCGCCTTTCCAATCATATCCGATTCCTAGTATCTGGTCCACTTGTGAGTACAGATTAGTGTTACCTGCAAACATCGCAGGTTTCCAGTTCTCACTTATAGAGGTGCAAGGCCAAAGCGATCCCATGATATCTGCATCTGATTGGCCTGCCTAAGATTTTTGCTTTTTTTATTGTCATGTTGTTGTCATGAAGTACGTAGCCCCTATCATTTTCCTTTTCTCACCATCTCGACGCCCTTACTTGTACAATTATATCACTGTCAAATCCCATTGATTACCGATCCACCTGACCCCCATCATCAATTACCAATCCACCTGTTACCCTTCTCCTTCTACTGGCTTCCACCACCTTCGTTGTTCCTAAACTGTATAGTATTACATCGTCATTTCCTGCAGATCAGATTATGTATATAAAGCCAACCCCTCACAGCCTGGTCCCTTATCTTGACCTCTCTATCATTATCTTGGGACCAGGTATGTGCCTACTTACTAGTACCTATGACTACGATACTCAATATATCTCTGTCATTATCTTGGGACCAGTTTGCCTATGCGCCGCTTCGTCGTTCTGCTCAGTTGCTCTGCTCCACTGTTCTGCTTAGTCACTCTGCCTCTGCCACTTTGTGACAGTTGTGTTGCGTCAATCTGCCTCATCATCTGCAATGCTTACAGATGAAGATTATCAGATGCTCCTGGAGGCTTCTGTCTCCTCCTTCTTGGAGAGGAAAGACTTTGGAACAGTAGAGCTTGAGGAAGTTATGGATCAAGTGTTTGGCCAAAATAGAGGAGGGGATGCAAAAGCCTGGTCCATGCACTGGACTCAGTTAAAACTGCTTGAGTGCTATGTGTCAAGTCCATGCCTTGGTGCCCCACTCCACTGCTTGGTATTCCGAGATCCACCATTTATTGTAATCTCATCCTTATTGTTCTTTCTTGCTACACATTCCCTTTCCACCTAGGCTCTCCCTTATTGTTTTATCCTTTCTCATATTGTCTTATTCTCTACCCTGCAGGTACTACACGTATAGCTCCTAGTAGTTAGTCTGGCACTCCACCCCGATGCGCTGATCTGTAGGTATAAATACTGCCTGTACTATACTCTCATTCCCCAGTTTAATTATCAACTTAGATTATCCTCTCTAACTTAGATCACCTAGACTGTCATGAAGTACGTAGCCCCTATCATTTTCCTTTTCTCACCGTCTCGACGCCTTTACTTGTACAATTACATCACTGTCAAACCCCATTGATTACTGATCCACCTGATCCCCATCATCGATTACTGATCCACCTGATCCCCATCATCGATTACTGATCCACCTGTTACCCTTCTCCTTCTACTGGCTTCCGCCACCTTCCTTGTTCCTAAATTGTACAGTATTACATCGTTGTTTCTCGCAGACCGGATTATTGTCATGCCCTGGCTACAACCAGACCAGTCCCAGTACCCGCCACACGTTGCCATACGTCCTACCCACCTCTTGTATGTCCTCTGCACCTCCCCAAGGACCACCAGACACCTCCCCAAGTATTCCTGATGCAACTACCCAAACGTCCTTCACCCCGACACGCGTACGAAAACCCTCCTAACCGATAACCCCTTTAAGTATTAATCTCGATTACCTTCCTCCCCCCGATTAGCTGCCTCATGCCTCCAGATGTTCTCTTGTTCACTTCCCGTACCTATTTAAGTAACGCCGCAATGTCCTGAAGCCCCAGCTTGGTATATTTTGAACACACACCCTTTTGCATAGGTCCAGTCCCTGTCCCTTTGTACCTGCTAACCATACGGATTTCTCTTTACTCTCTGTTTCACTACCTCTGTTTCTCCTTACTCTTGTCTATTGTCTCTTTGATCGTCTATACGATCGAATATATGCTTTTACTTTAAGTCTAAGCCTTCCGAGTGAGTCCCCGAGCTCCCTCAAACATTAGTAAAGCTCCCCAACGCCTACACGCTTTGGTGAGCTACCCTTCCCCAAACCCCCCGGAGCTCCCTAGCTACTTCGTAAGCTTCGGGACCTCGATCTAGGTAACGTCAAAGCTACCCCTCACGTTGAACTACGTACCGCTTCTCCGTTACCACCTCCCCCACTCGAGGACGTCCATCCTCAAGTCCAGCCTCCAGGGACCTACCCTCCCTGGCATATCCCTTCTCAGGAGCTTATACCCTCGAGATCCAGTTACATATACGACCTATTCGATCCTATATTGACGTTCTAGCAAGTACAACTCCTACTACGCAATATCGTACGGTCCCGCACTCTTCCTTAACCTCCCTACGCCTTAGGGACCTCCCTGGACCTCCTAGGAACCCCCTCAAGGGTCATCATCTCGTCGTTCCAGCCACTACTAGGTCATTCCCGTCCTCGGTCACGGTTCTCGTAGCTCCCTTCGAGCTCCAGCCTGCTCTTAGCACGCTACAACATAAACCTCCATATACCAAAACCTACCCTAAGACCTATTTTGACCCAGGTCTTACAATTATGTATATTGTTAAGATCATGTACACCGTGTAACTGTGCCAAAGCCACAAGGTGTCTAAGTGCGGAAGACGAGTGGGACAGTAGTGAAGTTATTAACAACACCGCCGTTACGCCGTTAGTCCCCGGAGATCGAGAGTAGAGAGGGAGGAGCTAAGTAGCAGCCAAGTCGGAGCGGCGGTATCGCCGGTGACGAGGAGCGAACCAGAGGACGTTAAAGTCCTAAGGTCAAGGGGAACGTACTTCAAGGCGTTGAGCCTGAAGACTTAGAGAGCACAGAGTGGAAGAGGGAATCTAAGTCGATCTAAGTCGATAATTAAACTGAGGAACTACAGTAGCGTACAAGCAGTATTTATATCTACGGAGCGGCGCAATGGTGCGGAGCGCCAGACTAGCTACTAGGAGTTATACGTGTAGTCCTGCAGGGTAAAGTAAAAGACAATAAGGAGGGACTAGAATGAAAGGGTATGTGTAGCGAGAAAGAACAATAAGGAAAAGATTACAATAAAGGTGGATCTTCGGAATACCGAGCGGCAGAAAGGAGGCCCAAGGCATGGGCTTGACATATATATAGCCAACCCTCCACAGCCTGGTCCCTTATCTTGACCTCTCTGTCATTATCTGGGACCAGGTATGTGCTTACTTATTATTACCTATGACTACAATACTCAATATATCTCTGTCATTATCTGGGACTAGTTTGCCTCTGCTCCGCTTAGTCGCTCCGCCTTCCTGACCTGCTTAGTTGCTCCGCCTTATTGCCCTGCTTAGTCACTCCGCTTTCCTGCTCCGCTAGTCACTCCGCCTCTGCCGCTTTGTGACATAGACCTTCTTCTCTTGTCCTTTAAGTCTTCAGGGTTGTCACCTTGAAGGTCTCCTTACTCTAACCTCAGGACCTAGACGTTCTTTGGTTCGCTCCTTGTCGTCGGCATTACCGCCGCTCCGACTTGGCTTCTTCTGGCTCTCTCCTTCTCTACTCTTGATCTCCAGGGACTAGTGGCATAACGGCAGTGTTGTTAATAACTTCACTACTGTCCCATTCGACCCTCCGCCCTTAGACACCTTGTGGCCCCTGGCACGGCTTCATGGTGTACATGATCTTAACACTGGTGCTCCACTCAGATGCACCAATCCGTAGGTATAAATACTCCTCACTTGTCTCCCTCTGTCCTCTGAGTCTTCAGGCTCATTGCCTTGAAGTTCTCTCTACTCTGACCTCAGGACTTATAAGTTCTTTGGTTTGCTCCTCATCGTTGGTGTTACCGCTGCTGCAGCTTCGCAGCTTCTAGTTGCCTTCTCTCTACTCTCAATCTCCGGGGACTAGCAGCGTAACAGGGGTGTGGTTAATAACTTCACCACTGTCCCATTCAACCCTCCACCCTTAGATACCTTGTGGCCTCTGGCATGGCTTCTTGGTATACATGATCTGTCATGCCTCGACCCGTTAGCGATAGCTCCTTGGATCATGCCCTGCCTTGCATTCTGCCTGACCCCTAACTCCCCAATTGCTTTGCAACACCTCCCACCATTCCTCCGCCCTACCTTCCCATAATACCCTTCTAAGTTAACCAAACATCCTGACGGCTCCCCGACACACGTATGGAACCTCCCTATCACCAATTCATTAAGTATTAATCTCAATTACCTGCCTCATGTTCCCCAGATTCCTGGATGTTCCCTTGTTTACTTCCCATACCTATTTAAGCATTGTCGCAACATCCCCAAGCCCCAGCTTGGTATATTTTGAACACACACCCTTTTGCATAGGTCCAGTCCCTGTCCCTTTGTACCTGCTAACCATATGGATTTCTCTTTACTCTCTGTTTCGCTATCTCTGTTTCTCTACTCTCGTCTCTCATCTCTACCATTGTCTATATGGACCAATATACACTTTTAGTTCTTGTCTAAGCAACCCAAGTGAGTCTTTGAGCTCCCTCAACCAATACTAAACCTCCCCCAACGTCTATTGTTTTGGTGAGCCAACCTCCCCCAAACCTCCTCGAGCTCCCCTATTGCTCCACAAGCTCTGGGACCTCAACCTAGGTAACGTCGAAGCTACCCCTTATGTCAAACTACGTGTCACTTCTCCGTTACTACCTCCACCACTCGAGGCCATCAGCCACCACCCCCACCTCCCGGGACCTCCTTCCCGGGCCTACACCTTATCGGGAGCTCTCACGTTTGAGACCCCCATCAACTACGATCCACAATGATCCTACTTGATGTTCCTAGCTAGTACAACCCATACTACGCAACGCTCCTACGTCTACTGGTTCCCGTTACTTCTACCTTCCCTCCTTACACCTTAAGGACCTCCCTGGACCTTCTAGGAACCCCTTCAAGGGTCATATTTCACCTCCCTCCCGGGCATATACCTTATCAGGAGCTTACACGTTCAAGACCCACATTAACTACGACCTACACAATCTTTCGTTGACATCCTAACAAGTACAACTCTTACTATGCAACGCTCTTATGCCTACTGGTTCCCGTTACTTCTACCTTCCCTCCTTACACCTTCTAGGAACCCCTTCAAGGGTTATATCTCTCAATCCCAGCCACTACTAGGTCATTCCTGTCCTTGGTCGCAGTTCCCGTAGCTCCCTTCGAGCTCCAGCCTGCTCTTAGCACGCTACAACATAAACTTATTATACCAAAACCTACCCTAAGACCAATTCCGACCCAGGTCTTACACCTCATCTGCAAAACATGGATATTCGGCTAAGGGCTGAGAGCAGATCCCAGCAGATCCCAGTACCGAAAGCACTGAGAGCAGGCTGCTCTGAGTGCTTTCACTGCTGGGAAATGCTTTCAACTGCTTTCGGACCCTTAGCCGAATATCCAGGTTTTGCAGATGCTGGTCCCTTATCTTGACCTCTCTGTCATTATCTTGGGACCAGTTTGTATCATCTGTCTAGGCTCCACATAGTCATTTTGCTTAGTCACTCTGCCACTCCCTGTTTGTGGCAGAAAGCTATCAAATTTGCAGTGAATGCTCATGTGATATCAGTTGAAATGTCTGTGCAGTGGTCAAAGTATTTCATGGTACTAGTATCAGATCACATTCAAGGCAATGGCCCTTCAGAGTATGCAGGGTATGGGAAGAGTGGCAGCTCCTCCACAATTCTCTCCATCAAGGCATAACATTACAATTTGAGGCTCTAGAACAAGATGATGAAAAACTCAATCACAATTGAGTTAAATAAGATTGTAATGAGCCTGTCATCTGGTCTTGGCTGCTTTACCATATAGAATTCAGCTCAATCCTGTGTAAACCTGCAATCCTTCTGCCCTTCTTTATTAATAGCTTGATGCTGGTCATCAACAGTGAAAGTTTCCTGATGCTGAGATTTCATTCTGAGCTCCTGACCAAATGCTATGGATTAGAGCTCACCATTTGAATAGTTGTTGATGTATTGAGGTTAATATTTTGCAATGGAAAGTCTGAATCTGTAGAGATGTGGTCTGAGACATTATTGCGTCGAATGGATTTCCGGGACAGTAGCCTAGGTGTGTTTCTTTACTATGCAGCATCCAAACGTGTAAAATGGACATCACATACATTGCTGCAACAGAAATGACATAGACTGCCGGTTTACATTAGAACATGCAACATCCATGCTAGACATTGTACTCACGTTGTGAGCTAATATCTAGTGGAATCAAACTTGTGGGAATTTTTGTTTAAGCAATGTTTTGAGGTTGATGCAGTCCTTACAATATAAATGTGTTGGGAATAGCCACAAACTTGTTTGAAGTCACTAGGTTTCTAATTTTTTAAACCTTTGATAAAACTTACAAATATCAAATTCAGCAAAGCACACAAGCTTTGAAAGAGTGTGATTCATTATTGCAGTAGTGATTTTTGAATAATATTACCTTGTAAGAATGCCACGGTTGATAGTGTACAAAATTAGTTTGTCAATGATTTTGTCACTCCTTTGAGATTATTCATAACAATTTTCACCAAAAGCAAAGAATTTTCCTCACCGTTGGAAACCTGATCGTGCTTTATGCAAGAGCATGCAGAGGATAACAGCAATAAGAATATCACATGCTGCCGTGGTTCCAGTCTGCGTTGACGTAATTCTCTGTATAGCTGTAAGTGTGTTACATCAAAGTTGAAATACAAATATTAGTCACAGTGGTACTAGAGAGCAAAGAAAATTTTGCTGCACGGAATCTGAAACAATATCAGTTGGCAGCTCTTGATACCTTGGAATCATGTTTTTGAATACATACGAAAGAATAGTCTGAGCTGCACAGAAAAAGTGAAACATAAAGATTAGGAAACACTGTCTATAAGGAATCCTACCTATACCAAATGCTACACAATTTGAGAATGATTATAGAATGCAACACACAGTTTGGGATTTACCAATTTGACAGACAGCTAAAAGTAGCTGATTACCATGTTTGAGTTGATATGAAGGCAAAATGCAAAAATTATACATACCACAGGTCCTGTGTACATCAGCTTTCTTGTAATTGTAGGTGGGGACACTGAAAACAAAAATGGGCTGAGTATTAACTCCAGGGTACTATCAAAACCTATTTGCTTACAGGCCCAGATTCTTGTGACAAAAAATCTAAGGTATGCATCCATCAGGAATGTTCAAAATACTTGTTTAAAACCCTTCACATTTGAGCAGTAAATGCTGTCAGATACTTCAACTTGTATATGAGATTTTCAAAGGTTCCTTGATACCAGCCAAGCTCACCGTAGCAAGTAGTTGTAGCTTGTTTGTTTGGTTGAGCAAACAGATAATCTCAGTCTCTTCATGAGAAATATGCAGCTTACAATTCCAGAGCTGGTAAGAACAATCAGATTCTGCTAATTTGAACTGATGACTTTGGTGAACTTACACAACAATGTCATCCAACTGTGCTATCTGAGAAAACCTGATAACATAGTCGGTGTACACTTGATGACTAAGGAAGATAAATTGCAATGTTCCAAAGAGGCTATATATAGGAAGGTCTCTGATTAAGGTCATCAAATGTGATCATCATAATCTACTTGAACTTTCCTCAAAATTACAATCTTTCTCGAACAATTGAAAAAATGCAGGATATCCTTGTGTAAAAAATAACTCACCATAGTTTGCACACCTCCAGAATCAATTTGACTATAGGAACGGAAGTAGTGGAGAGTGAGTATCTGTAGATTTGAAAGAAGCCATCCAAGTAAGCCATGTAAGTCATTCATTGACAATCAGATATTGATTAATTACGATTATGCTCTAAACTTTGGAGTAGACTTACCAAAGATGCACCATATAATCTATTACTGTTCATCAGATAATATGGTATGAAAATGACCAGATTGAAGAAATACACAGCATTAAGCATATAAGCAATCATCTGGCAGCCCCATGTCTCAGTGAATGTGGGAGACATTAAAAAGGAGGGATGCAATCCATGCTTTTCGATGATTTCTTTTATCTTTGACTGCATTCCCGCATCAACTCCATCGGCTATCTCGGACTGGGCAGTGGGAGAGTCCTGTATCACCGCGTGAAGCGACGGTGACAGATTGTGATGAATACATGTCATTACTCACACATCAGCAGCTGGGAAAGATGACCATTCCTGAAGCATCCAAGTAATTGGCGTTCAGTTACATGGACAGATTGAGTATGTTGGACTCACCCATCACCATTGGTTTCGAAAGATGAACTGTCAACCAGAAGGCTGTTCAGGTGGTATTCTGGTACCGGTATTGTCTTTTCGTGTGCAACCAGAAATATCACATCAGCGCAGTTTTAATTTGTAGATCCGGTCCACGCTCGGACTTTCTGTGACTGTAAACTGTATACAATATCCTTACAACATTCACCTGAAAGAGGAGGACACACCTATCTCACACATATCACTATGGTGGAAATACCATCTTATCACGGTAATGAACACTCATATTTGTGGGTATCCTATCCTTGCACAGGCAAATTCCGTTCGGTATAGTATGAAGGCTGTGTGGAATCTGGATCTCGTGAATACAATTGCAACACAGTCATGATCAGTGACAAAAGATGGATACTGAGTCCCAGGCTGTCCTATCATCTACTTGAATTTATACATTTCAATCTTGGATCTATTTTATTTAAACAGTCATATGATTTGGTGTTAATAACCACCCTTGACACGACACACTATCTTTAACAATTCCCTTGCAGACAAAAAGACCGCTCAACGCTCCCTTGGTTTTCTGAAGGTGTTCCTACTCCTCCATGTCCCAAAATACAACCAGACATTACACTTCTGAACAGTATCTCCTTCCAGCTGATACAGAGGAGACCGAACGGTTTGTCTGAATATTTTCTGGTTGCGATTTGCTTGACATATTTGAGCCTTGCAGACTCAATCATCAGCATGCATGGATAACCCAAGCATTTGAAAACCGACTCCACATAGCACCAGTTTTGTTGAACACTGGTGACAAGGTTTTGGAGAGTGCAGCCGGCAGTGGTAATTACACACCAACAAGTAATCCGGTTAGCACTGACCAATGTCATTCGAAGGAATCTGGGCGCTTGAATTCGAAGCAGAAAATGCTGCAAATGGACGTATTATCAATATGGAGTGCGTCGACATAACGAACAAACAGTTCCCTCATCAGCATCCTCCTAATGTGCACTTTTCAATCAACTCAGCCACTGACCTTCCTCTGGACTGGGTTAGCAGCTTTTCATATGCACATCAACGTCTATTGATTGTTGCAATGAATGATTCCCTCTGGAAGAAAGTTGTGAAAGAGCTATACAGGGTGCTTCAACCGGGGGGCTGGATTGAACTATTGGAGGTAGAAGCTCAGGAACTCTGCTTTGACGTTGGTCCACAATCCAAAAAACTTGTGTCTTTGATCAAGGCAATGTATGGGGCCAAGGGCATCATTGGCAATCTCGGTACCTACCTCCCATCAATCCTCACTCAAGCTGGTTTTACCCAAGTTGGTTTCGAAAGACGTGACGTGCCCATTGGACAATCCCAGGCTGATGGAAATGAGCGAAAGATCTTCATTAGGAGCAAGTATTGGCAGAATCTTTGGAAAGCTATGAAAGAACCAGTATTGAAAGGAGGGGGGTATGGCATTGTTGAAACAGGTGAAGAATATGATGAGCTTTTACAAGATTGTGGTGGGGAGTGGGATAATTCAGACAAGGCACATACTACTTACTATGCTGTTTTTGCTCAAAAGCCTTTGTAAGATACATAGCTGACAATGAACGTGCTAAGGGTTATTGTAAATTCTTTAGAAGATTCCAGTTGGCTAGTATGATTTAATTAATGAAGTGGCTGTTTTGATTGACCCTTTCAGTATGATCTCACAGAGCTCTTTTGAAGATACTGCTGTTTAGATTCAGGGAATGCCGTGCAAATGTGACAGTGAATGATTTATGAACAGGGCAGTGGTCCTACTGGCAGAACTTCTTCATTGCATGCTCAGGCTCTCAATGAATCGCTGATCATTCAAGTTGTCATACAGTTCCGATTCAAAGACAAAAACAGCAATCCTAACTGCCAAAATTCATATAATAGGTGTCCTAAAACCTCGCATTGGTGTTCCTCCTCGGCCTATTCGCAGCAAGAAAAGGCCTTCATCCCCGCAGTGAACCCGGTCAGCCCTCCTAATTCAGGTAAGGAAGCATTATTGTTTTACACAAATCATAGATGTAATGTCCAATCAAGTACTAACTACTAGCTACAAAGGTCCAATTCAGTCATTAACAGACAAGTGTCAGTCCAAGAAATAAAGTATCCATCTACAGAGTCCAAAGTCCCAACCTCCCAAGCTGTAATTACTCACAAACAATCCACACATTACAGACTCGGTCATCTGCACCAGTGACAGTATCTGAATCGCAAAGCTCAGATCCGGAATACTCAATATGGCATAATGCAATGGTCACTCCTGCATGGTTCAACCCTCCGACATAGAATCCATTGTTACGTGCGTTGTTGTTGATCTCGTCAACAGTGGCAACACAGTTGAATTCATATTGGCCTATACAGAATACCGATTAATGATTCAAACGCATACACAAGAGGAAAAGACATGATAACTGACCTGGATTAGAATTTCCAATAATATTCCACTCCGTCCATGCCCCGCACACCGCACCGGGAAGAGTGTTCTCGTCACTTCCGACGATATATGCGATTTCGCGTGGATTGCCTTCGTATAAGTGGGTATACTGCGATTGGATAAAGTTCTAAGTGATGATGCAATGGAAAAAATAGGACAGATAATGTACCTGACGTAAATTCCATCCTGTATATCCAGACGATTGATATCCAGCAACCCAGGCAGCAGCGTTCACGAGTGTTGCACTGGAAGCAATAGAAGCAAGAAGAACGAAGGAAAGGGTGGAAAACTGCATGTTCGTTTCGAGGAGGTTCAGGGTGGAACGAGGGATCGACGAGGAGATAAGAAACGCAGAGAGGAAAGGTGAATGTGATGTCTACAAGAAACGGGGGGGGGGGGGGGGGTTATCTGTATATACCCAATAGTACGAAAATGCATAGTATTTATACTGTACAAAATTAGGCAGTCCTCGATACAAAGAATCTGAAACCAACTGCGCAGCGGTGGTCCAACGGATGACGAGTCAAAAAAACAGAGGAATTCATAGCTTCAGAAAGAGCTTGAGGCGCTGATGTGAAATTCATTGTATCGCATTCCCTTTTCGGGAATGGAAGCAAATCCATAGTGGCAGATACAACAGGAAAGGAACAAATCGACGCAAACTTGTGGACGGAGCATTCAAGTAACAGCAGTCACCATAAAGAGAAGCTTGAGAAAGAACCAAAGTAGTCCACGAACAAGAACCAAGTTCAAAAAGCTTCATTGCGAACCACGACAGCAAGTTTGTGATTTTTTGGTGCATAGCCAGCGAACAAAGAGCCGAGGTAAAGGATAAGTTAGAGAGTGAACGCCATCTCCAAAAATAGAAAAAGGAAGGCATTCTGTGACCTTCAGTCATCGCCGCTGCATAGCGCTGCTATGTATATGGCCTTTCATTACCGTCTGCACCTACTTCTACTAAATTTAGACGGCAATGCTCTTGGATTTGAAAATTCATCGGGAGCCTGTGTTCTAGAGCCTGTCCGACACTGGAAAAGTTGTTATTCGGGATATTCGGTGAGCCTAGTCTGTGTAACCGTACCGAAACCCGCGCTCCCCGACCCAAATGGAAGACGGTGATGTGGATGACACGGAGCCGAGAAAGAGTACGCGAAAGCGACTTGGAGAAAGGGCCTGGGTGGACGGTCTGATGAATCGGTGTTGAATCAATTTCGAGAGGTCGTAATGGGGGGAGTGCAATGGGAGATTCTTTGGGTGAGAGAAGTTGACGATACCTTACAGATAGAACATCAATATAACGTGTTTGACAAAATTCAAAAGACCACTCACTTTCAAAAGTAAGCATCCTCCTTGTTCTAGCCATCCATTGGCGTCCATCTCTGACTACATCGTTGTTCTATCACCCAAATACCTCTCAGGGTCCTGATCCCGCTCAAGAGATTGATGAGGTCGAGTAGCTGGTACAAATGTGAAGGAGTCACGGGGGGCAAAAGTCAGCGGAGAGCATAATGTACATGGTGATGGAAGCTTACCTCGACACGATACTCTTGCCAAGTCCGAGATAGATCCCGCGCTCATATCCTTGATCTCAATCATCATAATGGAATATCCCTCCTCAATGAGAGCAAGCTGAATTATGTAATTGACAGCCTGCCGGCTCTTAATCAGCGCTAATCATCCTCTTCTCTTCCCTCATCGGACAATCCACTTTTGCTAAAAGCATCTCCCGCCTTTACGCCGACTGTAGATGGAAAAGAGATGAGGATTCTCGACTCTGATGAGGAGTCTAGGGTACAGAACGAAGGTCTCTGAGATTTGACAGAATCTCAAAAACCCCTTTTGCTTATACTCGTATACTCGACATGGGAAAATAGTACCAGTGTATATACGATCGAGTCGCTCATTCACATATCTCATACTCAACTTGTCACTCAAATAGTCCTCCATCACTCCAAAGTTCGTTGATCAAATCGTCAAGGGCATCAACATCAATGTCAATGCCGACTTCCCCCTTTCCCGCTTTCATCCCCCCAGTATATCCATCATATATCTAGGAACCTCCTCATGCAACATCGCCGATCTTCAAATTGGGGACACCATTCACAATCGTTGCGTCACCACCAACTCGTATACAGCTCAAATCCCGTTTTTGATGTTGTAACAATTCATCTCTAGGGGCGGATGATCCAAGATGTGGTGGAACTCAGAGGACTACAAAGGATGAGAAGAGGTCAATAATGATGTTATACGCTCTCAAGGCAAGCTATACTCCATTGCGCTGACTTGAACCTTTCTCGTTCTTTCCTTACCTTCGTGACTTATCACCGTCAATTCCTTTCCCCTATCTACCCCCAACGTTCACCGGCGGCCCTCCGCAGTGAATATCCCCTTGGTCCTCCCTTCGTGGGGGCGGTGGGTTCGGTATTATTCCCGATTTGACGTTCTGTCATTCAGCTGGTACCATAACACAATCCGAGAAAGACAACTGATTGTCAATTCCATGTACCGGAGGTTCGTTGTGATGTGTTCTTCCTTCATCTATTCTATAGAAACTGATGACAAGCCAAGATAGAATTTTAGTCAAGCTTCAATTTCAAAATGTTCAGTAAAGGACATGTTTATGCTCTTGACTAGAAGATCTTGCAGCCAAAACAGCATGCTTTTTTATCACAAAAGAAGTAATATATGGATATTCATATACTCTAATGTAAGCATAAGTATTCTACCTTGAATGGTGCCCACTGCTCAATGAACCCTACATTAAGACAATGTCATGGATTCGAGCAACTATTGTGCTGGTTTTTCAGTGGATTTTTTTCCTGGCTTCTCAGTAGATTTTGTTCCTGGCTTCTCAGTAGATTCAGTTCCTGGCTTCTCAGTAGATTCTGTTCCTGGCTTTCCAGTAGATTCTGTTCCCGCAGGAGGCAGTTCCTTGGAGGCCAGCTCGGAAACTTCAGCATACCATGCAAGGAACTTTTTCCACACTGCTATTGTTGTCGATGTGCCTGCCTTCAGTGGAAAACCACCTGCTCTCTTGACTCGGAGGCATGAACATCCACATACTACAAAAACAAGTTAACAATCAAAGACTCACTGCCTCAGAAGCCATAGCATTATCCAGGAGATTAGCAACTTTATTGCTATTTGCCTGTGTCTTCGTCAGGTAGTCTCCGAGAGCTACCATTTTGGCAGGTGAGTAACCAGCTTTTAAACGTGCAGATGTTTTTTCTGTTTGAAGGAACTGCTTTGCTAGATAGGCAAATTTACTTTGTACCCATTTTTCCACAGCACGTCCTTTCTACATAATGAACAATTTTTTAGCATCATTCTCAGATAGTGATAAATAGATAAACTCACCACTGCTTCGGGTGCTACCGTGAAAAAAAATGTGTTTCTTTGAGCTTTAGTTACCCCTTGGGCATTAATTATGTTTTTGAGTTTTTCTAAACTAGTTGTCTTCTGCTCATTGGTGAGGGTCTTGGAAGCATCCATTCCAGGACAGAACCTCTGTTGGATCACCAAAGTGGCGATGCTGACCTCCAAAACATGGTCTAGAAATAAATCAATTTTGTTTTCATTAACTTGTTCATGTATTGAGAAGACAAACTTACCACAGGTACTGCCACTATCGTACTCTGGAGTAACACTGGTAGAGGTTCCATCCCACTTGTATGCTGACTCCTCAGAGCATAGGGCTCTACCCCCAACTCCAGCTCCACTGCTTCGAAAATTATATGTTTCACATAAGACTGTAGTGACGGGGGCCGCTAGAACTGCAGGTAGAAGTACTGCAAGGAAAGAGAGTTCGAGAAAGTGCATTTGAAGCGTGTTATAATTGGATCAACCAAGGTTTGTCTATACTCATTGGGGGGTCAATCACATTATTGGTACTGGAAGAAAACCAAGAACATACAGTGTAGAAGATGAATATACAGGAAAAGAGGGCCAGCCTGACGAAACAGAAGCCACATCTGCCATTTTATACTGGAAAGCGAATGGAAGGATGCCTCTAGATGATACTTTCATCTGCAAAACCTGTATTTTCGGCTAAGGGTCCGAAAGCGGTCGAGAGCACTTCCCAGCAGTGAAAGCACCCAGAGCATGTTGCTTTCGGTGCTTTCAGCACTGGGATCTGCTGGGATCTGCTCTCAGCCCTTAGCCGAATATCCAGGTTTTGCAGATGTTGTCGTGGCTTTTGCTTTCCGCGACACTGCAGTATGATACTCAAAGCAAGATGACCCGAGAAGATAGATATGTTTTGATTACAAGGTGTGTAAAATAAGTTACATTACAGAGCTTCACTGTTGTCACATTGGAAAATGAAACGGAATGTCAGTAATTGCAATACAGAACAAGGCGCATACTGTACCATGGTAGCTCCTGCCATGGGAACCGGCAATTACAATGCATTATGTCGGAGGCACTGGTAGTGGCTGGTCCATACCTGTTTTGCTGGTGATAGATGCGGCTCAAGCACGCCCCAATGTGAGCAGTTGGTATATTAGTATCATGTCTCGGGTTGCAATGACAGCGAAACAGTGTCTGCCATATAGCCATACATGGTCTGCTCATTCACCAAGTACAAACACCATTCACTTCAAAGATGAGTAAATGCTATGGAGTCTTTGACCAAGGACCTGTTTACATGGGAATGAGCACTTGGTCGCATTGTAGATGGAATGTCAATGATATAATCCAGTTTCAGAATGATCCTGAAACTTCCACTCATCAATGATAAAATATTGCATCTGCAATGAAACCATTTTTAAATTTTTCAAATTGCGTGGACTTGGTGACCATGACTCTCGAGGGTTCTTTCACTCCCCACTGCCCAGTACAATTCAATTTGTTTTCTAGTTTGACTTTGAATGTAGCTTTCTCTCAGCATATCAAATGACTTGAATCCAGACTGTTGATGTTGAAGAATGTCCAGTCACGGCTCGGTTGAGGGAGTTCCACACTGCCGTAATATATCAGCAACGTGGCAGAGCAGATGACAACAACACATTAATAATATAACGTTTTTCTCTATCTCTTCCTCTGTCGTTCATTCTTCATTCTTCATTTCGTCCATTTACAGCATGGGGGGCTGGGATGAATTGTGCGTGCTTACTGGTATTCGCCCCCTTGGTGGTCCCAGGATCTTGACTACGGAAGTTGACCTCACGGCTACCGCTATGGCAGAGGAGATTTCACGTAACTCATCCACCAACATTACTGAGCTCAGATCAACATTAAAAGATGCACTGACACTGTGCAGTAGATCAGCCATGGACCAAAATCATTGGTGGCCTGACGGCTTTGGAGATGGGGGCTTCTTTGACACTGCCATTGCCATTGGGTATTTTGGCCAGTTTGGTGATTGTAATGCCATATACTGGGATGAAGGACGTCCCCGTGCAGCTGGAGGGCGAGGGGTAGAGTTACGGAGGGTGCGGAGCTCAAATGGTTATGGAGGATTTAATATTCTTCTTCCTTTGAATGAAGCGAGCGGCACAGCGTCACCTTGGTATAACAACATAGTGCGAGAATCAACCTCATGCACTTCCCGCGACCGCAAACCCAATTTTTTTGTTCTCGAGGGTCCATACCGCTATTTAGAGGCTTGGATAGATCGTGGCTCCCTTCCTGTCCGCTCTCTTGCATTTCCTCAGGATTCAAATGATATGGGTTTTGCTAGTGAGCTATATGAGATCATTAACTCCCGATTACAAGGTCGAGGTAAGTCACTTCTTTAGTGACTGGGTAATAGAATGCTGATTGATGGGTTAATCAGTGGAATATGATTGGCACGAACCCCGAGTTGCTGGCTACCTCCCTGGTATAGAATATGATGGGATTGAAGCATCTGAAAGTGGTTATCAAGATACATTTTACGGGACCCGGAAAGGTTCTCATTGGACCGGGCTTGCAATCTCCCGAGGACTACAAGGCAAAGAGCTTGTTCCTTACCTCATTAAGGATTTTAAAGCATGGATATGCATGCGGCCTGACCTGTAAGTGGTACAATGTTGTGTTTCAGACCCTCTATTGTAGATAACAACTCACTACAGATGGCCATCTCCTCCGACTACATTTACTTCTCCCTTTGTAATATTAAAGGGAGCTTGGGCCCTAACCAACTTGCATAACTTGCCTCAAGATGTGCTACTGCAGATTTTTGCACTTCTACAACTTTCAGATATTATGAACCTGTCTAGCACAAGTAAAGGCATGCGGCTGCTCATAACAAACCCAGGTATGCTAAGTGCTATCCTCAGATGGGAAGTACTAAACCCGCATGGACAATTACGGTGAAAATAATTCTTTTCATGATAAGTACCCAGGCCTTGCTCATTGTCATTCAGCTGGATATTGCCAGTTGCGGCATTTCCAAAGGAAGTGGAACAGGCAGAGAAAATTGCGCAAGAATGGCTTACATCTTCCTATACACTTCATTATAATCAAAACCCCACAACTTCTACCAGCCTGATGTCTGCATTCCAGAACCAAGCATTTCCCTATTATGCTTTCATTCCCACATACCTTACAGTGAACACAAGTAATGAGTCATTCTCAATGAGTAGCAGAAGAAGGTTGTGGAAACAAGTGCAACAATTTCAAAATCTTTGGCTGGAGTACCGAACAAACGGATGGGATACAGACATTTTTCCTGCATTCAATCCAAAAACATTAGAGCAGCTTCAAATAGCAGGGATGGTAAGTCTGCATATTAAACTCCAAATGAGCTCTAATAAGTGTTCCTACTTTCCCATATAGGAATAGGAATATATAGTATATATAAAATAGTGACTATGATTTTTCAATATCGTTTTGCCAGTGTGATAATCTTCGGATTGTAATTCGGTTCATAATTGTTCATTGTTCAGAGCTGTGAGCAACTATGAGGTAGCTCATTGGCATTTCACATCAGTCAACTGTGAAAGCAAGTGTTTCTGTAGAAGTGAGAGCTGAATGACAAGGAAGAGTGACATTGAAGTATTGAATACAAAACACAACAACAATGTAGAAAGGGACTTGGCAGCTCCAAAAAGATATACTCTGAGAGTACTTTGATATTGAATAAGAGAAAGTAGTTGTCCCTTGATTTCCATTATGTCAAGTGAATAATCCAAACATCCAAATGTAGTTTTTGATGCTTCAGGTAATCTTCAACAAGTTTTGCAATGTCCTCCATCCATATTATTCACTCGGTTGGTTTGTTTCTGTCAGAAAGGCAACGCAATGCCGATTTGAAAATGGTCAAAGAATACAGTCATCTACCACCATTTGGGATGACCAAATCTCTCCGACCAAAATTTCATCCGAGTCATGTACACCTTATTTATCAGTATTTTTCCATGCGAGGCATTTATTAGAACTTCCTTGCATACTGACTAGGTCCTTTTCTTCAGGATTCAGCCTACACCGGCTCGAAGTATTACATCGTGATGTCCAAACGCTCTAGTAACACCAATGACACTGCGTATAAGGTGCGCATTAAGCTTAAAGGTTTGAATTTCCAATAAATCTTATATCATGATTCATCAGAACATCAAGAACTGGGAAGTGATCAAGCTCAATCCTCGAGGGGAGTCGCCATTTTTTTTGCCAATGACCATGTAACGCAAGTTATGATCCCCCGAAAGGATTCAATGCAGCAGAGATCATGCAGTTCGAGGGAAATGTTTGAATCCGTTGGGGAAATCGAGAAGCTGGTCAAACTCCGGGATCAACTAGATTCCAATACTTAGAAAGTCAGATTAAGATTTGATAGTATCAAGGTACTACTGATTCTCGAAAGCAAGCCTTTCCTCCAGCGTCCCGTAGAATTCATCTCTTCTGAGGATCACTTGATGTTTTTTTTCCACGAGTTGCGAGCATGTTTCTTCCCTCTCCAGGTTTCTCCCTGCCTACCTGAAGGATGAAGAGGGCTCTGCAAACAAGTCATGGAGTATAAGCTCATCTCCTTCCTCAGTCAAATCTCAGGAGCAGTTCGAGATTATGAAGTGATCCCTCTCCTAGTCGCCCGATCTGATATCCAACGCACCGAAGTCTCAAAGTTGATTGTTGACATCTTTCAACTGCCTTTTTTCTGTAAGTAGGACAAGCGGGAGCCCAAATCATGGCGCGACAACATAATACACTCTCCATCCTCCTCACATCGCAACCGTTTTCAATCTTCCGATGGTCCCAGTTTCCTCCCTCGTATGAACTCGAATCCAGCCGATGCGCTTTTGCTCAATACGATAGCGGTGCGTGTTTGGACAGAGAGTATCAGGCTCTGGAGAATGAATTCACCATTCAGTGAACCCATCATCGGCTGGAAGTTTGATTCCTGGAACATCGAGCTATTCAGTTCCAAAGCACCAAGTAGGGTTGTTCCTTGCGACGTTGAAGGTGTGCAATAACATTTGAATAACAAGAAGAGAGAGCCACAATACAAACGCTCACTCACCCCATCTCAGCTCCCACATGAGCGGCGATATCCATTCGCCATTAACATCCCGGACCCATCTTAGCAGAGGATACCCGTACATAATCAGATACGCTTTCATACCCCAATACAACTGATCATTCCCGTCCACTTCTTCGACCCAGTGGAAGAGCTCAGATTGGAGAAGAATAGCATCGTCGTCACTGGCTTGTACTTGCCCAGCCGCCCAGGCGTTTACATCTTCTCGATGTGAAAGAAGTGGAAGATGATGGAGGAGATCGACCAAAGGAAGTAATGAACGACGCAGAGCAGGTCGAATCGTGATTGGGAATGGGAAACCCTTCGGTAGTGGATATCCGTCATATGGCGGAGCAAGTTCCGGCAACTGCTGGTAACAAGACATGGTACTCAGAAGATTCTGAAGCCACTCCAGAACGAGGTGGCGCATAAAAGGTAACGCGTTCAGCATATGGTTGTTCGTCGGGGCATCTTGAATAGTGTTTGGAATTTGTCTCGGAGCACCTGTTTCGCGATAGACATGATTCTGCGATGATTCGCCGGACATCTATACAACCAGAATCAAGCATGAATAACGAGGAAGCCTTCGAAGATGGATTATACTAGGCGTTCGATGAGAGCACTGTTGTATCGACGTCTTTAGATTTGCGCCACATTTTGAAAGCATAGACGAATACTCACTAATACTCCCGTTGTCCCACCCGATGCCTGTAGCCTATATATAGAGATATTTGGCTAGTAACGCGTCCAATAGCAGTGAGAAAGTACTGGGGGCGACGATGAGATCAGAGAAGGCGGGGGAGCAACGAAAGCTCAAGTTTGAGGGAAGAAATACTCGGAGGAATGAGTAGAGTTCTGTCATCACTCGAACTGAGCACATTACTGCATGGGGCGCATCAATTATCACGATGCCATGGAACATACAATATTAGCAAGGAGGGAAGAAAAGGTGTTCTGGGCGTCAAACCTGCGTCAAACAAAGCTGTTATCATTGAAATGATCTAGTCGCTTAGAGCTTTGTTCCTAAAAAGGAACAGAAGAAGGACCTGCACTTACGTAAGTAGTGTTATCTGAGTCCTGGTCCACCTTTCCTCACAGCTTTCGTATAAATTAATGGACATCACGTATAGAATGCCTGCGCTGTCCGAGTTGTGACTCCCAGCTGTGAACTTGAGCCAATATTAATGCTACACATAGAGAAACGACTTTGCACATGATAGTGAGACCTTTCGTATACCTTTACATCTTTCTTATACCTCGGGTTTGTTCTTTCCGGGAGAGGTGTTTGGGCCAGCGTAATGGTCCGTGATGACGTCTAGAGATCCGGTTCTGAAAATGCTATGCTCAGTCAAGGTCAGGTTGAGGTACAGTGGAGGATGATTGGACTTCGAGTGCCGCAAGTGAAGGCGGGCGCCGGGTAGCTAACCAGCTACAAAATGTTTGCGTGTGTGTTTGGCTTGAGGTCATGGAACGACCAAAGGGAGAAACTGAACTCGACCATCACTTGGGCGAGTAAGCGAGTTCAAGTTCCAACGCGTTAACAAGAGTTGAAACGTTGACATCGTGAGGTCGAAATCGAGATATCGCTCTTGGAGCCCCAAACGAGAGCCTCAGTGACGAAGGACTCGATCAGAATCTCCGCTCAAGTCTATCAACGCCAGTCACGGTCGAAATTACAAAGACCGCCCTGATCCTGAACGCGTTAACCTTTGATCATTGACTACTATCAACCATAAAAGCTTTGAAAAGCCTGAGATCAAGTAACTTACTTTACTTGGTCTGAATCCCAGCTCCGTTTTCAATGTCGTCGACTCTAGAACCATCTCGATCTCTCCATGGTGACTCCCACCAGCTACTTCGTCTTGATCGCTAAATTTGGCCTGTTACAGCCAGGTTGCAGCGTATGCAAAGAGAATTCTTGGTTGAGGACGCCGATGGCGCTGACGGCTGCTGACGGTTATAACCTTTCTTACGAATAGTCATCGCGGAATGAAGCACAATGAGTGTAAATCAGCGCATTATGTACAGTACGTGTTTAAGTATGACTCCAATGAGTACTTACTCCACTTTAAATTCTATGATAGTACATCAATAATCATACTTCCCATAAAACTGTATTATCGTGACTCTCAGCTGTTGCGCTGATTGCACTTATACCACTATTATCATCCCTATACGACCTATGTGATCGGTGACTATGACTGTCCACATAATGAACAGATCTTTCGCCTCTTTCGTATCTCGAGATGTCGAATTTTTCGGGACTGGGGATTTCGAGGAGGGATTGTTTCTGCAGGGTGGCAAATCCGGGATGTCCAATGATACTGGGAGATGGAACTTCACTGGGAGGACAGCTTGAATATCGAGACGGTCGACTGGACTGCCGACTGGAGCGATATTGACTGCGAATGCTTCTGTTGGGTAAAGGCGATAGAGGGGTGTTTGGATAACAGTCCGTTTCGGTGACTGTGTGTATACTTATCATATGTGGCAGAGGTGCGAGGCTTGCTTCCGAGCGTGCAGGTACTGTGGATTGGATTCGGGAAGATACTCGACTCGTACGAATGATTATCATGTTGAATGTGATCCCCTAAAGAGTTTGAGTGGAATAAAAAGACTTATAGTACAGAGCCTCACGATAATCTGCACGACCTGAAAAGCAATTGTGAACCCTTCAGCACTGGATAATTCAGCAAAACTTCCAACTCACTGAATCAGAAACTCCTAATTCTGCGTTGCTCGAAGTAATGAAGACCGCAAACAGAACGACCAGAGAGAGGGTATAGAGCAAACCAGACTCGATCATTACCTTCATTGCACGAGCAAGTGGATCCGAGTTCCAATCTCGACTGATGCGATGAGAGCTTCTTGATCGTCCACTGTGAATAGTATGACCAAAGTCTAACTTCCGCTCTTGTTGGAATTGTAGGAATGTTTGAGAGTGGGATTGAACGTTCCATAAACGATATACAATAAGGGTAGTTGTGAGGATTGTAGTCGCGAGGGTGATCGAGAGCATGCTTGTGATAAAAGGGGAAATGGTGGAAGAATTTAGGGATCCTCCTGAGGCAGGAGATGCCTCGATAACTGCTACCATGCATCCACAAACTGCCAATACATGAGTTACAGGAATATGTGAAGAGCCAGTATCGCACACCTGTTTCTGCGAGACAAAGAAGAACAGATGGCACGATCATGTACCATGACCGATCCCATACCAGATAGCAGCGATAGATCTCAAATTCAATGTAATACTGCCTTAGTCTGCGGTCATCTTAAACAGATAGCGTCCTCACCAGTATTGAGTCTCCAATGAAGGTCTGAGCAACGTAGTCCACAAACTTCATCACGTTGATCCAGTTTCCCACATTATCGAAGACCTCCTCTGCAGTTTCTGGATCATTCCCATTTCCATTCAAAGTGACAAAAGCTTTGATGTTGTGGCATAGTCCGAACGCAACGTCGAGTGAAGCAAATGTGAACATAAGCAGGGCGGCAATAAGCATGCGGTAATTCACTTTGAAAAAAGGCTTCAAGTGAAAACGATGGGTCGGAGAGTACAGTAATCCGTGTAAACACATTACAAAAGTGGTGAGGAACACCCCTAGATTACGAAGGGCGTCCTGTGAGTTTCGAAACAGGATACAACAGCGGGAGCTCACCATATGTGACCGACTCCATGAAGAGCGCCACAATCTGGGCGGTGTCGATGGAGAAACCGGCATTACTCATCCCTATTGAAGATAACTTCGAAGGAAGCCCTGGTTAAACAGTATGAGAATATTTCCAACTGATAAATACAGCACAAGTTACCAGGGCTAGGAAAACGAGCGAAAAAATCAAGTTCGATACTAGAGGAAAGAGGAAGAAAAGATACGCGTTCCGCAGGCGCAAAAGTATTTCTATACTTCCATTGTAAGATTCCTATTCAAAGTTAGACGGCTAAAACCCTCTAAAACCACAATGCGAAGATACATTAATCAACGCAGATATCCACATTTTTACAATTCTGCAGTTGAGGTTGAAAACAAGTGATGGATAGTCTGCGCTCTGTGCAAAAACCACGCCCATCACAAGTTCTATCATGGCAAACGTCGGTGTCAGCAAGACGAGCATCTTTCGCTCTGGGACCTGAACCTACCCTAACACCAAGTTTTCGATGTACGACTTCTCTGGAACTTTGGATCCTCTGCAAATATTCGAGGGAGACATGTAGTAGCATGAAGTGCCCCTGTGCCAACACAGATACGTAGTGGTATAGGATTGTGGTCCAGTGGCGCATCTGAAGTGTTCATCTCAGCAATGGTGACGGCACAGGTACATTGATACCATAGTAGCCAACCGCAAAAAACGCGATAACGCATTCGGGGGCCTTCAGACTAGTTCAGACTTCAGTCGGACCTCTGACTGACGAAATGACCGAACAATACCCCGCAATCTGATGAGGTCTCAATCAAAGAACCATACGTGCTTCCCCTGTCCCTGGCGGAAGGAAGCATGCTTCCGGCTGCATCCCCAACCCTCCCCAACCTTTCCGGGCCTTTCCCCCTGCTTTCCCCAGTCTTGATGATATCAAAGCTGCAAATATCGCAGTGGCATGATATTCCCTCTATGGCAGTGACATGACTCATTAGAGCACTTTGCGCCCACATCTTCAGCATGCGCTCCTGTCGCAAAAGCAGAAAAAAAACAAGACAGACAATTGATATTGATATCTCTCGAGTTCTACCAAGCTATGTTTCATTTTTCGACTTGTATCTTCCGATGCCCTGCGAAAACAAGTATCTATGTAGTAGCTAGCAAAGCACAGCAAGCGAACTCACTCTCCCCGATGAACATAATCGATACGACTTCCTTAAGTCTCGGCCTTTAGTATACATCGTTTCCTACCTACTTCATTCTCCTATAAAACAACAGATACGCACAGCGTACACCACCATCATCAAAGTCCCCTTGCCCGAAGACATCTTCCGGCCTGACATCCGAGACGAGCTCATCATCAATACGTATCCAGCCTTCACGAGGCTTTGCAGTCGCCGCGCGAGGGAAACGGTCCGGGTGTAAAACATCGAGAGTATAATGTCCACCAGAGGCAGAGATACCGTGATGGTAAATGGCTGCAAATAGGGATGACATTAGATCATTGGGCAGTCAGAAAACAAAGAATGTATACCTCCGAATAACTTGTATTTAACGCCTTGGGAACCCAAATTACTCCGAGCCTTGGCGCTCAGCAGATCCGCGCCAATGACCAACTCGGGCCCAAACGCCACCTGTTTGCCGACTTTGACGACACTGCCCACCGAAGCGTCGTACTCAAATCTCTTCATATGAAGGACAAGCACGGGGGGAAGCGCTTCGATAAGCACCAATTGAGAACCTTCTCTTGGTGGGTCGACTAGGTGAACAGTTTGTGGTTTTGAAATATTGGCAAGGGCTTCTTGGATTGTGTGGATTGAGTCTCGCTACATCAAGGGAGGTTTTCTAAACGTAGAATGGTTAAAAATGTGAAAAGGACTGACCTGGATATCGAGTCGTAGACTCCTCCAGTCTTCCACAATTGCGCTCTCCTTCTGACCAGGGACACGAAGTGACGAGCGGAATTTCCCGCCAAAGATGCGTGTAATGGGTGAATCAGTCGATTTAATCTGTGTCCAGATGAGGGTTTGGTTAAATACGAACAGGATAAAATGCTGACGCTTACCGTTCTAGTGACCACAGTCCTATTACGCTTCCCAACCTCCATCCATCCGTCTTGTTCTGCCTCAGGAGGTGCATCCTCCTCAGTCTCCTCTACCGCAGTAGCTCCCTTCTTCTTGTTTTTGCCCTCGAGAAGAGTACCACTTTCTCCATGCGTCAATGTCTCCGTCAACGTCGTCAACTCCTCCTCCAAGCCCTCAAGGTAAAATCCAAGGAATTCCTCTGCATCTTCCTGTTGCCCACCTCGCATGGAGTCAAATTGTTTCTTGGTCTTCAGAGCATCGTAGATGCCTGTTGGGATGAAAGGACAAAGGTCATCCTCGGGTTGAGGCGTCATCGAGCGTTCCTTGCCTTTGCTGCTTGACGAGCCAGCAATGGAGGCACCGTTACTGGATGAGGTGGACGTCATTCGGGCGTTGACCTTTTTGTTCTCCTCCTCTAGCCTCGCCTTGCGATCCTCTGGCAGAAACTTCGTTAAAAACTCGATCGTAGCATCGACCAACGGGACCTGCACGCCGCTTGTCTGCTTCACATCCTCCATGCCAATACGACCCAGTTCATGAAAGAGGCGGAAGAAGGGAGGTGAATAAGTGAGCAGCTGAAGAACGGAATTGGCGAAACACATATTTCCGGTGTTAATCAGCCCACGAGGGTGGATTTTCGAAGGACTCGTTTTGGCTTTGAAATCGATCTTGGTAGACGCGACTGACATAGCAGCATATGAGATTCCCGATGATGTAGGCCCTGAGTTAGATGCAGGCTTCAGGTCTGAGTTCAGCAGGGCAAGTAGCTCAGCGCGTTTACCGGTTGGAATGGCCTGCCCGCCTCCTTGAGAACTGCCGATAGCGTCCGCAGGTACTGAGAATCCGACAATAGAAGACGTAGGGATCCTTGGTCTGGTTCGCTGAGTAACAGCATCAGAAGGAGATGGGTCAGTAGTGGGTCGAAGAATGGAAGCCCATGATTTTTTTAAAGGGGGCGGTGATTTGGGAGACATCGTCGTCGTCGACACGGCTGCGACATCAGGTGTAAGCGCAAGCTCCGGTGAAGTAGGAGTTTCGGTGTATTCAGAAGAGGTATCTTTGGATGGACCAGCAGGAGCGGAAACCGATATAGATGTGGTACTGCTTGCAGGAGAGCCAGGTAGCGTCGTGCTAGGTGTAGCGGTTGCGGTAGTCGAGGTTTCTTCGGAGGATGCAACAGATGCTGCCGGCAGAAGCACAACAGCAGGCTCTGGCACACTGTCAGTCACCCCCCACTCTACATCTTCTCGGGTTTGCTGCGATTCTATATCAGGTAAGGGTGTGGCCTCCGTTGTAGGAGATGCAGGTGGTGTTCTGATATCCAGTGCGTCTCTCACGATATAATCAGGCGGTCGTATACGTGAGGAAAAGACGAGACCGGGTGCAAGATTAGGATCTGTAGGACGGCGTGACCAAATCGCCCAAGTTGTTGAGAAAATGCTCATAGGAGTCGAATGGGAATCTTGAGAGTTCGACGAAGATGAAGGATTTGTAGGAGAAGATGTAGATGCGGTAAATAATTGAGCAGTTTGCGATGAAGATGATGTGGGAGCAGGGGTTGGAGGATGAGAATGTGATGATGCATCGTTATGGGAAGGTGTTTCTACGTTCAGATTGTAAGGAAGTGAGGTCGAAATTTGCTGAAGAGGCGAATGAACCTCGGGCTGTTGGTGTATTGGATGATGCCATGCCGAGGAGGAATTTGGAATAGGAGGAACTGTGTAAGAATGATGATTCGTGTAGGTAGGATACGGCTGCGGCGGGTGGGGGTAGTTTTGGGGCTGCTTTGCATTAATCATCGGATTCTGCGCATGCATGTAATTCTGAGAGGAAAGTTGCGGATGATAATTTTGGTAAGCATGGCCATTAACACCGTATTGAAATGGGTAGGAACTGGGTCCGGCATGGTTTTCGTAGTTGTAAGAAACTGGCCCCGATTGGTCATAGTACGAAGGCCGTCCATGATTATATGGGTTTTCCATCTTGGCTGACTGGATGGTAGGAAAATGTTCGATCTCAGAAATTTTCGAAGCAATGACTTGGCTTACCAATTTCTTGCTTGAAAAGTCAGTCCGTGTTAACAAGTTGTGAGTGTTTTAGCCAGCAATCAATGTTTTGCTCCAAAGTATTCAATTCGACTTTACTAGAGAAAAAACCATTGCTCAGACGACCAATGTAAATAGGGTATCATGCAACATACCAATCAAACCTGCCACACTTTCAACCTTTATCGGTAAAGTTATAGAGTTAATCTGCGGTGAGAACGCTTTCGATGGCTCAAGATTTTTTCAGCCAGAAAGGAATCGCGATGTTTAAGTAGCTGTCGCTGTTGTAGAAAAACAATGTACACGCAGGCGCCTGCACTGTATTTGCACATGTTGTTTTTCGAAGAGACGGCCCAACGACGGCCCGCATTTTCTAACCTTCCGCCATCGTCAGCGTTGAAATTAGGCCGTAGTTAGAATTACTTTCCCTCATACCGCATACTTCCAACAACCGTTTAGAAATTGTGGCCAGTACATCGTCGGACACGTCTCGCTCTCCCCACCGGTATCCTGTTGCTCTTGCACACGGAACACAAACTTTCAATGCTCCGATTGAAAAACAAACCGCTCGTATCGCGGATTCAAATCAAAACCGGATCGCAGAGCTAGAGACCAGTTTGTCTCTCTGTTCCCAAAGGTCGTGTCTTCGATGCTCGGCTTTGACTTCGCTAGGGACTTTCCAGCACTAACGAATTTTAACCCCTTTCTTAATACATCAAGGATAGATGGCTTCCATCGCTCCTGCTCAGAAATTTGTTACTGGCGAAAGCAAATTAGAAAGCTAGAAAGTCAGTTAAAAGAAAAGGACCCACAGATAGAGGCTTTACGGAAACACCTTATCGGACTAGAGTTTGGGGTAAAGTTATTCGTCGCGCAACAGAGTTCACCTTCTTGACAAATAATTTATTCATTCTCTTGAAGTCGTCCCGCACTGCGAAGCTCAAAACTAAACGAGATAGGTTTCTCTCCATTCAAGATTTCAGTAGTCCCCATACACTCGGATCATGTCCGCCGAAACGAACTGTTTGGTTTCGATCCTTGCCTCCAGGACCGAGGTTATCGAGGCAAACTGTCAGAGTGACAAAACATGCAATGTCGTCCTTCGCAGTTCTGTACAGGCTCATGCACTTCTATCGTGTTCCTCAACCTGATCATCTCTCTACCTCCAGCCTCGAAAACGGACCCCCGGTCACATCTGTGGCTAATTCCCCTCTTCATAAGCGGAATTTCATTGCGCCGCTCTTCCTCCGCGTACGATTCGCTCCTCTGGACAAAGTTCTCAAGCCGCACTGTCAGACAAGATTCTGTTAAGGTACCGCAATACCATTATACACATGTACTAATCTCGGAAAGTATTCGCTCTACCGGTACTTAACGTAGAGTTGCTTTACACGAATGCTACGAACACCCTCGCCACCTTGCCTCTGTATCAGAATGTCCTGCAGAGCATTCTCTCACGATAAGAACCCCGGAGATCCGTTTGTTTCTTACGACATTTCCAGACAAGTACCGCTGGAAAGTCTGCGCTCTCTCAAATATGAGACGTTTTTCATAGAGGGACCAGATTATGTGCAACTCTCCCGGAAAATTGCCCTAGACCTAGGCTTCTTACTCACTGCCGAGAATTGCAAGGTAGTTTGGGACTTTACCGGTACTGGAAATCATACCATCTTCGATGATAGAAGTAAAGTTTTGCCAAGCAAGTGCGTCCTTCTATCTTTATGTGCTACTTTCACTCAGGGGCGACTAAAATAGACCGAGAAAATATATGGCTTCTCTCGACTTTCTCATAGTCGTCGTTTCTGGGACACATTGCGTTGACATTGAAGGTCTGTTCATAGTTTGAATCCGTTAGTTTCTGTCTCATCAACGATTGTCTCTTTAGATCCAATCTCGGGATCCTGGATACGTATTGAGAGGGCTCCGGGGACGGTTCAGCTAGTACCTGCTGGTTCATTAGGATATTTCGTTCCCTGTGTTCATAAATCAATTGTGTTCGTGAAGGTAGGCAGAGTCGAGGTGAAATTCGCTGTACCAGTGCCCAGACAGCTAATTGGTTGTATGTATGCAGGGGGCACATTCTGAGTATCAATTAATCGACGAAGATAGCATAGAGCCTGTCCTGCATGGTGATTATCTGAGACGGATCAGTGGTTTGTAGATAAGCTTCGGGAGTAATATTGACTCACGAAGCGCGCGACGCCGCCTCGCATCGACTCGTATAAGCGTCGACAGCAAGATGTCACCGCTCAAATTGTACATGTTTGCATCTTGCCCTTTCCCTGATGGAATCCTGTGGGTTTTCTTTCCTTTCGTGCAGCTGCTAGGCGCACTCGCGATGCCTCGTGCTATAACGGCCTGGATTTCACAAAAAGTTTACCCCCCCTTCCAGCAAGGTTTGCTTTGCTCAAATTTTCAACACCTTCATCTTCAACCATTTGAACTCTCCTAGTACTGATCCTACCACTACCCCCGACCATGCTTATAGATTAATACTGATGACAATACACGCTGCCAGTGGTTTGTACTTCAGTTTCAGTCGTTGCCACTTCAGTGGCATATGCAGTGTATACATTTCCTCAAGCCACATATTCTAATCCTGAGATTCAACACTAGCGCAACCATTGGGGATTTGGAGACCAAGGTATTTTTGGTCGCAAGATGGAGCCATGTTCGAAAAGTCCAGCCGCTTGTGGGTTGCATACGAATACGAACTAAAAGCTTCAAATATATCGTCCAACGACGATACAACACTAGATGCAGATGCAGCATTCGCACTGATGAAGCCTTCGCCAGCCCCAAATCCGATCCACTTGACGAAATTAGTATAATAATCCTCAAAGTTCAAAATCACCAAGGGTGCTTGGATTATTCCTACAGCGATACCGATGGCGATTAGTGGAAGATATTGTCGGTGGATCCTATTGAATTTACCAAGTCTATTCCACAAACGGAATGCGGAAAACTCTTCCAGAGTGCCTCATCCTCCAGGTAAAAAAAGATACCCGTCCGAGCGCACTGCCATGCGGACTTTCTGGGTATAGAGATCAGGAACAACTTGAAGTTCGTTGTAGCCCCATTCTGGGAGTTTGCCATCTGAATATATGAGGAATGGTGTAAGTAGGTTTGATCCCGATCACCCTAGCCCAGCCAGGATGCCCTGCCATACACTAGATGGATAGATAGAGAAATATGTAGTAGGCGCTAGCAGACAATACCTTCGACCTCATATAACACTCCGATCACCGTGACCAACAGCACCTGATCACCGACTTCCTTCTTTTTTACGACCAAGGTAGAGTACACTGCTACTTGATCTGAGTCACTTGAGTCTTGGATAGACTTCAAATACAGGTCCTCTGCTACCTCCAAGGGCTCTTAGCCACTGGTCCTTCAAGCTGCCTCTGATTCAAGTTGAATCAGTGGAAATTTGTCGCGGCCGCGGAACCGACATACCACCTTCGAACAAGATTTTTAGCTCTTTGACACAGCTAAGGGGGAGACGGGGGTCATACTGGATCATGAGGGAAATTGGATAGATGGATGGCAGTGATGCCGGGAGCATCTTTCGCAGATCACAGCAGTCGCAGTCAAATTTCAATGTCTCCGCTCCCTCGAGGATCTGCAGTGCTTACAAAATTTTAAACCGCTCAACTCAAGGCACGAAGACTTTGACTCTGCCTACTTTTACCAGGCGATGAGTACAGCATGATACTGCGCTTACACAGTCCTGTGCAGAAGCTTATCGTCCGCCATGCGAGAAATCGACGTTTCCCAGCGTTTCCCCCTGTCGTTTCCCTAGGCTATGCATAAAAAAGTATGGGACGCTGGACTACATACACTACTTTTAAGCACTTCTTTTTTTCGTTACCCGTGCATCCCACTCAAGCTCGTTTCCCGTCTGTTTGCTTTTTTGTCATTATAAAAGCCGCAGTTTATCGTTCTTATTCCAGATTAATTGCAGAAAATGTTTGAATCAATTGGGGGGAATTGAGAAGTTGATTAAACTCTTGGAATAGCTTGGTACGTTGCATGAGAGACGAGGTTCCAGTGCCGCCTGGGCAGAGTTCCACTCTGAAATTGACTCTATTCTCGAGGACATAAATTCATGATGTTCATACTCTCCAAATTATGGACCCTTAGCCCTTTCAGACTTTCAGTTTTGTCAACTTCCACTGCAACATAGAGTAGGGATAATGAAATCACATTCAAAGTTTAACTGGGTAGAACACGCAATGCTGGTAATAGGAATTTCCCATATGAGTACAATCAGCGCAGAAATCAAATCGTCTAAGGTGCTGTGCTGGTAACGAAAAATGACAATCATAAAATGTAAAATGGAAGGACTTGTTCAAATAGAAAAAACAAATGGAAACTTGGAAACTTGAATGTTATGGAATAAATTTCAAGCTGTCAGTGATGAGCTTACACTCCTAAACCAAAGAAATTCGAATTAGCTAATTGAAGCTGAATTGCAGAAGCAGAAACTACACACTGTCACTGAGAAATATCATCTTCCTCAACGTGATTCTTGGAAATTTGATTCAAATAATTTTGAATCTGATCCAAGTAATATTTTGAAGTTTCGGAGCCAAGGCGCATGACACCAGACCAGTCCGCACGGTCTTCGAGTGCAACTTGATAGCCAGACTCAGACTCCATAAATTCATTCCGGAATGACCAACTAAAATTCCATTCCTCGTCACAGGCTGATCTTCGCCGAGAATACTCATTGATGGTGCGATCAGGAATGGCTCCAGGCTCATGTTGTTTCTCCTGGATTTTGTCAATGAATTTCTGAAGCTGGTCTTCATTGTGCTGTCGGATCATGTTTCGCTCGGCCCTTCGTTTCTGCCTAGCATCTCGTTCTGCATCATGACGATCCTTTATCTGTGCCGGTGTCTCGCCAGCATGAGCCATGAAGTTTTTCATATCTTGTATCAGATTTGGATCCATTAATCTGGCAGCGTCTTCCTCGATGGGGTTGTTTCTTTCTTCCCCTTCTAACTGGGCATTTACATGTGATACATACTTTTTTCCATCGAAGGTCTTTCCACCAAATATTGATCGTGGAACAAACCGAAATGACCACCATTCGCCGACTGCTGCAATTAAGACAACATGCATCTGACGGTGATAATTCGGGATTGAGAACAGGCAGTGAGCCTAAGTAAATCATTCAAAAAAAAAATCTGTGCTTGTTGAACATTCAAAAACCTTACCTGTCCTTCAGCCTGGCTCTGCGCACTTTTCATCATAGTTCCAAGCCCAGACATAAACTCATCAATATTTCTACAATTACGGCTCACAGGTCTCTTCAACTCCACTAGAAGCAGAATAAAGATCGAGGTGATTTTGATGGCTCGAAATGGGAGGAAAGTCGACTGGATTTCTGCTAGTAGTGGCCTCAGAGGTCCTTTCTGGACCAAGACTGCACGATGGAGTATGATACAAAAGTCTGGAATGACCTCAACATCCCCTCCTGGTGTTGTTTGGTTTGGGTCGAGGTCAGTGAAGTCGATTGCGGAAAAGTACAGGCGATACTGAGGAACAGGTTGGAGGCGACCGAGATTGGAGCCACACAGCTGAATGAGGATCAGTGACCAAACCGGATGAGTACTGTCCTCCGTTCTTCGCCGGTTGAACTTCACTGATAGCAGGAAGGACACGGCAAAGACGATACCAGTCAAGAGGAGGATGTCATTCATGATGATGTTGCTGATGATAGTTTACAGGAAGGGGAAATTCTGGTAGTAAAAGTGTTAGGTTCAGCAAAAATTGTGGGGCAATATATACCTGATAGAAACAACACTCGGTATCATTTCAACATTAATATCAGTGGCAACATAAGTTACTACTGAAATGCTTGTCTCGAACAAGAACTTACCACAAATCTTGGGTCATATTGAAAGCTGAGCCACAAAAGCAAATTCAAATCACAAACGGCTGGTACATATTCATGCCTTGATGAAATAATAATACTGTTAAATTGTTGACTCGGATGTGGCTTGTTTTATTTGTGGCACAAATATTGTTTATTTGATTTTGTTGCAATTACTTGTAAGCCCTTGTCTGGCCCTTGTTATGGTAGGTTATGGTCCTTCAGCGCTCAGTGCTCAACCTTCAAGTCATGATCAAAGTGTTCTTCGATGAGTATATGATGACTTCCCTACGTGGGAACTTGACGATGACCTTGCATACTTAAGCTCGGAGTTAATAACTATAGTGCATCTAGATCTCCTTTGAACCATCATGTCAAACGAGTTCGTACTTCCAGAGCTCCTTATGATTAGTGCTGTCCATCTCTGACATTTTTACCAGATTTTCCGCCGTTTTACCAGTGTCCCGAGATATCGATGATTTCCCTCCCATTGCATATTGCATTCATCAAGGTTACCGCGTGCCAGATTACTTCCTTGGTTGGGTTGTCACTGTCAAAGAAGCCATACAGCTCTTGGAACCAGCCCCAGAGGGTCGTGAAGCAATCGGCTACTACCGCTATGAGCTACTTCCATCAAGGTGGGGAACAACCAAGGCAAAGTCGTATGTTGATTTGATCAGAACCTATGGTATTATTTCTCTTTACACTTGGCTTTACAGGGATCTGAAGCCACCAGACTTGATACTCTGGATCTATGAGACTGGCCGCGAGTCACAACATAAGAATGAAGCACATTTACTTCTCTATGTTGCTCAGAATAGCAATGAAGATCTGAAAATGGTCAAAGAACATAAGGAAGAACTCATTACGAGGTCCATAGAAGCTTTCGGGCTCACATCCGAAATGCAGGAGAAGGTCAAGTGGTATCGGTTGAAATGACGGTACAACTTTTGAGTACTCTATGTTACTGGTACCAAATCGTATTTTGTTGATTTCGACGCGGCCTCGCCTACTTCACCTTTTGAAACTAAGCTCTCACCTAATCGTGTCAAGCAAATTTGAACTGCCAAACCTTTGCATGCCTATTTGTACCAACGCTCAACTTGAACAGGACCTTGACAATCCACTGTGTGCGAGATTATATCCTTGGTTGATTTGTTCCTATCAGAGAAGCTATATGACTTGTGAATTCAGCCCCAGAGGGTCACGAATCTATCTCCTACTACACCTATGGGCTACTTGTGGTGACTGGCAAGGTGAATGGAGACTTGGATAAATCCGGGTGTTTGGACAAATTACCTCTTCAAGCATCTATTATTTTTCTCTTTTACACACCTGACTCGACTTGACCTCACCTCTACCATGCAACAGGATCTTGCCGCCACCAGAAATAATGAAGTGGAGACATAAAATCGGGCGGGACCCACATCACCTGGATGAAATACATGTTATCATCTTCATTGCTGACAATAGGCACCGTGAAGAGAGTTATAGAATGGAGCTCATTAGCAAGTCTAGGAAACCTATTAGATTCGCACCAGCAATGCGGGAAAAGGCTAACTGGTATCGTCCGGGCAGGGATACTCCAGCCACGAAATGTGAGAATGCACTGAGAATGACAGAGGTGTCTTGTTGTGCAGTTGGTGGAGGATGGGCGAAGCACAGGAGAAGTAAATGCTGAAATAATGAGATGAAGGATATGTAGATACACACTATCTGGGGCACCAGGACGATGATGCTAACCGTGTCCACTGAATAACAAAGCAAACACATGCACAAGGTCACGGAAGATAAAGGAAGAGTACGAGGAAGAGTGCAAACAATTTGAACGTGAATGCACGCATTGAATAGGATTAATTCGGTAAACATTCCGCACTCCACAAGGGAAGTCAGAATATTGGAAGTAGAAGACCGGGGTATAGAGCTCAAATGCTCGAGCATTCACAGAAAGCAGACGATGCTGATGACAAGACTATATCCGACGAATCTAGTGGTGGAGCACACATTCTTGGCGTGCACGAACATCGAGACAAGTAATCAGTGTGAGTTCAAAAGGTTCAACCATACTCTGAGATTTAAATCTCAGAGTTGATTCGCAAACTAAGGCGTAGTACTTACAATTATTTCGTCTCTCCGATGGTCAAGAAGGCCTTACACCAAAAACGCTAGATCAACACCCCCCCAATTGCAGTTGTACAGCCTTTGTGAATTGTCTACTGTAACGCATAAGACACAACACAGATACCAACCAATATAGCATTGAACGGGGAGGATAGGGACAGGCATCTAGGAGTAGAACCTGGAAGAGATGTCGAACTCACCAAGGCGCCAATTGTTTTTATCGAAAATGATAGCTATATCCTCTGACAGTTTCGCAAAGTTTCCCTTTGTACCGACTTTTGCACTGCAAAGTACGCAGATACTCAGAGAGTAGTTCTAAGTAGTAGAGCAAAAGCAATGAGTAAGTCAACCATAAGCGAGAGCAAATCCAATACAACCATGGTAAAACCAAACCGTGCCAGTGACGATGTGATTTTTTCGAAAAAGTAGACGAGAAGTGAAAGGTTAGAATATTTTCCTATCGACATTCTATAGTCATTCCAAGATAGATGAGAGCACTAAACTCGTGAAATAAGTAAGCTCGGGAGATCCGATTCCGAAAAGCAGTTTACCAGAAAACATATAAAATTGTTTACTCTAAGCAGCAAGGCCCATGGCAATCCCTTTTACCGCTGGAGGCTTTCGGATATCCCTAAGTTAAGAGCTATAAAGAATACGAAAAGCGGGCAAAATTGAGTAATTTCATGTCAATTCCCTGGGTGAATTCGTACCATATATGTATACCCTTCACAAAGGAAAATCAAAGTGACACTTCAAAATAATCGGCCTCTAGAGGAGTTGTCAGGAATGGAGCACAAAGTCACAGCACATATGGAAGTTGAATGCACACGACCAAGTTCACCTTTAAATATACTATTATGTAGCATTCAGTCAGAAAACGAGAACAGTCTTACCGACTATGAATACCCGGAGCCAACAATTTGAACCGCCAGCTTTGTTAGGTACAATACACTTATTCAAATCTAGAGATTGTCGAGGTCTGAGCTTAGTCGTTCATGTGAACCACCAGAGGATTCCCATTCATTTGTAGAGGGGTTTGGATGGAGCTTTAATAGAGCAGTATACCCACTACTCATTCCAATTTCCTCCGACCTCGGAATCGGTCATGGTATAGCGTAGGATTCGAAGAGATTCGAAGTCGCCAATTGGCATGATGATGGAGGAAGCAACGCAATCGCGTGATCGTGTACGTTCGGCCGGCCCTGTTCTTTTGGCAGTCTTCTGCTGGTTCTCCTGTGGTTCTCTCTGGATGGACGGTTTCTTCTCAGCCTCTAGATTTGACCTCGCTAGATTGACTCATGGGTAAAGGAATAGAGGAAGAACCTACATACCAAACTCACAATGAACAGAGGTTGGACAATGTAGAAGTTGAGGTTGCGTGAATTCGGGTATGTCCTATTCTCATTCAGTTTTTTCTCTAGAACTCATTCTGGTGTGCTAGGTTTTGTTGTCATATTACCTTGCATATTCCGCCTACAGCAGTGGCATGTTCATGTTGATTTTATTATTAATTTTTTTTATTGATAATGCTCAAGCATTTCACAATGCTCCTCCTGGCGCCGGCCCCGCCTCGTTATCAACAGCCTATTAGTGATCAGTAATCGCAGCGTTAGTCAGCGAAGTCATACAGCTCCTCCTCCTTCCTTTCATCAGTTGCCCTCAGACATGTCCAGACACGTTGAAATACAAGTAGAAATCAACTTTTGCAATGCTCAACACGAATTCTTCCTACGAAATGGAATATATCACGCTCTGAAAACGCCGTTTCCTCCCAGCCATAGTATTGATATAGATCTTGAACAACGAAATTTACGATTTGGTTGGAGCACACAGGCAGACAATGTGCGTTGAATCCTCCACAACCCATTTTCACCACAATTCCAAGTTACTGTTCGAGTAGGGCATATACAAGACTGTTCTCCAAAGATTCGGCCTATTCTCCTCGCGCAAAAACGGACGCGTCACGGTTCCGCAAATGGAAGATCTTGGAATGTAGTTATATCTCTCTGTATGAATTCTGTGTCGCTAATCTCCGTTGTAGAAGCTCCATGAGCTTATACCGTCGAAAAGTTGGAACTATTCCGCGGTACGTGCCGTTCAATGTGATAAATGCATGACTTACTTGGGTTTTTCTCCGCAGAACGAGGATAGGCCGCCTCATATGTCCAGCTCCAGCTCCAATTCCTCCTTCTCCGCCTTTGGCTTCGTATAGCCCAGTGACTCTACCTCTAATGGTCTCTCCACCCCCATCTCCTTATCAAGGCTTTGGCATCCACAGCCAACCCACTTCCTCCGGGGTTGTGCAATCCAACCATAATCTTCCCGGCTTCTCAAACGGAATCAACCACTCGCCTGCTCATCGACCCAACGCACTTAATACGGTTCAACCTGGTTCTTCGTGTCAGGTTCAACAGTCAAACATCTCTCCTTCTACTTCCAACTCACAGCCTCGTTCGTCTCATAATCCTCACACCAATCAGTCTCCCAGTGACACGCCTTCCTCGGAGGCTCCTCGCGTCCTATGGGCAGATTTAGGCTCGGGAGGTGTGCTCGTTACTACTACTCCTGTTGCGAAAGAATCTATATCATCCCTTTCGACTTCTATCAAAACAGGGCGTAATAACCTTGCTAGTTCATCCTCTCTACCCTCTTCCCATCGTTCTATACCCCCTCCAACCACTATCCCAGCGAAAGTGCAAACGGGGAAGAACATATCCCCAGTGTCTGCAACGCGTCATTCCCTACCACCAATTCCCTCACCTCCCACAATGTGGTCAGTTCCGATTCCTCGCACGATGGGCAGCAATATATCCAGCTCAAAATCCTTTAATCTTCCTCCACGTCCAAACGTTCCCGTGCCGTCGAAGCCGGCTTCAAGCACTACGGCAACGAGGGTGAACCTCTCTTCTCCGGCTTCTTCATCATCGACGTACTCGGTGAAATATGGAATGCAGCATCTGGTGTTAGATTCGAATGGGAACGCGATCAAACCTTCGAGTTCACTTACACGAAGCAAGGCTGAAATCCCAATCAAATCATCTACTCCCTCGATATCCAGACTTCCGACGTCTGGAACAGTGCCTTACTCGCTGGCGCCTTCTCTTCCTCCCGCGAGTTCTTCAAATATCGCGAAACCTAGAACGGGACCTCCCGCTTTGGGGTCCAAATCTTCTCCTTTATCATCTCCTGTGTTGAGCTTGGGGCTTCCTTTATCTACAACAAACCCACAGACCACGACGAACGGTAACCCGCTTGCTCAGGGAGCTCATTCAGCTCTGCGTAGTCCTCATAAACTCAAAAAATCCGAACCATCTGAGGTCATACCCCGAACCTCGGTGACCATCATTCCATCCGCGATTTCACTACCTCGACCTAGCTCAACTTCGGTCCTACCATTGGAACCTAGATCATCTACACATACATTTGGACCCCCTCGTGTAGAGAGAGTAGTACCTACCTCTGCAAAGGTGGATACATCGAAAAATAGAAACGATAACCCTCCAAACGGCGTCAAAAGTCTGCCTCAGGTGCCAACTGGCCAACAACTATTCAGTCCAAACAGCCTTCTGATGCCGCAGGGAATCAACATATCTATAGCTCGGACTCTTCCAATCATTCCTCCGACTTCGAGTTCCATCTCGAATGGGTCTCAGGCGCCTCCAGACAAGGCAATGTCTTCGTCTGCTTCTGTATCAGGTGTACTTCCACCTATAATAACACCTGCGCTAATACCCCACGCGCACGCGTGTTGTACAACTTCGACAGACGCCTTGGTACATGCCGAAAAACTCGGCTCAACACCGCATGTAAACCGAGATTCCGTTCTGAACGGTTCTTCGAAATCTCGATGTGCAACGACTGTAATGTCTGTTTCTCCCAACCCTCATTCCTCCGTTGCTACTTCTTTGAGTACACCAGCCATCTCTTCGACGCCAGCGCCATCATCTGCTGTGAAAATAATCACGAACGACGTTCAGATGGAACCAGCAATAGAAATCATAGACAAGGCTATGGTAGCTGCCCCGCCTACTTCTGTTACTGTGATCGGTGACGAGATAGACGAAGGAATAAGCGATGGGATCGCAGCTGCTGTTCATGAGGTTTCGCCCATGGCTGTTGAGGTATGCATCAAAATCCTTTGTTCATTGCTCATGCTGACGGTCTTCACTCGATAGGGTCCATCTGATCTTCATCGAACAGGACTGAAGCGCCCTTGTTCTGGCACACCGACTCCTTCGGCACTTAATGTTGAAGAAATAGATCTTCCTCCTTCCAAACGTACGAAACTCTGTGTGGGTTCACCCATGACAAGTAACATAGAAGAAAAGTTCCGTGAATTGGTCACCGCGTTGGAGCAGGAACGAAAGCTTCGTGCTCAAATCGAACACCGTCTTGAAACAGACAAACATAATTCCACCGGGGTCGAAGTGGCTTTCCGCAACGAAATAACGTTATTAAAAGCAGGCAACGAGACATCCCAAACACAGATTTCCTCTTTGGAAACAGAGAATGGGTTCTTGCAAAATAGAGTGGAGACTTTAGAACGAATGGTTACGACCTCTCGTCAATTAGCTGCGCTTGAAAGGGCGGATGGGATAATGGCAACCAAGGACGTACAAGCGATTCGAGAAGAGTTGGAGCTCAAACGAGTGAAAGTAGAGGTCCTCGAATCGGAGCTCCAGTCAACGTCAAATGAACTCGAGCTTGCCAAATCGCACTTGAACGAGAAAGACCGTGAGATCGCACAGCTCCATGCAGACCTCATTCGGGAGCAGGCTCTTCGACGAGAAATGGAGGGAGTCGTGGAGGATATGCGGAGGGAGTGCAAAGAACCGTTTCTGGTTCCTGCTTTGGTTGATGCTTTCATGGAGGTCTCCAAATTGACGACTAGGTCAACAAAGCCTTATACACAGTAATATCTAGCATTGGGTGTCGAATTAATTTGAGTTGCGCCATGGCCTTCATGATTTATCCAGCCACCTGATATCGAGTTGGATTCGCACGAGCTGTTTGGTTTCCGCTCAAGCTCCCTGCACGTTCCTGAAGTATACCCACCAGTTTCTGTTTCATATCCATTCATCATGTATGTTCGCACATACTATCACAACAACCTGCCTGGAGTTACCTCTCTTCCTCATGATTCGCTTCCTCCTGCCGCTCCAGAGAGGCTTGAAACCCTCGGATGGAACCTCTGGATGTTGAGTGGCGACGACATTGAAAAGCAGGCAGCAGAAATCGCTGAACGAGTTGGGTACACGAGACCCACAGATAAAATCAACGTATTGGCATCGGAAACAATTGAAAGCGCTGGGACAGTGAGCAAGCGTAATCCAAATATCTTCATAGCTAATTCCAACCCGTTTATTTGAAGGTTGAAGAAAAAGTAAAAATGACTGCCAAGCTACAAGCTTCAAAGGAACAGTAAGCTTGCTCGCCTGCGAATATCTTCGTCGTGATTGAGCCTCATCTGGCCCTAGCTACACTGCTACAACTAGCTCGGTCGTTCTGATTGTGGACGGAAAAGGCCATTATGATATTGAAGGCGAGTGCGCTAAAAGATCAGTTTCAGTTTATATTTTGAACCTGTCCTTGCGGCTTCAGACTCCATTGAGAATATGTGGATCCGTGTCATTCTAACCCCAGGAGTGCTAATGCATATTCCTGGAGGAGCACACACGGATTACTTTCGAAAATCCTGAGGGGTATTTGGATGTTCTGATGTGGTTCAATGTGTGTATCTACGTTCATAAAAGCACAAATCCGAGCTGTTAACGATGTTTTTGACCGTGTTCCGCTGATTCAGAAGGACGTTAAACACTCAGACATCGACTGGGTCAAGGGGCAAGACACGCACAACCACTTCGTTCGACTAGATTATCTGAACAGGCTCGGCGTAAAACACTAACGGGTTACTTGTAATTGGCGCTGTGGTAACGGTCAGATACTTAGTTTACATTGTCCTTACTGGTTCCTACACAGATGAAACTTCTAACACAAGCTGTTCTCCCTGACCACTGATATTTACTGATTTTGATGAACTACGGTTCTAAGAAGATCCAATAAACGTTCCGACTTCGAGAGCAAAACATTCAACTTCAAGAACGTAATAAAGGAATTGCGCTATTGATTATTTGTGATTCTGGAACGGCTCAAATGTCTTGCAACGCGCAAAGTATTGACACAATCTTCCCTCCTTGAAATTGCGTGCAATCCCTACAATTGTCCATCGAACCTAGGTAATTATGTGCGTAGATAAGTACTGTGAATTATTTATGTATATGTCCGATTTAAGCAACGATACGTGCAATTAATGTCCAATTCGGTTACTCGTTCTTCTGTTCTGTGTGTATACCAATCTCTACTTGAGTTGAATCTGCAATGGACTCTTGAACCATCTCCGGAGAAAACTCCACACCAGAACTTTCATAAACTTGCAAGAGACCGAGCATCCTTCCTTCTCCCTTCCTTCTCGCATTACTCGCAAACCACCCAAACATTACATGCCTCATCACTCGCATCTGTCACCGAATCTGAATCACACAATTCCGCACCCGAGTACTGGATATGACACAACGCCATAGTGACTCCTTCGTGGTTCAGCCCGCCGACGAAGAACCCGTCGTTTTGGGCATTGGCGTCTATCTCCGACGGGGTGGGGACACAGTTGAATTCGTATATGCCTGGGAGGGAGAGGGATTGTTAGATCGAGGAATTCAAAGAAAGCCGGAGATCCAAAGGGAGCGATAACGAACGACCGAGTGGGTTCAAATGGTAAATAGTACTACCAACCTGGATTCGAATTCCCTATAATCTTGAACTCTGTCCATGTCCCACACACCACGCCAGGAAGGGAATTTTGATCTGCGCCAATGAGCGACGCGACTTCCCGGGGGTTGCCCTCGAAGAGATGGGTGTACTGGGAGAAGTCATTGTTCAAGATTGGGTTAAAAAAAGAAGTAAATGGATCTGACATACCTGACGCAAATTCCACCCGACGAACCCTGTAGATTGAAACCCAGCAACCCAGGCGGCAGCGTTCACGAGGGTAATGCCATTGGTTGCTAGTAATATAAAGCCGAGGAGGAAAGACTTGGGAACGTTCATTATCATCATTATGTTGATCCTGGCCTGAAGAACTTGAATGAGGGTGGATAGAACGATTGGGAAGATAAACTCGGAGGATAGAGAAGACTCAGGAAATGACGGTGAATCCAAATGGCTAGAGAGGAAGAGCCGAATGAACGAAGGAGGAAAGACGACAATGAATTTTTAAGTTTATATCGGGATTAAAGTACCAGTCAGGTACCAGTGCGGTGAGGCTGTGTCGACTCAAACAAAAGAAGAAAGACTTCAGAATTTCGTATGTACAGCCCTCGATATCCCTTCGCATCGAAAGAATATGAGGTGAAATTCATGCTCGACCTCAGGCTATTTATAGTAATGATTCACGAAAGCAGGGCCACGAAAGTAAGATGAAAGTACATACAAGGTGGGTTGAAAGTGAAATTAGCCTGAAATCTCCAAGAACGATAAACTGCGGCTTTTACAATGAGAGAAACCAACAGACGGGAAACGAGCTTGAGTATGCACGGGTAACGAGAAAAGGAAGTGCCTCAAAGTAGCGTACGTAGTCCGACGTCGTGCACTTTTTTATGCATAGCCCAGGGGAAACGACAGGGGGAAACGAGGGGAAACGTCGATTTCTCGCATGGCGGATAATAAGCTTCTGCACGGGACTGTGTAAGCGCAGTATCAGGCTGTACTCATCGCCTGGTAAAAGCAGGCAGAGTCAAAGTTTTTCCTCGTGCCTTGTTGAGCGGTTTAAATTTTTGTAAGCACTGCAGATCCTCGAGGGAGCGGAGACATTGACTGCTGTGATTCGCAAACGATGCTCCGGGCATCACTGCCATCCATCTATCCAATTTCCCTCATGACTTGGTATGACCCCCGTCTCTCCCTTGGCTGTGTCGAAAGAGCTCGAGATCTTGTTTGCAGGTGAGGTATGTCGGTTCCGCGGCCGCCACAAATTTCCACTAATTCAATTGAAGCTAGTTTGAAGGTGGTTAGTCGGAGCGGACTAGGAATTTCATCCTACGACCAGCGCCCGAGAACCCTCAGAGGTAGCAATGGACCTGAATTTGAAGGGATGAGCTCGTATGTAGAAAAGAAGGAAGTCGGTGATCGTGGCTGGAGTGTTACATAAGGTCGAATGTATTGTCTCTCTACATAATTCAAAGCGTTCCCATCCGCATGTCCCTATCCTCCCCGTTCAATGCTATATTGGTTGGTATCTATGTTGTGTCTTATGCATTACAGTAGACAATTCACAAAGGCTGTGCAACTACAATTGTGGGGTGTTGATTGACTAGCGTTACTAATGGTCCAAGCCCTTCTTTGATCATCGGAGAGAGAGACGAAAGAATTGCAAGTAGCACGCCTTAGTTTGCGAATCAACTCAATTTGATCGTTCTTTGGTCCTAGGCCTCATCCACATCAACCATGACCCCACTGAAATTTCAGAGTATGGTTGAACCTCTTGAACTCACGCTAATTGCTTGTCTCGATGTTCGTGCACTCCAAGAATGTGTCCTCCACCACTAGATTCGACGGATATAGTCTTATCATCAGCGTGGTCTGCTTCCTGTGAATGCTCGAGCGTTTGAGCTCTATATCCTGGTCTTCCACTTCCAATATTCTGACACCCCTTGCGGAGTGCGGAATGTTCACCGGATTAGTCCTACTCAACGCGTACATTCACGTTGTTGACACTCTTCTTCGCACTCTTCCTTTATCTTCCGTGACCGTGCACATGCGTTTGCTTCGCGATTCAATGTACACGGTTAGCATCATCTTCCTAGTGGCTCAGCTAGTGTGTATCTACACATTCTTCATCTCATTATTTCAGTGTTTACTTCTTCTGTGCTTTGCCTATCCTCCACCAACTGCACAACAAGATACCTCTGTCATTCTCAGTGCATTCTCACATCTCGTGGCTGGAGTATCCCTGCCCGGACGATACCAGTTAGCCTTTTCCCGCATTGCTGGTGCGAATCTAATAAGTTGCCTAGACTTGCTAATGAGCTCCAGTCTATAAATCTCTTCATGGTGCCTGTTATCAGCAATAAAGATGATAACATGTATGTCATCCAGGTGATGTGGGTCCCGCCCGGTTTTATGTCTCCACATCATTATTTCTGGTGGCGGCAAGATCCTGTTGCATGGTAGAGGTGAGGTCAAGTCGAGTCAGGTGTGTAAAAGAGAAAAATGATAGATGCTTGAAGAGGTAATTTGTCCAAACACCCAGATTTAATCAAGTCTCCATCCACTTTGCCAGTCACCACAAGTAGCCCATAGGTGTAGTAAAAGATAGATTCGTGACCCTTTGGGGCTGAATTCACAAGCCATATCGCTTCTCCGATAGGAACAAATCAACCAAGGATATAATCTCGCACACAGTGGATTGTCAAGGTCCTGTTCAAGTTGAGAGTTGGTAGAAATGGGCATGCAAAGGTGGTACCTGCTTTGGGGGTTCGAATTTACTTGACACGATTATGTGAGAGCTTAGTTTCAGAAGGGTGAAACAGACGAGGCCGCTTCGAAATCAACAAAATACAGTTCAGTACCAATAACGTAGAGTACTCAAAAGTTGTACCGTCATTTCAACCGATACCAATTGACCTTCTCCTGCCTTTCAGATGTGAATCCGAAAGCTTCTATGGACCTCGTAATTAGTTCTTCCTTGTGTTCTTTGACCATTTTAAGATCTTCATTGCTATTCTGAGCAACATAGAGGAGTAAATGTGCTTCATTCTTATGTTGTGACTCGCGGCCAGTCTCATAGATCCAGAGTATCAAGTCTGGTGGCTTCAGATCCCTGTAAAGTCAAGTGTAAAGAGAAATAATACCATAGGTTCTCGTCAAATCAACATACGACTTTGCCTTGGTTTTTCTCCACCTTGATGGAAGTAGCTCATAGCGGTAGTAGCCGATTGCTTCACGACCCTCTGGGGCTGGTCCCAAGAGCTGTATGGCTTCTTTGACAGTGACAACCCAACCAAGGAAGTAATCTGGCACGCGGTAACCTTGATAAATGCAATATGCAATAGGAGGGAAATCACCGATATCTCGGGACACTGGTACCACCATCATCTCGTATTTTTCCCACGCTAAACAGCTGAACGCTGGGAGGAAAAAAAAAAGAAGAAACACCGCGATAGTGGGTAACGTAGTGCCGAATCAAGGAAACATTATCACATATCGAGCGAAAAGAGTCTAAACGAGATCTGTATCAAAAAGCAAGCATGCCGTCGCCACCAGAGACAACCGAGCACGACCTCTCCGCATCAGCGAGTCAGAAACAAGGCGCGATGTCAACTGAAGGCTTGGACCGCCCTGCGAACGGTACCCTGCAGACGGAATGGACTGTTGGTGAGGACCGAGGATCGGAAGATCGACAAGGTCTGGCTGGAAGCGAGGAGACTGAAGCTAGGAGGGCTACACCCGAGACGAAGACAGTAAGAGAGGGCCTGGTGACGGACGGTGGTCATGAACAGGACACGGGCCTGAGTGTTGAAGACGGCCGAAGGGATGGCGATAGCTTGACCGGGTCTGCTGACAATGGAGGGACTGTGGTGGATTCGCCGAAAAAGATGAAGAAAAAGGCGGGGGTGCAGGCAGCACCAAAGGCAAAGGCAAAACCAGCGCGAAAGTCGGAAGTAGGGGGGGAGAAGGGCCCATTGGACATGAAGCAAAAACCGCGGACGCGTGGATCGACCGCCTCTCCGGCAGCCAGGCCGCTTGCCTCAACAAGATCAGCAGCAACGATTGACCATGAAGACTCAGGAGACGAAATCTTAACCACCTCTCTGCTTCTCTCTCCTATGTCGGAGGGGCTGGAGGTTACTGTGGACTTACTAGGTAATACGACAATGGAAGCGCGCGTGGAGAAGGAGTTTGGTATTGATCTCGACATGACTCCAGTCTCGAAGGTTGTCCAGGTTGCAAGCAAGTTGAAGAAAATGGCTATCGCTGTTGGGGGACGGCAGATGGAGATGCGGAATGTGTTCCGGAACGAAACGTCAACGATGCGTCAAGATCTGGGCAAGCTAGAGGAGCGAGTGGCAAGAGTAGAAAAGGGCCAGGCTGGTAGTGAAAAAGCGGGAGAGTTCGTTCTACGACCGGAGCTGGCGCTGCTCAAGAGCAGGGTGCAGAATGTGGAAAAGGTGGCGTTGAAGATGCCGACGGGAAGCGAGATTGACGGAAGGCTAGCGGTGGCACTGAAGGGCGTAAAGGAGGACATGGCTGACACATGCGGTGGTATACAGGGGGAGATGAGGGCCTTGCGGGGGATCGTGAAGAACGATGTGAAGGTTGTCAGCAAGGAGGCAAGGGATGATGGCAGAGCAGTGCGTGCGGAGTTGAAGGGCGAGATCCAGCGAGTGACTGCTACTACGAAGGAGAGTTTAAAAGAGATCCAGGGACGGCTGAGGCAGGAAACGGAAAGTAGGTGTAATGAGCAGAAGAAAAAAGCGGAGGCTTACACGGCGAAGGTGGAGGATGTTGTAAAGGATTTGGTGGCGAGAATTGAGGTCCTGGAGAGGCAGAACCGAGAGCTGGAAGGCAAGAACAGGGACCTTGAGCAAAGGGTGGAAAGGGTGACACAAGAGAAGAGGCAAGAAGAGGAGGCACAGGTGGAGAGGATGTCGGAAAGGGCGAGGGAAGTCATGGGTTATGGGGCACAGAGAAAGAGGTTGGGGGAGGACGAAATGGCGGATGAAGGCCGTAGTGGGAAGTTCCCGCGTGGGAACAGTGCAGAGTCAGTACACGATATGGGCGGCAGGGGTAATGAATGGAGCACTGACAACCGAGGGAGTGGTCACAAGGACTATCGACGGAACGATTCTCACACTCGCGGGAATTATCAGCATGATCAGCATGATCAAGGGTATGGGGCGCCGCTGCCACGTCTTTCCCGACCACCCGCCTTTGCACCAACTGCCCCAGCAAGGGATAAGCAGGACCTGAAGTTGGCTATTGGGGTGTTTCGAGGGCAGTATGCCACAGCCACTGTGGGTGATCAGATTGCGCTCATTGCAAAATCTGTCCCAAGGAGTGTCATTCCTGGGGATGTGAGGAGAGATGAATACCGGTTTGGGGTCTTGGTCATGACATTCCGATCATATCATGATAGAGATGCATTCACACGGGAGTGGAGTGCTGGCTACAAAAACTCACCAAGTGAGCGGGAAGGATTGAAGCTCCGGGGTATTGGGGAGGATTTTTAGAGGGGGCTGGGGGTCTCTTGCAGGTCAATAAGGTCAAATCGGAACAAATGGAAGCGGGGGTAGATAGTTCCGAAATATGTACCATGGTGAATTTTACCTCATGGAATGTTCATGGAGACCTTATTGTAAAGATGCTCAGCCCTGATTTTAAGATGTTAATAGGAGAGTTTGATGTTATTGGTTTGCAGGAAACATATTTATGTCCTGAGGAGGAAGAAGCTATGGCAAAGCTTCAAGGGTATCAATTCTTTGATCAGTCAAGGAAGGCAGCAGAGCCATGAGGCTGGGAGCATCAGCATGGAGGAGTATGTGCATTTGTACGGAATCACTACAGCTGAGGAAAGCCTTTATGCAAAGGGTAATACAGGAGATACCCCATTTTGCAAGGCATTATGGGGATGGATGGGAGCTCTTTAGGGAGTTACTGGCAGATAAGAGGGTCGTGGGGTTGCTGGCAAAGTAGGTGCATGAGGTGTTGGAAGTATTCTATGCAGTTGAAATATATCGGCTGGAGTGACACGCTGCATGCATATTGAGGCAGGGAAGACCGTGTAATTCATGATACCATGGGAGGGGTTTTTTTCCGCTTTTCCCCTCAATAACCAGGACATGGATGATCATAATCGCCCCCCTGTATTAGATATGTGTGTTCCATTATTGTACAACATTATGTAATATTGTACAGTACATGGTAAACTGGTTGTTCGGGAATCGGACCTCGCCAGTATAATTCATATCCTATCCTATCCTATCCTGGTAAAACTGCGGAAAATCTGGTCAAAATGTCAGAAAAGTACAGTAACAACTGTGAGGAACTACTTGCTCTCGAAGTACAAACTCGTTTGACATGATGATTCGAAGATATTACTGTAACTCCGAGCTTAAGTGGTCAAGGTCACCGTGTAGTTCCCACGCAGGAATTTCAATCACTCGTCAAACCAGGTCAAACCATGCTTTTCAGGGAAAGGGTTTACAAGCAATTGCAACACCATCGAACAAATACTGTTTGTGCAGAAGATGACCCTCTGGGGCTGAATTTAAAACTTCTCTCATAGGAACAGATCAACCAAGAAAATAAGATAGATGAGATTTCTGATTGATCGGAGGGAGGGTGAATTCGAACGTCAAGGTAAAGTCCTTTAAACGTTGCACCGTCATTTCATCCGATACCACCTGACCTTCTCCCGCATTTCAGACGTTAATCCAATAGCTTCTATGGACCTCGTAATGAGTTCTTCCTTGTGTTCTTTGACCATTTTCAAATCTTCAGTGCTATTCTGAGCAACATAGAGGAGCAAATATGCTTCATTCTTGTGTTGTGACTCGCGGCCAGTCTCATAGATCCAGATCATCAAGTTTGGTGGCTGCAGATCCCTGTAAAGTCAAGTGTAAAGAGAGATAATACCATAGGTTCTGATCAAATCAACATACGACTTTGCCTTGGTTGTTCCCCACCTTGATGGAAGTATATCATAGCGGTAGTAGTCGATAATGTCACGACCCTCTGGTGCTGGTCCCAATAGCTCTTCGGCCTCTGTAACAGTGACAACCCAGCCAAGGCGGTAATCTGGCACGCGGTGACCTTGATGGATGTGATATGCAATGGGAGGGAAATCATCGACAGCTCGCGACGCTGGGAAAACGGTGTAGAATCTGATTGAATTGTCAGAGTTGGACAGTAGTAATTGTGAGGAACTACTTGCTCTCGAAGTACAAACTCGTTTGACATGATGGTTTCGAAGATATTAACTGGCAAGGTCACCGTGAAGTTCCCACGCAGGGATTTCAATTACTCGACAAACCAGGCTTTCATAAAAGGGTTTACAACAAGAGGTGATCATGAGGGAGATTCAGATCGGGAGTACTTATACTGCCACGTGAAAAGCCCTGACTAAGCCCAAGCCGAGCTGCACGGCATCTTATATGACTCGAGAGGTTGAAAACTTCGAATAACTGTTTTGTCTTCATGTATTGATAATATCCAGCTACTTAGGTACACACTGTGACATTCACAATTGAATTCCTAATTAATCAACATTTGTCTTTGAGCATTGGTTACAGTGAGCTTGAATGGTCTTAACATACCATACTTTGGTTCTAGATACTCAAATTTGAGACTTTGTTACATAAAAAAGAGTTGCAAACAAAACTTGATGTTTTGTATCATTGTGTGCCGGCTGGGGCCCGGCTCAAAAGCCCCCGCTGTGGTAGGTGCAAACTGTGAGAATCAAAATTTTTTTGATCTGTTCAAGTATTCACCATTGAATCATACAAAATCCAATGTAATATGTGAGTCTGAAAATACTGCCACAATGGTCTGAAAATTGTATCACAATCATTGCCAGAGTACACCATTGTTTCTTAATGCTCTAACTTTGTGAGAGGGGTGTAACATTAAGAATAATAGTGTACAGCAATCAAATGGTAGAATTCCAGTACACTAGACTTATCAGAGTAGCAAGCACCAAAATCATTACCTGTTGTTTCAACTACTGTCAATTCCAAATCAGATCAAAGTGGTTCCTTCCTTGAGGCTTGTAGATTAACATTCAAATTAGAAGGTGCTGCCATGTTATAGTAAAATCTACAACATAATACCTTTCCAGTCCTCATTAAGAGAGATTCCCTGTGAATATGATGATTTGATTCAAGCTCCAACCCATCTACAATGGCAAAAGTATCCGAATTGTAATGCTTGAACAATTTTAGGTGATTATGACATGAACCAATACTTATCCTTGCAGCCGAAAATGGTGCTAGTGATGCCCATATAGGTAAATATTGAGCATTTAGCTTCATGCATATCAGCCATTGCCAATTCCCAGGTGGGAATTTTGGCACAAAATTCGGCTACTCAGCCCCGGCTCAGAACCCGGCTTGGGGCCTTTGAAAATTCTGAGCCGGGCCCTCAGCTTTCCACAGCCCTAGAGACGGCTCCGGCCCGGCCAGGCTCATAGGGCCCAAGGGCTCAGAGCCGGAGCCGGCACATCACTATGTATCAAGGACTCCAAGATCACTGTATACACCCAGAAGCATTGCCCTTACCTACTTCACTCTTACAATCTCATGCTTCAATGAGCAGGTCATTTTGCTTACTAGTCTCAGTAATGGGAAAGCAGTGATTGTTTAGGTATGTGGAAGTAATCCATACCACCTTTCAATTATTCATTGACAATAAGAAATGATAGATCCTCAGTTATTAAACATAATGGGCAATGACTACAGGCCTTACACTGTGTGATATTGAGAGGTCAAAGTGGTCTCTTCATGTAGACTGTTGGATCAAACAATAGACTAGAAACTTTTATATTACCTGCATGGCACTACATTACAATCTCTGGTTGGAAATTTCAATGAAATACATTCATCTGCAAAACCTGTATAGTCGTGGCTGGAGAGTGCTCTCCAGCATTGAAAGCACTGAAAGCAAGATTTTTGACTTGCTCTGGGTGCTTTGGCTGCTGGGAAGTGCTCTCAGCTGCTTTCGGATGATTAGCCAAAAATCCATGTTTTGCAGATGACTTGACATCTGTTACACGAAGCGGCAGAGGCGGAGTGACTAAGCAAGGCAATGAGGCGGAGTGACTAAGCAGGTCAGTGAGGTGGAGCGACTAAGCGGAGCAGAGGCAAACTGGTCCCAGATAATGACAGAGTTATATTGAGTATTGTAATCATAGGTAATAGTAAGTAAACACATACCTGGTCCCAGATAATGACAGAGAGGTCAAGATAAGGGACCAGGCTGTGGAGGGTTGGCTATATATACATAATCCGATCTGCGAGAAACAATGATGTAATACTGTACAGTTCAGGGGCAAGGAAGGTGGCGGAAGCCGATAGAAAGAGAAGGTGGGTCAGGTGGATCAGTAATTGATGGGGGTTGACAGCAATGGGATGATGTATCGTACAAGTAAAGGTGTCGAGACGGTGAGAAAGGGAAAATGATAGGGGCTGCGTACTTTATGACATTACCCCCCTCCTTATGGATTGACAGTACAGGATCGTAGATGTAGGGAGTTCCAGACGTAAGAGCTCCCGATGGAGTGTAAGCCTGGGAAGGAGGTCCCGGGAAGTGGAAGTAGAGGCGGACGTCCTCAAGCGTTGGAGGTAATAATGGAGGAGCAATACATAGTTTGACATAGGAGATAGCTTCAATGTTACCTAGATCGAGGTCCCAGAGCTTGTGGAGCAGTTGGGGAGCTCGAGGAGGTTTGGGGAAGGTTAGCTCATCAAGGCAGTAGGCGTTGGGGAGCTTGGGGACTCACTCAGATTGCTTAGACGTGAAGTAAAAGTGTATATTGGATCGTAGAGACAACAGATGAGAGTAGAGAAACTGAGATAGAGAAACAGAGAGTAAAGAGAAATCCGTATGGTTAGCAGGTACAAAGGGACAGGGACTGGACCTATGCAAAAGGGTGTGTGTTCAAAATATACCAAGCTGGGGATATTTGTGCTACGAGGATACTTATATAGCTACAGGAAGTGAACAAGAGAACATTAGGAACCTTGACTGTCGAATCGGCTGTGATCTAGAGTTGCGTGTCTACCAGGCGGGGGCGTGTTGATGGAGGTCTCGGGTGTGCTGATGGGGTTATCAGGCATGTCGAGGGAGGTTCAGCCGAGTTGTGAAGGTTGTGATAGGGGTGATGGTTGCAGGAAAGGTGTACCTTCTTGGGGAGGTATGGAGACGGTTCCGAGGCTAAGGGTTAGGGACTTGTGTGGTCTATGATCATGGGGTTGGTGTTAGGCTGGCCTGGTAGTGGTCAAGGCATGACAGCATCAAAGGGTGCATCATGAGACTTCATGACATGAATACATAGTATGTACATAGGAGATAAATTTGAACTAGGAGAAACTAATGAGTAATAATGCAACATCTGCAAAACCTGGATATTCGGCTAAGGGTCCGAAAGCAGTTGAAAGCATTTCCCAGCAGTGAAAGCACTCAGAGCAGCCTGCTCTCAGTGCTTTCGGTACTGGGATCTGCTGGGATCTGCTCTCAGCCCTTAGCCGAATATCCATGTTTTGCAGATGAACATGTATAAGTCTTAGTCTTAGTATGAATAAGTAAGAGGATAATATGAGATACTAGTCTAAGAACAGCAGTGTAATGCCTGACCATTACAATGTAATTATGTACCATAGTAAAATTTGGTTCATGGAATGTTCATGGCAACCTTATAAAGATTTTCAACCCAGAATTCAGGGCTTTGGGTGAGAGAGCTTCATGAAAATTCTTTCCACAGTCAAGGATGGCTGGAGTTTTTGGGGAGGGGATCTTGGCAGAGAAAAGAGTGTTCATGAATGGGTTCAGGGAGGTTGGGGGTAACAGGTGGAGCCTCAGTGGAGGTGGCAATGATGGTTACTGGAGGTGTCATGGGAGGTGGTTGGGAAGTTTCAAATACAGAATATTGCATGCATGTTGATGCAGGGAAGACTGAGCTTTCCACTGTACCATGGGAAGGTTTTTTTTCCACTTTTCCCTCAAAAAACCAGGACATGGATAAGCATAATTGCCCCCCCTGATTAGGCATGTGTTCTGACAGTTCCATGATTGTATAATTTGTATATTGTACAGTACATGGTAAACTGGTTGTTCAGGAATCAGACCTCGCTAGTATAATTCATAACCTATCCCATCCTATCTTGTACAGTGCTCCCTTGTTATTAGATTTGTTACTGAAGCATCTTATTGACAACCTATATATAGTAGCAGTACAAAACTTACTTACAAATAAAATACTTGATGAGGCAAACTATGTAATTCTCAAATGCAAGGGAGATGAAATGCCAATTGGATGAATACAAAAAAAAAACGCCGGTGAATAATGCGCTCCCCGGACCTACCCCGATCAAGAAGTTTTCTCGTTAGCTGCCGAAGTAGTTTGAGTAGTCACTTTCGAAACATTCCAAAACACATCCATCAGGGCAGGGACTACGAATGGCTCCCTGCACTCCCGTTTCACATCTGCAACGAAGGCATCTGCCTCCCTTCTCCGTTCCTCGGCCTCCTTCCGTGCAAGCTCAGCTTCCTTCCACCGCTGCTCCATCTCAAGCTTGGCAGATTCAACATCATGCAAACGGTGCTCCGCCGCTCGTCTGCGGTCATCCGCATCATGTTTGTCTGACTCTGCCCTACGTGTAGCACGTTCAGCATCCCTCCTCGCTTGTTCCGCATCTCTCCGTCGATCGTCAGCTTTACGTTTATCATGCTCAGCATCTTTCCTGCCTTGTTCGACATCCTTTCTCCGATCGTCAGCCGTTATTTTGGCATGTTCAGCATCCCTGCGCAGTTGCTCAGCCTCCCTTCGTCGTTCAACGGCTTCTTTGAGACTAAGCTGAACCTCTTTTTTAGCATTTTCAACTTCGCTCAAAGCATACTCCGCGTTCTTTCGCCCTTGCTCTGCTTCGCTCATTAACTGTTCAGCATCACTCAGACGTTGCTCGGTTTCCTTCAATGCATGCTCGGCCTCACGCTTAGCAAATTCAGCATCTCTCCTCTCCTGGTCTACTTTCCTTCGTATATTACGCTCGCTTGTGAGCTGGGCTTGCATGATGAGTAAATTCGATCGAAGCTCTAGAAGCCATCCATCAGAAACACTGCCAAGCAATCTGAAAACACAACTAACCCGTCTCAATTTCACTCGAACTGGGCTTTTCCATGATCTTATCATCATCTCTGAGGCCCAGTCCGAGTTCTGAACCAATCCCGAACCCCTGAAATCCACATCCGTCCACTTCACCCAACACAAAATCAGTCTGCAACTTTTCTGCGAGCTCTGCCAGTTCCGCTAACACAATTTTCTCCTTCTTTCCGCGCTCCCGAATCTCGTTTCTTAGACTGAGTAGTTCTGAACGGAGCTGTACGATGCGCGCGACTCCAGGATTCACAAAGGAGCTTGCTTCAATCTCACCGTGGGAGGGATTGACGTTCGTAGCATTGATAAAAGAATTCAGTGACTCTTCCTTGATGCGAGGTTCATTGATATTTCCCCCCGAGTCAAAGCTTGGTATTGGAACACCGGTAGTTACAGCGGGGGTTACAGGAACTGCCGTAACAACAGGCATCAGCGAACTTGACTGGGTATATGATCCGTCATGGGGAGGTTGATATGTATATGGGTACGGATACTGGTACGAATTTGAATGCACAGGTGGATAAGAGTATCCATATTGGCCATACGAGAGTTGAGCGGGCGCGACATATGTTCCCATCGAAGATGAAGCAAGAGCATAGGTTTGTGATAGTGTTGATTCTCCTGCGCCTTCTGCTGATGGCGCCTGCTCCTGTGGGGCAGGACGCGAGGAAACAGCGGGTAATGCCTTAATAAGAGAATTGAGATCTGACATTGAGATTGTGCTCGAACTTGACTCTCCATTCGGGACGGGTGATAATGCAGATGAGGTACTCGAAATAGGGAAGGAATCAGATGGGGAAGACGACGGGACCACTGATGCGGTCGCCGTTGAAAATGCGGTAAGAAATTCAGTTAAATCCACGGGAGCTATGGTTAATAAAGAGGAAGGGAAAATAGCTGCGGAAGAAGTCGTGACAGGTGCTTCATTGCTGTTGGCTTCCAGTTTCCTTGCCGGAACGCTTGCTACTGACTGCGATGAGAGAACGTGGGGGTTTATATATGCGTCAGAAAGTTTTGGGCTACGCCTAGAAGGCGGTGAAGGAGAAGGTGTTCGCCGCGGCCAACGAGCACTATCTTCACCTTCCCAGCGTTCAGGATGCGACTTGCGATAATCGTGGTGGGACACCGAGGAACTTCGATACCGATGTGGATTTATTGTAAAATCCTCCCCATCACCAGAGTTCTTCAGAGCATTATTCACCATGGATCGAGGTCCTGACGGAGGACAATTCGATTTGCGTTTATGTGATGGTGAGGTTGATCTTGAGCGAAACCTTTCAAGCAGGTTTCCGGTCGGTGCTACGTCCCATCGAGAACGCTATGTAGAAAGTTGGAAGGATCATGTAAAAGTTTGAACGAAGCAAAGTGATCACATACCTTACTAGCCGAAGGTAATGAATGCTTACGCATTACGAAATCGTCCTCCTCTCGTTCGCGTTTATACCGGGGTGAACAGTCTGCGTCCTTCGTATATAGTGTGGGCCAACTTCCGTCGACCGAAGGATCTCCTACAAGAGTTGAGCTCGTAGGAGGGGGGACGAGAGAACTAGACGATTCGTGATCGACTAAGGTAGTCGCAGGGCTCCTTGATTGAGGAGGCGTAGAGGCGATGGAAGATAAAGAGCGACTTCGTTGATGTTCGTTGCTGGAAGGTTTAGTGATGCTAGACAGAGAATATCGGCCCAGTTTCTGCACGGTCGGATCAACGAACGTTCTTGAGCGCCATTATTTATGGATAAGCACTCACAGGATATTCGTCATAATTCGGTTGAACTCCCCAGGCGCGTGTGGATGCCGGATACTCTTGTGGATGTTTTGTGAATCTCTTCGGGCCAGGTATTATTGGGAACATTTCAAGATTGCCGCCAAAGTGAGGATCCTCTGGGTGCTTCACGATCAACTGGGGTGGACCTGTTCAGAATGAAGAGGTCATATGGAGTTAGAATTGTGCACAAGAAAATTTATGAACACTAACATCCTCTCTCTTTGCACGTTGCCGTGAATCCGAAACTGGAAATTGATAAACGAATGGTTCACATGCGACACAACTTGCTAGCAACGCACATGGAAAATTCCTGCATCCAATCGTCGATTTCTTTAGGTCGTACGCTGTCCGACTCTGGCCGTAGTTTGTAGGCCATGGTTTGAGGTATTTTCTGTCTATTTTTAAGTAAGATAATTCATGAAATGAACAAGTCCCTCACTGAACCCTTCTCAAAATACCACTCGCACTGAACCTGACCAAGCCGAGGCACCTCGATAGCATCTTTCCTGCAGTAAGGCAGTCCTAGCCTTGATATTTCTCTTTGCACCTTATTCGTGTTTATTGGAGGACCATCCGGGTCAAAAGCGCTATAGCCTGGCTTTTGTTTGTGGTATCGGATGCGGAGACGGACAGAAACACCTGCTTGTTCTTTTGCAGTGCTCATTGCCGTTTAAAAAGAGAGGATGAAGCGGTGAGAGTACGAGAAGGTAGCAAGAGTGTGTTCAAGTCCTTGTTGCTGTCCTTCAAAAAAATAATTGACGGTATGAGTGGTGTAGTAGGACTGGTCAGGGACTGGTAGACAAATAATTTTACCGGAATTTGACTTGATTTATCCCACGACTCTTTGCTTACCTACCTCGATGATCTGCACTTTCTCGTTAACTACATTTGTTTGTTTGCCGGGTCTCTCAGTCACCGCAAGCACCTTTGTCAATTGGTCATATTCTCGAGAACATAAAGGTAAAAGTAAGAGAGGAGAACTAACTATTGATTGACGCTGGCATTGACTTGATCCTTGACTAACTTTTGACGCCCATTTCTGACCATCAATTCTTCCTGCATTTGTGAGTTACTAACTCGTGCCTAAGGGATCACTAAGGCAGGCAAGGGCAATCCGAGCTCAATTTCAATCCGTGAAAATCACCGTCCCTACAGGGGGTATGTTAAACTATGACCATTTCGCATCCACACTTTAAAGCGCCCACGCTGGCGAAATCTTGCTCAATATGCGTACGCTCTCAGCGGTGAGAGGATTCATACAGATCAGAGAGGCATACATCATCCTAGGTGCGTCTTTGCTTGCCGATCTCATTCGTTTTAGAACTCAATCAAACTTTGGGCCTAGGAGATGCGTAAACTCGAACCAGTGTGGTATCACCTTTGAGCGCCAATTCCCAATGTGTAGCTATTGGCTCGAGTCCTGTGATGTACAATAGTAAGTATATTTTCTGGATATACTGAGTTGTGCTATCGCGGTGTCCCTGGACCTTTCTGCTCAGTAATTCACCGTTAGAAAAAGCTGAGAGTGTACGTTCGGTCGCGCGGAAGAATAGGGACGAAATACCTCAACGGCCGTACTTCTCCCACCGTAGTGGCAATTGTCTTCTACGGTGCCATTCCTAAATTGAATGGTCCATGCTCAACGATCATCTCCTCATCATTAGAGAATCGGGCGTTGTGACGATCGACTTTCCGGATCAGGAGACGGAATCAAAGGCTCAAATCATCTTGTGCTTGACGTGCAGTTCCCTTATGGGCTTTCTCTTCCCGTACCCCTCTCTGATTCCAACCGCGTCGTCGCCTGCGACGTTGTCATAAAGGTACCCGCAGAGCCCGTCCCTTCGTTGGTGACTTTCAAATTTATTAACCCCCCCCCCCCCCGAGCTCAGCAGGCATGATGTCGCCCCGTATACAATTTTCCGGGTGTCATTCCTTGAGATGGTACCCAAGGGTATGAATAGAGCTCCGTCCTTTGGAGCGAAAGGCGGCAGTAGTAGCTTTCGCAACGTCGAAGCAACTGGAGGCACATTCCGTTACCATGTGGCATCTGTGTGGTACAGACCAATTCTCAACAATAAATTCATACCCGACTGTCTTTCCAGTCCTTGTCATCTATCGTGATATTCCAGTGCTCAAAACGTGATCTTCCTTAGTCATCTTTGTTTCGAGAAGGTCTATCGTCATTCACAATATGGGCACACGCGTAAGTCTCTACCACTAAGTGGTGTCGCTTTTATTCATAGTTCCTACCGGCAACGGACTCCCATGGACAGAAATATGATGACTACTGAAGTAAAGAAGCTTAGGCTTAAGAATGCTGCCTTTCTTGGGTTGTGAGATACGTAGGTCAGTCAATACAATCAAATCCCTGACTTCATTCCTTGTACCATTACTCATATGATCCTACTGTCCTTGTCCGATTGATGCTTGGCCGAAGCGTAATCGTCAATGTGTACAAAAGGTGCATTTCTAAGCTATGCTCAACTTCTCTCAGGGTCTCACTTACTGTATCTCTTCCCAGCAAATTCTTTTGAACAGGAAGACTGACACATTTCAAATATCGATGTCTTCCGCCACCGCGTATGGGACAAAATGATCATGTGCCAGTAAGGAGAGTCAGACAAGTGGACGAAAGCTCCCCCTAGGACCCGAATGTGTTCTGACTTGCAGGGACGTTTCAACATCATAAAGTCTATACTCATCTCTTCGTTGATACGCTTATTCAATCGTTCGTCCATAAAATACAATCCTGCCTCCACCACAACTTGCATATCGTGCAATGGATACAGAATCGAATCAAATTGCATCTGCCTGGCTGTCGCAGCTCTCCTACTCCCTCGAGCAGAAAGATGCGGCAAGCTGTGCATCGCTCTTCCATCACAATGGTTGGCTGCGAGATCTCCTTGTTTTTACTTGGAACCTGCGTACTTTAAATGGCCATGGTCAAATCTTAGATTACCTGTCCTCCAACATGGAGTCGACGACGATATCTGAACTCGAAATCAATTTACAAGATGTATACTTCAGGCCCTCTCCGGGAGATCTCCCTGGGAGTGTGTCCTCTGGATTCACATTTTCCACGCCGATCGCGAATGGGAGAGGACTCTTCACGCTGACACGGGCAGCTTCAGAGCCGGAGGTTTGGAGAGCGTTTACCTTGCTCGTTTCGCTGGATAGTCTCAAAGGCCACGAACCAATTGGTGCCGAACAAGGCGTTTATCATGGTAATTCGTTGTGCTGGTCAGAGGTGCGAGAGCAGAGAGCGCGTATAATTGAGGCAAATCCACATGTGCTTATTGGTGGGCTCCCTCTATCATTTGTGCTATAAACGGCATTGATAGAACTTCTGCAGTGGGTGCTGGTCAAAATGGACTCCAAGTTGCTGCTCGATTCAAGCAAATGGGTATACCTACTCTTATGATCGATAAGAACGGGCGCATCGGGGATCAATGGAGAAAGAGATATCCATCGTTGACTCTACATACTACGAAGCAACATCATACAAGTGTGTTTCGGGTTGTCCATTAGACCTCGAATCTGTCTTGATCCTTGTTTCACAGTGTTATTCCAACCGTATCCTGAAACCTGGCCTCGTTACACCCCTCGAGACAAGGTGGCTGATTGGTTAGAGCAGTATGCTGTCTCCCAGGACCTTGTTGTGTGGATGAAATCCCAGCTACTTCCAACACCTTCTTTCGACGAAAACAAAAAGGAATGGGCAGTCTCCATTGATAGAGATGGTCAAATTATCACCATCAATCCTAAGCACATTATCCTGGCCACAGGTACTCTGGGTGGACCATATACCCCTGTTATTCAAGGTCGTGATTTATTCAAAGGTCAAATCCTCCATTCAGACGACTACACCGGTGGGCCTCAATTCAATGGAAAGCGTGTTGTTGTCGTGGGCACTGGAAACAGCGGTGCAGATATCGCTTTGGATCTTCATGTCCGAGGAGCACAATCGGTTACTCTGTTACAACGCTCTGTGACTTGTGTTCAGGCTTCGGAAACAGTTAATGGGATAACTGATCAACTTTGGAGACCGGACGTACCGACTGAGGTGGCTGATTATCGACGAGCAGGAACACCATTCAAGCTCATGAAACAAATGCTCAGAGAACAAAAAGATCTTTACTGGGAGAAGGATAAACATATTTTGGAAGGATTGGCGAAAGCGGGAATGAAAGTGAACCTCGGCCCTGATGGCAGTGGTGTATTTCCTTTAGTGTATGAGCGCTTTGGAGGTGAGTCTGATTTTTTGAAGACGACATCCAGTATGCACGCTCACACAAAATTTATCGACTTCCCAGGATACTGTAGGCTTTCTCGAAAGTAACCAAGTTCACAGTCTGATAATGCGCTACCCATGACTTAGGGATGGATGTAGGATGCGCGGACCATATCATCGCCGGAGAAATCAAAGTAAAATCGGGGCTCGGGGTCAAGAGGTTCTTAGAACACGGTCTTCTCTTCGACGATGACACGATACTAGACGCTGACTTTGTGGTATTTGCGTAAGTTTTACATGTTATAACTGTTCAATTGCCCGCAATCACATTCGCTATACCCTTAGAACAGGATTCGTCAACATACAGAGTGTCATGAAGGGAATATTCGGTGAGATTATAGACAAAGCGGGACCTGTTGGAGGGGTCGATGAAGAAGGGGAGATGAAAGGAGCCTATAGGCCGACTGGATATCCAGGGGTACGTAGTCTCTTCCCTCAATGAAAAACTTCTAATGTAACTTTTCCCTAGCTCTGGTACGCTCCTGGAGACTTCCAGATATCGCGCTTCGGTTCAAGACTGTTGGTAAGCCCCTTCATCATATTATCTTTCCTCTGCTCAAATTATCGACTCGAAGGCAATCCAGTTGCAGGCAATCGAGTTAGGTTACATGAAACAGGATATCTAGACCAAATTGTTGAATAATGGTTTCCGGTTGCAGCCAAGTACATATCCAATTTGCTAGTCTGAGTAACGTTTGCTAACTTGGATCAATTACTTCGTGGAATAAAAATTTGGCTCTTATTATGAACATATCTGGAACGATATATTAGTTGATTCCCGAATGTGGGTTATGGAATCAGTCTCAGTCAATGTCTGTAATACAAAGAGGCAAAGACTCAGAACGCAATTTTGAATTCAGTTGTTGAGATCGTTCCTGGTATAGCAAACTCAAGAATCCATACCCTAATCTGTTGATCGACCGAATTGAAGCTATCAGTTTTTTGGTATGAACTCGGAACGGAGGGGCTTCTATGCGATTGCAGCGTCGATAAAGGACGATTAGGGGACCTGATCTTTCGAGAAACCAATCCTTCAACACTTGCTACATCACAATAGCTTTCCAGCATGTAATATAGCTGGAGAATCGACGCTGTACGCCACTATGGAGTTAGTCCCATAATGGTGCAGGTAGTGGAACAACTTTGACCGTATCGAACTCGCGATCTTATCATTCCGTCTATCCACAGCATGGCCAGACTACATAACTCGAACCAGTTCATTTTCCAGGAAGATATTTCTTATACGCCTCTTATATTTAAGCATCGACACTTCACTTTGAACGGTCCTTTGCTCGTGAATTTCAAGCCGGATTCTGAGATTTCTTACCTCCGGTCTTCTGCCGGCACCTTTGAACTGAGAATGAACGATATGATATGCTTAGAAGAATTGTTCTAAACTGTGTACAGTACATAGTGAAGTCGAGTGTTCAACAGTGCTCCGCTCCATACATATGGTCTGATCTCTTGGAATACAACCAGTTGACAAGACGAATTTAGAATCATTCGATACACTCAGCGTTCGAACTCTTGGCAGCCTCCGAGTCTGATCATCTGCGACTGCCTCAAGGCATGGGACATCTGAGTGCGGTGGCGCGGGTCAGTTAAGATGAAGGCAAAGGTTGAGCTTCAAATTCAATTTGAGGTTGAACGTTGGCGCCTGATACTTTGACTCACCAGTTGTTTACATGCTGGCACAGAGACTGGGACGCTGGTTTGGGCTTGAGGCCGGATCATGCACTGTAGTAGATCCAACTACCTTTGCTTTATTACTTGCGAAAAGACCCGTTTACTGGTGAATGCAGTCGTTTAAGCACGAAAGCTTCGAGCTAGCCAATCAGTATCGTGATGTTCGGTGATTCTGAATGCTCGTGGTTACTCACTGCCAATACGATATAGATAGTTTACTCTTTGAGTCCTGTTTATTGTCCTATTGTTTTTTCGCCCTAGGGCTTATATATCCACTCTATATAGCTGCGAGTGACAATCGTCCCTTATTGTCTTTTCATCAACACGATCCTTCATTCTTGAAGTTTTGAGTCAGTCGTCGTCATTGTGCCAATGAATATATATTTGCGTTGTTTCCATTAGTGCAATTTTTCAATCGCAATGGTACTCGCTACCAGCATTAGCCCTTCATGCTCTTCGTCAAACACGACAACGAGATTGGAAGAGGTACGCCCAGGTTACACTTTTACTCGAGTTATTTGTATAAGTAAGTTTCAGGTTCGAGAGTGGACTCATTCGTTCGACAAAAATCGAATAATATATCTTGGTACTGGCTGCAAAAGGACGAGAACTTCACAGATATTCGTGCGTGAAAATCCATTCGAACAGGATACCTGCAAGCTCATTAGACCAGGGTCTAACTGCATCCGTGGCATCAGAAGTTTTGGTTCCGAAAGGTTCCGTGTCAGACACCTCTCGACCGAAGTTTCCTCCTCGACGTCCCATTCAGCGCGCACTGTCTGTATCAGAGGAGAATTTGATTCCAATTTCGGACCTCATTCTGCTGACTGAGTATCCAGTATCACCTCTCCACAATCCGATCGTAGCTTTCCACGAGGCCACGAACTACGTGTACTTTCCAACGCCAACCACAGAGTACATCGACAAGAATCAAAACGCCTTGATATCAGCGGCTAGCCCTCCGCTGTTTTCATCTGCCAATGGTACACAAGGGAGGGGAGACGCTGCCGGATTGCTGATAGCCACAGTCAAGTCTTTCGCTGAAAGAACAGTCCATTTCCTGTACCAGCTGATACCGATGAAAGGCAATTGGACGCGTTGGTGCTCTAGGGCCGAAAGTGAGGGAGCTCAAGAGAAGCAGAGCGTTCGAAGCTTCTGCAGGCAGGATCGGATAGACTGTGAAGCCAGATCATCTCTTCCAACAGATCCAGACCGTAACTCGGCGGAATTTTGGCACCTAGAGTCTGAGGAGGATGAAGGCCATATCTCTGATATCGGGAGTCCGATTCTTGATGACTTTATGTTGTCATATTCGCAAGTCGAGCGCGCCTCCGGTCTCGAAGACGAAGACGAGGTTTGCGTACTCCTCCAGGAAGGAGCAAATCTTCCGGAGGAATTGATTAGTGGCCTCGTTGAGACTTCGACGAATGAGCCATGTTCCCAATCAGTCGGGCTTGATTGCCAAATAGTATTTCCTCCAATCCTGAATCCTGACGATGAAAACCTGTCGGAGACAGATTCATCCAACAATTCCGAGCTGGACTGGGATGGCAATTATGCAGGTCAAACGAATCAGTCGAACTCGGTATCATGGGATAGGATATCAGTACCACGAACCTTTCCCGTCGTAAAGTAACTTGCTTTGATGGTTTTATCTACAGAAGGCCACATTTCGGACACCCCTCGCTGAATTTCCCTCGTAAAAACTAATTTCATTGGACAAGAATCGAGTCATGACATAGCTTAGTTTGGTTCAAGGAGAAAACCTATAAGCACATGAGAAAGATGCGTGGTGGAACGACTGTCACCTACTCGTCTGGAATTCTCACCATCGGCGTACAGTAGAGGTACAAGAAAGAGAGAATAGCTGGTATACGTCAGCTTCATCGGACTCATTTCATTAGCAAGCTCAAACCTCGGGGATTTATGGCTGAATTTAACTTGAGGAAAACTCTACTGCATTGAGATGAACCGGAGCAGCAATCTCGTTCCACGAGCTGGTTTTGCGAAGGTATATTGAACCAGGGCAGCTTCCAGCGGATGATAGAATCAGAGTGGTATGATGAGATATAACTGCTCCTGGAATTAACTTGTTGTCCACATGAAAGTCATGAACTGAGAAAAACCTCCACGAACTGGTCAAACGTGGCAAGGTTCAGGTTTGATGTATAATGGCAGTTTTCGTTCAAAATTCGACTACGTACTCGATTTCCTACTCACGATGTTTGCATCCTACTCAACGACATGAGTTTTATTCAATATCTCAGCTTTCAAGTCAGGAGGGACAATTCTAGCTAAGCAGCAACAATATATTGGTTGTTCAGAATCTAGCTTACAGTTTACTACTACAGAGTGTACAAGTACAGTTTGTCAAATGCATGGCGAGTTTCTGTGACATCTTACATTCATTTGATCAATTCTACATGTACTGGGCGGGAATGCAGTGTGGCATTGGCGGGAGTCCAGCGTGGGATAGTAAGAGATCAGCGGGAGTCCAGCATGACACTTGTGAGATTCCAGTGCAGCATCAGCGGAAGTCCAGCGTAACATCAGCGGGAGTCTAGAATAGCATCAGCGGAAGTCCAGCGTAACATCAGCGGGAGTCTAGAATAGCATCAGCGGGAGTCTGGTATAACATCAGCGTAAGTTTAGCTTTCACCAGCAGGAGCCTGATGCACCAGCACATCCATAGATTGAACCTACTAGCAACTTGAAGAACATCCGATACATTTGTTTAATACTCCAGCTTAGTAAATAAACTTGATAAGACCTCACGACTTCCTGGTAAGTTATGTACAATTCTCGATACAATATGGGAAAGGATAGGTAAAAGCTAGAATAAGTTACTACTTGTAGATCTTGCAATTGCAAGGGCGGTAGTCCATAAATGCACCACATCTTCCACCTGTGGTCCACGTGCAAACCCCTGAAGTTGTTCGTCCATATGAGCAAGTTGCTCTGGCATGAACAAATCAGGCGGTGGATTGACTACAACCTGGTTTAATTCAGGTGGTGGTCCCCGTTGTCCAAGCCATGAGCTAGAGCCCTCATTGCTATAATTCCTCCTCAAAGATCGTAACAGTGCTTCGTCCCTCAGTCCCTCCCAATCTAAACCAAAAACCTCGAGCTCCTCATCAGTCATTGCAACCTCATCTAAGGATTCTCCCCGCAAACCATTAGTAATCATGTCAAACCCAAACATATCTTCTGGAGATCGGGATGGTGCATTGCGCTGGGAAATACGATGATTGTTCCATGATTCAGCCCAAAAAGATAGATGCTCGTTGATTGTTGCAAGGAAAAGATGTTGAAGAAGCCATATATGATTTACATTTGAAGCATCCAAGCCATGGTGTAGCTCAAGGTCGGTGAACAGATCATGCCATGTTTGGCTGACATAGTGGCTGACATCTACCCATAGGCGCTCAATGCGAACATTATGGATAGACCTGTTGATGAAGCCCTCTGAGTATTTGACGATAAACAGGACAAGAAATGAAAACTGACCTCCCCCAGATATATGATCCACGGCCTTCCCCGCGGGCATGTTCCATAAATGCTGCAACCCAAATATTTTCAATCCCATGATCTCCACGAAGGCGTGAGGGGATTCCGTAAAGCTCTGCCGCAGCCATAAACAGTGAAAGTACAGTCTCACCCCGATTGTTGTTACTTGCTCGTAGTCCAGTAATCATCCGTGAATAGCCATCTATAAATCCATGAATTACCACACCCCAGCGTATAAGACCTGCATTTGGAATGAGTAAAAATATCCACAGTATATTAGAAACAAAAACTAACGGTGATGTCCATCATGGTGCCACAGTGAATTGGGACCTGGTACAGAATAACCCCGGCGACGGATGCGGATGCGGTCAAACACTCGATGAATTGGATCAATCCGAAGAAGAGCACATTCAATACGTTCATATGGAACAATATGACCTAGACGACGCAACATTCCATCAAGCATACGGATGCCTGCACGGCAGTAATAGACCCTCAATTGGCCCAACAGTGCATCCAGCTGGTTATCTGAAATACTAGACAGATATGTTGGTGAAGATGAGGTTGAGGCGATGGATGCAGCCTGAGCATATATTTCATCCGGTATTGATACAGGATTCTCACTCTGGGTACCCAGAATGTCATCTACCCGATCTGCCTCCAAGTGTTCAGAGTGTTCGAAAGTATTAGTGCTGATGCCAGCAGAAGATGGGAATGGGTCAATGCCAGATACAGCAATATTATTTTCGAGAAGGCGACGTCTAACAGTAGCTCTTGATACTCCAAGAAAGTCACTGATTCCAGAAGTAGAACGATGAGCGTAAGCCCAAGAGAGAAAGTCTGGGTTGATTATTGTGCGAGGACGTCCACGATGACCATTATGTTCCTGTGATATAACCTCTGGCCTTCCATGATGTGAAGCTTCTGCTTGTCGGTTGTAAAGAGCTTGGACATCTACAATCATAAGCTGAACTCCTTCACGAAGAGTTTGTAGCTCTTCTTGTTCAAAGACATTCACATTCTAAGTTCAACACGATTGTAATTAGTTAGATATTGCTGCGAAAAGAATATCCAAGATCAATACCCGATTCACAATATTACTAAACTCCTCCAAGTCTTCGCCAAGAAGTCGTAACAGAAATGGGTCTGTTTCTTCACTGTGAACACTAATAAGGAGAGCATGGAATTGTTCATAATGAGTTCGAAATGCACATAAAAGTCCATTTGAATTAATAGAATTGGTTGTGTTGACCGCTAAACTTGGGAGAAAGAAGAGCAAGAGGATACAGAAAGGACTAAACTTAATCCATTGGAACATGGAGAACAAGGACGATTTGCTCGCAGCCTCAGTGATGGAAGGATTTCTACTGGCTTGTGCAACAGCGTCTGCTGCATTCCCCCGGCATGCCCGGTTATGCCCAAAGCACAGCCACCGCCACTCCCAAATTAACCATTGGAATTAATGCACCACGCTGGGACCCACAAAGTGCGCCTTGAGATCATCTGAGTCTTGTGCCTGACTTCATCTTACATTCCATCGCACTTGTTCTATCGTTCTTCTTCTCTGGGTGCTCCATTGGAAATGGAGAACTCGGATGTTCTCACCGATGTGGAGGTCAATAAGGATCCTCAAAATTTGGATTTGAGTGAAGACCTCGATGATTCATCGACTTCGTTTCAACTACTCTCGGCCGTTCCAAGCTTTGGTGGAGCCAACCTAGACTGGCCGCTGCCATTTCCTTTCACCACCTGGGAGGAAGCTTTAGGACTAAACAATTTGCTTGAATCCCAGCAGTTTCCGGAGCCTGATTGGGAAGCGTTTGAGGCTTCTATTGCCCATGCAAACAGTAACGAAGTACTTCCTCAGGTAAATGTATACGCTTCTTATACTTGATACCATATTGCTCCAACTCCAGGCTCTCAGAATACAGCTCCATCTCAACCAGATCCAATACTCTCATTGTACCATCAAGCAGACTGGTATGCGGCCATGGCTTCTCCGATCGATTGGAACGCTCTTCTGCCTCCTCGGGCTCATGACACTGCTGCAAATGGGGATACGGCACAGATATCTTGTCTACCTGGTGGACCCTCTATCGATGATGTTCAAGCGGAGTGCCCCTCCTCTACCGATATTAAGGTTGTCGGTAGTGCTTCGCAATTCTCCTTGCCAACCTCTTCCGAGGAGGGTAATGAATGCTACGATGATATCTCTTCTGGGGTGCGTAACTAATATTGCAGTAATATTTCAGCATTCACTCAACTATGCCATGATCTGCAGGCCACAGAAACGACATCGTTGGTTCAATTGGCAGTTCCTGCTTCCACCACTCGATTGGCACGTCTTGCTCCCCCCACTAATAACACTGAACAACTATTATCGCAGTTTCCACAGGCAATTCGGTCCTCAGATTCCCATTCTCAGCCTCATCGCTCTTCACGTTCTCACAAGTCGAAACCATATGCCATCTCTACTGAGCGTTCCAAATCCCCAGACTCAGAAGTGGAGGTGATAGATACAGTGGTGGTGCAAGCGAAAGACTTTGAGGATCTGTGTGGGCTATGGAACATCAACCCGAAGGATCTCAAGTTTTTGATTGAACGTGATCATCCTTGCTACGATCGCTACAAGAACTATTGCGCCATGCGTGATTTTCTAGTACCACTAGGATTTACGAAGGATAAAACGTGGAAAGCTCTTACAAGAATGGGAGTCTACTACGCCAAATCCGAGACTCATCACTCTGAGTCCCTTGCAGATATCCTAAACCGTTGTAAATGGAAAGATCGAACTTGGGATGATAAGCGCCAATATTATAGCTGGGCGGAAGAAGCACCAAACTACGTATGGAACGATGTATACCCTAGATCGGATATTTTGGAGGGTATGTACCTATGTTCTATATTCTCACCACTATTTGATAGTCTTATAGGAACAGAATACATCAAAGATGGTGCAAACCTCTATAACCATTTTGTCCGAATTAAATTTGCTTTCGACAAGCCTGGTTATTTCAATCTCAACCTCCGGCCAAGGAAAAGTGGGGGCGACTACTATGAGACTCGAACGGCAGAGTTGGCGCAAGAGAGCATTAAAAGGTACCGCAAATCCATCGATCGTTACATCATCAAGGTTACAAAACCATAGTTGCACTTGTATGTCATTTGTTTGCTTCTCTCTTGATCCTGACTTCATCTTCCAGAGCCCAGGCTTCAGTCTTGTTATATCAGGGACCCATCACTGTGGTTCCATCTTCCAGTGCCCAAGCTTTAGTCTCATCGTATCAGGAACCCATCACCGTCCATCTCCCAGCACCCAAGCTTTAGTCTCATCGTATCAGGAACCCATCGCTGTGGTTCCATCTACCAGCGCCCAAGCTTTAGTCTCATCGTATCAGGAACCCATCGCTGTGGTTCCATCTACCAGCGCCCAAGCTTTAGTCTCATCGTATCAGGAACCCATAGGCCAACATTATTCAAGAACCCACATAGATATGGAATCATTCTGATAACTTACCTACCATTTGAATTAATTCTTTGCTCCTTTCTCCATTGCACTCTCTCATTACATTCTTTTACTTCCAAATCCTTTGCCACCGATTGCATACCCTACATCATATCTACCTACATATCCCTACGCCGTACCTACCTACATATCTCTACGCCGTACCTACCTACATATCTCTACGCCGTGCCTACCTGCATATCCCCACGCCGTGCCTACCTACATATCCCCACGCCGTACCTACCTGCATATCCCCACGTCGTACCTAACTACAAGACTCAATTGCTATTCCTACTTACATATCCCTATGCTGGAGCTACCTAACCATCCCCACGCCATACCTACCACCGTATCCCTACAACATACCTGACTATAACGCTCAATTGCTATTATCTGAAACTTGCAATGAATGGTGTAAGCTTAACTCTTATTGAATCTTGTTGTCTCCAAAGAGGCATAGGAATGGAAAGCCAAATAATACCATGCCTTTGATCCAAAAGCAGGCGGCATTTGCCTACATGAGGACTATAGGAATGCTGTGCACCAACGCTGTGAATATCGGATCTTTCCGAATCTTATCTCAAGGTAATTGGTATATGTACATATTGGCCAACAATTGACATCAGTTTTAGGTAGCTACTGGTTATGATATTATTGTTATTGCTTAGTTTCCATCGGTGCTGTAGAGACTCGAGAATACTCCTGCAGTTTGCAAAAGATCTAGGGATGAGGGTGCGCTTTACTATTGCATGGAATTGTCAGCTGCAATCCATCAACAGCCCTAAGTTAATTGGACACACCTTTGGAAATACGCCATCAGCAAAGCAGCATCCTCTACTTTTGCATTCAACTGAGCTTGCGCATCATCAGAAATACATATAGCTAGAATAGGGACCCTCCAATACGCCTCTCCTTCTCCTCGGTTACAATCCGGAGCATTGTTGCAAACCTCAACATGCAATGGCAACTCGGGATCCCCCCATCCAAAGATATGCATATTTGAGGTGTATGCCGTTTGAGCGTTGGTGAGGCTGACCAATCTCTGCATGACTACAGGGTGCAAGTAGTCGAGTCCCAAGATGTGATGTTTGCGCCTCAGGAGGTTGTGAACAGCATTCGCAGAAGGGTTTCCATCTTGGTCGATAGGAACTTTGGGTATCTTTGCAACGACTGGGGTTGGATTGTCGGGTAGCAGGATGATTGCAAGGATAGCCTCTTCTTCCGTCATCTAGAAATTCACCAATCAACTAATGTTCAGATTCTCCAGTCATAGAAAATTCAAACCGTTATTGTTCTACTTTAGGTCAATGAAGGAAATTTTTGACTCTTGTTCATCGTGTCTCCTCTCTTTTTATTTCTCAATAAAACCCAATTTCCCACCGCTTTAACGTTGATGATGCAATGCCGCTATCACTCAATACAATCATGCAATTTCTGCGACTGGTAAATATTCTCAATGGGTGTGATCGCAAACATAATATAAAAAGTTGAGACCTTAGAGTTTATCAAAGCTGAAGGAGATAATTATCAGGGAAGAGCGGAAAGCAACGGAACTGAAGAGGGAAATTATGAACCAAACGGAGGAAAATGAGCAGATGAAGCAATATATAACTGAGATGGAGCTTTTTGCAGCAGGATACGGCTTCTGGTATGCAACTTGTCCTAGATATCACCAACCACTGAAGGAAGAAAGTTTTGCAGAGCAAGCTAAATTATAGCAATATATATTTTTAGAAATAGATAGAGGGCACTCTCAAAGAATCAGGATGGACATCTAAATCAAAGGTTTCGACACCCAGCGCTAAAATAGTTTAACCTTCCCAGTTGCCCCGCACTTACCCTCATCATCCTTTGCCCCTTGTGAACCCTTAGAATGGATTCTGGAATACCGCTAGTGGTAGATAATGGCAAAGGTGTAAGTCCCATGAGATGATCCAACGATAATAGTTGACAATACACACTGTTGGATATGCGGGCTCGAATTTCCCTGAACATGGTATATCTCAAGTAAAGGCACTCATACTAAAGCTTAAATGCACCTTTCCTAGTCTTTCCGTGTCTTGTTGGCCGCCCTATCCTTCGAGCAGAACTATGGGTTGGCACTGCAGTGATCAAGGATATCATGGTTGGAGATGAAGCTGCCCAAAATCGGAACTATCTCCAAGCAACACAACCAATGGAGCATGGTATCATGAAGAATTGGGAAAATATGAAGCATCTTTGGGATCACGCGTTTGATGAGAAGCTTAAAGTTGATCCAAGAGGAAGAAAAGTGTTATTGACTGAGCCGCCAATGAACCCAAAAGCGAACAGGCAAAGGATGTGTGAGGTAATGTTTGAAGAGTACGGTCTTGGAGGTGTATATGTTGCCATTCAGGCTGTGTTGACTCTGTATGTTCAAGGAGTGTGGCGAGTACTTTCATTCAGAGATATTGGCTTCGATGTTATCTGTTAGGTCTTACAATGGGTGTTGTCATTGACTCTGGTGATGGTGTTACTCACAGTCCCCATTTACAATGGATTTGCCTTACCTCATTTAGCGCGTTGATTGGATATTGCTGGAGGAGATATTACCGGATATTTAATCAAACTGCTTCTCATGCATGGTTATGCCTTCAGCCGAACTGCTGATTTCGAGACTGTACGAGAGATCAAAGAGAAATTATGTTATGTTAGGTGAGCACCTTACTCGTGAACCATGGTTGCGTGATGCTAATCTGAAATCATACTAGCTATGATCTCAATCTCGACACCTGTCTTATAGAGTAAACAACAGTACTTGTTGAGAGTTACCAGGTAAACTGCAAAGTTACAGACCATTATTACCATTGTACTCAGAGTTTTCCATCTAGTTGCCTGATAGTCCGTTCAGAGCGATTTGAAGCACCAGAATGCATGTTCCAGCCACATCTGGTTGACGTAGAACAGCCTGGTGTAGCAGGTCTGCTTTCACTCTCGCAGTGCTCATGCTCTCATCTCATGCCATTTATTCCTAGAAATGCTATTCCAGACCATCCAAAATGCTGCTGTTGATATATGAGCTGAGCTATACAAGCATGTCATCCTTTCCGGTGGATCAAGCATGTATCTCGGTCTTTCCAGTTGTCCAGAGAAAGAGATGAAACAGTTGTATCTAACGTGTATCCTGAATGGTGATCCATCGAGATTGAACGTATGTTTTCTCCTAGTGGGCAGAACATGTTAAATTCTCCGGAATAAGTATGTTTTCTCCTACTCAACTCATATGAAAATCTGAAAACTAGATCCTTTCCTACAGAAATTCAAAATCAGAATCGAAGACCCTCCTCGACGAAAGCATATGGTTTTCCTCAGTCGCGCAGTCCTTGCTGACATCATGTGAGGCCGCGAAGAATTCTGGATATCACGAGAGGAGTGGTTCGAGCAGGGTGTTCAATCCCTTGATAAGCTTGGCCAAGGAGAAAATTAGACGCTACATCTGTACAGCAGCTGTACTGTTTCAGTAACCACTGTAATATACGGACGGTTTAAAGTAATATACAAAATATTTGGAACAGCACACGAAACAAACCACGAAGACCAGAAATCTCTCTTTCAACTAGATACATGCCCTGCCGCTACCACTTATCCCAGAATCCGGACTAACGTTCTAAACGCCTCGTCGCATCACCAAAGTCACTTCGGATTATGTCAATGCTTTGTACCAGCCTCAGCTCCCTCCCTCTCATCCTTCGAACCTTGCGAATAGGCTCAACCGCATCCTTCTCATCATCAGTGACGAGCCGTTCCTCCTCGGGTAGCTGTTCGGAGTACTCAAATGTCTTACAAAGCACCGCATGAGTTTTTGTCAACGCTTGAGATACGGCTTCAGATAAAGATGTCCGGAATGGAGGAAGGACCTGCAGTAATGATGACTCAAGTGATGGATTGTAGTGTGCCACGACAAGAGAAGAAAAGAGGTCCCCAACGCCGAAAAAATATCCAGGGAGTAAAGGAACACATTGTGCATGTACATCGGAAGGCGAATTCTCGTTTGATATCGAGTTCCGCTGCAGACGTTTTGCTCCCTCCAGAATGGCCGTATCCTGCGCAATGATGATTTCGAATTCTATATATTTAAAATTAAGGTCTAAAAGACCTGCATGGTTGGAGAAATTGGCGGTATTCACAAGCTGTGATTGAAAGAATCCTGAATCAGACAAATATCGGCTATAATTTCTATGAGACGTACATCAACATCATAGCCAAGACATTGCAGAGGGAAGGCAGCAGCTTTACCACCAACGTAGCCAAAAGCAACATGAGATTGGATGCTGAGGACTCTTCCTTCCATAACTTATGTCGGAGTAAAACTTGAGAAGGAAAAACACAGATTTTGAAGGATGAAACCCCTGCATATAACGAAAAACAGGTCAAAGCTAGATAGAAGAAAAGAGAGAGAGAGAGAACAAAAACAAGCACAGCGAACAAGGACCAGAGATGGTATAGTACAGTTATAGCAGATAGGGTAGATAGACATAAAGGGATTGCGTTTTGCATACGCGGGAGTGGAAACAGTTTCCTCCTTCCAAAAAAACAGATCGAATCTCAGTATTGTCCTCCCAAGTTGCATCTCTCCTTCCTTCCTCCCTTCCTTGATTCCGTCCAGCAGCTCAGGCCACCGCATGCGGGTGATCACAACCTACTTCATTGGATCCAACGAATCATCCAGTCCCTGATCATTTGGACTGAACTATTGCCTGAAGTCTCTTTTGAAATTCGAGTCCCCTCTTGGATCCCGAAAGAGATTGGGGGTCGAACGTATCAAGGCCACCAACTTCGATGTCGTTCATAAAGTCTGATCTGAAGAAAGGTATGTCTGAGCCCGTACCATTCATTGCATTGATACCACAGTTGATACCAACCATACCGGAACCCATGCCGCCTGGGCCAATACCATTGGGCATCCCAGACATCGGACCAGACATCCCTGGCATTGGAGTATTGCCAAGCATCGAACCTGGTGAAGGATCCATGTTTGGCGGAGGTAGAGATGTCATACCTGGGTGAGGACCAGAATTTGGGGCGGGGTTCTGGGATGACAGAGGTCTACCTGGTGGTACAGGCATTGACGAAGGACCATTAGCAGGACCTGATGCAGTAGGGGCCATACCTGCACTTGAAGGAGGAAGTCCACCGCGAGGTGAGCCTTCAATTTTCATATTGATGTCCTTTGCCGAGCCATCCTTGTTCATCCCAGGTGATAGAGGTGACATTGGGGCTGCCACCAAGAGTTGAGCCTGGGTCGGAAGGAGATCCAGCGCCACCACCACCAAGCTGTCGTTGATGGAAATTGGCAAGTGAGTTGTGGCATTGTATTGGTCCGTCTAGTGGTGGTGGACGACCGGGTGGGTTCGTGGGCTATGAGAGAACATACGTCTTAATTTGAAAAAGGAATTGGCGGAGGATTACAGTTAGTTACCGACCTGTATCTGAGGGGTCATCATACCCTGCTGACCCGCCATCCCCCCGCCCATTGGTGGTGACATTGCGTTAATCGTATGTGGCAGAGCCGGACCATTCATGGTATTCATTCCTATCCCGCCCATTCCTCCCATCGGCTGACCAAACCCATTTACATTCATAGGACCACCTGGGGGTCCTCCTCCGGGCATTGGTGGACGCATGCCTCCTAATGTTGGTTGATGTGGACCGGGACCTGGACCTGGACCACCAGGCGGGCCCATACTTGAGCCTGGTTGGCCTGGCTGGGCCGCGTGCTGTGGGTAGGCTGGACCTGGTGGTGGATCGACAGGTGACTGGCGAGGTTTCTTTGTTGGAGGTGATCCTGTCCCAGGGACGTTGTCCGGCTAAGGAGCGACAAGGTCAGTATATGATCCTCAAGATAAATGGGGATTTGGGATTGATTTCTTGATGAAGTATGATGATGTCGAGAAACTGATTACATTACTTACATCTTCTCGAGGCGACGTGCTGTTCCGCTTCCCAGTTCTACGTTGTGGTGGATGCATTGTTGAAGGACCTGCAGCAGCATTTGGGGGACCAGATTTGCGTCCTGTGGGACCTTTCTGTCGCCACATACTATTGATACGTTGCTGTAAAACAGATCAGGATAGGTGAGAAGACGTCACTGAATCAGAGGTAGTTCTCCGACTCGGTGTCTCCCAATTTCGATTGGCATAAGGGATGAACGACCATTCGAATTTGATGAATTCAAAATCTGCGATTCGACTAAAGCCGTGTGAGCCAGCGCAGCAGGCTGGGTGTACATGCAAGTGTCGTCAACCTGATGCCTCTTGTCTGACTCACACTGCGGACATGATATCGATCTGCGTACTATCTGCGAAGGATAAGTGGGAGAGTGTGAAAGAGGGCGTGATGTCCTCGCGCTAGATGTACAAGCAGATCTAGCTGGCGGTTTTTTTGAACCAAGTTTTCCACTAGGGCTCCGAGGGTCATGATCGTCTCTGTCAGACTGTTTATCCAGATCCTGCAACTGCTTCTGAAAGCTCCATCCCATGGTTAAGGGACCGAACATAGCTCGCGCTGGAGCAGAAGACGATCGAACTTCCATAGTACATTCCGAATCGTGTCTTGGTTTTCTGCGCTGTGACGGAGGCGAAGTTGGATAAAGGAAAGGAGATACATGGGTTGGGTCTGGTAGGAGAGCTTCCCGCGATAGTAAAGAGTCAGATCGAGGCTCGTTCTGAGATACGAGCCGCCAGGGAGAAGTTACTGCCTCTCGAAAGTTCGAAGAATTCTTCGAGCTCATTACGAATACAGGTCATTTATGAAGATATAGGCCTTTAAAGTTCCATTTTCTGACTTGACATTAGCTAATTCAAGGAGACGTCTATGGAGCACAAGGGAAGCCTCACTTGCTTTGGCGCAGCGCGCAGCTCTGATACCGCGCGTTTCAAGCCGTTTGGAGTGTATAAATGTTTGGCGCCACCGTTGTATCTCCGGATCAAAGGGGAAGTGAGACCGGTCATGAGTATTCTAGGTTTAAGAAAGTTCATTTTGTTGATGCCTCAAGCTTACCTGGAGTAAAATCATGCTGAAAACCTCTTCAAACTAGGCAGGAAGTACCAGGAACAGAAGCAATTGACGGGAATGCACACCTGGCAAATGCTGGCAAATGGCTGCGCAATCACTCAGCTGAATGATTTCTCCTGCTAGGTCTTCCTTGGCAAAAATCTGCGAAGGTATACTCATCCGGATTATGCTTATCTGTGCTGAGAAGAACTCGAGGTTTTCGGCAAGGTTGCGGGAACAAGCAAGTCACTTTTGTTGGCGTGCGAGATATGATGTAACGAGCGCGGGAGTCAGGACTGCCGACCCCGTAAGTGGGGCGCTTAATTTAACTTCTTCTTTAGACCGGTACCGCCTTCATCTACAGTGTTATTACTGTAAAAGTCAGCAGAGGTAAATTAAAGACTTTCCTCTTTACCACCATGTCCTACTACCCGTCAAATCACCAAAACTCGGACTATGGCGCACCATTTGCGCCACCCAATAATCAAGGTTACTATCCTCCCGGAGGATTCGTGAGTACAATTCATGCTTACGAGTCATCGTGCGCAGAGCTTATGCATTACTAAATTCAATAGAATCTGCCTCAGGCTCCTGGTAATCCTCCCCCTATTCCATCGTATTCTTATCCTGCATCAAATTATCAAACTCATCCCCCTCCTCCTTCTTTTCACAACGGATATGTGCGTCGTTCCTCGGTTCTTCGCAAGAAATATAACTAAAATGAGAATCCAGGCGCCAACGTATCTACCCGCTCCAGCATCCCAATCGCACGGAGGTTACACTCCCGGCCCTCCTCCTCCGTCACAATCGACATATCCAGGAGTCTCTTACCGAGCTCCACGGTATTCTCACTATCAAAATCAAGCATCTGTTATACAATACCGCAATACGCCTGTTCCGGCACCTGTAGGGTACGATATGCCACCTTTGGGTGATATTGCTCCGGGGTACGACCCTTCGACGGATATTGACAAGATTCGGAAAGCCACGAAAGGAATAGGCACTGACGAGACTGCCCGTAGGTTTTTGTATCCCACTTCTGTTTGAGCTACAATCTGACATTATTTATGCACTAGTTATTGCTGTTCTAGCTCATCTTGGGTCGCTTCCTATAGCTTCGCTGTCGGCAGCTTTCAAGGCGAGGACAGGGAAAACTCTAGTCGAAGTTTTGGACAGTGAGACTAGCGGATATTTCGGGTGAGTTGCTGATCATGACCTTATCGACCTCATTCCTAAATTGAATTCAGAGAAACTCTCCACGGACTAGTGCAAGGCCCACTTTGGCACGACGCTGAACTTGCCCGGAGTGCAATTCAAGGGGCAGGGTAAACTCCATTCATTCTGTAGATTGACCTTCACTGACAATTTCCAACAGAACGGATGAACTGCTTTTGACCGAGGTCATCGCCGACCTGACTCCTTCAGATCGCCAAAATCTCTTTATGGCATACCGGATGCGCTACGGTCGCGATCTCCAAGCTGATATACGCAACGACTTGAGTGCAAAGACCGAAAGACGTGCGTTCAGCGTCTATACTGCGTTCATTGATGTATGCCCTTTTCTGACACGCTCGCTCGTATAGAAGCTCAGAGGAATGTGCTCTCTAGCTCTACCGGTGTTGCATTCGATCCTCCGATGCTTCTAGTGCGGTTAGCAGAAAAGGAAAAAGCGCATCGCGAGAAGGAAATTTGTTTAACGGGCGACGAACGGGTCGCGTTGAACAGTCTACTCAGTTAGGGGATAGTCGACTCTGAGGATAATAATCAGCTTGATTTAGACAAAGACAAGCGGAACGAGAGCTGGATAAAAAAGGCAAAGGAATGTCGGGAATATGTGGGTTTGTCAATCAGCAGTCAATTTCGATCCCAGTTTCAAGTCATGTTTACTCTTGCCGGTGCTTGCGTTCCACAGGATATTAGACCCGAAGTGTCTATGTCCGCGTCCACCTCGTCCGCTCTCTCAGTACCTCGAGAAGTTTCTTCTTCTTCCTAGACCTCCGATTCTTCCGACTCTTCCGCAACCATGAACAAACCTTCTCCATCGAAAGTAGCTCCCACTCATACGTCCTGCGAACAGCCTCATTGGACAGTATATCGTTACTATCTTGATTCAGATTCCGGAATGCTGAACAAAGACCACGACAAAGACGCTGATACTGATGCTCCTCCTGAAGGCTCACGCTTGTGCGTAGACGACCGTGACCGGTGCTTAGGCGAAGTTATTACATCCTGGATAGATGAAGCCGAGGTTCCATGTGATCGACTTCGTGCTGTAAGCACTAATTCAGAACACCGCGGCGGAATCGGGCTCATGAATGGATTAGGAGGATCTTCGACGATGACAACGTGGAAGCGGTGTGAGGTTCAGGTGGGGAAGCATGAGAGGAGGTTCGTGCATGGCAGAGTAAAAGTCAGTGCCGCATCAAATGGCCTGCTGTCAAGGTCCTTGCCGCGACAAGCCTGGTTCACCCCAGTATCGCTACTAGTGCAGACGGCAGTGACGAGAGCAATGTCAATGAAAGCGATCGAAGTCCAGATGCGAGAGTGGTTACTATATGGGAAAGTTGTTTGATATGCGGTGCAGAGACCAAGAAAAATGAGTCGAGCGAGGGAGCATATTTGTTCTCGTTTGCAAAATACCTCGAACTTCTAATCTATTCCTCACTTCTTTGCAAGCTTTCGCCGCGGTTATGCGAACATACGGACCTTTCTTCCCTCTTCTACTTCATCTACTAAAAAAAGTGGTTTAGGACATAGGAAAAGTGTCTCCCGATAAGTTAAGTTTTGTTATCTTCCAGTTGGGTCAGATGGTGGCCTCGGTACCTGCGTGAGCTGATATCTCCTGATAAGTCAAGTTTTGTTATCTTCCAGTTGGGTCAGATGGTGGCCTCGGTACCTTTGTGAGCTGATATCTCCACCAATATTCTGACAATCGAATGTAATTTCGGAGAAATCCGATGTGAGCACCGTTAGAGCAGAGCATTTTCACGATGCAGGTTTCGGGGTATTCCGAAAGCAAAAACAAATAAATTCGGGGTCTGGGTAGCGACCATGAGCCTCCCATTCTTACTCTTCCACCATGAAGTTCTCTGCAAAACCTCTTAGAAGGGCAGCCAAATGGGTACGCTCCACCTCCGACACATTGATTGCCAAGCATCCTACCAGGAGGTCCAAAAGGACTGCATCAGTGACCTCTCCATCCTCGCAAGCTAATTCGACGACCTTTGAGCCTTCGCTCCGTGAAATGCCTCTGAACCCTGAGCCATTTGTAGTTCCCGATGGCTTTGTTAAGGATGGTGTTCAGCTATCATTCCCCCCCAGTCGAGATCGATATCTACCAGCCATCTTCTCCGTTCCTTCACATCCTCGTATACCTGAAGACGTTCGCTCAGAAATCAACCGCATCCTTATTATACCCTGGCCTGCAAACAATCCATCATACAACAAGTTTTTCTTTCACTATGTCAAAGAGAATGTGAAGATTCCAGGTGGTCCAAATGCCACTATCCCTCTTACTGGTAGACTTCACATTATAACCACCTGGATATTTACACAAATTTTTTTTTCAAAATATAGGTTGGGAAAAACTCTTTCCCGGTGATATTATTTTTGTTCGGGATCTTTCAGGTTCAGGAGAACCATTGGACGATATATTTGAAGGAGCTGTGGTCTCCCCGTTTGTATCTCCATTTGCTCATCATTGCAACAATGCTAAATGTAGCTACCTCAGGGATCCAAATAGTAATCTTGGTAAAATGATGCTCAATCTCCGTGATCTGACATTAGGCACAAGGGAAGAACGTACACAACTTGGCCGCACCCATTTTGAAAAATGCTCCAAACGAGCTATTCCAGTAGGAGGGGAAGGTTCTTGTTATTCTGTTGGATTAAGCCATCAGAAGCCCAGAAATTTGGCTGGTCCTTCAGCAGGAGGAAAGGTCAGGGGGAAAATCAGTGAGGAGGAGCAAGAACATGTTGAAATACGGGAAAATTTGGTCAAAGTATGCAAAAATTGTACAGATTTTGAATGACCATTCTCATGCAACAATAGACTGCCATCCGAATAGGCGTGGATATCTTCAAGCGACTCTTGCCCCAAGAGTACAAGGTCCTTGAAAACAATGCAGAATTACACAATGTTCCTCGAATTGGCACTGATGACAATGTCTGCTTTACTGGAGTCCAATACAATGTTGCAAAACCACAACCTGAAGAAGACAGTGAGTTTCAATCCTCAGTTATTTATTTATTCTGTCTCATCATATTTGTAGAGCCTACTTGTATCAAAACACTATTTTTCTTTGGAGGTGTTCATATTGATCAAGCTGATTCCAATGGCGGTAGGACAAAAATACTTTCTGCTCCAGATCTTCCTGAAGGCTGGGAAGGGGGGCGTTTCCACCTTGTGGAATTTGGTTTATACGTTGAGTTGGATGGATTGATTATTGCAAACTTTAGTGGCTTACACCTTCATGGTGGTACTCCACCATTGGCACCTACTGGTGCTGAAATTCCTGCCTGGGCATACCGTTCTGTGGTTGTGCTTTATCCTCAAGGTCCTATATTAGATGGACGGGTGGTAATGAATATTTCAGCTGATGAAGATGGTGTCCCTATGCAATTAACACCAAAGATGAGAAATTTAACTTCACAACCCCCAATTGCTGAAATGTAGTTTCACTATTTCATTCACACAACATGTACTAACATTGGACTCAGTGAATATGAAGAACTATCACCTGAAGATAAGGTCCAGAAGTATGTCTTTCCCATCTAAATATTATAGTGTATTGTATTCACTAACTTTGGAATCGTGTTAGTCTGGCCATTGAAGAAATTGCACTTTCTGCGAGGGAGATCAACTTTGTGGATGATGGTCATATTATAATGACACCTCAAGCTGAGGCAGACTTTCTTGCTCGAGCTTTCTATGAATTTCTCCGGTACCATCAAATCCGCAGTGGAATGACAGCTCCTGGGGATTTTGAAACCTTCCGCCACACTTGGTCAATTAAACGGAACGATTGCATTTACTATCCACGTCCTTGGCCTTTATGCCCTGATGGATCAGGATGGAGTGAATCTCTCACAAGTACAGGTCTGTAGCTGATATTCAATATCTAGGGTTTACTCATTCTTGTTAACTAAGAGCCGAGTCTACTTACGCTGCGTCAAAATATATATTTGCAATGGATTCAGCATTGCAAGCGCTATCGGCAAATTACACCATCAGTCTCACGGAATTATAAGTCTCCCCCAATTCGTGAGGCAGATTCATTTCCTTACCATGTTGCATCTAACATTCAAACAAAAAGGAGTACCTGGGCCACGTTTCAACCATATTCCATCGAAGCAGAATGATGCACTACGTATCAAACAGAAGAAAATTGCTGCAAATAGTCGAAGGGGTTTACGGTCCCAGAAAGGACCCGGCGTTTGTATGTTACACAGTTGTTCTATTATTCTGCACTCACATCAGTTACTTTGTACTCAGCTGATATATCCAGTGCTGCTCAACATGCACTGCAGGTAGTAAATTTTGAACCTGAGAATTTGTCTATAAATATGAAGAAAAGAAAACATGGAAGTGACAACAAGAAGAACAAATCCAACAACAAAATTCAAAGAATGACAGAAGGTATACCTTTGAGTTGTAATTCTCTACATAGCTGAATCCTTCTATCATAGCTGTTGTGGACAATATAGATGATGAAGGTAACAAGGATGATGATAAAGAATTTTCTGTCAAACGATTTATTTCACATCGTCTCTCCAACAATCCCAAGGTGCTAATAATCTCTTTTTAAACTGGTTTATATTATAATTGTTTTCCTGGTAGCATCCTGGCTATGAATACTTGATTGAGTGGGAGCAAGATAGCTCGGAAACATGGGTTCATGAAAGTCTTATTAGGTAAGGTAGAGAAAAAAACTCAAATTATGGGCATGCTAATACTTGCACATTAGCCAAGGACAGATGTACAATAATTATCGTCAAAAGGCATTCACTAAAATTACAGAGGGTAAAAAAACTACTGTGCCTCCCCTTTCTATCCAATCTAATATCATCTGCATAGTCTCTTCAGAAAGCAATTCCATGGGTAGGAAGCGGGTGTATCATATGTATCTGGGTCCGTTAGCTTAATTATATGTGTAGATTTTGATGGCATGGACAACTTTAACTGTCCTTCCAATGTGGCCCATCAACCACCAAGAGAAGATGGTATTTATCATTTTGCATCATTGGATGAGATTCAATATTAATCTTTCTTGTAGAAGGTTTTGCAAGGAGTGGTTTACCGGGCCAGAACAATGATACCAGTAGGTGGTTTATGATGCCCACACTGTGATGTATCAATGTATTTCCCTGCAGCATTCCGGATCCCCCTCTTGATGGAAGTTTCAGAGGACTCAATAACATGCACAATCCAAACCCTTGAAGATGCTATATCTAGCCGGCATGAAGCTGAAGGTGCAGGTGTACTGAAGCTGTTTCAGCAGATTCAAGAAATACATCTTGCCATTGAAAATACACCACTCGATCCTAGAACTATGAAAGTAGTTGGAAATGCCTGGTCCTTAATCAGTTCATTGCAAGCAAAATCCAGGATTCATGATGCTGAGACTCTAATTCTTCACCACACAATTATGCTTACCCATTACCGTCTGTATAACTGGGTGTGGAGATGCATCGATACCTCATTGGATAATCCTGGCTTTTCAACCTGGTGGACACGTCTTCATAACTATGTTAAAGATGCCTTTGAATTGGGACAACCCGATACCTATTTTGATTTCGACTCTTCAACTTATTTGCCACTGCTACAACCCCCTCGTGTATACCGGTGGAAGTATCGACCTAGACAAAGGATAAAGGAGGGTACCCGCCTAGGGAATACTTCACTATGCTCTGAAGTGATTTTCTATTGGCTTGGTCTACCTTCTGATTCCCACCATTCTATGCAATCAATCTTCCTATGCTCTCTCATGGGAAGTGTGGCTGATCCTAGTGTTTTCCTGCTCAGTAATGTTTGGAATGCATATACAAAACCAGAGCATTATCTACGACGGTCTTTCTCACTTGCTGATCAAAAGAATTTGCCAAATGGTCCTGAAACAACACTTTTCATCCAAGAAGTTGTCCAACATCCTATTCTTGGAAAAGTTCCATCGGCTTCTGTTCAGCTGCTATTCACAAAACTCCGTAATGCTCACCGCCGATTCCTCCTTTTGGATGCATCTCCTCAAATGGCAACGATATCTATGTCTGATACACTCTCTTCCCCAGTTTCCCCAGCTACTTCCTCTATTCTCCAAATATCTAACAAGATATTTCCACAAGCATCTTCTTTATCCAGCACACAGTCCCGGATGGGATTTTTCCGAGACTGTTTGCTAGAGATTGCACCAGTCATGCTTAACCAGCATCTGCCATTACCACCAACAAAGCTGCAGCAGAAAATACTGAAAAACACTGACCGTCACGGTCCTTTCCGTGAACTCAGCACATCACGTTGCAAAATCATGGAACAGAATGGCCCATTTTCTCCTCATAATATCTACTCACGGGAGGGAATTTTCAGTGCACTTGTTTTCCGAGGCATTTTATTCAACACTGATGCTCTTCAAGAGCATGTGGGCTGTGGGTTCTTTGAATCCTGGGATGCTTGGAAGCAGTTTGTGGCTGCTCATCGAGATAAAAAAGAAAGTTACATGTGTAATCCACATGTCTATGGAAGAACAAATGGCCGTTCTCCAAGTAATGCCCAGCATTTCTGGATTGGTAGTGAAATTCTCCACAAGAAACTTCTCCAAGAACCCAATATCACCTTTACCGAAATTGTTGATTTTATTGCCACAGCAAAGGGTTTGGATAAGAAAACTCTTTTTCCAACTTTTGGTATTCTTACTGCCTACTTGTTCACTGTGGATCTAGTATATGCAGGTCGAGCTCCCATGCCATCATTAGAAGAAGTTGCCAAAATGGTATGCAAACTAGATAAAGGCGGTTCCCGGGGCTTGATGAAAATTGGGGTTGCATCTGACAGTTCCCCTAAGCAGATTGCAAGAGGTTTCATAGAGCTCTTTCATTTTCTTGATCAGGATAAAGAGTTCTCTCATATCAAGCACCAGGTAATATTTGACCCTTTTATGCTTGAGCATTCTTTATGTAAAGCTAGTCGTGATAGTTGGTTAAGTTTTGCTTGATTATTTCCATCTGCAACTTCTTTCAAACTGTAGACTTCATATATACTTCAATTTCTAATTCATATATACAGAAATAGCACTAGCAATAGTGGCCTATGAATATTCTATGATTATCTTTTAGAAGTTATACTGTGGTATATGAGCCAATTGCATCTAACATCTCAACCAACAACCAATGATGAACTGCTGTTCGTGCATCTTTACATTCTGAGTATGGGTCATATGAAGCCCGGATAAGTTTGATGAGAAATGAAGCAGGGATCTTTATGGAACGGGTGCAAGTCTTGAATGCACAAGTTCCGGAGGAAAGATATGCATTCTGAAGTTCCTGGCCAATACGAGAGGGAAGGTAAAATGGATCATCATCTTCTACAAGCTGGATCTGTTGATAGAAGAGTTTAATTAAACCTTTATTTTGCAAACAAGAAACATACCTTTAAAGGATCCCCTTCATGCATAATACGAGGTGCCCCTGAAACCGACCAACACAGAAGTTTCATCCGGAAAGTAGATGAAGTTATTTCGTCCAGATTTATTTGTCGGCTCAACCGATCCTTTATGGCTTCAAGAAGGCGTGGACAAGGTGTGCCAGAGTCCTCAAGATAATCACGGAAGATCTCTTTAAAGGTCTTGCCCTCGAAAGGTGCACCAGCATTGGTACAAGCATCGGTAAGCTCCCGTAAGGTTGTAGCTTCAAGATCAACAATAAACGAAAGATTCAAATCCTCAAACCCCTTGATTATTGAGGTTTCAGCGCTTTGAACAAAATTCTCAACACCCCCATCGAAGCTCCGAACAATCTAGAATATACAAATTAGCTATAAACACTTCATTCAAAAGTGTAAGGATAGAGAAACCTACATCAAAGAGGTCTGCGGTTCCATCTATACAACGCATGCGAAAACCTTGCAGAAAAGAGATGAAGAAAACATTATTGATACTGGATGGTCCCACAACTGCATTATAAAGCATCTCGAATGCCAAATGCTGATGTCCAGTCAATGATCGTCCATTTAGTGCTGCAACCTAATCAACTAACAATTAGTCAATATCCCTAGTTATATATGTTGAATTACCTGAATATTATGAAATGATGCAAAGTGTGATGTGAACTGCTGCACATCATCGTAAGGTCCAATACGCAACCAGGCATCAAGGGTGTGGCCCAAAGAGGGAAAATATTGAAAGACTAGTTGACGATGAAGACTACGTAGCTCGTTGCCATTGAGAAGGAAAATAAGTAGTAATGGGTTCAGGCAGCCAGGATAATGTCCATATATTAATGCCAAAGCTGTAACAGCACCAAACATAGCCAATTCTTCTTTTTTCGCTTCCGATAGATGTGTCGAATCTGTTTGGGGAAGAGTAGTTAGAGTACCAAAATCTTCCAGGAGGGGTGTACAAAATTCAGATGCCCGAGTGACAAAATACTCTTCAAACAATCGGTTCATAATGGATTGCTCTACGCCAGGACCTGAGGTGACAAATTCTTCTTCCCCATTTCGATCAATCCGCATTCTATTTTCAAAGCAGAAGGAAGATAAGTAGAATTGAAGGCAGGTTTGAATCAACATACTGGGTAAAATGGCGGTTGGGTGAAAGCACAGTATCCCACTCCCTGCAGCGAATTGCACCTCGTAAAATATCTTTAAAATTGCTGACCAGCTCTTCCTCACTGCTACCTTTGACTCGAAAGCCAGGGCAATCGAAGCCATAATGATTGCGATGAAGCTGACCCACTGCATCAAAAATATTTTTAGACCGTTCCAGATTATAGAAGGTTGGGATATCATCCAATGCCTCTGGCTGGGACCATGGGATTTCCCAGAGCTTGCCAGTAATAGAGGCTGGATCAACTCCTAGGCGCTGGACAACTGAAGACTATATATATTTCAGACATTAGAAGTGAGACTAATATAGATGATACAATAGACTCACCATATTAGGAATGACTTGCACATTCATCTGCTATATGATAAAAGCCTAAGTCATTTTCAAGTATATTAAAAGAATACTTACATTGTTAGTTGTTGGCTGAATATTGGCCTCAGGCAATTGAGACAATGAAGAGTTTGTGATGACTGGTACCAACTCTTGGGCAATAATCCGGGTATCCTGAAGAACAGCAATCAAAGAATATTTGGCAGACACAAGTCAATTCATACCTCATCCGAATCACCACCATCAGAATCTATCTCGTCACAAGAATCCTCCAATTCTGCATCATCCAGAGCTGAGAACTGGAGATTTGCATCGCTATCATGGGCAAACATTTTGTATAATCTCTTCGAAAGACAACGATGGGTGCGTATATTTACATCTTGGCCAAGATAGACATCTGATAAGCTGAACTGAGCCTCAAATGGGTAGGTTCGGATAACTAGAGACATTGGTTATCTGTTTGGATTTCTTTTACTGCAAATCACTCACTTGAATTTAACTGGAAACGGTTTTGATGTGTCACCGACCATCTGTCAATTGCAAAGTCCCGAGTATTCGAAAGAACATCCTGCAAAGTCATTGTGGCTGGAAATGACACTGTGGTAAGCCTGGGAGCTGCATGCACCCCATTTGCTCTCCCACGATTGGTGAATCCCAGAAGCTGCAATGGAAAGCGTTCATGACCAGCAAGTGGAATACTAATGTCTGGTAGAGCCTCAGGCGTATATTGCTCACGGATCTTTCCTACAGCATATGCAATGATGTCACAGATAGGTGTTGCAATAGGAAGATGATTGAATTCGAAAAAGAATCCCAGCTTAGTAAGGATAAGCTTCAGGCTCTCGGTATTTCTGCTATAAACATATGTGTGTCTTGGTAGTCCAAAATGCTATGTATCGGTGGAGAGCCAAATTAGTTTATTTTCCAAAGCATATTAAGATGGGAACATACATTCTGAATTGAGGTGGGTGGCATGGGAGGATAGACCAAAAAATCAACATTTGCAACTTCTACCCCCCCTTCCGCCTGGCTGATACAATTACGGACTGTCGGTAGTGATGGTTGACCAATACTAGGTGGCTTCACTGCCTTTCCTCGAGTCTTCTTCCTTGGATTGTGTGGCAATGAGGTGCTAGCATGCTCAAGACGTGTCTGATTGGAGCGTGTAATTGTTGTCATGCTTGGAAAACCAGAGGAAGATGTTACTCGAGGATGGCCTAAAGTTGCGCTCAAGCCTGAACCAGGACTATAACCACCTCCTAGACTCGCTAGCATCTGCAAACTACTGTAAGGACGGCACTGGGAAGGTGGTGGTGGAAAGACAGTGCGGTCAGGTATATTGATAGGCTGAGGCGGAACTTGTGAAAAAGATGAAGAGTGCTCAGGCTGAGATGGCGATAGAGATGATTGCTGAAGAGCCTGATTTCCAGCAAGTGATACAAGGGGAGACTGAATTGATTGGGAGACTGCCGACTGAATTTGTGGAGATACCGAAGATGAGTTTAGCACAGGTTGTGCCAAGCTAGATGGGAGTACTGATGGCTGAGGCAGCTGAGGAATAGAAGATTGGGCAGATGGATGCAGAGGGACAGATGAAGATGACAAGAGCGATGCTGATTGAGGGCGTCCTGATAGTGAAGACTGTGAAGTCGAGACCTGTGAGCCTACTACTGGCTGAGAGTGCAGTCTCATCAATTCCTGCCCCTGTGGTGACGATAAGAGTTCTCCGAGTAAACGGTATGCATCGGAGCTCATACTGGAGCATAAGTTCAAGAATAGGAGAGAGATATTCCAAAGAGTGTGAGCGTCTTATTAGGTGATGAGGGAAAAAAAATGGGCCTCAAGATAGGATTCCTGTCCTTATATATCTGCAGGTAATTTGTCGAAGCTTTTGGGAAAAACACATTGTCCATGACATGTCCTATCAGACAATCCTAGTTGAGAGCACAAGAGCTCTTGCCATCAACGCTGATCAGCAACAGATCCCGCTACAGTACCGCTAACTTCTGAGACAAACTCCCCTGTAGTCCTGCTGCAATTCCGCTGGTATCCCGCTGGTGTCCCGCTGATATCCCACTGATATCCTGCTGATATCCCGCTGATATCCCGCTGAACCCCTGCTGCAGTCCTGTCGATGAATGGAAGGACTAATGCTGGAGTCAATTCTTTTGTGCTAAATACCTCTCCTAGGCCAGTAGGATGTTGGGAAATTTATATGCACAGAAGAACATTGGCAGATATATATTAGATTTCAAAAATCTTCGGGCTCACAGTTGGATACAGTAATTGGATTTTGATTATAGTAGAGTAGCAAGATTCAGCCGCAGTAGAATAAAATTGAGGTCGAGTGATTTGGAGTCACTAGAATTGATGCAAGTAAGACCTCGATTTTTGATCGAAATCTGCCTTCATATTGATGACACTGCCACAAACGCGATGTACTGCTTTGACCTCTACTTGCACTTGCCTCTATTTGCCTCTACAAGGGACCTTGACCAAATCAAAACCACATTAACTCATAATACAACTATTTCTCTTGGGTCCTGCCAAGTTGGTTGACCTCTCTATACGGGTTTCACGCGTAGCTATTGCCACCGTGGCAATCTTAGTTGCAAGGGCAAGAGCGTGAGTTTACTCCCCCAGACCTCTCGCGAGCTATACCTTCACCACTTGCTTTGTACTCGTGACTAAGGATGTTCAACAATCAATCTACTTTGGGCTTTCCTATCTCCGCAGCGTCATTACGAATCAGTCAGAACATTAGGCCGAGCCCAATGCAAGCCTGCTTTTATCCACTTATTCATGGGATTGTTGGTCAATTACCCCCGCGGTACTTCGCAGAAAATCATCTTGAGGCATTTCTCCCTAAGAATTTACGCTTGGTGCCTGAAATCCGAATCTTCCCCGAGATGAAATGGTTGGTGTATGAGTTGAAGTTCTCTTTAGGCCAAAGCGGTAAGAAACAGTACTGGCTATTCCATCCTTTTGAAGCTCGTGCGTACAGCTGGATGGTTAGCTGAACGTGTAGTCAAGTAGTACATCTTCAAGGCAACCTACTGCCTATTGAAAACAAGGTGGGCACAGCGCATTCGTGCTTACTTTGAAAAAGCGGGTATAGAGATGCGCCTATTTCGTGGATCTGATTTGAACGCACTAGGTACATACATACATGCCACAAATTCTAGTTGACCTATCACCACGCTCCTTTTCCATGGGAGCTAAAACTTTCAGAGAATGTCCAACTTGCTGTTAGCTATTCAGAGTTCACATGAAGTAGGGTGCTGTTCAATCACAAGTGTTATTGAAGTTAATCATGTTCATAAGTCGTGAGAGGCGTGTATGTATGTACAGTGTAAGTATGTAGTCCGTGCTGGTTAGTTTGTTAACTGTTTGATACACCCGAAGCAATAATTATAAGTCAGGAAGGAGATACATTGAACGCAATGATGCAAAACGAACTAAAGCGAATGGGAACTAGCGGCGGGAACACCAGTGAAGAAAACTAACATGCAAAAAGGAAAGAATCAACATAAGAGAAGAAAATCGGATGATAACACTACATATGATGAGATAAGAGATACAAAGAATAGTCACCAGCACTGCAGTGAACTAGAAGAAATGAGGATGGTATGAGGTGACGACATTATCCCAAACCAAAGCAACGATGACAATGAGATGATGTATGATCAGTCCAAGTGAGAAAATGCAAAGGAGAAATGGAGATGAGACCAACTACACGCATGGGAGCAGCGGCTAATACTTTCTCCCTTTCCCGACAATCCCTCGCATCCTTCGTCGAGCTCTGAATACGCTGAATCGAACTCGGAATGCGAGAGCATTGCAATGTCGTCGAAGTGCTTCATGACAGCTGGGAGTGTAGTCCGGCTCTATCCCGTCTGTAGAGCGCGCGTCAGGAAATGAAATTTCGTCTTCAATTTCTTCGGGATGTGATAAAGAATACGTGTGTGGTAATGTGGTTGGTAGAGGAGAGAAAGAAGGTGATGGGTAGGATGGCGATGGCGCGCTGTAGGCAGAGAAGGGATACGTCGTGTGTACTCGGCGAGGCGCGTGCGTTCGAGAGTGAAATCTGGGAGACGCGTCGTAAGAATCATATCCCTCATCGCTAACCTCCAGCTCGTCTTCGTCTTCCTCCTCATATCCGTATCCATACAAGTCCATGTCCCTGCCACTCCTGTTACCCCTCCTGTAGTACCTTCCCGCTCTTCTGTGTCGACCATAAGTCGATGCCCCTGAAGACGAAGAGGAGCCAGAAGATGATGAGTAAGAGTATAAGTGCTGGGGTTCGCTCTTTGTTGTTTTTGACTCCGAAATCAAAGACAACGATAGAGGCGAATGTTGTCGAATCGACTGCTGAGGCATGTCGAAGCCACTTTCAAATTCGTAGTGAGTTCCGCGGTCGAAATCGGTATTATTCGACCTAATGTCGTTCAAGCTGTGCATTGAGTGTTGTGAGAACGAAGCGAAGGGTAAGCCCTAAGGTGATAGTCTGATAGAAGTCTTGGAGCTAGACGCGGAGGAATGTGCTGTTGAGTACGAAAGGAATCGTCGGTCAAGTGCGAATTATAATCCGATGCGTTAGGGGGAGGGTGTTCAACCATTCATCCAACCTTGTGGTGCTTATATATAACCTGCCCACGACCTCTATACGTAGTGGTTACTAGAAAGAAAGGGAGACGGAAAAGGAAACCCACGATGACACCACAAACGAACCAACTTACGGCATTATTTCTTTATGTAGTTCCTTCCTCCCAATACACGCCGCAATGCACGCTGCAATCGCGGCGGGCGGTTAAATTCACCGGTTCGGTTCGTCTCCTCGAGGCAGCTCGCCATTCAAAGTGAGCCAAGCATACCTCCAATGGCAGCCTGAAGTACGCTCAAGTGATATGAACGTGGTAAGGGTCAGGTCTTTCCAATCTCCTTCCCAACCATACAATCTGGCTTTCTGGAGCTTGAATCATCCTTTCGAGATTTCACCGGCTAGATGAATGTTCGGATTAGATCGATGGCTGCACTATCGCATTGTGATCATATACAAGTGCGCATTGATTTCGCGATTGCGATTGCGATAGGACGCCGAGTGCACTGTCACAGTCTATGCAAGTTGCTTCATGCCTCCTGCATCGAGAAGAAAAAGCGTGAAAGGTGCGAAATATGGAGACTTGAGCCCCCTGTATTTGGCGAGATATGTAATAGTACACAAGGTGGAATGCAAGCCTCGGGATAAGCGCTGTATGGTGGTCGTAGGGTTCGGAAATCGGGAAAAAAAATGCGACAGCGTATGTTTGGGGTATCAGGATATCGGTGAAGGCGGACCGTGGTGAAGATTGTGATAGCCATCCTGATAAAGTTGGAAGATGTCATCCAGTGCGAACTAAGGACAAAAGTATGCGCTGCATCAAGCGCCACGAATGGGGAATCAAGAATCTGCATTTCTTGTCATGCAGAAAGCCAGATGAGACCCGATATTCCCAACCAGTGGATTTGAACACCAGTCCGACGATATACCGACCAGAAAAAACGGCCAGTCCAGGGTATCAGCACATCTGCAGAGACCGCGTGATTCTTGGCACAAGAGGTCGTCCTGTCACAGAACATCATCCTCTGCCGCTTAACTTGGTCACCGAGCCTTCTCAACATTTCCGGTCTCAGACGAGAGCGGATTCACTACGGCGATAACACCGGTAACGACTGCGAACTCGACGGTGCCAGCGCATATGCGCGAAGAATATACTCTTCGGGAATTCCTGAGTCTTCTTCTCCCTCCTATAGCAAAGTGGTCCAAGATTCGATAAAGTCCTTGGTCTTCTTGAACGATTACCCCCATCGTAAGGGCTCGCGCACATCAGAATTGTCCGCAGTGATCGCAAACATGGGTGCAGAAGAGGCAGTCCAAAGTCGTTCGATATGCATTTTTGATGATGCGAAGGAGAGTGGATCGAGGAAAACGCGGTACTTCGACACCCACCGAGAAGGGTATCAAGATAGAAAGGTTATTTGTCGCGAATAAGATGGTCTGCAAAGCTCGAGGATTGTGCATCGAGACCAAGCCGGACCATATGTCACCAGACATTGAGAAATCGTTGAATTAAGGTCCTGACAGTGTGTTCTCGAATCTCTATGTCATAATGATAAGTTCCCTCAGCAGTTGAGAAGATTCTAACCGTGCGTACCTATAATTTCTTCTTTGTATTTGCCCTTGACATCGATATCGAACCATACAGGGATCCTATCTGCTCTAGAAATTCCACTGATGCGAACCAAAAAAGCAGTGGAGCAAGCACGATCCTCTATGGCGCCGCCCGGACGAAAAGTGGGAGAAGAAGATTATACAGGTCCGGGAACAGCACCAGAAGAAAACTTTCGTGCAACTAGCTGGAGAACTCAGAGCGAATGTAGTGCGACTGACGAGGTTGGACGCTCTGTTCTGAGCTCAAACATTCCATGGAATGGAGCAAGTCAACGAGAAGTTGAAGGATATTCCAAGGTCGATTACTCTTAAGATCGACCGTTATCGAAGAAAAAAATTTTGACCACGAATAAATTTAAGGATGCTGTAGCTTTGACAAGATAGTCTTGCTCGACCAACAATAGGTCTACAAGTCCAAGCACTGAGTCAACCTGTCAATTTATTCGTCTACAAGGATAGGTATTAGCTCACCGGCGAAGGAACAAGTCGAGCTTAGAAGATTCCAAATTTGAGAACTCCTGGAGTGTTCTAAATCCAGCTACTAGAATATTGCTTCCTACAGCCTGAGGATGATGATATGAGAAGATTAGCCGCGATCTTGATATTTTGAAGTACAAATTCCGGAGATAGGTACCTTCAAACGCACTGAGTATCAAATTTTGAGCCCCAGGTACTGCAAGTATGGCCAAAGCAAGATATTCTGACCTACACACAAGATATTCGTCAAAGACGAGAGAGGTACCGGCGGCATACGACCGAATGATCCGAAAATATGTAATCCTCCCAAACTGTACTTACCAGCGCTTCTTTCTTTTCTCACCTTTTCTCACCATCACCAAATTCACAAGTCTGCGACGAAAATCGATCACGACGCTCAGAAACAGCTTTCTCTTTACAAAACTTCCCTGGGCTGTGATTAGCTGTGTCTCACTCAGGAGTAAATCGTACTTAGCTCTGTTCAGCTCTCACCAGCTGTTAGCTTGCTGTTTGTCAACTGAGCCAGTTCGTGTGCGCTTTTCCCTCGAGGCGTCCAATGTCAAGTGATATAATACTTTACCCGAACCATATACAATTCCGGACCTATGATTGCGAACTGCGATAATCCCTGATAATCCCTCTTGATGAAAGGAGAAAGCCTTTTTGTGGGTATTTTCCATGATTCTTCCATGATAATTGACGGTTCTCGATTATCTATCTATCTCCGGGTATTTCTCTGAGTATTCCACACTGGCAGTATGGCAGTATTCTTCAGCTCCGTTCTATCGCGTCTCATCTCAGTGACACAGTCTCAATTTTTATCTAATCATCTTTGCATGCATCGACTAGGTCTCAGCCGAGCCTTGAGGACAACCAGATTATATCACATCTCGTCCTGTTAACTTTCATCTATCAGAAAAATACCCGATGGCAACAAAGGGCAGCCTTAACCAATACGGGATGCTCAGCTCTCCACTTAGGTCGTGGTGCGCCACAGATTCCTATATGTCTCATCGGGTGTATATACTGTACGAGTAAGCACCTACGAGTACTGCGCGCCTGATTTTTTCATATATCCCCATCCTCTTCCTTCCTCCTCAGGTCGTTCACTATCTTTTTCAGTTATCCTCCCGCCAATCTATTGCCACAAGTTGTCATTGCAAGGAACGTTGTAAAACTTTGCACGGATATCCGTCTGGTAATATATCATCATCAATCATCAATCATCCGTCTTTCAAGTACTTTCTTTCACCTTTCCATTTCCGAAGATTGCCGCATCATTCAGTTCTTTGTGCGTATGTTTTTGAAATTTTACGCATTTGCGCATGTCGGCTCCCCACGAACGCCTCGAGTAACTTGCCTCACGACAAACCAGGATAATCTTCAATGGGCTCCGAAACAGGCCGATTCTTCGTAGATCAAATTCCATCACACCTCGCGACGGAGGTAACGCCTTGAGTCGTGCCTCGAGTCGAGCCTCAAGTACATCATTCGATTCATGTTTTCAAACGCGGGGTTTTCTATGAAGGGGTTTCTCCTTTCTTCGTACTATTCTAATCGGATAAACTCCCCGATCTGTAGCGACCCATTCTCTATAATCACTTTTCCCCCTTCATGTTGTCAATTTCTTTCTTCCTACTATTCTTTTCAGTCTTCGTATGTATGTTTCGGTCAAGCGGTTGTTGATGGTCGAACGAACTGATCTTCCTGATCTACAGCTTTTTTGTTTTCAATCCCGCTATGAGCAGGAGCATGCATTGAAGCTATTGAGACAGCATAAATGTGTATGAACCACTTTACGCGTAAGGGAGGGCAGAGGGTTTTTTGGAGCCTCAGGCAAGGTCAGGGTGGTGATAACATTAAAATTGTGCGGTATCACTGCGGAGGTCTGTAAAATGGTGCAAAGGCTAGAACAGTTTCGAGAACAATAGATTGGTCGATATAATGTATAGACAATACGTCGACTTCTCTTTGACCACTGATATCCATTCTGAGATCCTACTACCACCTCGTCCTAACGCGCTACATCCACGACTCAGAAGGACGAGACTTCGAAAGCAACCATTCAAATTGAAGACGCGAAGACCGCAATACTACGGAACTTGTGAACCAAGATATCATGAGCGTGTAAAGGCACTTCTCCACAAAGGTAAATGATATGCAATAGCATGTAGAAGTCGAGTCTGCATAACGACGAGCACGATCATGTCGACCTGGCAGGAGGTGCACTCTTTCCACTCTTCGGAAATGCAGTTCAAATTCATGTGGTAATCACGATGAACAAAAAGTACATCCTGAGAGTACCTACATCCCTGAGTATAATAGACCGCCAATACAATCGTTCGTCTTGCAAGTCCAGGCGCAGGTTCCTCCTCCAAAAGTGTATTCGTAATGAGGCTTCGGACAGCGGACATAATGCTATTCTGGAGCGCTCGGACGTCGGAATGCTGAACGTAAAGTGTACCGTTGTCTCTCGTAAAGGTCGTGATCATCGTTGAATATATAAAGAATCAGGAAAGCAGGAACACTGGGTGCACAGGACTTTGTATAAAGAGGATCCTCGAGATTTAGAACTGTAGGGAACATTAGAAACAGTATCGAGAAATTGGAACACCTCTCACCTTATGCCAAAAGACGGAACAATTCTCCCTGCATACGCTTCATCTCCTTCTCCTCTTCATCAGTTGAACGGTTTAATTCCTTTGATGCCACTTCCGCCCAATTAATCTTCTCCTCTATCTTTGTCCGATATTCATTGAGTGCAGCACAAGTTCTCAAAAGCTCCTCATCCTGCTCGTGCCGGACTGAGGTAGGATCGAAATCGACGTCATTGTCGACAGAGCATTGTGGAAGTTCTCTATCAAAGATAATGAAGACTAAGGTCTTTTCAAGATCCTCTTGACCCTCCATCCACTTCTCCATATCCTTCCTTGTGTCTTCTTTCACCTCTAGGATTCTCTCCAGCTTCCGTTTATTCGCCTCATGCATTGAGGTCCTATAATCTACCAGCTGATTCAAATGGTTGATCTTGCGCTGGATCCATAAGACGCGAAGAGCGAGGTACAAATTTGTGAAAAGTGGGACGCTAAAACAGACGCAGGCTACGCCGAATACGGCCTGGGAAGCCAGACGGGTGCTGTATCGAGAAACAAGAAGCCCGAAAACTTTAGTGAATCCGTTATTTGAGGCCCGAGGTGCTCCCAGCAAAGTAGACGACAGGTTCAGAAAAAAAGATGTTCGGGAAGCCATGGTCCATGAAAGCTCGGGACGAGTTCACCTCATCATCGATCAATGTTGGGCGCCAACGATGATCTCGAACAATCACCATGTGAGGATAGGGATCAGTATAATCGCAAACTTTTATCAGACATGTGTGGCCCATCGTTGTACGGTACATGCTGAGTATATATATGGTAAACAGCTAATGACCCTTATCATAATTTCGCACATTATTGCTGTTTCCTTCTTACCACCATGTGCTCCTACTTACGGAAAACGTCATCATATCGTATTCCTTCACTTCCAGCATCTACCATCGGTCAATCAATGAAATCCAAAAGAACGTTCTCCTCATCTAACAGCAATTTGAAGATCTTTTGGGGTTCCTGTACGTTCGCTGTTCGTTAATGGGCTCAATTCGTAATTATCTGTTGTATGGTGAATAGCATCCGTTATTTCACAAGCTATCAGGATACAAGGGTCTCGCCATATCAACAAGGTCCCTTCACTGACTGACGTGTGGTTTGTCTAACTGATTACAACCTAGATTTTGATTTCGAAGCATTCCGGGCTACGATGTATGTCCGACTCACGTCCAGAGTCTGGGCCCGAAAAGCCTACTCAAGAACAGTTGCGACACAAAGCAGTGAGCAGCGGTACTTGCCTTTGCATTAGGATTTTACTAAAGCTTCGGAAACAATTCAGACGACAGAAATAATACCAGAAGAACTTCGTCTAATCGGCGAAATCCGCCAAAAATCCGCGCCCATGCGTTGGGTCTTTATCAAGTTGGCGTGGAGGTTATTTAAAAGACTGCTTTTCAGCAATACCAAAGACCAAGATATGTCGAAATCATTGAAAATCTTGCAGAATTCCCAGACATTAGCAGAGCGCACAAAAAAAGACTTCAAAAGCTTAATGGATTTTGATAATCTCCTGCGGGGTGCTGTGTCAAAATACTGCAGGAATACCTCTTGTAATGATAAGATTACCATCAACGGTAATGTGGATCCACTTCTAATTGCGGTGCGTCTTCACAGACTGCGCAAGTCGATGGAGGAAATGCAAGATTTAGAGAAGCTTGTACGAGAACAGATGAAGGAAGTTGTAGGAGAATTGTGAAGCTAAATCAGGGCGCAGTACAAGCAGGATGGCTCATCGACATTGTATTCTTGTATTCTACCATACCTAGTACTAAACATCATCTACGCTGAACTGATCGGTAAAAGTGAATAAAGTGATGATTCTTTCTACCACTCATTATGCTGTAATTTTAAAGACACATAGTATGTCCTCGACACTGTAAGGAGAAACACTCGAAGAGGGAAACATCAGGCTTCGATAACAACCCTAGGATATCCATGTTCATTGGCTTAGCTTAGTGGAGCGAACTTCAACCGACTGAGATCAAGAGTTGGACATCTTTGGGAGTCGAAGTAAGGCTTTCAGAGCAAGAATCATTGCATCCGATGATACCGAGAGGAAGGGATCTACAACCTTTATTGCAATCCCTCATTTGCCCTTCGGATAGCGAGGATGCGAGAATTACTCATAGATGATACGCATGTCCAAAATACCAAGAAGTATGACTCGAGATTGTGGCGGAAGAGGTAAGAAGAGGTACCCACCGAGCTCGATGATCGTGGCCTGGCTCAAATAATATGAAAGCAGTTTCAAGTTCGACTGGGTGATAGATTGTGATAGAGAATACGTACGGGTTCACATTTCCCGTCTTATATGATGTAGATACGCGTTCAGCGAGTGTAGTAAGGGGCAAAGGTGCTTGAAAGGTGCCAAAATCTGAAGAAGTGGTGCTCACGTGAGCGTATTTCTCGTTCATCATTGAATGGCATCTTCATCGCTTCGGAGGTCCTTTTCACGATTTTTGGAATGTTGTCCACATAAACCATCTATAATATCAGTCCCTGAGCCACCGCTCCGTCATCCCCACCTAATACATAAACAAAGCACCCACTTCTGTACGCTCATATGGTGCCTCAGCGTCCAAATCAATCATCAATGTTACACAGATCCTGTTCCTTCACGTATCCTCCAGCCACCAAGTGATCATTGGAAGACGCTTACACATATAGCTCTCTCGTGCGTATTCACGCTGATTGTCTTAATTTCATTTACTGACGAAGTTGACCACACGTAGACGTCCTACTTCTTCACGATGCATGTCAACCTTCAATCCTACAGAGGCCCATGGTTCTTCTTCAATAGAAACACAAGTGACAGAGGATAAAGCTGCGTGGGTGCGTCGAATGAGAGACCTTGCGGTGAGTAATGTACCTTCATGATCAGTAAAAGCGAGAGAATAACCATTTATGCAACCCAGAGAACCAAAATCATACCCGGAGAAGTCCAACTAATCGTCAATATCGAACCTGCAACACTCACTGTGAATCCAGAATTCTTTTGGAAGGCCTTGAAACTCTTCTTTTTCGACAAGGATGAGCGTAGTCGTCGGCTTGTACGGCGTTGGAAGCAGGTGGGACGCGATACCATGAATAACCGCAAAGACGTCCGCCAGTTGAACAAAATACTGGGGAATGCTATCGAACGCTATTCCATGAACCCTGAATCGTGCGAGGATGAGATTAAGATCAAGGAAGGCGAGGATCCGGTTCTTGTTGCGCTTAGACTCTATGAACTACGCGAAAACTTGAAGCATGACTGTAACATTACGGAGCGACTATTTGTAGAAACGGCTAAAGCGTTCGGGATACATATTAATGATTAGAATTTTTGACGACCTCTAGGATCATTTTGAGCCTTGCGTTGGCCGTGAATACGTGAGACTGTGGAAAAAGCCTTCGCTGCAAAGGTATGTCTTTGGTTTTCTACTCACAGTTATAGTATCCAGATAGTATCACCGCGCGCTTACCTCTGAAGACAGCAATTTGCTGCAGTTTTGAGGTGAGGAACACTGGATCCAGCCCCTTTTTCAAGTCGTTCTCCGCGGATAATACGCTCTCAAGCTACGGGTCGTCCAGAAGATCCAATACTTCCATCGTTGAAAATATCATGCGTTTTATTCAAGCTACCAGCCGGCAATTTCGGAAGAGGTTACAGCTTTGATTTTTTACTTCGGAACTATGCTGTGTACTTATTCATTTGATCATCACGAGCCATTCACTGCGGAAGATTCGCGGGTCGCAACCAATCGCGATGGCGAGGTTCAGCCGCTCTTCAAATAGCTCCAACGTACCGTATAGCTCGTTTATTTCTGGAGTTTTGCGCTAGTTGAGGTTTCGGTGGCCGGACCATGATATATCGGTATGTCCCTTACTACCTTTGCCCCATCCCTCAGCCCCAACTCACCAATATTTTAGTCTCGGATACTACATGGATCTTTCCGACATTTCCTCGCAAGACTTCTTTGGGCTGTACCTATGACGCCCTACCTGTCTGTGGTTTTGCAATCATCCGTCCAATGTTTTTCATTGAAACTAAATTTCCCCTGACCAAAAAGCATTTGTTCATTCATCGACCTTCTCCGCTGCCGAGATGGACATTTATTTTTGTATCTCGTGTCTTAATAGCCTACCGCGTTGTAGTTCTGTCAATTTCCAAATATTTGAATCTGTCTCCAGGTATAAATTCTGGCAAGACCACACCGCCTCCTCCTCCATTCGTAGGATTCCTGGCGAAACATGTTCACTCAGCTCATCGCCCTCGCCCTTCTAGCTTTGCCCAAGGCCCGAGCTCATGGTGGAGTACTTGCTATCTCCATCGGTGACGCTTGGTACGATGGATGGCAGCCGTACGACACACCTGTCGGTCAAACTTCCATTATCCGTCCATGGTCATCTTAGTGAGTCTTTTTCATCGACGAAAGTTGTCTGCGCACTGTTATTGAGCCGGAACACCTAAACAGCAATCCAATCACCGACGCCACTGATCCCACTCTCTCCTGCAATGACGATGGAACGTCGTCAGCCCTGCAGCTAACAGCTCCCATCACTGCTGGTGAGGAGATTACGGCCTACTGGAATATCCCTTGGCCTCATCCCTATGGACCTATGGTGAGCGTTTTCTTATTTTTCCCCCGAGTTATATCGGAAACTAATGTTTTGGCAAGCTTGTATATATGGCTCAGTGCCCTGGAACGACTTGCACTGGCGTCAATTCTGACACTCTCGAATGGGTTGGCTTTTGTTAACTTAAGTAAAGCCTCTACTAATGAGATATCATATTCAGTTCAAAACTGACGAATCTGGTCTTATCAACGGCACAGTCTACGATGGTTTCTGGGGTGACGGCCTCATGATTGCTGACAATTCCTCTTGGACAACGACTATTCCGGCTACTATCCCCAGTGGTCCCTACCTCATCAGGTTCGAAACGATCGCTCTTCACTCTTTGCCCGCCGTAAGCATGAAGTGCCTATTCATTATGTTCCTAGCACTTACCCACTATATTGATAGCAATTCTACCCCGAATGCGCGCAACTCGACGTTTCTGGAGGAGGCACTCAAGCACCAACTTCCTACGAGCTAGTGACCTTCCCTGGTGCTTACTCCAATACAGACCCCGGATGTGAGTGGTCTTATTTCTAAGTACAAACGTCGATTTGAGACTATTGTCAGTGACCATTGACATTTACTCGAATGAGGCACAAACGGAAACCACTTACCCCATCCCCGGTCCTCCCCTTTACGGTTCTCCTCCAGTATGTCCAAACGACCTCATGATTGACTCCTGCTGATTAATCCCATTTTAGCCTTCATCCACGACCAGCGTAGCTAGCTCTTCTTCTACTGGCTCTGCTACTGGTACCGGCACTAGTTCCGCACCATCCTCAACACCCACTGGACCAACTATCCCTGAGTACGGCCAATGTGGTGGCTCCGGATGGACCGGTGGCACAGTCTGGTATTTGACCATTATTGTTGTAAATATTTCTTCCATTGATCCCTCTCTCATCGTAGCGCGCCCCCTTCCACCTGCCAAGTCGTCAATGGTACGTTTATCTGTATCGCTTGCTCAACCTCCTGTTCATGATCCCTCCAGCGTACTACTCACAATGCCTGTAAACAAACTTGAGGAAGAGAGTTCAAATTATGTATGTACATTCCACATGTTTAGCCACTTTCTTCTTAATGTAATGGAGCATTTGTTGAATGTTTTTATTGGAAATTTCCTTGGTTATCCTTGAATTTCTTCAATATCCAGGGTAACTGAACTGCAAATCGTAATAGCATTAGCAACATAAAGTAAACTCACTCTAAATGCTATCAACTATATCAAAGATACATTCTCCGGTTCTTCCCTGGCTTCACATCTGATCATGATTGATCTTTGTTTCACATCACTTAGTAGCACTGAGAGTAATAGGCTAAACGACAGTGTTAGCATTACAAGATGAATGTTTGGATAATACACACCATTAACGACGTTGCATTTAAATGGGGATGCACTACAGGCACAAACCAGTCAGACGTTGAACAGAAGGAGTGAAAGAATGTTGTTACCAGGTTGTGGATCCGGTAAACCCTATACCGCCACACTGTCCATACTCGGGAACAACTGGGCCAGTGGGCGTTGAGGATGGCGCACTACTGCTAACGGAGGTGGTTGGTACGGAACTCGTCGAAGAAGGTCCAGAGGGACTCGCAGGAGTCGATGTCACACCCTAGAGTTACAAGATACATTAGTCCAACATTCAATGGGATAAGGTGTGCCGATATAAAGGACGTACATTTGATCCGTACAATGGAGGGCCGGGAATTGGGTAGGTAGTCTCAGTCTGAGCCTCATTGGAGTAGATGTCGACAGTCACTAACGGGAATGAACGTGTCAGCGAACAGATTCAGATACAGTTCAAACAAGAGGGCTTACGTCCTGGATCGGTATTTGAATATGCTCCAGGGAATTTGACGAGCTCTGCAGCAGTAGGTGCTAAGGACCCTCCTCCGGTCACCATAAGCTGCGCACATTCGGGGTATAGTTGCTGGAAAGTTCGACATTAGTCTCAACAAAGAAATGACGTGTTTTTTGAAGTGGAACTTACCGCAGGCAAAGAGTGAAGAGCGATTGTCTCGAATCTGATGAGGTAGGGCCCGTTGGGGATAGTCGAAGGAATGGTAGTTGTCCACGAAGAATTGTCGGCGATCATGAGTCCGTCACCCCAGAATCCGTCATAAATCGTGCCATTGATGAGACCAGATTCATCAATTTTGAACTGCAAGGTAGGGCAGAAAAAGATAAATGACCATTTCAGTACGCCTGAGTTTCGACCACTAACCCAGCTCAGAGCGTCGGAATTTACACCGGTGCAGGTAGTCCCCGGGCATTGAGCCATGTATACAAGCTTGGTCACGAAGTTATCAGATAAAGGGAAACGACGATCAGGGATGGAGATCTATGGAGATATACCCACCATTGGACCATACGGGTGAGGCCAGACTTGATTCCAGTACGCGGTGATCTTCTCGCCTGCAGTGATTGGTGCAGTCAACTGCAGAGCCCCCGAAGTACCATCATCGTTGCAGGACAAAGTGGGGTCTGTGGCATCCTGAATGGGATTACTAAGTAGGTGGGTGCAGTTAGATTCCAAGCACAGCGCTCCAAATGCGATATCTTACTAGCTTGACCAGGGACGAATGATAGTTGTCTGGCCAGTAGGAGAATCGTATGGGGCCCACCCATTGTACCAAGTATTGCCAATGGCAATCGACAGCACACCGCCATGGGCCAAGGCTTGCGGAAACGCCATGAGAGCTAAAGCAATAACTTGTATAAACATTGCGTCAAATCTTTGCAAGTACTAGACAGAATAAAGCGGCGAGTAAGCTCTATGAAGGCGAAAAAGATCTTCTCAGATTTTATACCCTTTCCAGGCTTCCAATTTCACGTCCAACTTAGAGCCTAAGAGCGGAGCGCATAATTCTAATCAGACATGAGATGTAGAAATAAATACGCTGCCCTACCAGTGCCAAGGTCAACGACGACCTGAAGAGCATTCAAAGCTCTGCAGAATATGCTTGGCTTGTCCGGATATGGACTGCCTATGCGAAGTACACTGCTCCCGTATACGACATCCATGTCAAGAGCCGGACTTCGAACAATTGTCGGAATGCATATTTTCCGAAGAGACTACAAGAGTCACAAAACAGTCAGCGAGGTAAGCTATAGTCGATCTTGGATGACATACCAATATGAAACTTTCCTATTCTCTATGTCACCGATTGAAGATGATGGCGGCGCAACCTCGTGAATTCCTTCGTTTCAAAACCGCAAATTTCCCGAAGATGGGAATAATAAGCAAAGCAGATAGAGAACCATTAGACTTTGTGGTAACTTGAATCATAGTAGCTAGAAAGGCAAGGCAACTTTGACCTCGTCAGATCCTGAGGATACTGTATGATTTTTAGCACTGGCCTAGTTATAATCTTAGTATACTATAGAGAAGAGGCCATTAGAGTCATACCTGACACAAGTTTGACGACAACGTTAACCTTCACCTGATACAATCTGTTTAAATTCGTATGTAAGTAAGTAATCCTTTTCTCTCCGGATTTCAGAACGTGGAAAATTGGTCCCAACGTCATCGACATTCATCGTTCTTGGGCAGAAAAAGCTGGTGTCGTATAAGTAGGAGCACAGTCATCATCACTTAGCAGCCACGATGAAGTTCGATGCGAGGTGCAACAACCTGAGTACATCTCATGGCTGGAGTATCCCTGCCCAGACGATACCAGTTGGCCTTTTCCTGCATTGCTGGTGCGAATCTAATAGGTTTTCTAGACTTGCTAATGAGCTCCATTCTATAACTCTCTTCACAGTGCCTGTTGTCAGCAATGAAGATGATAACATGCATTTTGTCCAGGTGATGTGTGTCCCGCCCGGTTTTATGTCTCCACATCATTATCTCTGGTGGTGGCAAGATCCTGTCGCACAGTAGAGGTGAGGCCAAGTCGAGCTAGGTGTGTAAAAGAGAAAAATGATAGATGCTTGAAGAGGTAATTTGTCCCAAAACCCAGATTTATCCAAGTCTCCATCCACCTTGCCAGTCACAAGAAGTAGCCCATAGGTGTAGTAGGAGATAGATTCATGACACTCTGGGGCTGACCTCACAAGCCATATAGCTCCTCCGATAGGAACAAATCAACCAAGGAAATAATCTCGCACACAGTGGATTGTCAAGGTCCTGTTCAAGTTGAGCGTTGGTACAAATAGGCATCCAAAGGAGGCACCTGCTTTGGGAGTTCAAATTCGCTTGACACGATTAGGTGAGAGCTTAGTTTCAAAAGGTGAAGTAGGCGAGGCCGCGTCGAAATCAACAAAATACGATTCAGTACCAGTAACATAGAGTACTCAAAAGTTGTACCATCATTTCAACCGATACCACTTGACCTTCTCCTGCCTTTCAGATGTGAATCCGAAAGCTTCTATGGACCTCATAATGAGTTCTTCCTTGTGTTCTTTGACCATTTTCAGATCTTCAGTGCTATTCTGAGCAACATAGAGGAGCAAATATGCTTCATTCTTGTGTTGTGACTCGCGGCCAGTCTCATAGCTCCAGAGCATCAAGTCTGGTGGCTGCAGATCCCTGTAAAGTCAAGTGTAAAGAGAAATAATACCATAGGTTCTGATCAAATCAACATACGACATGCGATTGCAGGCCACTGCACCACCGTGCATGGCAGAAACTCGGCTCCTTTTTTGAGGGTTATGAAATATTATGGAATCAAATAAACGGGGCGCCTTACAGGCGCTGACATTGAATGTTTTTTGCGAACAAAATAAAAGCAAAGTCACATAAACTGTTGAACGCGGCTATGCTGTTCACATGCCACTATTATGAACATGTGTTATAATATGTCATATGTAGTCATATCTAGTCATTTACTATATGCGGATTCCTCAGTACTTCCTTATGTAATACTGTCATACAGTTATGTATATAAACAGGCCATATCCTGTACTGGAATCCAACTCGCTTCTCTCTTACTTTTATTGCCTCACTGAGACACTAAGCTCTACTACCAGGTATGGTACTGGAGAGTGTTCCCACTACGCACTCCTTGCCTGCTCAACAGGTTATGGGCCCCGGATGAACGCTTTGCTGAGCTCTAAGCTCGCAGCGCTCTCTGGTGTACTGTTGTCATTGACGCATCTATTTGATTGCTGTCTCTGACACAGACCTTTACCTGGCACGTCGCCTCTGGTGCTGAAGTCAATATCGCACCTAACAGTGCTGATTATGACATCGCCCAAGAGTGCTTGACACTGTAGATGACAGCTTGCTAGACATATGTCGCAGCTTGTCACTACTGGCAATAACATTCATGCCATTTTTCCATCTGTTGTCTTGAGCGTTTATGAATTGCATGCTGACATTTTCTGTTGATTTTATCCAGATCGCAATGTCTTCTGCACTCTTCACTGCTGTTACCACCACCCTCAAAGGTGATAACTACGACACCTGGGCCTCCGAAATGGAAGCCTTCCTTCAGGCTACAGGGCTTGAATCAGCAATTACGACTGACCAACCCAGTGAATGTCATATGCATGCAATTCACCCCATACGCTTCCCGGCCCGGCCCGGAGCGGCCGGACTTCGGAGTAATTACCTTGTGACTTATTTATTATTCCGAGCTTTCATCGAGGTCTTATGACTACTGTATTTGGGATGTATATAAGCTAGAATACTTTGTACGTTGTAGTCAAGCTTGAAATCAAGTGTACCACCTTATCCCACTCTTTAATATCTCTTTTACCTTTGCTTCTGAGCTGCTCCGGACTCCCGGATCACAGGAACACCATCTAGGCTACTCATCTTGACACTATATCCTTGCCATTATATTCCCGGGGACACAACAGTGTGTGAAGGGTGTTGCTAATAGCTTCACCGACGTCCCACTCCCAGTGTGTACTACAGGCCAATACTCAGTTCCGGACCTCGGAATTATCCCGGGCCATTCCCGGGCCAGATCCGGCCTCAGAACCTCTATAGTTATTGACCTGTAGGCACGGTCTTGTCAGTATTTCAAGCTTACACTTCATTACACTGTTCCTTCACCGAAATACCCCTTCATTATGTCTTTTGGCTCTGGTCCTGAATCCTTCCTCGAGTATGCCTTATCTTTACCTGATCCGGTCGGCCCGGACCCGGAAACCTCGGATTCGTCGGACCAATCTAGCCCATCTGACCACAATTCTGAACAAGAATCAGTTCAGTCCGGTACTATTTCCGATCCTGACCAGTCAAGTTATGACTCGGAATTTCCTGGCCCATTTGATTATGATTATCTTCATGAATCCTCTGACTTCGACTCGGATCACCCCGGCCCTTATGATCTCCGTTACCTACATTCCTATCCTTCATCCTCAGCCTCAGACTCGGTTGAGTCTTTCCACTCGTTTGCCTCTGATAACTCCGAAGCGCCGGAACCCCGGCCCGGTGATGACAGATCTGGTCATCCTCACCTCGGACCCGATGGCAGGCTTTTGGACTCTGAGAGGGAAAGGCGCAAGGTGCTCGGGTTGTGCTTTTATTGTGGAGGAGAACATATGAAGGTAGATTGTCTCAAACTGCAGGCCCGTACAGGACAGAACTACGATGCAGATAACTCTGAATCGGATGTTCCGGGCTCCGATGATGGTTCCGAGTAATTCCTAATTTTTTCTACATTTTAATTCCGAATTTTCCGACCATTTCCAAGTCTTAGACCGAGTTTTCCTTTCCTTTCATGATTTTTACTTATTTGACCTTACAAATTCCTTTCTTTCCGAACTTCGGCCCGATTTTTATGCCTTTCATGATTATTGATTGTTTGACATTATGATTTACTTCATTTCCGAGTTTCGGCCCGATTTTTCACCATTACTATTCCAATTATTCATTTTCTTTATGCTAGAACGCATTTCCGCTTTTTCCGAATTTCGGCCCGAGATTTTGCACCTTTCCATGATCAATTTTTGTTGACAGTATAATTTACTTTGTTTCTAAGCTTCGGACCACTTTTTTTGCCATATGTTCCACTTCTGTTTCGAGTTTTTAAATATTCAGGTAATGTTTCATTGTAATAACTATTATTGCTTCATTCCGGCCCGATTTGGCCGATGTTTTTGCTTATTATTGATTACTAATTATTCCATTCCATGTTTCCGACCTTGCTCCGATTTTCCCGTCATTTTATTGACATTATCTCAAGCTTGCTCATTAGCACTTCCATTCACTTATCTGTTATCATTTCTATTTATGTTGATTCCTTTGCTTCACCCACAAGCTGCTCCTCTGTTTAGTAGGATTTCATTGATTATTTGTTAGGATACAGTTTCTACTCCCACTTAGATCCGTTGATCTGCCGGGTAGACTGAAACACTTTTTTCCAACTCATTTTTTATGATTATCCTTATAGCGCTTTCCGGCTTTGCTTCCCTTGGAACTTCCGGTCTCGGGATGGTTCTACCATCATTCTGGACACTTTGTGTCAATTTCGGCCTTTTTAGGCATCGCTCTTGTGTGGATATCAGCTCAGGTTATCATTTTTGGCAGCACTTTGTGTTGATTGGTATGCCGGACTTTTCCGCAGTTTCCGACGATTTTTCCGGCCCAATCCCGCCCCTCGGCTCGGATTTTATTCCGAAATTTTCCCTACTCCATTACCCTATCCTCCTACATCACCATTTACTCCAACTTCGGCTCTTGATTCATGGCTTTCGAGGGCTCAAGCGTACTTGGGGGATACTGCTGTATTCCAGTCCTGTATTCCAATTTTCGGACCGGCTGCTCCCGATTTTTCCGAATTTCGGAACTTGTTTTAGTCTTTTGAGACTTCAGAACACTTTCCGGCCGGCCCGGACTTCGGAAGTTACGTGGTCATCCATTCTTTTGTTGATTATTTTGTTACGAGTTTACTTTGTTTCAATCTGGTTTTTGTTTGCTTTATGATGTTTCTTTGACCCCCTACATCGGCAGGCCGATCCTTTCCAGTTTCTCTGAAACTTCCACTTTTAATTTATTCTTCACTACTGGATCTAATCCAATCCCTTTGCTTTACTATACTTTACTATTTCACTGCACACATATTCACAGAGGCCTTCGTGGGCTCAGGCCTAACGGGGGGATACTGTCATATGCATGCAATTCACCCCATACGCTTCCCGGCCCGGCCCGGAGCGGCCGGACTTCGGAGTAATTACCTTGTGACTTATTTATTATTCCGAGCTTTCATCGAGGTCTTATGACTACTGTATTTGGGATGTATATAAGCTAGAATACTTTGTACGTTGTAGTCAAGCTTGAAATCAAGTGTACCACCTTATCCCACTCTTTAATATCTCTTTTACCTTTGCTTCTGAGCTGCTCCGGACTCCCGGATCACAGGAACACCATCTAGGCTACTCATCTTGACACTATATCCTTGCCATTATATTCCCGGGGACACAACAGTGTGTGAAGGGTGTTGCTAATAGCTTCACCGACGTCCCACTCCCAGTGTGTACTACAGGCCAATACTCAGTTCCGGACCTCGGAATTATCCCGGGCCATTCCCGGGCCAGATCCGGCCTCAGAACCTCTATAGTTATTGACCTGTAGGCACGGTCTTGTCAGTGAACCATCTCCACTTGTTGCTGCAAACGCCGCCAGTGTTGAAGCCTGGAAGAACTATGAGGTTGTTTTCAAAGCCTGGAAGGAGATCGACACCAAGGCTATTGGTAACATTCGCCTCCGTATCTCTCCCTCCATCCGCATCCTTGCCAAGGAATACAGCGACACAGCTAAGAAGCTTTGGAACTATCTAGCCAAGACTTACAATGTCAAGAGTCTGGGCGCAGTCTTTAATGACTTTGCTGCCGCTATGGCTATTAAAATTCCATACAAGCAAAATCCGCTGTCCTCTATGATGGAGATTGGCATGTACTTCACCCGTATGGATGAAGCTGGCATTGGTCTTGCTGACCACCTCGAAGCTTTGATTCTTTTATCTAAGCTCCCATCACGTTACTCTGTCGTTATCCAAACCATGTCTCAGCTTGAAACTGCAGAGCTCAAGAAATTGACCTTTGCTAAAGTTCGTATCGCAGTTATGAACGCTTTCAGCGGAGACACCATTGGCAACTCCCAACCGCAGAACGCGAACAAGTTTTCGAACGTTCATCGCAAGGGAAACGATCCCAAGTTCTCCCAACAGCAGCATGGTAACGGTAGTAACCAGCAGCAGAAGGGACAGAATGGGAACGATGACAACAAGAAGAAGCGTAAGCGTGGCAGTGGAAAGAACAAGAAGGCTAAGAAGAATGCAAACGCTGCCCAAGCTGATGCAGACTCTATGGACTTCAGTCCGATTGGCAGTACTGTTGACTTTGGTCCGGTACGTACTGATCTTACTCCTTCTGTTCAAGATGTGCGCAAGCACTCCATCCATCCTCCTTACAACCCTCCTCCTAATGCTACGTCCCTTCATCTTCATAAGAAGACAAGGATGGCCATCAAACGTGCCCGTGACATTGGCGTCCGTGCGACTGCCGAAGTCATTCGCACCCTTGAGCCAGCTGGGCATATTTCAGAGTTGGACAGTGATGATGAACTTGATCCTCCAACAAAGCGCACTCGTGCAATGTCTCCTGTGGATGATGTTGAGAATGGCAGTAAGGCTCCTACGCCGCCTCCTCCATCTCCTCCTATGGACTTTGAGGTCCCAGGAACTGCCTCTTTCGACCCTGATGAGTTGATGAACTTCGACTTGGATCGTGAAATTTTGGCAATCACTGGATTCATGGACACCATGGGGTCAGTACCCTCCTCTGATCTTGACCATATGGGATATACTAACGCACCTTCATCGGTTGCAGTGGCGAAGACATGCAAGTCGGCCTTTGAGCCTGATCTCTTGTCCCGTTTGTATAATTACCGTATCGATGCCAAGTATATATCCAATGAACATTTTTGTGTACATGACGTTTCATACTCTGTGTGCAAGAAGTGTAAGGGTAAACAGAGAAATCAACCTAAATGGTGGATGAACGACTCTGGTTGTTCTGAACACACTACCTTTGACTTGAGTGACTTCATTGAGTATGAAGACCTTGAGGAAAAAGTGCTCATAGCAACTGCAACCACAACTGCCTACATTACTGGCGTTGGGACTGTCTTGATAAATTTCAAGGATGTTAGAGGTCGCATGCATTCGGCACGAATCGCTCCAGTATTCTATATGAAGGAGTTGAGTCATCGCCTTATAGCACAAGGACGCTTCCTACAAGATGGCAAAACTGTTCGCGGCAACGCAGACAAAGTTGACTTCTGGGACAAAGACGGTTTATTCCTGTCATTTGAACCACGAACTCACAGCGATACAATCTACATTCTCAAAGATTATTCGCCACAGCCTATGGCTGTAAACCTAGTGATCCACTCAGTGGACTACACTACCATGCATCGTCGCATGGGTCATCCATCGCGCGAAGCACTCACTCAACTGAGGAAACATGCAGAAGGTGTTCCCACCTTTAGCATTCCCCATGAGGAAGATCTATGTGAAGGTTGTGCCAAAGGAAAGATGACTTTACGTCCATTTCCGCCAACTAATCGTCGGGCATCACGTCCCTTCGAGATTATTCACTCAGACCTCAAAGAATGGCCTACCATTTCGTACCACGAGTACAAGTATACGATCTTCTTCATAGATGACTATACTTCGCATGGGTTCTACTGCCACTTAAAAAAGAAGAGCGGAGCTCTTCCAGTGATAAAGCAATTCATTGCCACAGTCAAAAATCTATACGAGACTAACGTCAAGGAATGGATGTCTGATGGTGGCGGAGAATTTAGATCCAATGCACTTGATGAGTTCTTTAAGAACGAAGGTATCAAAGCACAATGGTCATCTCCTCATATCCACCAGCAGAATGGAAGAGCCGAAAGGTTTATCCGGACTATTATTGAGAAAAGTGAACCACAGCGCTTTCAAGCCTGTATTCCTGATTCCTGGTGGGAATTCTCTGTTGCACACGCTGTGCATGTGTATAACCGCACTCCTATGCGTCGTCACAAATGGAAGACACCATATGAGATTTTGTACAACAAAGTTCCGCGCATAGATCACTTGCGTGTCTTTGGCTGTGGCGCGTATGTCTATCTTCATGAAGAAATACGGACAAACAAACAATCGCCTACGTCAGAACTAATGACATATCTCGGAGTTTCTGACGGTGGACACGGAAATATCTACATGCGGTCGAACAATGCCATGTTCACTGCTACGCACGCTGTGTTTGACGAGAAATTATTTCCTCGTTGTAAATCCTCAGAGCGTCATCGCTCTACGCGACTACCAGATCGCAACCCAGATCCTAAAGATCCTATTCCTCCACCTGGTGATGATGATGTTCCCATCTTTCATCAACCTACCACTCCCCAAATGAGACAGGATCCGGAGCAAGACGTTGCACCGCCTGTGCCAGCTGAACAGCCAGCACGAGATCCTAGTCCGCCGCCACAACCCCGGAATGAACAACCTCCTGCTCAAGAACAGTTGAGACGTTCAGGTCGTGTGCGGAGACCACCTACTCGTCTAACCGTTGATCCTAGAAGCAGCACTAAGCTTCCTACGGAACAACAGGTAGAGAGACCAAAGAGGGATATTCAGAGACGCGCACCACAGCCAGGTAGCTCCTCGGCTGAGCAAGAACGTCCTGAGCCAGAACAGGTTCCCGGACCTAGTACTGAGCATCCTACTCCTGAAAATGGAGAACAACCCTCTGTCACTCCCGGTGACGAAGCTAATACCCTGATCAGACTATGTCGGGAAGGGGGAGCTGAATTAATATATTTTCTCATGGCTAAGGCCGTTCCCTTTGAGGGGGAGCTGAAAAGCTCTGAGAACGTCCGTGAATGGACTTACAAGGACATTACTCGCCTACCTAAGGCTGAGCGTGAGGAATGGCTTAAGGCCTGCCAAGAAGAGCTTGAAGCGCTCAAACGGCGTGGTACTTTTGAACTCATGGATCGTCCAGCAGACCGAAAGGTCATTAAGAACCGCTGGGTCTTCGACATCAAATCTGATGGTCGTAAGAAGGCACGCCTTGTTGTCAAAGGGTTCTCACAAATTGAAGGTCTTGATTATGACCAAGTCTTCTCTCCTGTAGTACGGTTTGAGACTGTTAGACTGTTGCTCGCCTTGACTGCGCTGAACAACTGGTATCTCACTGGACTCGATGTTCGAAATGCCTATCTATATGGCGTCTTACATGAGACTATCTACATGGAACAGCCTGAAGGTTTTCAAATCAAAGGCAAAGAGGACAAAGTCCTCTTACTGCGCAAAGCTCTGTATGGACTGAAACAAGCAGGTCTTGTCTGGTGGCGAACACTGGACTCATACATGAAAACACTCGGCTTCAAACGCCTGAGCTCTGATGCAGGTATCTTTGTCCGACGAGGAAAAGATGGCTCTTTAGTCATCGCCATCATCTACGTTGATGACGCACTCTTTGCTGGACCTGACAAGAAACTCGTAGATTCCCTTAAAGGGAAATTTATGTCACATTGGGAATGCAGAGATCTTGGTGAAGCCAAAGAATTCCTTCGCATGCGGATTAATCGTCGTGGCAGAAAGATCTATATTGATCAATGCGCCTACCTTGACAAAGTCCTTAAGCGTTGCGGGATGGAAAATGCTAAAATGGCTGATACACCACTTCCTGCAGGGTTCCAACCCGAACCCACCAAAGGCCAATCGAATTCCGCTCTTCGTAGCAAGTTCCAAATGGTTATTGGTTCCCTTCTCTACCTTATGTTGGGCACACGTCCCGACATCTCCTTTGCTGTTACCAAGCTTGCACAACATGCAGCTAACCCATCTCAAGAGCACCTTAACAAGGCACTCTATATTTGCCGCTACCTCCTAGGTACTAGATCATATGCACTTTGCTATGATGGTGAATTGGGTATCGGTCTCAGCGCTTGGACTGATTCGGATTGGGCTTCCGATCCCTATACACGCCGGTCACAGACTGGATTTTTCATGAAGCTTGCCAATGGCATCTTCTCTTGGACCAGCCATGCGCAGAAGACAATTGCTCACTCGTCTACAGAGGCTGAGTATATGGCATTGTCTGATTGCAGCCGTCAAGTGGTTTGGATCCGTAATCTACTTGAAGAATTAGGCTATAAGCTTGACGCTATTCCTATTGCTGGAGATAATCAAGGATCCATTTTCATGGCATCTAATCCTGTCACTAGCAAGCACTCGAAACACATTGACATCCGATATCATTATATCCGTGAAGTTGTTGAATGTGGCCTTGTGCAAGTATTCTTCGTAGATGGCAGTAACAACCCTGCAGATCTTTTCACAAAGAATCTTGGGCGCATCAAATTCGATCTATTCCGCTCAATGCTTGGACTTGAGTTCTACTCGTCCACCAATCCTTAGGCTGTCTGTCCTGCCTGACGCCTACCGCTATTGCTTTGAGCAAAGTACTTTACTGTGCTGCTCAGCAAGGGGGTGTGTTGAACGCGGCTATGCTGTTCACATGCCACTATTATGAACATGTGTTATAATATGTCATATGTAGTCATATCTAGTCATTTACTATATGCGGATTCCTCAGTACTTCCTTATGTAATACTGTCATACAGTTATGTATATAAACAGGCCATATCCTGTACTGGAATCCAACTCGCTTCTCTCTTACTTTTATTGCCTCACTGAGACACTAAGCTCTACTACCAGGTATGGTACTGGAGAGTGTTCCCACTACGCACTCCTTGCCTGCTCAACATAAACTACAGTAGCTACACAGGCAAGCAAACCTATCCAACAGTGGTTAACCCTAAGAGTTTTGAACTGAGCTTTGCCAATTTGAACCCGCGCCCGAGAATGGTAATTTTATCCCCAGGTTATCAGAACCTCAGGTTCACTGACATCGATGCTGGAATGGACCACGAACCTGGCTCAATCATGTCCGATGTGTCACAAATGTCATTCCGATTCTCCCGATTCTCTACATAATATACAGGACATGGACTAGATGATTCACAACATAGTACAAGGACTTCATTGCTTGTTACTAACACATCAAACAGGTGTAACTAGATGAGCAGGATCTACATGATATAGATAAATAAATCAGCAGATGAGAGTAAACGACGAAGGAACATAACACTCGCCGTTGATCCAATGTACGAAGTGGTAGAACAATCCCCAGTAGTTAATTGTCAATACTACATGCATTTTGAATAGGATCCAGACAACAAATAAGCATAGTTGAGGACGCATTGAGGGGAGAACAAAAGATTGGGATGGGCTTGTTCAAGAGCTTGAAGTTTTGAGTTGAGACTTGAGAGCTTGAGGTTTCGAATGGATACACATTACTTGAAGTGAGGAACTGATTTGAAGACTTGATTTCAGATATGACCGTGCTTGCTCTGGAGTTTGAGAACAACAGATTGTTGAATCTGGAGAATTTAAGGGTGAATTTTGGTCTTGAGCAGATATGATCACTGGGAGCAGAGCGAGAACGTCGCGTTCATGGACCGGCATGTTAATTGTAGGTAAATTGTAGGTAAATAAAGGCAATATACATCGGCGTTGAGGGACATGGGCAGTGAGAGTCGCAAACAAAGTTGAACAGGGTACAAACATTGGACAACAATAATCAACGCGTGACTTCAGACGCGAAGAACGGAAGCAAATTTAACGTCGATGGTCCACTCAAAAGAAAGAATCTATCCACCATGCATTCGTGTATCGACCACTACAAGATACTGTTGTCTATAGGTTCTCGTTCATTACCTACGCCAGCAACTTCATGTCTGTCCTATCAGAGCAGCCAAAGTACTATCACCTTGACCACTAGTCATAGTACCTGAACCACTTTGGGTCTGCATGTGGTTTTGACCATTGCTCGACGCAGAAGAGCCAGTGGTTTCCCGAAATCCGGACTCATCATATCGTGTGTATTCCTCAAGCAACCTGTGAATTGGATGTCATATAGTGTGAGTTCATATCTCGAATATGACGATCCCAAAACACTTACTCTTTCCAGCGAGGATCAGTTAGCTTCTTACCAAGATCTTTCTTCTGATCCTTGTACCATGTATCCACCAAGCTCCAGAAGTCACATCCTCTGGCCACTCGACCTCCTCGCTTCCGCTTCTTGTTTGGTGCCTCTGAATTGTCGTCGCCCTCAATAGACTCAGTCTCTTCTTCTACTGCCCAGTCAATTTGGTGTCGGTCATAGACAAAGCGACGCTAGCATAGATGTCAAAATACAGCATGAATTAGCAAGTAAAGGTTACTGACCAGAACTATGTTCCGTAGAAGGATATGTTGAGAATTGAATTCTGGACCACCTGGATGACAGTATGTCTTGTTCATGTTATGAGTAAAATCTGCTGCGCTGATAGGCTTTTTAGTGATACTATCAATGATCTGGACCTTAAGAGGTTAGATCGGACTTGGGAGAAGTTATTTTGGCCTACATGTTGGCGAAATTGATTCCTCACACTCGAGCAGATTTTGTTTACACGTCCTTCAAGGGCATGCTCGTAGGCAGGATTGCCCATGATATTTGAGAAACCTAACTGTTCTGCATTTGCTCGGAGGTGAACCTGATGAAAACCTCAAGTTACATTCATTGAATAACTGCGAATCACTCACAAATACATCTGTCCCAATGTCCATATAGCATGTCCGTAAAGGATCGTAGACCTTGTTGTGCGCGACCAAATGGATCAATCGCTATGGGTGAATGGCATGAATATGTCGCCAAGGACTTGAGAATACAGAAAACTCACATTTTGGGTAGAACTCAGACTAAATGTTTGAAGCCGGATGCGTAGGTCATTGATCATTGCGCGAATTGTTTGAACATCGTTCTCATCTTCCTTTGGATGTTTATTTTCCAGGTGCAACATGAGGGCAGTTGAATACAATTGAGTAAGGAGGTCTGCTGCTGGCAAACCCTTCCCCACCTTCCCGAACTGTCAAATGGTACAGTAAGCTCATCTGAAGTATCCGAAAGTATGATATTCACCTTGAGAAATGTTTGTAGGGTCAACCTCTGCTCCTCTGTCAAGCTAAAATCCTTCGCTAAGTTATCAACTGCTAACGAAGTCACCTCGGGTTCTGTATTGGGTTCGGCAGGATCTCCCAACATCTGAGTTGAAGACTGCGATGAGGTGTATGAGGTGGGCTGTCCGGGAGTGACTTGATGGCCTTGGGTCATTGTTAGTTGGTGATGGATGATGGAATCCGGGAAAAGAGGGAATGATGGACTCTCGGAGCTTGTGTATGTGCTGCCTGACTGCGGTGATGGATACCGAGGCAAGTTGGGTGGTAGAAGCATGTTTGAAGTGGGGTTGTTCATCGTACTGGCTGTGTGAGTAGTTGGGAACATGGCACGATGTCCGAAATTTTCAGAGTGTGCAGGTGAGGGGAAAGAACCCAAAGTGCTCATGATAGAACGTGGACCAGGAGATTTCAAAGCAAACACCCCTTTTATGCAGACACGTCAATATGGTCATGTTTGTGCAAAATGTGAAGGACATGTTGTTGAAGACCATTCAACGACAGTCACGTTCTGCATTGCATTGCTGCAAAAGTACAAAAAGGGTTGCTTCACTCAAAATCTTCGAAAGAATCCACTTCAATGAACGCGTGAGTGCCCTTTCACATTTTTTACCATGTTCTCAATATCAGCTTGCAGAGATCATCATAACAAGTCCATTATCTTATCGAACCTAAACTTCCGGACTCTGTCCAGTACGCTATTTACCACTGCTTTTTTCTATATTCATGTTTGCGCTACAGGGATATCACTATGGATTTGGACAGTGTTACAACACGTAAGCGCAGACGAATCCCAATACTTCCAAGTGAGCTGTATGTTATATCTATCCTCACTTATATTTGTTGCTTAAATATGTCATAGTGGCAGTATTGGAGACTGGGCACAGGTCATGCGCCAAATCAGGGATTTCTTCGAGACGCACCAGCAACGCTACAGAGAGGAGGTTTCTGAGCTGAAACGGTGTATGGACCTTGAGCGCAAGGCCTACCATACTCGCGAGAACACTCTAGAGGACTATATCAAACTGCTTGAGCGGCAAGTCGACGCAGCTATTAAATCTGATGACGATTACAGGAAAGAGTGGGTAGAGCTTCAGCAAAGTCTGACAAAGACGAGGATGCAGCTTGAGAAGTCCGACAGGGTACTGGAGGTTATTCAAATCTTTCTGTCTGTTGCTGTTCCTGACTACCAGCCTAACTTTGTGCACCTTCTCGAAGATGTCACACAGGCTCGAGACTTGATTGAGCAGAGACTGCAAGCCACAAATTGATCTTTTAACGTATCATTTCTATGTACATGAAGTCGTCGGTGCTCTCTAGTGTATGTACTTTCAAATATATCAGATATTTGACTACTGCCTGTGAATACCGTCCCATGAATCAAACTGAGTATTATCCTGAATCATAGGCAAAAGATCAGAAGTGGAAGGAGTAGTGGGATGCAAAGAGCTCGAGGATGGGCCATGATTTGTAGTAGATGGATGGATTGGGCCAAAATTCTGACCCCACAAAGGCCAGCCAGATGGGAATGAATCATTGGAAGAACGTGAATATAGATTACTGGAATTACGGGTCTGGAATGCATGTGGTTGGCTAAACCCAGGTAATATTGGAGATGTGACTTGGTGCGGTGTCCGAAGGTCTGGTGTGTTACCTGGGCTGAGCGAACGCATGGGCAGAACCGCAGCCCCACCTTGACGACAATGAAGCAGATTCAATAAGCTAGAAGCATCCAAGCTACTTTGCTGTTGATAGAGTGAGATATCTGGCATTGTTGGTAGTGGATATCCAGAATGTGGGTGAGGACTATATGGCCTCAGCATGTTCAATGAGCTAGGAAAATCATCGAAGTTCCTTGACTGCACCGATGCGAGAGAATGATGGTGGGAATGAGATGGTGAGACCTGGAGCACTTGTGGATTCAGTGCAGTACTCAGGGTCAATGGACAATAGGGCGAATGTGGGCGAGGATTGAGTGGTGAATTTGATGGACTATTCAGAGTTGGATATGGGTGAGGATTAAATTGTGGTTGTCCTGGTACTGGTGGATTCCATGGACTAGGTAATGCAAGCACAGTGCTTGTTTGAGGTGATCGAGCTGCAGGCCTGCCAGTTGTGTTCGGGAGTTTATTGAGTGTATCCCATTCCCGAGCTGCACTTTCTTCGAGAACATGCTGAACAGAAAGTGGTTCAGCCTGAAGACGAAATCTCTGGACATACTTCGCATCCCACATTTGAGCCGTGTTTAGCACAAGATCCTGCAATTTACCCCGATGCACAACAACACCCTTTGCTCCATTAGTTTTTTCACGTTCCTGCATTCCTGTTCCAACCTGTTCAACCTGACAATGATTGTGGTCACAATCATGTTGGACATTCGCTGTACATTGCAGAGCCTGTGTACATGTAAGACTACAAATAGCAGAATTATACAGGTACTCATGGTGGGCTTTACAAGGAAGAATTTTCCGGAGGCAACTAAACGTGGCATACCATGAGCTGAAGGTATACTCCCAACAGTCATAGGTTTGATAAGAACAGAATCTGCAACAGCTGAAAGAGAATCGCGATGCTGAAGTTGAAGAGCCTCAGTGACATGTGCGATAGAGATACCATGATGGGAAAAAGGTCGTAATATAGGATCGGAGCATGCTACATAGCTCGAAGGCATGCACCTGTCCCCGTTGGCAATCAGAACTTCTTTGACACGGCAATATTTCCCATTCAGTTTTTCAGAGTTTGTGAATAAAGGCGAGTCAGGAACCCGTCGTCCAGACTGTGTGTTCTGCCAGCACTGTTCAGATGCAGTTGGGTCCAGTGTACAAGATCCTTGATGGAATATGAGATTTGCATCAATAATTCGAAGACCTCATACCAGTCAATGATTTTTTGGTCTTTGAGTATCCTAAATATCGCCCAATACTATCACTTGACCAAGACATAACATCGGTAACACTGTTACCAACGGAAAACCAATCGCCTTTCTTAAAGGAGTGTTGTCGAAAATACAGTTGAACCTGAGTAATGCGTGCCCCCTGGGGAAGCCGAACATCATGGAAGTTTTTGTCTGCATGATTATCGAGCTCTATATGTCCACGGTCAAGGAATAAACCTCCACTAAGCATATGGCGAATACGATTCTGTTTCGCAAAAGCCAAAGCAATATCCCGAGATGGAGCAAGACGGTTTGAATGAACACTTTTAGCACGGATGATTGCATTGTATGATTCAAAACCTTCCGTGGCAAAAAGTATAGCTGGACCAAAACGACGAATATGTGCAGGAAGGTGAACGAGAATGTGGAATTTGGGTTTGTTAAACCATCGAATACTCCATTTAGCTGCGTGAAGCAAGAACTGTTCGATTTCATGCTCTAATGTTTTCTATTACAGGAATGCGAGTCAGTTATCTGTTAATAGATAGTATTAAAAAAAGCTCAAACAATGTAAACCTCCAAATCTTCAATCTCGGGCTGCCATATGAGGGGAACAAGTTTCGAAAGTGACAACCATGTTTCATAACATTCCTTGTTAACAAATTCCTTGAGAACGTATGGTGCAACCTGGCAGATTTTGCGAAAATCAGAGCCTGTGAGAGAACCATAATAGTCTACTAAAGTTTTACCAGGCAGACTCGAGTCAAGTCCAAGCCCCTCAACATCAATGGATGAAAGTTTTGCAGCTAGTTTGGCCTTTTTTTCAGGATTTTTCTTGATCTGGTTTTCGATGACATCGCGCCAGAGATATTTGACAAATCCCAAGAGAATGACATGGAGAATTTCAATGGGCATATCAGAGTGAGGGTCTAAGCCTAAATTCAATGATTACATCAGTCCTGTCCTTGGAGAAATGGAGAAAGTTACCTTTAATACGCCACACAGGGCTCATGGTCTCAGCAGGGAGATTTTGGACTGCTTGATTCAAAGCTGTCTGTGGATCTGTTCCTCGCTGACGTTTGGACACATTGAGAAGCTGGTCAATAAAGAATGACTGGTACGTGTCTTTTAATCCAGATGCTGTATGTTGAGTCTTGATTCGGTTGCCTGCACGGGGGGTTTGAGCTTCAACAAATTGTGACTTCAGCGCAGCAATGCTCTCTTGTTTATTACGGGGAGCCCCGGGCTTGATAACAGAAGGCAAGTTTAATATAGTGGTAATTGCAGCTCATAGTAAATGTACCTTGATAAATGCTTTGATGCGGTTCACCATTGACTGTAAGCTCTCTTTGAATTTTGTACCCTTCTTTTTCGCTCCCTTACTTGCAGATGCTCCAGATCCGACATCAGAATCATCGCCCCTTTCGCCTTCCTCACTTTCAGATTCTACGCCAGATGCAGGCTCCCGAGCACTACTATCACTGGCATCTTTACCTTTGGCCCAACAGGTCCGACAAAAAAATTTACCTCGTAGCCCAATATGGCATGCAAACTCACTCTGCATAGGGTTATCTCCTAGCAGAGCGAGAACACATACAATAAGAAGCACACGGGATTCAGTGACAGGGTCCCAAGCCCAGATGCCATTGTCCTGACAGTCTCTTGATGATACGAACTCGTAATTAGATGGCAATTTATACAATCAAAAATCAACTTACTGTAGCTGATCAGCAATTCCATTGAGCATTTCAAGTGGAGGTGCTGTATTTGATGTTGCCAGAAAATGTACATTGTATTCTTTTGATGACTCTGAACGACTAAGTCCTGCCAATGTGAAAAGAAGCTGTTGTGTTCATTCCAGTGTTTTGAAGTGTTCCCTGATGTATCATCGCAATATAGCCAGATGGGATATGTCAAAACCTGAGCACCATTAGCTTGTATACGCCAAGGGTTTCCTTCAGCAGGGTTGGTTAATATCCAATCACCACAGGTTGGTGGGACAGTTGAATGGTCAATGAAATCTCAAAGTGAAGTTGTCATTGTGTGATACAGTCAGAATACAAAAAGAACAGCTTACCGTTAACGAGCTTGCCTCGTTTTTGTGTGAAAGAGAAAGGAAGGAATCTAATGGGCACTCCAACCAACCAATCTAATACACAATATGCGAGTTCACTGCTATCAAATTTATTTAATAGCAAGGGGTAGCGTTGGCAAAGGTTCCGCAAAGCTTTGAGAGCTAAGTACGAAGCTTTGATCAATCAATTTGAATCGTTCTAAGGATTCGATATATTCCTTTGATCAAGGTAGATTTAGCACGATTTGTGCTTTGGTTTGTATCGATTTGGGTATATCAAGAATTGGGGGTTTGAATCAAAGTAAATTAAAACCGAAACACACAGACCCCTACGGAGGGCTAGAACTATGTGCTGGCACAACCACACAGCATGATTTGCCCTTAAGACCAACGACTGATCCTAAGTTCGAAGAATACCCAACAACTGGATAGACTTCTCGCAGTCACAAGGAGCAGAACACGACGTTCCTATACTCACAAGTGCCGGGCCCGAATGGCTGCTAGCGAAGAGGTTTCAGTCTGGCGGGAGTGTGTCTTTCCTTTTTACGGATTAGCACTGCAACGTTGTCCCAAAATCACTTGTATTCCAGATACATCGGATCGCTATTTATACATACAGAATATAGAGTCGCATAGTACAATTAATTTAATACAATAAATGTTCGGAACCGCAAGGAAACTTCTACACTCAGTCAGATACCATTTAATTTGAATCTACATGTCCTTATTTGGTCCATATTGGTTCCAAGATTCTAGTATACCTCCAAACATAGGCAGGTACTTCAATATTCATTTAATTTAATTGTTTTTTGAAGGATGACTCGAATGGTGTCCAACTGTCATTGCTGTTCAACACTTACTTCGATCGTTTGTCACCTCGTCCGGAGGCAAATCAGCTCTCCTCGATTCTAATCCTATCAATCTGATTCATCTGGATTAAACTAATTGCTTCTCTCTTTTAATAGACACCCATTGTGCCTATACTCTATCAAGGGAGTTACGCATAGTATTCATTTAATTGCATTCTTCAATATTTTCTACGTCAGGACTCTTTGACATTCATTTGATATGTCTTCGGAGCCTCGCAGTCTTTCGATCGTTCTTCTAGTCATTTTACTCAACCATGCAACTTGATTGGTCTATTAGACTAAATCGCAGTCTTTTAGATTAATGCATGATCTCGTTCTAGAAGGAGTATTTGATAATTTCTGAGTTCTAGAAAGTCATTTCGAGTCAATCCTCGGTTCATGGTCACTTGAGTAAGTTCTTCCAAACTCCTGCCAGTGTAAGGTCCAATAAGAATACCCTTGGTATGTCATACGTGAATGGTCATCCTTCGGATGTAGTCCGAGTCTGGTATAATCCTGCTTGACAAACAGGTAGACTGCTATCCGTAGGTAGTATCGGGGATGGGTAAACTAACCAACTTGTGGTAGTATGGGTATATGGTCCCTTCAACTTATTAGACTGATTCAGTATCGACTTTGACTGTCAATCTGGGTCTCAATTACAGTCCTCTTGATACAAATCTATATGTGAAAATGTCACAATTCACAGCATAGACGTCTAGCCAAAATTTAGGCGTGTCACCGTCAATCAGACTTGCTTTGGTGAGATTATGATACCATCCATTCTGCTGGTCCGACAAGATGACAGGGAATGGCTTGAGAAACTGATCCTCATCAATCTCAAGTCTATCATTACCCTTAATAACCCGCCATGACTTGCAACTACCTTCACGAGTGACCTCCTCCATCTTCCAGCATCGAGCATATAGCTGACCTCTCCGCTTGAACCACCAATGTGGCATATAGATAGATCCATCCCGGACCATCGCTGGCTCAAAGATATAATAATCTTCTCCATGAATTCGTGCCATAGGCCCAAGTTCATTATCAGGAATTTCATTGAGCCAGCGCGAAAACTGTTGAGCCTCAGACACATTCTTGGCAGCACAGTCTTCAGGGTAGAATGACAGATTTTCACGAACATGTGGGTTACACATTTCCTGTATGAGAGACAAGATACTCAGTTGACAAATAACTGTAATTAGATAGAACAAACTTGAGAAATAATGTCAGCGAGACTGTTGACATAGTATATGTGACCAAAAGCTCCCTTGTACTTGTAAGTTTGAATACCATAGAGCTTTTGAAGCTTGGTGTCGAGCTCTTTCATAGTTTTCACTGAGGTAGCATCTTTGACCCCGTTAACCTTTAACAGCCATAGGAATAGTTCTAGCTGATGGACAGAAAATGTAGAACGGGGGAGATGCATGAGGATGTCAAGTGTACAAGCCTTTTACAGTTAGCTATCATGAAGAATGAGATTTCGAGATTCCTTACTGTTCTGTTTGGCCATGGAAACCATTCTCGAGATTTTTCTGAAGTATCTGTCCTGGGGCGCTTATAGTTGAGATTGGCTGGATTGAAAGCATCATCTTCTACATGCAAGTAACATCAGATCTTGAAAGAAGATGGGTTAGTTGGAGGCAAACCTCTCAATGGAGTATATCCAGCATCTCCTTCACAGCTAGAATCACTACTGTCGGACTCAGAGTGTTCACCATCAAACTCATTGTCTGAATGAATGTCGTCTGGTCCATGTGCAAAGATATTCAACATGTAGCTACTCAGTGCCTGCCTGCTCTCAACCTCATGAGAACCACCAAGCTCTTGTTCATTGAAATCAAGTTCAGCCCAGTTGATGCTATTAGATCACTGATATGCGATGAAGATTTGGGAGAATCATGATGTTGAAAGTTGGAAAGGGGTGGTAGTGTCTCGCGAAGTGTATTGGGAGTGTCAAGAGACTGGAGAAGCCGTGTAGCAGCAAGATCGTATATAGATGAGATCGGGACTGCTGGATGTGTATGGTGGGGGGAACCTGTCGGGGATGGCGTTTGTTTCTCCTTCATGCGAGCGACATTCTCTTTGTGCTTTCCACTGCCTGAGTGCCTTTTGGCATGATACGGAGTTTGTCCAGCACTTTTGCAAGCTTGACAGTACACGAGCCATTGGGATTTCTCATATTTAACATGCCACACTAGAAGATATAATATCATTTCGCAAGTGGACATAACTTGTCGATAGTAGGACCCTATTATACCTTCATTGTCTTCGAAGCCTTTGGGGACCATTGATCCTGTATAGGACATCACGTCTGGCACAGATTTTGCAGTTATTGGTTTAGTGCAAGGGTTTATCAGGCTTGGGATGAGTTACAGTACTCAGAAAAGTTAGATGCAGGCTATCTACAAAATTTGAAACCATGTTTGAAATTATTGAAGTCACGGATGACATGAAATTCCATCCGTCGCTTCATCAAGCCGGTGCATCCCGTGGATATCTGAAGGTCTGGCTGTGTATGGAGTAACTGAGTGAGACGAGAAAAAATAATCATGACAGAGTCACAGTCTCATGATATCCCGTGCCGGTCACAAGAAATCAATACAATTCAACTCAGTGTTACTTTTGTCCAAATAAGGAGAAACTCCTACCATATAGGGAAATTAATTTTGTATGGAGTGCCGTATATAAGGATGATACTTCCGTAAACTACAGCCTCGTAACTTTGCCTTGGTTTTTCTCCACCTTGATGGAAGTAGCTCATAGCGGTAGTAGCCGATTGCTTCACGACCCTCTGGGGCTGATCCCAAGAGCTGTATGGCTTCTTTGACAGTGAAAACCTAACCAAGGAAGTAATCTGGCATGCGGTAGCCTTGATGAATGCAATATGCGATGGGAGGAAAATCATCAATACTAATTCCGAGCTTAAGTATGCAAGGTCACCATTAAGTTCCCACGTATGTGATTCCTCATCCGACTGCGTGATCAATGATCATAACAAGGGCTTACAAGTAATTGCAACAAATAATTCAAGTCAAAAGGACATTAGCACACTTTGCCTTTGGGGTTGAGTAGAGATTTGAAAGGCAAATTAGCGGAGGCCTGTAATTTGCTACCCACGAATCTCAACATATTCTAAATGTTCGAAGTTGACAAGGTACAAAACACAAAGTACTCCAAAAGTTGCACCGTCATTTCATCCGATACCACTTGACCTTCTCCCGCATTTCAGACATTAATCCAATAGCTTCTATAGACCTCGTAATGAGTTCTTCCTTGTGTTCTTTGACCATTTTCAAATCTTCAATGCTATTCTGAGCAACATAGAGGAGCAAATATGCTTCATTCTTGTGTTGTGACTCACGGCCAGTCTCATATCTCCAGAGCATCAAGTCTGGTGGCTGCAGATCCCTGTAAAGTCAAGTGTAAAGAGAAATAATACCACAAGCTCCGATCAAATTAACATACAAATTTCCCTTAGTTTCTCTCCACCTTGACGGAAGTAGCTTATGGCTGTAGTAGCGGATAGGTTCACGACCCTCTGGGGCTGGTTCCAATAGCTTTTCGGCTTCTGTAACAGTGACAACCCAGCCAAGGCGGTAACCTGGCACGCGGTGACCTTGATGAATGCGATATGCAATGGGAGGGAAATCATCGACAGCTCGCGACGCTGGGAAAACTGCGGAATATCTGATTAAATTGTCAGAGATGGACAGTAAGAATTGTGAGGAACTACTTGCTCTCCAAGTACAAACTCGTTTGACATGATGGTTCGAAGATATTAACTCCGAGCTTAAGTATGTAAGGTCACCGTCAAGTTCCCACGTAAGGAAGTCATCATTACTCATCGAAGAACACTGATCATCACTTGAAGGACTTTTACTACCAGAATTTCCTCTTCTCTTCTGTAAACTATCTTCAGCAACATCATCATGAGTAACATCCTCCTCTTGACTGGTATTGTGTTTGCACTGTCCTTCATACTATCAGTGAAGTTCAACCGGCGAAGAACGGAGGACAGTACTCATCCAGTTTGGTCACTGATCCTCATTCAGCTGTGCGGCTCCAATCTCGGTCGCCTCCAACCTGTTCCTCAGTATCGTCTGTACTTTTCCGCAATTGACTTCACTGAATTCAATCCAAATGAAACGATTTCGGGAAGCGATGTCGAGGTCATTCCAGACTTTTGTATCTTACTCCATCGTGCGGTCTTGCTCCGGAAAGGACCTCTGAGGCCACTACTAGCAAACATCCAGTCGACGTACCTTCCATCTCGAGCCATCAACATCACCTCGTCCTTTATTCCACTTCTAGTGGAGTTGAAGAGACCTGTGAGCCGTAATTGCAACAACATTAATGAGTTCATGTCTGGGCTTGGAACTATGATGAAAAGTGCACAGAGCCAGGCTGAAGGACAGGTAAGGTTTTTGAATGGTCAACAAGCACAGATTTTCTTTTAAATGATTTCCCTAGGCGCACTGCCTGTTCTCAATCCCGAATTATCACCGTCAGATGCATGTTGTCTTAATTGCAGCAGTCGGCGAATGGTGGTCATTTTGGTTTATTCCGCGATCAAATTTTGGTGGAAAGACCTTCAATGGAAAAAAGTATGTGTTTGATGTAAATGACCGGTTAGAAGAGGAAGAAAGAAACAACCCCCTCGAGGAGGACAAAGCCAAATTGATGGATCCAGATCTGATACACGAGATGAGAAACTTCATTGCTCATGCTGGTGAGACACCAGCACAAATAAAGGATCGCCATGATGCAGAACGAGATGCTAGGCAGAGACGAAGGGCCGAGAAAAACATGGTCCGGCAACACAATGAAGACCAGTTTCAGGAATTTATTGACGAAATCCAGGGGATTCAAAATGAACCTGGAATTTATCATGATCTTGCTATCAATGAGTATTCTCAGCGAAGATCAGCCTGTGACAGGGAATGGGATGTCCTCTGGAATTATCGGGCTGAATTTATGGAGTCTGAGCCTCAAGGCAAAGCGGGGGAGCTCAAAGACAGGGGGAACTGGTCTGGGGTCATGCGCCTTGGCTCCAAGACTTCAGAACATTACTTGGATCAGATTCAAAATTATTTGAATCGATTCACAAACCACAACCTGAGGAAGATGATATTTCTCAGTGACAGTGTGTGGTTTCTGCTTCTGTGATTCGGCTTCAATTAGCTCATTCAAATTTCTTTGGTTTAGGAGTATAAGCTTATCACTGACAGCTTGCAATTCAATGTCCATAACATCCAAGTTTCCAAGTTTTCATTTGTTTTTCTCTTTCAACAAGTCCTCCATTCTGAATTTTATGATTGTCATTTCTCATTACCAGCACAAGCACCTTAGACCTATCTCGGGATTTGATTTCTGCAAAGATTCTACTGATGGATAAATTCCTATTACCAACCTCGCATGCTCTCCACAGTTAAACTATATGTGATTTGATTATCCCTACTCTATGTCACTGTACTACGTTGATTATCGTAGCAAGAGCATGTGAGACCATCTTAGGCCTCTTTACGGTTGAAACGAAGGGAAAATTCGAACCAGTGACGGATTATAGTGTATTGGTACTGTTTCTAATGGTCTGTTATCGACAACGTCAGGCTTGGATATCCTGTTTCATGTAACCTAACTGGATCGCCTGCAGCTGAATTGCCTTAATGCCGATACCGTTTCAGAAGGGTTATGAAGTGAGTACTTATCCAAAGAGACTTACTAGCAATCTTGAACCGAAACGCGATGCCTGGAAATCTCCAGGGGCGTACCATAACTGGGAACAAGCGTCATAAAGTACCTGACAAGAAACGAAGATTGCATCCATACCCCAGGATGCCCAGTGGGTCTATAAGCTCCGTTCATTTCCCCTTCCTCATCCATGCCCCCGGCTGGTCCTGCTTGATCGATTGCATCACCAAATATGCCTCTCATGACGCTTCGTATGTTGATAAACCCAGTTCTAGCCATGAGATCTGTAAGATTGCTTTGTCGAGCAGGCAAAAGATCCGGCTTACGCAAATATAATGATATCGGCTTCTAGCACCGTGTCGTCGTCTAGAAGAAGCCCACCCTGTGTAAATTTATGAATCCCTACCCCCGACTTGACTTTAATCTTCCCCGAGATCACACACTCTCCACATCCCACGTCCATCCCTAAAGCAAAAGTTATGTACCATGCAGTGGCAGTTAAGAAGGCTTACAATATCCTACATTTGGAGTCAAAACATTCACTTCGAAAATGCTAGTTGGTATTCATTAAAAGCACAAACTCACCTCCACCTCGTTCAGCAACCAAAGGCAATATACCACTTCCATCGGGACCAAGGTTTACATCCATCCCGGCTTTTATCAATCCCTCTAGAAGATCCTTGTCTTTCTCCCAGGTAATATCTTTGCGTTCTCGAAGTATTTGTTTGATAAGATTAAATGGTGTCCCAGCACTTCGATAATCGGCTACTTCAGTCGGTACATCCGGGCTCCAGACTTGATCAAGCATTTCGACAACCGTTTTCGATGACTGGACACAGGTGGCAGAACGTTGAAGCAGTGTGACTGATTGTGCTCCTCGGACGTGGAGATCCAACGCAATATCTGCGCCGCTGTTCCCGGTACCTACCACGACAACACGCTTTCCTGTAAACTGAGGCCCACCAGCGTAGGAGTCTGAATGGAGGATCTGTCCTTGGAATAAATCGTGACCTTCTATAACGGGTGTATACGGTCCACCTAAAGTACCCGTGGCGAGGACGATGTGTTTCGGATTGATGGTGAGGATTTGACCATCTCTATCGATGGTGACATCCCATTCCTTTTTGTCTTTGTCGTAAGAAGGTACTGGAATCGGTTGAGATTTCATCCAAACAACAAGGTCCTGGGAGACGGCATACTGCTCTAACCAATCAGCAACCTTGTCTCGAGGGGTGTAACGAGGCCAGGTTTCGGGATATGGTTGAAATAGCACTGCAAAGAAGGATCAAGACAAATTCGAGGTCTAACGGGCAGCGCGCAACGCACTTGTATGGTGTTGCTTTGTGGTATGCAGAGTCAACGATGGATATCTTCTTCTCCATTGATCCCCGATGCGCCCGTTCTTATCGATCACAAGTGTAGGTATACCCATCTGCTTAAATCGAGCAGCAACCTGCAACCCATTCTGACCAGCACCCACTGCAGAAGTTCTATCAATGCTAATCATAGCACAAATGGTAGAGAGAGCCGACCGATAAGCACATGCGGATTTGCCTCAATTATACGCGCTCTCTGCTCTCGCACTTCTGACCAGCACAACGAATTACCATGATAAACGCCTTGTTCGGCACCAATTGGTTCGTGGCCTTTGAGACTGTCCAGCGAAACGAGCAAGGTAAAAGCTTTCCAAACCCCCGGCTCTGAAGCTACTTGTGTCAGCGTGAAGAGGCCTTTCCCATTAGCGATCGGCGTGGAAAATGTGAATCCAGAGGACACACTCCCAGGAAGATCTCCCGGAGAGGGCTTGAAGTATGCATCCTCTGTGATTTTGAGCTCAAATATGGTCGTCGATTCCACGTTAGAGGACAAGTAGTCCAAAATTTGACCATGGCCGTTCAAAGTACGCAGGTTCCAAGTAAAAACAAGGAGATCTCGCAGCCAACCATTGGGATGAAAGAGCGATGCACAACTCGCCGCATTTTTCAGGTCGAGGGAATGGGAGAGCTGTGATAGCCAAGCAGATGCAATCCCATTCAAGTCTACTTCCATCATAAGAGCGTATGAAGATGAGTGAGAGCACATCCGACAACTGTACGAACTTTTTGATTGTATCTGTCTTTGATGTCATTGGCTGAAGTGTAGCTATGAAAGGGAATGTAAGTAGCCCGAGCGCCCGAATATATATTCGGAATACTACACATGCCGCTTCCAGAATTCATTCCACCACCTCAAATCACACCTCAAATCACAATAGAAAAGATCGTACACATTCGAATAAGCACCATGCATAAGTCAGACAAGCGTGGTCAAGATAGCCAGGAGAAGAGATAGCTAGGAGAAACTGGCACTATCAGGTCGAATCATGATTCTCCCACCACTCCCGCTAATAACGGTGAGGACGAAAACTTCCCATCAGCGACTGATTACAGGCGAGCAGGATGAAGAGATCTGTAACCCTCTTAGTGAACGACGCGTATAATTGGTCATTGGTTGGTATCTGGTTCCAAGCATAAGCCAAAACGCGGCCAAGCAGTCGAAGAATTAAGTACATGTCCCATAATGTGTCCCAAAAAGCTGACACGAAACTTTCAAATGTTTCTGTAAACAAGTTATAATCAAATGATCAGACCTGTACACATAGGCTTGTAATACCAACAGTACGTACCTCGACCTTTTCAACCTCCGGCGTCCCCTTTTCCCGAGCGATCTCTGCGAAAAAGACCTGGTGGTGGGGGAGGAGTGATTTTCGGAAGTATGTATGGAACTGGCATTCCCGCCAGTACTTCCCAATCTCTTTCTTCCCTGGATAACATACCGATATGCATTCCATTGTCTAATCCTGCATCTATGAACCCGAACGCCCAGTGAGAGGAAATCGTGATCTAATAGTATATGATCGAACGGAGCTGGCCGCGCTGGAGGGTACGGAAAATCCTCAAGCCTCCATGCATGAACAAAATGCTTTCTAAGACGTGCAAAATGGATATCCAACAACCACATCACCCCATGCTAGATGACTTGTTCTTCTTGAATGCCGTGTTTAATACTCGATACTAGTTATGACACTCAGCAGTAGAATGTTCATGCGTGCTTGTTGTTTCGTTATGACATTGCACGGTATAAATAGCAGTAAAAACATTGTTGCAAGGTGTATGGGAAGTCTCCACATCGGTAAACCACACAGAAAACGGAAACGAAGACGAATTGGATGGACATAATAAATGGCGCAAGAAAGTGAGCAAGATGCAAAGCGAAACGTTGAAAAAGGGACAGAAAGCCAGCGTTGAGAGAAAGATTTTGCTTTATTCCGACGTGCTTTCTCCCCAATGTGTACGCATGCCAATCGTCCTGGCAAGACGAAAAGTGTATTGTCAACGGTATGAGCGGTTCGTTTTTTCATTCATTCCCACAAGGTTCGAAATCCCGCTCGTTGCTGTAACGATTTTACCGGCTCTTCATGTCGAACGTTTCTGAGCCTTACTTCCCTTGGGTCTTCCACGAGGTCTCTTCGCTGGGATCGCTGGAATCGCGTCGAAACCATTACTATTACCTCCACTAGAAGAGGCATCAATAGATGAAGACGCGGGTCGTTTTTTATTTGCATTTGTAGAGCTTGAAGCGGGCGCGGAAGAAGGGGTGGATGAAGGGGGAGGGAAAGTATTTCGGAATGAAGTTGGGGTAGCGGTGGGGATTGTAGAAGGAACAGCCGGAGAGGTTGAGGCGACGTGACTAGAGGCGTTCCCATTTCCATTGAGCCGGCGTTCGGTGAGATAACTAAGATAAATTGAGCTGAGCTGAATGAGAAACGACAAGTTATAAACGAACGTCGAGGCTTTTTCATCCAACATGGTCTGCAAACTCGGTAACGCAGGCTGACCCAATTCTGCACGGAGCCTATCGACGTCGGCTTTGGCGACGGCGTACTCCCCGTCTGAGAGAGTGAGAATTTGATGACGAAGTGTTGTGGACCTGGAAAGAAAATTAAAATCAGGGATAAAAGATAGGAGAAAAAGATGGACAAGAGACGTTGCAGAATGAATGAAGTGGCTACGTACTCTCGTTCTAAATCACCTTCTAACAAATCAGCCTTGTCCCTATCCTCGTTGACTTGGCGCAGCGCTGTTAGCAAGCGGGTACGTTCCGATTCGAGTCTAGCGAGAAATTGGAAGTTAGGGTTAGCGATAGCGATTGAACTCATGGACTCACTTATTCCTCTGTTCCTTCACATCTTGTATACTCTTGCTCTTCTGTTCCAACGCCGCATGCGCAGAAAGTATATGTGCGGTATGTAGTTGAAGGGTAAGAGCGTGTTTTCTAAAAACGGATGTTAGCTCAACGCAATTAAAAACGACGTGAATCGCAAGGACGAACAACTTACTTCAACTCGGCTGTCTTCGCCAAATGAACTAAATCCCTAGTCCAATCGCCGGTCGCTACTAGGGGAGCAGTACTTCCTGTACCTGCACCTGTACTGGATCCAGCAGAGCCTGATCCATTCGCAGCCGCTACTGCCGTCGAGGTAGAGATAGAAGACGGAACAACTGATGTCGATACCGCCAGTGGAACAGGTGTTTTTGACGTGGCAGTCGGTACGATGGTGTTTGCTGCTGCATCAGAGTTTGAAGCCATATTTCCAGTTCCATTCGTACTCCCATTTCTATCCGAATTCGCGTGAGCCAAGGTTGGAGCTGGTTGGGCTGGTTGATAATGATGATATTGATATGGTACACTAGGCACAGCATAATGATGAACAAATTTTGTCGTCGTTGTATCCTGCGGCGCGACGGTCATCGTTAACGTCGACATGGACGAAGAGGAAGAAGAAGATGGCTGAGGCGCTGATGATGAAGAGGATAAAGCGTTGTTCAGCACAGATTGCGGTGTAGTTGTCGTCGGCCTGGGTGTTCGAGACGACGACGAAGCGTTGGAGTTGTTGGTGCCGGCATTGTTGTTATCGTGATTGTGTGATGTAGAGGACGAGGATGCAGATGGATCAGTATTGGAAGAAGAAGGAGGACCTGTGTAATGTATATACTGTGGTTGTTGCTGTCCTCCATGTTGGTGGTTTAGGACATGATGTACGGAATGGGGATGCGCTTGATGATGCGACATTCCCGAATTCCACACAAATTTAGTGACAAAAAATAGAGAAATCGATGCTTTGAGTCCCAGGGGTCAGAAATAACAGAAGGAAAAGGAAAAAGGGTCGAGAGGTGGCAGAGGGCTCTCCAGCACACACGTGGAAGTTAGGTAATTTGTTCACAGCTCACCTAAGGCAAATCCAAGACCATGAACTCATATTGTAACTTTTCTTCCTTCATAGCACGCTCATGAGCTGGTGTTACAGTCAAAGGCATCATCATTTGCCTTCCATCCATCTCTTAGCTTGACGAAGCGCACCGGCAACACAATTTTGCCTGATTTTACCGTTGCTTTCAAATTACTCCGTGCAACATCCGTCGATCTGCGTAACTCATCCGTGCTGTTTCCGTACAAGTACCTATCGCGCATCCTTTAAAAGCCATGTCAATTGAACCAATATTCATCACATTATCATCATGTCACAGAAAGCACTTGTTCTCGAGTCAGCTAAAGCTCCTTTCGTTGTGAAATCGATACCGATTCCAAAGCCTGGCCCTGGTCAAATACTTGTCAAGGTACTTGCATGTGCATTGAACCCGGTAGACTTCGTTGTCCAAGCACGGGACATCTTCCCGAACGTCACTTACCCTACTGTCCTCGGCCTTGATGTCGCTGGAGACGTCGAGGAGCTGGGTGAAGGCGTCGAAGGATATGCTAAAGGTGACAGAGTGTACGTTCAGATATAGTCTCCAACTAGAACTTACTCAATTTTGGGGTTTAGATTCTTCGCCGCTGTATATACATTGAACAACGGTGGATTTCAGCAATACACGTTGAAGACAATAGCAGATTCTGACATCGGAAAGGTCGGTGTCGTTCTAGGCTCAACAGTAACTTTCTTCTGAATACCTTGAATTATCTTTAGATTCCACCTCAGATCAGCTACAGCGAAGCTTCGTCTATTCCTCTGACTTTCGCAACCGCAGCTATTCCTTTGCTGTCTGCTAACCCTGTAGGATGTGGCTTGAATCCCACCTTTGATCCCAAGGTTAGTTTCAATGGAGAGGCAGCCCTCGTTATTGGCGGAGGGACCTCTGTAGGTCAATTTGGTATGTAACACATCTTCCTCTCATTACAGGACATATGCTGACATCGTGCACTGATCTTAGCTATCCAAATCTTCAAATACGTTGGCTTCAGCACGATCATTACATATGCGTCCTCCAAGCACTCTGATTATCTGAAGTCGCTCGGTGCCACTCACGTCATAGACCGCACGGATGTCTCTTTCTCAGCTCTCCCCGAAGCTGTGAAGGCTATCACTCCATTACCCATCAAGAACATCTATCTGGCTATCATCGTCGCGCCAGAGGCTTTTGATGCAGGATATGCGTGTCTCGCGCATGGAGGACAGATGGCCACTGCTAATCCGACTCCCCCAAAGCCCGATGACGCTGAAGCAACTGGACGAAAGATCTACGGGGTATTCGCCTCCACTCAAATCGAACCCAACATAGAATTCGGGAAGGCGATGTGGAAGAATTTGCCGAAACTCATGGAAGAAAGGATCATCAAGGTGAGTTGGGGCCGCGCAACCGCATTCTGGCATATCTCTTACTCAGAATAACCGTAGCCGAACCGCGTTGAGATGCTAATACCTAATGGCCTCGCTGAAGTCCCCGATGCGTTACAGAGATTCATGAGCGGCGGAGTCAGTGGCGTCAAACTTGTTGTGAACCCGCAGGAGACAACATAACATTAATATATAAACAAAACGGAGATGTGCGCATGGACCCCAATCGAAGTTCCTCCATTGCTTTATTAGACTACTACAGTAGGAATGTTTTAGGCTGAATAATTGCGGACAAGTTGACCCTTAACTTTGAGCATGTGTCAGTTCCCCCTCGTCCGCTCATTGTTTCCAATGAAGCTGTATTTCCTTGTTCGCGAATGAACTCATCGTCGTGTAATTTGAACAAGATCCATCGGCTGATTGCGAGCGGAAAACATCAAATTCAGTATATCCGAGGTGCGACGCTATAAGGTTCAAGTTCAAGTACGGTGCACATATGAGGCGCTTCAATGCATCCCCAGTCCATGATTGTTATTATCAGATGATACAAGGAATACCTATCCACATATTGAATCAATTTACATAGGAATCTCATAGATGAGGATGGAATGTTTAAGTCCATCGTATTCGAGCCTTGAGCTCGAGCAAGAAGCAATAAAATCGCCAACCGCTAAACTCCGGACTTGGTAAAACTCAAAGTCTTCGCGATTTCCGTTCATGTTTGCTGCTGGCTGCGGCGCTGACTGAAGATGTGGACTTAGATTCAGCCAGCCGCAAATAGTCGCCTTGTCCCACTGCGGTTACTACCAGTGACTCAGTTCAGTTGCCATAAACACCGAACATGCTAATTAAAATCACAACATTGTACTTACAGCGAGATTTGACGTCCACAAGCCTTGGATGAATCTTGCTTCCAATATAAGGTGGGAGTTTTTTCTCTTTCTGAATTTATTACTCAGTATATGATTGAAAAACAAGGTGCTGAATTCTATAGTAGCAATGAGACTCACAGAAGATAAATCTCTTGGACGGCCAAACAGTTCTTCGATGATGGCTGTTATACCTTTGTCGACTTCGACATAACGAGGATTCCGAAGCATAGATCGCGGTAATTTATAAGGGCTTGGCCTAGAGCGAATAATTTGACGTTCTGAATAGGCAAGGAGAATGTAATTGGAGGCCAACGGTGTCATCGCGGATTTTCTAAGTTTCCATTGGAATCCTTCCACTGAAATCGAACGATATGACATCCGGAGTTCCTTCAGTGAATATTCAAAGTTTATTAACCTGTAGCATGCATAACAAGTGGTGAATTCCACATGGAAATACAAGTAGGAGACACATACTCTATTCTTGAAGTAGGGCCCAAAAGATCCATCACGACCTGCTTGAAGGTCTGTGAGTCTTCGCAACCTTCCAATTTGTTGATTTCAGCTAGTGCATCTGGATCAGGGAGTGGAAAGGCCATATCGTAGTCATATAATGCCTCTACGGGTAGTGGCACACATGGAGGGTACCAGCCTTTTACAGGCTCGGTGACAGCGAGATCGATATAGGCAGACACTTTTTCAGCTATAGTTCTGTAGGTACGGCTGTGTGAGACAGGCTCCATTGCCATTTCGCTGGGATAAAGTCAAGGTCGAGTTATGGTCAAGGCAAAAAGGAAGGTGGGAGAAATTGAGTATAAAAACCCGATTTTGCGCAACCCACAGCTGTAAACATACAGCATCAGCCATGACGGCAAAGATGACCATCCGATAAAACTTTAATCGTCAACCAATCAAGTCGAGACTCATTTCCTCATAAACACCACCAGACTAGTGCTAAGTGGATGAAGAAGCCGCCAGTCATTTAAAATTAGACAGTGTCGATGAATCTCAGGCCTTGAGGTTGTGATGAAGGCTCAGCAAGGTGATTGTGAGGGAAAAGAAGATGTTATGGGTAAAAGATACGAACCAGTTGAGAGTTGCAATTTCAGGAATCAATGGTTTTTCAAATTACACAACGAGTTTGTTTGGGAAAAAGGAAACACAGCATCCATCTTTCATTGGAAGCGGTGTGCTTTCAGTGTGGGAGGGTAACTGGCACTCTCTCAAAGTCTGAGTCAAGGGTCGTTTGTCCGCAATATCCAGCCCAAAGCATTCCTACCCTATCAGTCAAGTAGAGTAAAAGATGAGCCTCGATTCGAGTCCATTCGTAGTGTACATATGTCGTTTTTTTGTTGTCTCTTGCAGGTTCACAACAAGCTTGATGCTCCTGATTCCGCCAGTCACATCAATGGCCTACTTCACTATGGTTAGAATGAGAGTAGACCCAGCTCGAGGCATCAACACCCCGACGATGAGATTCTTTGTCGTCAGCTCCTCGACTATAACCTGACCCACCGAACTTCTCCCTCAAGCGAACTCATTCTGCGTAAACAAACCCCCGATGTAATAATATACATTCCCAAAGTTCTCTCGACGAGAATTATCCACATGGGTCGTGATGGAGTGGTTCCCTGAGATGTTGTGGATGGTGATATTTCCTTGGACTGGCCCATTGGAGACGTTTCCGAATGAGTTGTTAGCAGATGTTGATAGAGATGGAGAAAGGCTGAATGACTGTGTTTGACGTTGGGGTATCGGTGTTGACGAATAAGGTGGAGGAGACAAAGAAGCCGAAGGATCCTTTGAATCGTCTGTGCAAAAAATTGCGATGAGGGTAAATGCAAGGCGAAGAAGTTGCTTTGAACATTACCTGCTCTGTAATTAGTTACGGAATCGACGATACCACGGGTCTCGTCTACTTAGAGGAAAGACAAGGGTGTAATTGTCAGAATGAAGGCTGATGAAACATTGATAGCACTCATACCAATGGGACTATTTGTGCCTATCGGTGAACTAGCCATCTCGGTCGTGCTTGACACGTCTATCGGAGAAAGCCTAGTAATAACAGCCCTCTGGACTTGCTCCTCGTCCCGTTGGGCTGGTCCTCCTTCACTTGCACTAGATCGAAGGAAGTCTTGATGAAATGATTCCAAAGTTGAGCGTACGCTTTCTTGTGAATTCAACTTTCAACCAAATGTTAGTCAGGGGACGGATGTTAAAAGACGTCGAATAGAGTACCAATTCTTCTTGCTTGGATTCCAACCTGTGAAGTGGCTCATGTAAAATCATGTTCGATTGAAGCTAAAGAGAATAACCTTTAGCTTGGAAATATGACGAATTTACTATGGTGCGCACCGTGAACTCCTCCAACACTTGGTTCAAGCGATCCTTGTATTCCTGAACGATATTCAAATCCGATCTTGAAGAAATGACTCGTCGAATTAAGGTCCTGGAGACCTGGCGTTGAACGATATCCTTGATTTCTATGAGTGTACTATCAAAACATAATCAATATAGAGTAACCTTCAAAGAATCGGAGCACGCCTTAAAAGGTCTTTGACCTGTTGATTTAGCTTAGAGTCTGTCGAAAATAGTTTTGACTCTGCGTCCGAATCCGAGGATTCTGTACGCAGAGGCGGATGCAGACCACGATAAGTGCTAAGTACTGTGTTTGATAGACTGATGATTGTAGATGCAAGTTGCTTCAGGGAATCTTTATTATCTTTTGCGCCCTGTAGGTGCATATGTTAGTCAAGATCTATGAGTGAGCGAGTGATGAGCACACCCCTGTATAGCATTCAGATTGCTCAGACTAATCGAGGCCAACGTTCTTAAATATGGTGTGGGTGCATATTGTGCAGCAGAAGCGAGTGCACCAAGTGCATGACTGGAGGCGTCGGGGGCCACAGATGACAATAAAGACGATGTTCGTCTTTGAATGGTTTCCTTCAGGTATGAGGAAGCCTCAGTCTTCAAGGGTCCGCTTTCGGCGCCGTCGTGCTCTGGTCCCGTGGGTCGTTTAGGCAGCTTCCAAGATATTCTTCTCCTCCCTGGCTCCCTCTTTTCTTGTGAAACTTTCGCTTGTTCTTCCTCGATTTCTTTAACCACCTGAAGGGGCTCTGCTTCACGGCCCTTAGTTTCTGCAGTTTTTGACAGCGTTCCACCCATGAGTTATGCGTTGAAGAGTCAGGCGCTCAGTCTTCCAAAGGCGGTGCTTGACTGTCTAGGAAAGGAAAGGAATACGTCGACTCTAATCATTTGGGTAGGACGCCTTTTTGCTGCTGAACTCCTGCTATATCGATATTCAGTCATTGTCGGGGGATGAACTGACCACTCCGGGCAGAATCTTGGTATGTACCTTATTCCCCCAACCCTCCACTCATATATCCTGAACGAAGATTTCCGATTTAGATCGTTGAACTATTATTATCGATTGTCACTGTACAATTGCAACACCTTTCTGTTGAATATGCCACGACTATTCGTGGGCTCTATTCCCTGTGTGATCAAGGGTTAATTTTCGAATGAAAGGAAATATATCGGTCTAAGAACTGGATCCATTGAGTAGTTGGGGACCTTGGTTATGTAAACAAAGATCCTCAAGAAAAGTAGAATCCATCAGATTAGATTGCCCTTGAATGACTTTACATTTACATCGCCCAAAGACCGAGTGGGCGAAGCGACGCACCTAGTGAACTAAGATACTTAATCTTGTCGCATCGCATAGATCCTAATCCAAGGCGGGTCAAATAAATAAGCACAAATAGATAACAACACGCAAAGCGCTGTATTCATCTAGTAAGTACGCAATTCTAGTGTTTCTCCCTGCAAAGTAACTTCAACCAAGCACGGGGAACGAAGGCTGGGGAAACGTTACAGGCACGCTCCTAGGGACAAACCTATTTTCCCATCTCTGCATCCCCTCTCGTCCTCGTCGAACGGGATGGCCTACATCGCCATGGTTAGAATGAGAGTAGACCTCGCTCGATCCGGCATCAGTACCCCGATGATAATTCTCCCAGTGGTCAGCTCCGCGACCATAGCTTGACCCACCGAACATCTCCTCTCTTGAACCGGAATTCTTACCAAAGAAACTCCCCGTGTGATATACATTCCCAAAGTTCTCTCGACGGGAATTATCCACATTTGAAATGACGGAGTGGTCCCCTGAAAAGTTATTTACAGTGACATTTCCTTGGACTGGCCTGCTGAAAACATTTTCAAATGGGTTATTATTGGGCGTTGATATCGATGTAGAAGGGCTGAATGGTGGAGTTTGGGGTTGTGAAATTTGTGTTGAGAAATGAGGCAGAGAAGACGAAGAAGCCGAACGATCGTTTGAATCGTCTGTGCAAAAAAATGCGATGGACATGAGGTTAAGAATCATTGCTACTTGACAAGGAATCGACCATACCAGGGGTCTGGTCTAGTTGCCGTCAGTGTGAAGACTATCGATGAAGGTAGCGCTACTCGTACCAATGGGACCACTCATACTTATAGGTGAGCTGACCTCAAACACGACTGGTTCCGTCGGAGAAAGCTTAGTAAAAACAGCATTCTGGACTTGCTCCTCGTCCCGTTGGGTTGGTCCTCCTTCACTTGCACTAGATCGAAGGAAGTCTTGATGAAATGATTCCAAAGTTGAGCGTACGCTTTCCTGTGAATGCAACTTTCAACCAAATGTTAGCCGGAGGACGAGCGACAAAAGACGTCGAATAGAGTACCAATTCTTCTTGCTTGGATTCCACTCTGAGGAGTGTCTCACGTAGAACTATGTTCGATTGAAGCTAAAGAAAATACCATTTAGCTTTAAAATATGTCGAACAAACTTTTGTGCGCACCGTGAACGCCTCCAACGCTTGGTTCAAGTGGTCCTTGTAATCCTGAATGATATTCGAATCAGATCTTGAGGAAATAACTCGTCGAACCAAGGTCCTGGAAACCTGACGTCGAACGATATCCTCGATTTCCCTAAGTGTACTATCAAAACATGGAATAAATATAGGGTAACCTTCAAAGAATCGGGGCACACCTTAAAAGATCTTCGACCTGTTGGTTTAGCATAGGGTCTGACGAAAATAGTTTTGACTCTGCGTCCGAAACCGAGTTTTCTGTGTGCAGAGGCGGATGCAGCCGATGATAAGTGTTAACTACTGTGTTTGATAGACTGGTAATTGTGGAGGCGAGTTGCTTCAGGGAATCTTTATTATCTTTCGCGCCCTGCAGGTGCATTCGTTAGTCAAGATCCATGAGTGAGCGAATGATGAACACACCTGTATAGCATTCAGAATGCTCAAACTAATTGAGGCCAACGTTCCCAAATATGGTGTGGGTGCATATTGTGCAGCAGTAGCGAGTGCAAGACCAGAGGCATCAAGGACCACAGATGACAATGAAGACGACGTTCGTCTTTGAATGATTTTCTTTGAAGGTGAGAAAGCCTCTTTTGAGGCGTGGTCAGGGTTCAAAAGTCGTGTAGTCGGCCTCCAAGACATTCTCTTCCTTCCTGATTCACTCTTCTTCTTTGCATTTTTCGCCTGCTCTTCATCGATTTCTTTAACCACATTAGGCGGCGCTTCTTCATTATTTTCTGCAATTTCTGGCGATATTGCTTCCATGAAGTATGCGTAAAAGGGAAGGTTGAAGTGCTGAGTCTTTTTTTTTGAGTCTATATTAAAAGTGGCTCTACGTTTATTACCTGTTCTCTCTTTTAAGCCTAGGTGATAAGATGAATTCAGTGCTGGAGCTGCTATATCAATATCACTGGTCATTGTCGGTCGATGAACTGGCCAGTCCACTCCGGGCAAGTTTTGGTATGTACTTATACCACAATAGCCCGCACTAGGTCCGCACATAGCCTGAACGAAGAGATTTCGCCGAAGTATAATGAGTTTACCATCGATAATTATTGCAACACCTGGATGTGCTGCTATTCATAGGCAGAACGTCAAACGTTTCTAATCAAGGGTTAATTTTGGGAGGAAAGGAAAGGAGATTTAATGCATCGCATGGTCCGAGAACTGACTACTGAACGCCGGAGTCTCCTTGATGGAAACTTACAATTTATCGAAGAGTCTACCTCTGGTCTACCCTCTAGAGGAAGGGGGATCCTGGACCCGCCGCGTATTGCGATACCGACTCTTAAGAAGGGGGGTAATCTTGCCGGAATTCTCCAAGAGAAGGCTATGATCCTCCTCCCGATGAGTAAAGGTTGTTGCTTTATTCACGCTGCCCAGATTTCTCCACATTCCAACCAACGCCAGACTCAACTCCGTCGTGTCCTCCGGATATCCGGCCCGAGTTACCCGATAGAAAGTTGTGGACACTGGAGTCCCCCCTCCGTACAACATCGCGAGCTTGCTAAGCATGTCCAACACCGCGATAGATAGGGAACGAAGGATACACATTGAAGCCAACTTGAAGTTTTCTCTCGACGTCTGCAGTCAGGTTTCGCATTGTTGGATTCTGCACCGAGCTGCGGGACGATACCTACAGGTTGCTCTCCTTCTGTACATGGTTTCGTGCAGTTCCGCCCTTCTAGCCGATTCATGAGCACGATCTTCAGCTCCCTCCACGTTTAGACTCTTTTGGCAACGGTGGAAAGACGACATATCCTACGCACAGTCGGAAGTGGAATAGGGCCAGTAGAGAGGTGAAAGGTACATCGCCTGGTTGTCGGGGGGAAAAGAGCCTCAGAAATTGGAGTTAAGCGCCATGACAGGAAGATCGATGTCGTCCAGAATGAACGGTATAGCCTTCCGACATAAACGAGCTTAGGTCGAAGAACAGACGGTTTGGATTCGTGGTGCAGTTGCATCAAGTTCATTGGCCTCAATACAAGGATGTGATTGCCACCATTGTATTCTGGCAGTGCGAAGAGGGATGACAGTAGATAACATTGCGTCAGGAACAATCGAAAGAAACGATGTCTATAGCGTGGCGTCTTGGTTGCTGGAACTCTCAACACTATTGGGATCCTAAATAGATGGCGCTTGCTCAGTCAATCTGCCCTACGAGCTCTGTAAGTTTCCCATATCTCAATGATTCTTTGCATTGAAACATATTCAACGGTTCTGACAGATAGAAGTCATTATAATACTACATAAAACCTCGGAAGAAGTGCTGTATCCATGTAGTGCGACAGCACGAGAATCAGAAATTGGAGTGGATGGGAACTGGGTACAATTGTCATTGGGTTTGCTGCAGACACTAATCCTCCCTGATAATCTTCGTGTGTCTTTGCTTCCTATCGTTACACCTGACGCGGTAGACCCCTCGACAGGATCTTGATGAACAAGGACTTTCAATAACATGTCGTACAAAGACGTTGCTCACTCTGACACGCTCTACAATAGGAACTCCTACTGTGAACTCCATGCCAATTGGTAGAATCACCCGCGAAGTCTCAAGAAACAGAGCGTGGATATTGCATTTCATGACACAATGTTATTCACATATTCCTGATGTCTGGGTGCCCTTCCACGTTTGTATTTGCTATCACATTCGCGCGCCCGAACTTGGAAAGTAGGCCAGTACGTCCGTAGTTCTTTGATGCAAGGAAACTACTCCTAGAACCTTTTTGTCAACTTTTAACTGACTCCCGAGTACAATCCCTAGCTCCGCCAGACTTTTGACGCACCCCTCATCTTTTTGGGTTCTTTGACGGTTTCAGGTCTTCGCACACTCCAAATCAAAATTCAAAAAGCACGCGTGTGCATACCAGACAAGGCGCTCGACGTCTTGAGCACTAAATTTTGAAGAGGATCGGGTTACAAGGTGTAGTCGTCTTAGTCGTGCGCAGGGTCTTAGTAAGCACGGCATCGCTTTAACGCCCTGGTCGTTACCTGGTCATTACTTCGGGTCGTCTTCGGGTTTACTTCTCACTGATGTACGTAGATGCAAACGGTCAATATATATCCATCCTTACCTCCACTTTCAGTGTTACTGCTTGTATTGATGAATCTCACAATCTGCCCGTAAAAAGTGGCGGCATTTCGGCAACCACCTACCATTTCATCGGTCACGGTGTTGCTAGAAGATTTCACTTGGTTAACTCCCTGTCGTGCCTTTTATCTTTACAGGAGACTCTCACTCTTTGCACTGCGGTGTAACGGAGTACAATCGTCGCAAGGGGAATACCTGCGGTAGGAGCGATCCCATCCAGATCATGTCTGTACCACAAAGAGTCGATACGAGGTCTAAATGCTTGTCGGAATTCTCGACGGTTCTTTATTACATGGATTACTTACTGTCTTCTCGAGCGCTTTAAGTCTTGATACCTTGTTCCTTTCATTCAAGTTCTGAACAATCAGGATATGCAAGGCTAAAGGATCATTGACTAAAACAATCTCAGAGAGTCGGGGGACAAGTAGCATCCATACAGCACAACAGCACAAGAAACCAGGGCATATATGTGGGTGAGAACTCATAAATTTCATAAGGAGACAACCTTTCTCAGCCTTCACAATCCAATATTCATGCTCCTCAAATACTCCTGACGGATGGGGTGTGCTTCTGCTTCCTTGTCCCATAACACTTGGATATCCGATTCATCCTTGAGTAAAGAGTGTATATTGTTTCGAAAATTAGACAACGCGAAATAGGCTTCGACTCACCTTGAGGAACATGAGCGCCCTAACATTTTCGGTTGCAATGCGCCGGGATACCCCGGCAGGAATGTGCAAAAGCGTCCCCGCTGGCAGTTCAACACGAATCCATGTTTGTTTGAGAGGGTCTCAATGTAGAGTTCAATGAGTTGTCCAAAAATTTGAACACATCACACACCTTCGACGTCGAGATAAACGCTGCCCGCAATGATGGCGACCAGATAATCCGGGATAATTATAAGCTTCTTGAAATCAATCCTGTTATGTAGTATGAATTTTAAAAACAGGATCGTTAACTTCATTGAAGGGAAATACTCATTGCGCGATGCCTCTTTAATTTTGTGGGCATGATGCTTGACCTGGAGAAACGTTGATAGTATGGCCTGCATCCGAGCCTCGTTGCATGAGGGAATCCTTACTCACCATAGGCGAACTACTCAGGGGTTCGTGGAGGTCCCATATGAAAGTCGACTTTTCTGTTAACGGGTAACCTTGTTCCTTTGCAATTTTTCGAGCGTTGCCCTCGAAGTCTGGTCCTTCGAACGAAGTAATGGGGATACCGAGGGAGGCAAGGTAGTCAATTGGAACCGAATGCGAGGAATGGTGGGGATGACCGGGGTCTCCGGATTTATTATCATGATGATACGCATGCAGTGGCATCTTTCTAGGCAAGGTGTGTAGTTTTGGAGTGTAGCTTTCAAATCTGGACTTTATAGGTACTGTGTAGTGTGTATTCTGGTAGGAAGGCGCAATCTTGAGGAATCAAGGGAAGCTGCTGCTCAAAGGCAGCTTCCGAGCATCCACCCTCATGGATCTGGAAAGTATGATAAACTTTCCAGTCATCCCACGACGCAGAAAGAACTTCTCTTATAGCCTCAAAACGGCTGCGCCCGGTTGAAATGATTCAATGCGGTAGTCCTTCCCTTCAACATTAGGTTGCTTGGTCGCACAACACAGTCCGTGAACAGTCATTATATACTTTGACAACGAGATGCCTCGGCAAGGTCCTTTTACCTAGACCCAATGCCCATTCAATACGTGAGTTTTCTATGCTCTTGAAGCGTTCAAACCTGCGTGAATTCCCTCAGGTGAAATACTTTGAATGTAAGTTATCCTAATCAAAATTACTTTCATCAAAGGAAAGTATTTGTATTCGTGGCAGAGGGAGGGCTCACACTGATATCACGATGATCCAGGTCAACACAGAAGTCGGTCAACGAGGTGCCCTGTTCTTTTGCAAACCTTCGAGCATTGCCTCTCAAAGTCCGATCCTTCAATATAGAAGTCAGTGTTGGGAAGAATAGCATAAAGTTCAACATATACTCCCGAAGAAAGAAAGCTGAAGAAAGTTATGATACTCCACCACAAGATGCGGTACACACACGGGTGGAGAAGAGCTCATCCTTTGGAAGAATGATAACGAGATGACACACGTCGCAGCCTGCGTTAGTACCTGATTTATCAGAACATCCGAAAGCAATCGGAATCGTGGCGGCAATTTTAGCTATAGCGTCAAAGACAGTCATTGTGGCAAGTCTCGACATCGAATCCTGTTGAAATCCTCAAACTAGCAAAGCCTGAAGAGGTGTGTTGAGCTAGAAATTTTGTAGAGAAAACAATGCTTTTCTTTTCAATGTTGGAACAGGTTAGAACCAGAAAAAAAAGATTGACGCCCTTGCGATATCAACTGAGCGCTCAAGCTCAAGACGTACGTGATTAGAGCAGCCCAGACGATAGAGACAGAAATGCATTCTAATCATTTGGTATATAATGAACCATATATGTATGTAGATGAGTTCATGGGATATCTGAAAAAAGGACGAGGCCACGTAGTACAACAACCATTTCCACGAGAGTTACATGTATGTACAAAGTTAAACAATCCGTCGAATTCCAAAGCCCTAAGTAAAGAAAAAGTCTATGATTCGTTAGTCGCGAACATGTTTCGAAAGAAATTCCGGATCCCATCCAGAGTACGGAGAAGTCGGAAGCCCTTCCCAGGGTGAATCGGGGATCGGAGTAGAAGGCATAATCTCCGGTGCGGGATACTTCCAGTTCACAACAACCCCTTCGCTATGAAGCTGGTCTATTTTTGACGAGAGCGAGGCATCGGTGCTATTTGCTGCAGGCTTGGTTCTGGAACGGGGAAATCGCACGTCCAATAGTTTTAAACGAGTAATCTCCCCCGTTGCGCATCGCGGTGCTCCATTAGCGCGAGATTGGGCAAAAGACACGAGTGCCTCTTCCGAGACGTGCTTGCATTCCGTAAGTACAAGTTTCTCGAGCCGAGGACATACCGGGGTTGGATCACTGTCAGTGACTGTCAGATGACCGATGAAGATATCGTCCACGATCTGAATAGTAGTCGGGGACCATTCGATGTCGAAAGAATGATTCTGAGAAGGCGTGCATGATTCTAAATAGATATGGGTTACAGTCGGAAGCGTTCGCAGACAACTGATCAGGACATCTTGGGATTTTAATGGGCACGAGAAATACAAGTCTTCCAACTTGCACCCAGACCGTTTGAGCAAAGGTTGAAAGGGGATATAATCGAGTCCTCTTCGAAACTCGAAACCTTTAGCAATGAAAGCAAGCTTAGAGAGCAACGGAGCACGGATGACGCTGAAGAGGCTATGGAATCGGTTTTCTACATCTGATGCGGGGAGATTGTCATCATCGTCAGAAGGCGGTAACGAGAAATACAATGAAAGAGCGCGCAGGGAATTCAACGTAACGTCGTCAGGCACTTCGAACCCAGAGTCATTAGAAGTAAGCATGACACCGAGGGTACAAGTCGACAGATTTGGTGAGCTCGCGAGAACGTGAATGGTTTGATCCAGAGTAAGTCGGGAACCTCCGCGGCGAGATTGCATGGTGAGGTCGGTAAGATTGCTCCAAGGCAGTTGAAGTTGATGCAGGTTTTGAGTATGGTGGTGGACCGCGAACGATTGTAACGATGGCGCACGAATGATGAGGTCGTTCAAGGGAATAAGTGGCGGTTTATGATTGCCAGTGTAAGAGGGATATACGCCGGCGGACGCTCTCCCGTTTTCCACACCTGAATTGTAGAATATTTCGACGCTCTCAAGCCACGGAACATCCTCCGGCTTTAAATCATTCACCAGCGTATTCAGTAAATTTACAAAGAATGAACTGAGATGTAGCTGTATACGTTTCCATCGAGGAGCGAAGGCAACAATAGATTTCAAAAAGGATATGTGTGATGCCGAGTCCGAGCCTGTAAGTCGACCATAGCCCGACAGGTGAACGGAAATTGACAATGGCAAACATCTCGACCGATTTAGCCACGCCTCGATGCCCTCCCTGCGACGATGAATGAGGGCATCCATTTCGTCGATATCTACCTGCCCGTTCGAAGGACATTGCGGCAAGTGCACGTGTATATTGGTCCAGAGCTGCGGAATAGATAGCGCCAACTCCCTCAAATCCTTCGATATCATCGTCAGCAAGAGCGGCGCCTCAGTCAAGCTTCGCGTTGGATTTCGATCAGTAGGGAGGCATTGAATGAATATCTCGGATATAATTTCGGGAGGAAGTCGTCGAAACGGGGAAGTGAGGGCGAGATGAGCATCGACATGAGCTTTGAGCAGGGTATGCTGGGAGACGAATCTGTCTAGTGTTTTCTGCGCACAATCAATCTCCTCGGCGAGGTTTGACAACTCTTCATAAGAGGCAGCGAGGAGTGCATATATTGCCTGAGTTTCGGTCGCAGAGGCAGCGTAGTTGGTGTGTAAGACATCATGGAATGGGCTGGGGAAGGCTTCGAACATGGTGGTAAGTGGGAAGTTCGTCTTGTTACATGATATCATGCACCATGCCCTATATTCTCTTTTGGTGGACTGATGAACAGAACAGTCAGTTTCTACGCAGAATCCCGCGAAACTGTAAGCGAAGATGAGTACATATGGCAATTTTGAGCAACCAATTGCACGCGCGCCCCGAAAAGACCAGGATTGAATCGCATAGGTCCCAACAGGTCCCCGCTTGTCACCGACCCTAGGAGGACCCTAGGTGGGGGTCAAAACCTGTTCAAAAGCCTTCAATGATTTGAACATACATAACCAAAGGGGGATAATTATGCAGGATGTATCATCATCATGTATGTCACAAACGATATTCCAAAAATGGCAATAACTTTGAAGAAACGAACTCACATAACACCCACAGTTCACCAACATCATGATGATACGGTATCTTTGTAATGGTTCGAAGGTAGTGAAGATAGCAGAAGGTACAAAGAGAATTAGACCCTTGGTATCCCCCTTTTATATTTTTCGGTACCAAACTTCCAACAGGAGAAATCTTGTCGAAAACCGTTAGCTCGAGTTGGTTCCAGGCTATCATTGATGAGGCAATCGCAAATCCGGACACTGCCTGACACTGCGTGGCCACTGGCAGGACTCGGTATGCTATAGGCTGCTATAGGAGGCTGCCTGGCTGCTACTACATATAGTATAGCTGCTACTATGTAGGCCCTGTGTAGGCCTGCAGGAGAGGCTAAGTCACTGTCACATGCTCGAGCTTCGTTCGGGCCTGCTATCACGTGCATATTTTAAACTCCGACATATCACATCTATTTATGCGAAAATTTCACTTTTAACTTTCCTCAAGTGTCCGATTTCGACTTTCTGGAGCGTCCAGCCTGTTGCGCTTTTCTTTCACGAGGAAAATGGACGAAGTATCTTCGAGTTGACGGAGGCAGGTGCTCCATTTCTCTTCCCTCTTCGGAGGTCGATGAGGATGGGGCGCTCACCAGAACGACCCTCCTTCATTTATTGAAGGCATCATATTCTTAGACCCGCCGTAGCCACTATGTGACTTTGACGGTTTGGTAAGACCATTTCGCATACAGGTTATTTATCTGTCTATCTATCTATGTACGTAGTGTTTTATGCAATGCTGAATTACTTTCCCGTGTACAAGATCGCAGTAGTGCTACGGCTACGGCCTTCGCCACAGAACTGTTCTTTTTCTTTTCTTAGATTTGGGGGGTCAGAATTCACGAGCTCCATCCCATGATGCTAGCGCGTTGGCCGCAGCACTGTATATATGTGCTCATACCATGTTAGCTTGGCTCCGCAATCTCTGCTTTCAGCCTCTGCACGAATCCTACCAGTCAGTCATAAAATGCCACCGTCTGGCTGGCCTTCTCTCAACGGTTTTACCGTTGACCACGATGCGACTTGGTCCTCAGCTGTCCCAAGCTCGTCTCAACACTCTTACGTTATCAAAGAGGCAATCTTCCGGTTCCCCACCTCTGCGGATAGACTATTCTGTCTTTCTCGTGGCTCGGGCCCGTTGGCTGGTGGTACTTTCCACTTGACACAAAGTGATCGTTTGGAACTTGCGAATCGCATTGAGATCAAAATTATTGTGGAGTATTGGACAGGAAATGTTCATACATTGGATTCGATATTGAAGGTTTGTGAGTTGAGGAGAATGGAGAATCAGTATGGGATTGGGATCCTGGTAAGAGCTTTTCTGAGTTATCTAATACATGAGGAACACTGAATGTCTACCTGTGAACAGACACGACCTCCGCCTGGCTTCGAAATGAGCTACCAGTTTTATGCCAACATCAAGGTCGTCGTCACCCTGCCCAGGCCTCAACTTGCAGCCATACTCCAACTCAAGAATTTTGAGACGGACCTGCCTATGTACTCACATCTGATCGATAACCTGGCATCTACCGTGTATTTTCGCACTATCTCACTGCGAAGTTGTAACACGCCGATAAGAGTTGAGGTACATGCATGTACATCTACTTTGTTCAATCACTAGCTGACCTCTGCATAGTCAATCGGAACTGGAAAAGCCAGTTTCGAGACATCCAATGCTCCAATTGAAGGCTTGTTCGCCACTAATACGTCCCTGAAAATCGTCACTAGCAATTCTCACATCCGTGCTTCTGTATTCTTACAAAGTAACGACGCGACTAGTTTTTCCGAACTGACAATGAGATCTTCCAATGGGTACGTCAGTTCTTGTTAGCAACATCCAATTCGTTTCGTTTCCAACTCAAAGCTTTCAACCACAGTCCTATCAATGCCTCGATAATCCTTGGTGCTCCAACATCAACGATTTCAGAGCGTGGAGGCAACTTTTCCATCAACGCTTCTACACAACTAGGCCCGTTATCCCTCATCTTTCCTTCCGCACCTCCGTCGTGCAATCTCCATCTCCAAGGATCCACCTCTTTAGGACCTGCAGATATCACCCTTCCAAAAACATACGAAGGCGCGTTCAAGGTGCAGACTTCTCTGGGTCTTGCTTTTACCGGATTCGGGAACCGAATGGAGAGAGTGGAAAGAGTGCACGGAGCGCACCGAAGGCTGTTGTTTGAGCAGGACGGAGCAGTAGAGAAAAAAGGCTCCGTTTGTTCGAGTGACGAGGGAAGATGGCGTGGTGAAGTCAAAATAATGACTTCGATGGCACCGGTAACGCTTCGGTTTTAGAGCCTCTGCGAGTGCAAATATACAATAACTTCGTTGATTGAACGACTTCCGTGCCGGTGGTACTGTGGCTGTGCTTACTAGACTTTCCTTCTGTACTCGTCATGACTTCGCTCTACGGCGAGGGCCTCATCCAGCCTGAACTCATCTACTACGACAATATTGTACCGACAAATAATGAAATAAATGTCCTTAAGCAACGCCTGGCTTTACTGCAATCTTCGGTATTACTTCATCTCCCTCATTTCCGTTTCGTTCAAACTGTGATTTTTCCCATTAGGACCCATACAATGTCGTAGAAATGGCGATCAAGATTGCGGCCGAGCAATACAAGGCTGAAGACGCGATAAAAGCGCGCGATGCGGCCGTTCAACGCCTGACGGATGCATATATCTCGATAGAACAGAAGCTAGAGATCATTGGACGTTTGGAGAACCAGCATCAAACCTTCGACATGCTGATGAAATCTTCTTGCAAGTCACTAAAGGAGTCTGCAGGAGTATCGTCATCGCTATTGGAAGCGGACAAGCTGCCAACTGAAACCGCTGAATTGGAGGGCTTGGTGGATGATTTGCGGAAGGAAATTAAGCTATTGAAGGAAACTACTGCTGCGGTGGAATGCGATTCTCCCCAGGTGTGTTCTCATACTCTTCACTTTATACCACTCTGTAACTGAAGTCGACAGGCCCTCAATGGTTCGGCAATGAAATCTCAATTCACCGCTCCTGCACTTTCCCGCACGTCTTCAGACCTCTCCGTTATGTCTTTTGCTGCAGCCGCTTGCCCTGCCAAGACCGTACTGGAACTCCAAGAGAACGATCTTGATCTTACGGTACGTTTTCTCCATGTTAATTTGGCACATTCACTGATTTGTTTCCAGATTGTCAGCTCCGCTCTCTCGGAAGAAGCCGAGGACATCATCAACGCAAGGAACAAACTCTTGGCTGCTCTACCAGTCCCAGAGGAAGCTCCTGACGATGCTCTCAAGCCTATCATTATTCCAACACCATACGTGAACTTGTATGAATTCCTTGCTTCTGTTTCCGGTGTAAGTTTTACCTTGTCCTCGCCGCCTTGCTGCTTTGAACCTCTACTGACGGTGTTTCCTACTAAAGCCTCTCCGCGCCTCGTAGGCCGTTTTTATATCCTTGGAATGAAATGCTAGAGGCTCACTGTTGTTTCGATGATTTATCTCGATGTAGTCTCTCTAACTATGGCGTCTTACATCAACTTACCACGTCTTGGTGTCCTCAACGTGAAGAACATGGATATTACCTTACCCCAGTCTTCAAATGTAACACTAACCCTCGTGTCACGACCGCGCATCGATGGGCTGCCACCGACGTTATGTCGAAGATTTGTAAACCGGCTGGTAAGTCTTACTCATGTTCAGAGTGAACTCCGACTAACTTGGACATAGAATGTTTTTACAATAAGGACGGCGTATGGTATTACGCGGGCGTGTACAAAGCCTTCAGACTTAACGACCTCACTGTAATGGAATGGGAAGCATTATCTAGCGAGGTGTGTGTGTTCACCTGTAATCGTGATTCTCGTAAAAGTTAACGTATAATGATGCAGACAACACAAGCCATCGTCAAAGAAACTATCGAAGGCCGCAAGAACACCTCTGCTCAAAACATATACGAAGTAACCCAGCTCTACGCCGCCGGCGCTCTCAAAGTCGCTGTAATCGCTCTCCAATGTGTCGGGTTCAACCAGTCGATGTATCATCTTCTCCTTGAACATGCAAGCAATTGTACTTCAAGCGCTGGGAATGTGGGGACTACTCCTGAAACAAGGAATAATTCAAGTTCGACGTCGCCGTCTGTCAGTCTACAGACCTCGATACAGTCAACGATCACGAAGAACTTGTCAAGCGGGGCTTCTGTACTTGGAAATGTAAACGCAAGCGCGGGCAAGAACGGAACGAACGCCAACCGTAGTCGTAATTCGGCATATAGTCTAGGACTGGGCCTCGGACTAGGGACTGGAAACATTTGGAACACGAATCTCGGGGTCGGCCTGGCAGTTGGAAGTACTACTCGTCCTGCTGGAAAAGGTCTAGGAAAGGGCGGAGGCAAAAGCTCGAATTCAAGTTCTATCTCGCAGTTCATCAAGGCGAGTCCTTCGGCCAGAAAAACTCACGGAAACACTGGAGATGAGAATGATAAACCATCTGGGATTTTGGCTGAGATGCAAACACAGATAAAAATGTAGAAGGCACCTGTTGTCTGACTCATTTACATGGACGAAATTACAATCCTGTCCTGTTCCTTCACGGCTATTCATCCGTCTCATTACCAAGAATATAGTGGTGGTTCCTCACTAATGCAATCGCTTACAACCGCAGATGTGGCACAGTGGAGAAGCCCTATGATCTAAATTCTATGTATGCTTCATGCAGGAACCTTCAAATGAAATCCATGGTAACCTTTTGCCGCCGAATCTTCGCATAACTTGGCATACGCGGGTATACCGCCCGAAAACTGCAACATCTGCGCCTTCTTACCTTTGATGTTCTTCCCCATATACCACGAAGTCTTTGCTTCTGACCATAGAGCGGCCGCTCCAAGCTGATCGACAAGTTCACTATAAGCGTGTTGTGCTTCCTCTGTAGGAACTATGCTCGAAATGTTGTTTTCTTTCATATGCCTGATACATTGTATGATCCAATCGCTGGTTAGTTCCTGCAATATCCGTTTCTTATGATTTATATCAGTGCAAGAATATGAACGGAGCTCACAATGGTACTGGGACCGTTGCTGAAGGAGGAAGGAGACTGTGGTCCATAGATCCAAAACATGTTCGGATAAGTAGCACTTGCCACTCCCAGGTAGCTCTTAACGCCATCCGCCCATTTCTCTTTGATAGAAATACCATCCTGTCCACGAATATCGATGGAAGTGATACCTCCGGTGACCATGTCGAAACCTGTGGCCAGTATCAAAACATCAAGTTCATGCTCGACGCCGTCACTAGTCTTCAGACCCTTAGGAGTGATCTCTTCGATCGCGGTCTTGTTAACATCAACAAGTTGGACGTTCGGCTGCGAGTAGACCTCGTAGTAACTCTGTTCTAGACTCGGACGTCTTACTCCGAACGGATGTGGAGGTTGGATTGGCGCAAGCTTTTCTTGGAGTTCGGGATCAGGAATCCTTTCCCTGACCTTCTTCCTCCAAAACCCATACGCCTCGTCATTAGCTTTTGGATTTAAGAGCAGATCTGCGTAAGATCCCATCCAAAAATGAAATCCGCCCTTTTCCCAATGTTCCTCGAAAAACAGAGTCCGCTCTTCTGGGGTCGCGTCAAACATCAATTTCGGATTTATGTCGAAATGAAGGCCAGTGAAGGTTTGATGTCGACGACCAAAAGAAACCGCATAGAGTTCCTTTTTGAGCTTATCTTCTTCATCTGGATCGAGCTTTCGCTGTCTCATAGGAAGAGTCATATTTGGCGTACGCTGGAAGACTGTGAGATGGGCTACGACCGGAGCAATCTCTTGAATGACTTGCACTCCAGTAGCTCCGGTACCTATGACACCAACCCTCTTCCCTTTGTAATCATGCGTTTCTGGCCACCTCGCGGTATGATACATTTCTCCTTTGAAGGTACTGAGGCCTTTGAATTCAGGTATGTAGTATTTCGATCCTATGCCGGTACACAGGCTCAGGAACTGTCCTCGAAAGACCTCACCGTCCTCGGTGGTAAGGTTCCATCGATCGGCAGAGTCATCCCAGTGTGCAGAGACAACGCGAGAATTGAACAACACGTCCTGACTGATATCAAATTTCTTATCAACGTATTGGAAGTATGCTTGAATTTCTCTTCCGTCTGGATATTTTTCGGTGAACGTCCATCCTTGCCAAATCTCCGGGTCAGAGAACTGGTAGAGAGGCATTGGAGAGTCAACACGGGCACCTGTATGGGGGTTGATATTTTATTTACACAAAGACAATGGTCATGACAAACGTCCTTGCCTGGATATCTATTCCAATACCAAGTTCCCGCGAGGCCATGGCCTGCTTCTAGTATCTTTACTGTAAGCCCCAACTTGCGAACGTTCAACAGTTGATGGACGCCGGAAAAGCCAGCACCGATAATGAGCACGTCGTAATTGTGGATTTCAGACATTATTGACTATGAAGACGAAAGTCGTTGGGAGTGAATGATATGGTTGTGTGTGCACAAACTTTATAAGGCGTGTATATCCACGAATAGATCATACGGGAATTTCCTCAACCCTAAGTCTCTCCAGGTACTGGTACTTAGATGACCATCGAGCCGATTGCCAGCTGACTACGTTGAAAAGCAGGAATGGAAGCACAAAATATGTAGCGATGCATTCACAGGTCGAACATAGTCCGAGTCCATTGGGCCAATCATCTTCAGAAGAGTCAGCAAGGAGGATGCAGCGAGAGCAACGGATGGGAAACAACAATGTATAGGTCAGATGTATTACCACAGGTTCCATCCCATTTGCTGTATTCTTAAGTTGACCACCGTGATTGTTCTTGTCCAGTAGGAAAATCCGCCCTTGAAATTCCCTCAGTCAGAGTCATACGACTCAGTCAAGTGCTTCCGCAAGTATAGTTAATCTTTATTTCAAGCGAGTGTTCCGTTGTTATATTTTTGGCTCTTTCTGTCTGTGATGGTAAGAAGAGAGATTTTGGAGTTGTGATGGATAGTGCTCGTGGTTGATCCAGTTTCGATGAGTGGATAGGCGCTGGCTCGACTGGGTAATAGCTCACAACCACTGCCGATCCTTCCCTTTGTCTTCGATGGATGGTCCATCCAAGCAAGGGGTTGTTCATTCCGAATTTGCGATTGATACGGGCCAGGAAGTACCCAAATCTCACGTTTATTAAACTTGGACTTGCCTCCTCCTGTCACGGTACCCTTCTTGATGCTTATATCAGGATCGACGATGTTTCCAAAAGTGCTTTGCACTGAATGAATATAAACGGATTCGAGCATATGTATGTATGTGCGTGCAAAGTGTATGACTGATGCTTCCTCTTCATAGCCCTTTATCAAATAGAGCATTTTAGATGGAATCCATCATAACTGTCTGTCGCAGAATCATTGCATAACTTGGCATATGCAGGGAGACCTCCTGGAAACTGCAACATCTGTACCTTCTTCCCTTCAATATTGCTCCCCATATACCACGAGTTCTTCGCTTTGAACCACAAAGCAGCCGCTCCGAGCTGGTCGACATGTTCGCTATAAGCAAGCTGTGCTTCCTCTATAGGGACTATGCTAGAAAATTTGTTCTGCTTCAAGTAATTTATGCAATTAATGATCCATTCGCTCGTCATTTCCTGTAGCAATTCTTTGTTGAGGCATATACAAGGTTCGACAGGAAAATTACAATGCTACTGGGACCGTTGCTCAGTCCTGCTGGAGATTGCGGTCCATATATCCAAAACATGTTGGGATAAGTAGCACTAGCCAGTCCCAGATAGCTCTTGACACCGTTAGCCCATTTCTCTTTGATAGAAAGACCATCCTGTCCGCGGATATCAATGGAAGTGATACCTCCAGTGATCATGTCAAAGCCTGTTGCGAATACCAAAATATCCAGTTCATGTACTGTCCCATCGCTAGTCCTCAGGCCGTTCGGAACGATTTCCTCAATCGCAGCCTTGTTAACATCGACAAGTGTCACATTCGGCTGCGAATAAACCTCGAAGTACCTCTGTTCCAAGCTCGGACGTCTGACACCCCACGGATGTGGCGCTTGCATCGGCGCGAGCTTCTCCTGGAGCTCAGGATCCGGAATCCTTTCCCTGACCTTCTCCCTCCAGAAAGCGTAAGCTTCGTCGTTAGCCTCTTGGTTCATGAACAAGTCGGCATAAGATCCCACCCAGAAGTGAAGTCCACCTTTTTCCCACTTTTCCTCGAAAGCCAAAAGACGCTCTTCTGGCGTTGTGTCGGGGACGGATTTGGGATCGATGTCGTAGTCGAATCCAGAAAAAGTCTGGCCCCGGCGTCTGAAGAAAACAGGATAGAGGTCCTTCTTTAATTTTTCTTCTGCTTCTGCACTTATGCTTTGTTGCCTGATGGGAAGAGCCAAATTTGGTGTGCGCTGAAATACAGTGAGGTGGGCTACATGAGGAGCGATCTCTTGGATGATTTGGATGGCTGTAGCCCCGGTGCCAATGATCCCAGCCCTTTTATCCTTGAAATCGTACTTCTCTGGCCATCTCGCGCTATGGTACACATCTCCTTGGAACGTATCAATCCCTTTGAATATAGGAATATGATGCTTCGATCCTATACCGGTGCACAAGCTCAAAAACTGAGCCCGAAAGACCCGACCATCCTCTGTAGTAACGGTCCATCGATCAACTAAGTCGTTCCAGTGGGCGGAAGCAACCCGGGAATGAAAAACCACATCCCGCTTCACGTCGAACTTGTCATTCACATATCGGAAGTATGCTTGGATTTCTCTCCAATCTGGATATTTTTCAGTATATGTCCAATCTTGCCAAAGCTCCGGATCAGAGAATTGGTAGAAAGGGCTTGGAGAGTCAACACGAGCACCTGTACGGGTGTAAGTAATGAAAACCACCAAACTGGAGACGGTGAATGAAGAACTCCGCGCCTGGGTATCTATTCCACAACCAAGTTCCGGCAAGGTCTTCGCCTATTTCAAGAACCTTTACTGTAAGACCCAACTTGCGAATGTTGAGAAGTTGGTGTACGCCTGCAAATCCAGCACCGACGATAAGTACATCGTAATCGTGCGGCTCAGACATTATGGGGCGGAGTCAAGTTGTTCGAGGAATCTAGGATATCATAACCGACCATTGCAGGTTTTATAGTCAAAAGGATTCACCTATTCAAGCTCAAGCTCAAGCTTCACTGTTCCGTAGAGATCCACACCAAAAACCAGACTGCTAGATGCGGTAGGGATTTTTCCAACACCATGCGACCATTGACATAGGGGTGAAGCTAAAAACTTCGAATCTGAGATAGTTTGAGATGCACCAGGCTTACACGAGCTTAGAATTGTCGTATACGTGCTGCTGGAGTATATGTGAGGAACAGGAACGGGAACGGGAACAGTCAGAGGCACGTCGAGATACGTACACACTTAATTAGCAAAATGTATCTCATCCCATCTCATTTTCTAGTTCTGCTTCAGATTTACTTCTTCGATACATGATTCTTCCCCCGAAATCCAAGCTCCATCCGCAATACTGACTTATCGACCGACATCGTTTCTGGCATCATATCGAATTTTAATGGGGATCATGGTGTCTCGCAGCACATTCAAGGTCAAGATCGGATACAATGAATGGCAAGCGAATATAATTGCGAGCGAAGCGAAGCAATACTGGCCATAGGGTGAAAAATTTCGTCAATTCTATATTCGCAAATCCCACGAGGTCACAGCCACCGCCGTTTTTGGTAATCCCCTGTAAATCCCTCGTCATCGAATTCAGTCGCGACTGTCTATCGTCCATTACCTTGTACATTCTTACTTGCTCAGTATATCATCCTTGTGTAATCATTATAGTGTCTTGATAATTGTTTTACGGAGGTGCGCCGGCACCGACACCCCTCGAAACTAGAATTTCGAAGCGAGCACCACATGTGAGACGTACTTGGAACGGAGGGGGCCGAAGGCCCCCTCCGAGCCGGACGAAGGAGGCTCACATGCGAATGCATGTTAAAATAAAGCGAACATGGTCGTCCAGAGGTTCCTTGCCACTTTAGCGCTTACAGCAGATTCACCCCGCCGTCTGTCCGGCTGAAGAGGCGCCGGAAGGTTCTTCGCCTAGGCTGTACTTGATTATACAGTTTGCAAATTGACCTTCTGTGGAAGTTTTGAACCATCTTTTTAGCTTAGCTAGCTGCTGTTACTATCACAATCTCGTTCGTGAGTAGACCTTCTCCTCGAACTGATCCTGATAATCACATGACACTCGTTGCCCAATGTCCCACAGCATCATGAGCATGTTCTCTTCGTCCCGCGTCCAGGTCACTTGCTGGACCGCACCCTCACCGTTTGAAAACTTTGCATCAGGCCTTTCTTCTTCGCCGCCTGACAGTCGAGCACAAGCTTATATGCGAGGAAAGATGTGAACCAAGAGCACAGCACCACGCAGAATGAGATTTTGGCCGAGAGCACCAGTGAGAGTTTTGAGTTGTATCAACGCAGTACTTTGTATGCGCCTATTACGCCTGTTTATCGTCATAGTGGTTCGATCTTTGCTTTGTTGCATGTAGTATTTAGGCAGTTCATTACATGCATCCATTTCCACTCGCGCTCGATCCATCAGCGATACTGTGAATTCTACCAACCTTCGATCCCAGTGAACTGTTCCGTGCCGCTTTGATCAACGATAGTCAATTGGGGATGGGTCGCGTCCCATTTGACCCTCGACCAGAATGCTATACTGAGAGTGCATGTATCAGTACGGCACCACATCCGTGAACGCCATGATAAGACATACAGAGCGATGTTTTCCGGACTTTGACGTTGCGGCTTGTAGCCTAATTGTGCGCATCTAATGGGAAAGTCATCCAGCGTGTCGACAAGGAGAAGGCTGCGATGAAACTGACTCTTTGACAGTTTGTCCTGGATCTTTTACGAGGATGTTCTTCTCGAAAAGGGCCAACGAATGCTGGGCTTCATGTACCAGAACCTTGCAAGCTGTTCAGTTAGTTGCAGATGTGATTGTGAATGATACATACTGCGCCTAGTGAGATAGTAAGTAAAGTGGCAAAAGACAATCGACAAGGAATATCTTCTACCTTGCTCAATGAGAAGCTCGTCTTTGAGTTGTGTAGTATCCTCCCACTGCTTTGGCTCCAGTCCTGGGAAGAATTTGTCTCTGGCAGCGGCGATCGTCAACGCCTTATTGAAGAAACCCGGACACAATTCGATGTGATTGAAAGGAAAGGCATTGTTGTAGTCCTTGAAGTTGGTATTGACGGCGATGTCGCCTGTGCAGCGATTTACGCCCTTGTCCGGTTTGTTGTCGACCTGGGGGCAATATAGCAACAAGGAATCTGGGCCCTGTTCGACTTCTTTGAAATCCGAGACGACTTTGAGTGTGGACGAGGTGAAAAGCGTCACAGGCCCAAATCGGTCCTTAATGAGCAAATCTACGACCTCGCGTGTGACAGCTGTAAAGGTAATGAGTTACCTGGAAGGTCGGTGGTACCAAGTAAGTCAACTTACGGTTCCCTGCACCGTGGCGATAGTTCCACAGACGAGCAAGGACTTCGCTTTTCTCCATGCCGTCTTGGGACAAATAGGCAGTTGCGCGATTTACATGCTCTGTAGCAGTGACCAAAGCATCATGAACGACCAGGTATTGTTCTTTGGTGCAGCCGTATGCCTTGTCTGTCTCGTCGGAAAGTATTTGGAACGACTTGAGTGCCCGAGACTCGATGGGTGTAGCCTGGACAGAAGAGAACAAGGTGGACAAGACAATGCCAATATAAACCGGTGCGAAAACCATCTTGCAACAGCGCCAGTTGATTTGGAACGTGAAGGTCCATATTTATACTGAAATCAAGCCTAGCAAATCGGTGGAACTAGTAAGCGACAGGTACATTGGATGAATTTGGATCACTACCTCTGACTTGCCGCAGAATTATGCAGGACGCCAGACAATTAATCTGTGCCTCCAACATTAGCGAACCTGCATCAAGACTAACGGCCCCAGTCCAGCCCACTCCCCGTTGTGAACTGGTTTTGGTGTGCGAGAATCCGATCAACAGTCCGTATACGTCGCATTAATACTCATACATAGTACTTCAAGTTTGTATCCTCCCTTGCATGTTCCATTGTTCGAATTCTCGCCAATTATTTGTGTTTATTTGCTTGTCCGATACATTTTGCCCCGAAAAAGGAAACTGTCCAAAGTTTTTTTGAGCCGACAAGAGCCTGGGCCCAAAAATGTACTAGAAAATAAACAAGAATAAGTAGCTGGCAAGAAATCCGCATGTGCAAAGTTTCGCGCACTGAGGTGAGTGGGCCCGGATGTTCCCTTGAGGGACCCCGTCACAGACGGAGCCGTGTATCTATGATCTATTTATCTATAACTGCAGAATAATTGCAGCAGGAAGTCACCTATAGTCATCCTTTATTTCAGCACAGGTCGGCGTAAATCTGCGTAAATGGGCGACCGCGCTTTGGAGATTGGAGATCTGGCTGCAATAGCAATGATTCGAACTGTTCCTACAGCCGATGCCATCAGGAACACAAGATCAGGGAAACCGGAAGATCACTACCACATCTAGCTTCTCCAGGCAGGCTTGCCCTTCCGTGCGCTCCGAGTCGTGACGACACGCAGAGCAATATCCGGCAATGAATCGACCTTGGTCCTCGGGTCTCCTACTTCTATGATTCCAAAACCAGACACGTTAAGGTCTCATTCTGAACTGGTCTTTTTCCAGCCGATGTCAGGGCATGTTCGTATGGATTGGGTCACCCCATGCGTATCTATGCGTATGGATGACCCACGGTTATACGATTCAAACCATCAACAATCACTGCCTTCCACACCGACGAATACTTGAAGTTCTTGACCGAAGTAACGCCTGAGACAGTGGAAATGTCATACAGACAGGGCATGGTCAGCGGTGTAAGTATGCCGCATTACTTGATAAAACTTATGCCAAGGCGAAGACAACCCATTTCCTTCAAATTCTGCAGTATATTCGTCAGCTTACTGCCATTTGCAGAACTTAGGGCGCCGTGAAATTTTTTCGTTCGCTTTTGAAATTCCACTGATCTTCTGAGCCCAATCTTCCAGCAGCTACCAGTCGGAATTCGCCATCAACTGGAGAACCGGGCTGGGGATTTCAACACAAACGCGAAAACGCGAAGCCTCCGGTTTCTGCTACAAACGACATTGTGCTCGCCATTCTCCAACTCCTCCACATCTTCCCTATCGTCCTCTACATCGACATCGGCGTTCATCACGCCGACACTGATTGACAATCTGACAATCTTGAGTCTCCAGTTCAAGAATTCGTATCACAGTACTGTAGAGAAACCGGCTGTGCAACTGCTGAGTCAAGAATGCATTTGGGTTTATTTGTGCAAAAATGCTGATTTGTAAGAAGGTTATTTGGAACGAGAGTGCGTAGCCATTTCACTCTTTCTGCGACGTCTCTTGCAGGTCTCTTGTCCATCTTTTACCTCACCGAACGGCTCAATGGAAACGGGAATGCCCCGCATGCTCACACGCTCTTGCTGTTTATCATTGCTGATATGTAGTTGTCATATTCATTAATCAATGGCATGGACATTAGAGTGTATTTGTAACCTGTTTTTTCCTCCGCTTTTATAATCTACGAGCATTTGATCATAATAGAAGCCTAAGAACCATCAGTGATCGTAACTGTAATGTCATCGTTGATTCATCTTTCATCCGCCCTCAGCTTTTCCCCCCCCCCAGTATATTTGCCTTTGAACCACCACTATGCCAGTTCATCACCGGGCTGGTGCTGTTATGGCTGCTCTCTTGTCTCTTTCAGCATCATCACAGGCTATTATAACTGTTCTGCTCCGGCTTCATGCCGATTCTAAAGCTAGTCAAGCAGCCACTCGTGATATTGAGGATGCCATCACTGCTCATATCATGGACCTAAGTCTCAAGCAGAGGCTTCTTCGAGCCCGCCCTCACCAAGGAGGTCAGCGAATAACTAGCGACTGGTTGCTGGATTTGGATGACAGAGAATGCTTATGGACTTTTCGGTGAGTTCCCTCTTAGCCCTCAAATGAATCTCCTTAACAACCTTCATTCAGCTTCACCGCCTCTGAGATTTTTCATCTCTGTGATGCTTTAACTATTCCTATGATCATAAAAACCAAATCTGGATACAAATTTCCTCGTGTCGAAGCTCTGTGTCTTTTGTTAGCACGAATGCGTGATTCTGGAGATGCATACCGCATGACAATGCTTTACAACCGATGTCAGTCATCGATATCTGAAATCTTCAATGAACTTGTCATATATGTTGACAGAACATGGAGTCCTCTCCTGACCTTCAATACTAATGGAGTCCTTGCACCAGAATGCCTTGCTGAATATGCTGAAGCTGTCCATGAATATGGTGCACCTCTCACTGGCATCTGGGGTTTTATTGATTGCACTATCCGTCATATCTGCCGACCATCTCACTTTCAACGAGCTGCATACAATGGTTACAAGAAGTATCATGCTCTCAAATATCAGGCCGTTCTCCTCCCAAATGGAATCATCGGGCACTTATATGGTCCTGTTGAAGGTCGTCGAAATGATAATGCACTCTTAGCTGACAGTGGATTACTTGATTGGTGCCGAGAGCATGCGATACGGCCTGATGTACCTCCTGATGCTCCACCTGCCCAGCGATTTTTGCAGATATACGGTGACCCTGCATATGGTGTGTCTTTCCAGATTATGAGTGGATATCATGGACTCGGAGAGAGGACTGAAGAGGAATTGGAATTCAATTATGCTATGTCGAGGGCCCGAATGGCTGTTGAGGACATTTTCGGGCTGATTTTAGCTAATTGGCCATTTTTGAATGCATTCTGGAAAATGAAGGTAGAAAGCTCGCCTGTTGGGCGTTACTATAGAATTGGAGTGTTGCTGACCAATGCTATGAATTGTCTCCGCCCAAATACTGTTGCCACTCGATTTGATGTTCTTCCACCTTCCTTAGAGGACTATTTTAATGTATAACTCACATATTATTATAGTATGGTAGGGACAGGAATTACATAGTTTGTATGTGAACTGAAAGAACATGAGGTTCTGATGGCAGTGGTATAATTGAAATATATGTGTGTTTGAAAAATTTTATGCCTACTTCCTCTGGAGAAATTCTCGTACCAATGCAAGAGTAGCAGATGTATTCTCCTTCAGTGTATTGACAAGCTCCTTCTGCATCTGTTCATCTTTCTCATCACGGATTCGCTGGCGCTCAGCATTTTCTTTGTACTGTTGCGCAAATTCCGCCAACACTGGATTAGCCGATACATCTGAGATTCGGGGCCGTTTGTGCCTGCGTCCTGGCGATCTGACATCATGTGTCCGTTTATTCTTCTTCGAGTTCTTTGACATGGAGGGAGCATGTAGTTCAGTTTTTACAGGCTTTATGGGACTTGATGATGATGATGAGATGGAAATATGACTGGGACTAGGAGTATCATGAGCAATTTCATCATGGTTATGAGAGTTACTCTTGGGAGTACGAGGCTGGCTAGAGACATTGAGTTTGGCATTGGATGTGTGGTTGAATTTGGTGAGGAAAGAATCTTCATCACTGTCAAATGGACCAAAAGTTGGCGGAGATGACCGGTATTCATAATTACAAGTGGGTGACATCGTAGGGGGGCCGGGCACAGGTGATTGAGACTTCGGATGTGGATAATGATTATGAATTGGGATATGAGAAGAGCATGGTTCCAGCTCAGGTGAATGATGGAATGGCTCTATTTCCTTTTTCATCATGCCTTGCATTGCTTGTGCTCGAATGAACTCCCCTCCTTCTTTGTCATATTTATCTTTCTGTGATCAAATGAGAAGGGAAAATTTAAATGGAATTATTTATGCATACCTCCTTCTTTTTTGCTCGCTCTGCATCTGATTTATTCAACACCTCATTCCGGTCAGAGATTATCTTGTCAAGAAGAGCACCGAGTTTGATTTTGTCTTTTTCAGTAAGTTCACGTTCAATGGAATCAATGGATGACTGCGAGATTTTTTGCAGGTCATTGTCTTCCTCATCCTGTTTGTGTTTCAGTTCATTGTAATGCACATAGATGATATAATTCGGCTTACTACAACCCCATCTTGGTGCCATTTTATCAGCTCAAGCACCTTTTTCTTCAATGTTGTGTTGGGCTGGCTATTCAAGGTTAAAAAGTGTCCATCTGCATGAAGTTTCTTAAGGCACTCTTTCCAAACTTGAGCAGTCTCCCCTCGTGATGCTCCAAATGGCTGGTGATCAAATATAACTTCAGCAAGTGCAAGTAGTGCCTTGCTCTTTGAAGTTTGTGATGGAGCCTGTACTAGTGAGTTTTGGGGAGTGGATGTATGAGATGCCAGTGCAGATTTTGGTTTAGCTGATGGGCCTGAAGCAAGAATTTTTTCTGCTGCCAGCGAAGATTTTGGTTTTGTGGATGATTTGGATTTTGGATTAGATGCCGAAGCAGACTTGGGCTCCATATTTGCAGACAGCATAGACTCCGAACTTTCTGGTGGTTTCGAACTTGCTGATTTGGTGATATGATATGATCCCTGACCAGGAACTCCGGATGAGGATGTACTTCTGTAGCTCGATGCAATAGGACCAAAACGGTCAAAAGATGAAATTGAAGGCAGGTGCTATGTGTTGCATGTTAGCTAGAGATTGCCTCGGTATAGAGGCAAGATCTTACTCGAGTTTGGGAAACATCATTAGTTCTAGTAAAATTTGTACCATATGCTACTAGATTCGCAGGTTCTATAGGCTCAAAATCATCATCTTTATCATATTGGTGTGGCCAAGAATGATTATTATATCCTTCGTGCTGCCGTTCATTGGTAGAATCATGGTTTGGGGCAAAGGTATTGAGGAGAGAATGGATGCTAGGAAGAGACACAGCAGCAGATTGATTAAGGCTATCACTTTCTCTATGCTGGTAAAAATGCATGTAGTTGGGAGGCGGATTGTCACGGTTGTACGAAGACATAGTTGTCAAAAAGTGCAAATCATAGTTGCTGGTTCCTAATCCTGGACTTGACCGTTCTGATCAATTTCACACGCTGTCATCTCTTGACATTTGCACGATCATAATATTCCAGACGTTTTCCATAATGGAAAAAGGTGGCAACAAATACACTCTATTGGGACATTTCTATATTCAGTACCGATTCAGTGTAAGGAAAAAGATATATTAGACTTCTATCACGCAGGAAACTGTTTCATGTTGAAACCATCGTAACCCTTTGCTGCTGAATCATTGCACAACTTGGCGTACGCAGGAATACCAGTCGGGAACTGCAACATTTGGGTCTTCTTTCCTTTTATATTGGTTCCCAGATACCATGAGGTCTTTGCTCCCAACCACAAACCAGCTGCTCCTAGCTCGTCAACATATTTGCTATAGGCACGTTGCGCTTCTTCGGTGGGGACTATGCTCGAAATGTTGTTCTCTTTCATGTGCTTGATGAGATCGACGATCCATTCGCTCGTGTATTCCTGTCGCGCTTATTTGTCAGGAGGACATAACCTAACGATATGGAACTTACAATGCTACTTGGACCATTGCTGAAGGAGGAAGGAGATTGAGGTCCGTATATCCAAAACATGTTAGGATAGGTAGCGCTAGCCAACCCTAAATAACTCTGAACACCACCCGCCCACTTCTCTTTGATAGGAATACCATCCTGTCCACGAATGTCGATGGAAGTAATACCTCCTGTGACCATGTCGAAACCTGTCGCAAGTACTAAAACGTCAAGCTCATGCTCGACGCCATCGCTGGTTTTCAATCCTTTTGGAGTGATTTCCTCAATTCCAGCCTCGTTAACGTCAACGAGTTTGACGTTCGGCTGCGAGTAGACCTCGTAGTATCTCTGTTCCAAACTCGGACGTCTGACTCCGAACGGATGTGGAGGTTGCGTTGGTGCGAGCTTTTCCTGGAGTTCAGGATCAGAGATCCTTTCTCTGACCTTCTTTCTCCAGAAAGCATACACCTCGTCGTTGAACTTTTGGTTGGTATATAGCTCTCTATACGAGCCGAACCAAAAGCGAAACCCCCCCTTTTCCCATTGGTCTTCGAATGCTAAAGCTCGTTCTTCTGGCGTTGTATCAGCGACTGGTTTCGGATCAAGATCATAGGGAAACCCAGCAAATGTCTGGTAACGACGACCATAGAGAATGGGATAGAGGTCCTTCAATTTTTTCTGCTCTTCTTCGCTTATCTTCCGCTGCCTCATCGGGAGTGTCAAGTTCGGCGTGCGTTGAAATACAGTGAGGTGCGACACAACAGGTGCTATCTCCTGGATAATCTGAACACCTGTAGCACCAGTGCCTATGATACCAGCCTTTTTCCCCTTGAAATCGTATTCTTCTGGCCACCTCGAGGAATGATGTACCTCTCCTCGAAATGTGTCGAGCCCTCTGAATTCAGGAATGTGGAATTTCGACCCTATACCGGTGCACAGGCTCAAAAATTGTCCTCGAAATACCCGACCATCCTCTGTGGTGACGGTCCATCGGTCAACCGAGTCATTCCAATGAGCGGAAGCAACTCGAGAGTTGAACAACACATCTCTTGTTATGCCAACCTTCTTATCCACGTATTGGAAGTAGGCTTGAATTCCTCTCCAGTCAGGATAGTAATCTGTGAAAGACCAATCGCGCCAAAGCTCCGGGTCAGAGAACTGGTAGATGGGCATTTCCGAGTCGACACGAGCACCTGCAGGGGGTTGAGTAAAAAAATACATGGTTAAATTGAAACGTTCTTGCCTGGGTATCTATTCCAATACCAAGTTCCAGCGAGACCATTGCCAGCTTCGAGGATCTTCGCTGTAAGCCCCAACTTTCGGATGTTCATCAGTTGGTGGACTCCAGCGAAGCCAGCACCGACGATTATCACATCATATTCGTGCGTATCAGCCATTGCTGTTTATTGAGGGAGAAGGGAGAATTCGTGGTCCTTTAATAGTGTAAAGTGCCGCTGTAAAGTTGATTTCACAGGCTGGTGGTGCGTAGCTCATGAGAAGGTGTATCGAGAAAGAAGTTCTGAACCCCTGACCTACGAGAGAGACTTCGACAGACGGCGTGTAGGTGGCAACTCCAGCTAGGGAAAATGGTCCTCGGCTGAATGCATGGGTGGTTAGATTTGGATGGTTAATGCCATGCATACATTCGTATACAGAGTGTGGAAAAGATTGTCCGGAAGTTCAGACTGGGCGTTGACCGTTGACCACTGACCAGTCACACTCCAGCAAAGTATTAAGCTTCACGATGATGTGATGACATTCTGGTGAAGATATATTTAACAGCGACTATGGTCAGTTTAACGACGTGAACATACCTTAATCATCAGTTTAAAAGAAAACTCACCCCTTGGGTAGTATCGCCGAGGACTAGAGAACCCCATTCAAATCTTCCTTCATTCTTCATTCTTTGCTTCTATCCTATCCTATCCTGTCCTGTCCTTGAGCACTAGGTGTCATGCATGTCATGGGTGGCTTTTTCTTCGGCTCCCAGCGTTATTCTTATAATATCGTTCCCAAGGTAGCCCTTCTTGTTCGGTTGAAAGCTCACCAGGCGAACTTGGCTTTCCAATGGACCTCGACTAATGTACTCCAACGAAGGATGCATAATTACAAACCATTATTTAAAAGAGGGGTTATGGTCAGGTTACGGTCGTAACGAAAGTTCCGGTTAATTTATAATTGGCGCCTTTCAGTAGCTATCAATGAAGGTCACAAGCTCGTCTAGTTGAGGCAGAACTCGTTCCGTGACTCAAGTAGTTTGTCTTCATGTACATATGTAGCCCGGTACAGTACATAGATAGGAAGCATTCTCTATATCTCGAATCTATGTTTAAGCAGGAGAGCGTTTCAAATCAAAGCCATGATAACCTTTAGCCGCTGAATCATTACACAACTTCGCATACGCCGGTATACCACCAGGAAACTGCAACATCTGTGTCTTCTTGCCTGAAATATTACTTCCGAGATACCAAGAAGTCTTCGCTTCAGACCATAACCCAGCCGATCCAAGCTGGTTAAGGTGTTCACTGTACGCATGCTGTGCTTCATTTGTAGGGACTATGCTTGAGATGTTGTTTGCCTTCATAAATCTAATGCAGTCAATGATCCATTCACTCGTTAGCTCCTGTGGATGCCGTTCGTGAGATAGTTCGAGAAATCGAGAAAGTAAACTTACAATACTACTGGGACCGTTGCTGAAAGAAGAAGGTGACTGTGGTCCGTATATCCAGAACATGTTTGGATAAGTAGCACTAGCCACTCCTAGATAACTTTGAACACCGTCCGCCCATTTCTCCTTGATGGGTACACCATCTTGTCCACGAATATCGATAGAAGTGATACCGCCTGTGACCATATCAAAACCTGTCGCAAATACCAAAACGTCTAAGTTATGCTCAACGCCGTCGTTGGTCTTGAGACCGTTCGGAGTAATCTCCTCAATTGCAGTCTTGCTGATATCAACAAGCGTGACATTACGCTGCGAATAAACCTCGAAATATCTCTGTTCCAAACTCGGTCGTTTGACCCCGAACGGATGCGGAGGTTTCATCGGCGCGAGCTTTTCCTGAAGTTCAGGATCCGGAATCCGCTCCCTAACCTTCTTCCTCCAAAAGGCATACGCCTCGTCGTTGAACTCTTTATTGGAGAAGAGCTCTGCGTAGGCTCCTAACCAAAACGTCAATCCTCCCTTTGCCCACTTTTCCTCGAATCCTAGTGCTAGCTCTTCCGGTGTCGTGTCTGCTATCGGTTTTGGGTCGACGTCATAAAGGAATCCAGAGAACGTTTGGTATCGACGGCCGTAGAAGATGGGATAGAGTTCCTTCTTCAACCTTGCTTGTTCTTCCACGCTGACCTTTCGTTGTCTCATGGGAAGCGCCAAATTCGGCGTGCGTTGGAATACGGTGAGGTAGTCTACGATAGGAGCAATTTCTTGGATAATCTGGACGCCTGTAGCCCCAGTACCTATCACACCAACCCTTTTCCCTTCGAAATTATATTTCTCCGGCCACCTCGAGCTATGGTGCACCTCGCCTTTGAAGGATTCTATCCCTCTGAGCTCGGGCAGGTGATACTTCGACGCTATGCCAGTACACAAGCTTATGAACTGACTTTGAAAGAGTTGACCGTCTTCTGTCGTCACAGTCCATCGATCGACCGAATCGTTCCAATGGGCAGACACAACTCGAGAATTGAACAGCACATCCCGCTTAACGTCAAATTTGTTATCCACATATCGGAAATATGCTTGGATCTCTCTCCAATCCGGGTAGAGTTCTGTGAAGGACCAATCTCGCCAGAGATCTGGGTCGGAGTATTGATAGATAGCCATTGGCGAGTCGACGCGAGCACCTGAAGAAAAGCTGTTAGAGAAAGATACATAATAAGTTTCGCTGAACATAAAATGCGCTTGCCTGGGTACTTGTTCCATAACCAAGTCCCTGCGAGATCCTCGCCAGCTTCAATAATCTTGACGGTCAACCCCAACTTGCGAATATTCCACAGTTGGTGTACCCCAGCAAAACCAGCACCGACAATGATCACGTCGTATCCGCCGGTCTCAGTCATGATTGTGTGGGGGCAAAAAAATGGCTTCAAAAGGAAGAACAATCATAATGAACTTTCTGTTCTTTTAATAGAGAGCAAGCCCGGAGTCACAGGCTCAATTAGCGACTCTATCATGAAAGAGAATCACCCGACCTTGATTCTCCCAGGTTTGATAGTAGCGACATTCCGGCTTGGGAACAACGGTCTCAGCTGACTGCAGATGATAGGAATAAATTGTCGTCGCCCCAGCTAAGTACAAAGAATTAGTGGCAAGAATGCAAACTTGGTTGACAGCAGCTCCGTGAACAGAATGTTGAAGTTTTGAATAGAATGTTCGATATCACTGGATAGCCAATCTATAAGCTATACTTCACGAAGATTAATTAACTTCGAGATAAAGAATATGCATTTGTGAACATAGCTAGACACAGACGGACATGGTTCTATGTAGACAGGTTCTGACGATAATGGTCAATGTACATGTGGAACGAACGAAAAATTACACACCTGATTAGGAATACTACAGTTTGTTCCCGTCCCTCGAGTCAAGTGCTATAGTCCATCTCCAGACTCAAGTGAATTTTGCGCTTGAGCTGCATACACGTATAGCGTAAAATGTGGATCTAGTAGCCAATACAGCCTCAGCTGGCCATCCTCACTGACACTGGAATGGACCGGATTTTAGGTGACAAGCGTCCCCACGTCATCAGTCATGGCAATCATGATCTTCACGAGCGGAATCATGGAATTAACGTCTACTAACGCGGTGCTACCGAGGTCGGCGCCAGCGGCAGCATCAGGCGTCGTGGGGGTGGTCGGGGCAAACTGCGTCCCAGGGATTTGGGGTCTAGGTAATCGAAGAAGTAGGATGGATTCCGATGAGTGGGTTCTGGGGATGAGAACATTCCAGGACGAGAGGGCAGATTGGTGACGGACTAGGTAATGGAGTTGCGGAACCTCAATCAAGGGTCGTCAGTGTGTTGCGCAAGACGTCATGAACCATGCCACAGGTGGTCTGAGTAGTGGGGGCGGTCCGAGGGTATTGAGGTCGACACGAACAATAATAGCAGTGGAGTTGGGTTGGTATTGGACAATAATAATTTAGAAGTATTGGCCGTCGTAGTCACTCAAGACCGCGGTTATGGTATTTGGTGGCGCCGTCGATTGTGAGCGTAGCGTTCGCCAAACGGTACCGTTTCCTGAGAAGATGACAACCCCTCTACCTCCCTTTACTTCGTCCCTTTGAAGCTCTCAAAACCGCCAAGATAACCACTATACCATTCTTATTTCGGAACGCTAACCCAATGAACGTCGTTCAATGTAAGTTAAAGAGCGACGTATACCGACAAGCCTGTTACACGGAGAGTTGGTGGATAGTGTGACAACCAGGTAGGTGTTCAAGTCGTGGTTCATTGCGGTTGGAAGCAAAGAGTCGGGAGCTCAGTCTAATTCTTAAGCGCTTTAGCATTTGAGCCTAAAAACCTAAAACCGAAGAATCGGCTCTCCGATTTCGTCATGACCATCTCCGCGATATTTATTAGCAAAATTTTACTCATGCGTCTCCTTCTTAGAGGTTCAAATTTTCCACAAAACACAATCAATGGCAAAGAAAGAGAACGAACCACACGGAGCAGATATTACTATCAATACAATTCTCACCTACAATCCCATCTCTTTCAACACTTCCATCGTCGTCTCATACAATTCCTTCCGCAACCTCTCATCCATTGCATTCTCAGACGGCTTAGTGATCTTCCCAACAGGCGTCAGATACGCTCCCTCATACATCTTTCTTTTGGTCTCATCAGTACTCTCCCTAGCAGCAGCCACTTCCCTTCCTGCCGCTGCAAAGGCAGAGGTCATTGCGCCTTGTGTCCACGATACGAACCATATAGGCTCAACAACCTTTTGGAGAAACCACCCGAAGAAACGTATAGAATCAAAAAACCTTTGGACACCGGTCGTGCGTACGGTACCAGGATGAACGGCGATGCAAGTTATCCTGGCTGATTCGGAATTCAGTTGGGCTTGCAGGTGTTTGATGTGCAGGATGTTAGCTAGTTTTGAGACTCCTACATATACATTGAATATCAGGAGGCGTTGGGTGGGCTAGAAAGTAGACAAGTAGACGCACCGTACACGTAGAGGTGACCACTCAGAGTGTCTCCGTAATCCTTGCTGAAACTCTTCTTTCCCACAAATGATTCGACTTTTACCCGAGTGTGATACATAGATGTAACCTGAAAAAAAGGCAATGAATCCCCAACACGGGAGCTGAACCTAACAAGCACAACACACATTGACGATTCTGACATCAGAGTCATCCTGAGCTGCAGTACTTTTCAGGAGAGGGAGTAGTATCTCAGTGAACAGGAAATGGCTGATGTGACTAGATGAATCGAAAGACGTTAGTTAACTATGAAACAAAAGAGTCGTATATATGTCCTTACTTCACAACCATAGATTGATGCATCCCATTATTGAACCTCTGTGCACCATCTGTCGCTCTATACGTACAGTACGTACCAGCAAAAATGTGAGATTCGCAGAATTGACTGGTATTCAAACTCACGCTGCATTGTTCACTATAGAGTACGATGGAGAACAATGAGGCACAATTGATTTTTGAAAAAAAACTCATCAACTTACCAAGGATATCTAGTCGCTCTTCCTTCCGAAGAAATGCAAGTGCTGTCTCTTTTACGAGACGTGGATCCGACAAATCGAGTCGAAGCCAGTGCACACTGCCACCATTATTTTCTGCCTTGGTATAGTTCCGAAGCTCGGCTTCCAGCTCATCGATAGCTGCTTTAGCCTTATCTTCATTCCGTGAACCCATGTACACTTTGGCGCCTTGTCGAACAAGAAACTGGATTGTAGCGTACCCGATTCCAGTGCTAGAAAGAACGTGTTAGTTTCGACCCAATTTCGGAGAAAAGGTAAACCTACTTTCCACCAGTGACGATCGCTACCTTCCCGCGTAGGTCTTTCAAGTCTTCCGCTGTGATTTTACTTCGTACTGCCGGTGGCATATCGTTCGTTCAATTATTTGGTCCTTGTCAAGTTATACGGCTTGATATATGTTCTGGTTCCTCATTGATGAATATATATGGCCTTCCATTCCCTGGGGTTGTCCTTGATGTTCTTTGTCTTCCTTTTTACTCCGGTTCTCCTCCGGAAGTTCCGAGATGCTTGAGCAAGCTTGCTTTGTAAAGACTGATATCACCGCTAGGGTGGCTCCCCAGCGGGTATGTAGCGTAGGCTTTTACTTTTTGCATACATAGTGAGCGTACATTTGAGAGAGACAGCGTGATAATCATCGGCCCGGAACATCCTCAAAGTTTCAACTGCAACCACGATCAGACCTCGATTCCTACTTGGGTGTAATTGTACCCTGGCATCTACTTTCCAGCTGACTGCTTGAATATGGAGAAGATTAAAGAGATAATTCAGACCTCTGTGATTTACTATGTTTCTTCATTCAAGCTTGCATCATGTACTGAATAGTCTTTGCGGTAGTATCACCGCTCTTCTCTATTTCTACTTTCAGAGAAGTCTTCGCGGTGCCTTTTCATATGGGCGTAATATTAGGAATATCAGGAATTGACAAACGTTTTTGTGGAGACGAAAGAGTACATGCACAATGGCCATTCATGTGCTGATGGTCGCGATTTATTCTCTATACATATCCTCGCGTTGCAGTTTTCCTCCTGACCATGAAGCCAATACATCAACGCCCCACATTCCTGCTCCTTCTCCTGACGTTCTCGAATGCATCGAAAGCCACCAACCTCACTTCCCTCGTGAATCTTTTCATCGGTACAGCTTCCGGTGCCAATGGCGGCAGCGGAGGTAACGCATTTCCTGGAGCTGCCGTCCCTCATGCTATGGCCAAAGTTGGGATTGATGTTAGCACTGCTCCGCGCCAAGCAGGCTATATCCACGACAACTCCAGCATCACTGGAATCTCTCTTCTTCATGACGAAGGCACAGGCGGGAACACTGATGGTGGATACGGAAACTTTCCACTGTTTCCTTTCATAGGCAGTTGCACCAACTCCTCTGGTGTGAACAACCCTGAATGTGAACCAGGCATAGCAGCGCGCGCGGCCTTGCGTGCAGCAGGTACTGATATAGCATCCCCGGGATATTTCTCGACCACGTTCGTCAGTGGTATTCAAATTGAAACTACATCAACCCGCCGTGCCGGCCTCATTCGTTTCACTTTCCCTGTCTCCAATGCGACCAACTATCTCGTCGTGGATTTGACCAACGACTTAGGACGATCCTTCTCCGGTGGTACTATATCTATATCTCCCTTAGGCCATGTCGAGTTGGGTGGAACATTTTTGCAGAGCTATGGTCCCAGGTGAGTATTCATGACATTTTCCATGTGTACCAATACTGACTACTTCCCGGTGTAGCAATTATACTGCCTACGCTTGTTATGATTTCGATTCACCCGTCTTGCAGGCTGGAACGTATCAATCCGTGAACACCTCGAGTCCCACTGTGTTTGACATCAGCCTTTCCAGCACCAGCAACATGTCTTTGGAATTTCCGTTTACTAGTAGCGTATCACCTATCCAAGCCGGCGGGCTAATTGCTTTCAACTCGTCGCAAGTGGTTGCTCGATTTGGCGTGTCGATGATCAGTTCCGCGCAAGCCTGTTCGAATGCAGAAGACGAGATTCCTACCACCTCCGATGGAGCTTGGGATTGGGATGCTATTATGGCTAATTCGAATAACGAATGGGAAGGTGTGCTGAGCCGAGTCTTGATAGATATGGAAAAGGAAAATTCAACCGTTGTGGAATTACTTTATTCTTCCGTGCGTAATTCTACGGCTTTCGTCCCGCTTTGCTTGCTAATTTGTTCTTCAGCTTTATCGTGCCTCTCTCATACCAGCGAATTTTACCGGCGAAAATCCATATTGGGACTCTCCTTTTCCGTTCTTCGACGCTATGTTCTGGTAAGCGTTGGCTTGTTACTCGCTTCTCCTTTTTGCTCAAAATTTCGCAGCTCCTGGGACGTGTTCCGAACTGTACATCCTCTATTGTCCCTCACGTCGCCTCAAGAATGGTCTCAGATCGTTAACGCCTATGTGGATGGCTGGAGGAATACTGGGTACATCCCCGAGTGTCGCGCTAATACCAAACCGTGTGTCGATTTGCTTCGTATTGTCATAAGTAATCTGATGAGATTGCTACTAGTGGTTACGTCCAGGGTGGAAGCGATGGAATGCCCATTCTTGGAGAGTTCGCTGTCAAATATGCTGCCAACGCGGAGGAGTTGGGCGTACCCATGGATGATTTGTATCAAGCCCTGGTGGATACTGCTGAGAATACAGTATGTACGAGTCCTTCGATTCTTTCCTGAATCTTCGTTCTCAATGAATTCTATTCTTCAAGCCCCCTAACTGGCTGACAGGTATGTAACTATAGTGCGAATTACGCCGCAGCTACCGCACTAATTCACTAAATGACCAGTCGGACGCCAAAACACCGCATGGAAAACTTTCGACTACATCCCTACCGACTGGGTGGATCCTTCCGGAAGCGTAGGTTTACCCACTCGAGAGGCTTCTAGAGCCTATGAGGTAGATTCTTCGATCTTATCTCGACAAATAGTTGATTAAGAATATTTCACTATACTCAGTATTCTTTAGGGGATTTTGCCGTCCGCCAGGCAGGGATTGCTCTTAACAAGTCACAGGCGGATATTGAGAAATACGCCAACAGAAGTATGAATTTCGTCAACATGTGGGATCCTAATGTGACGAGTGATGGATTCAGTGGATTTGCGCAACGGCGGTATCAGGTGAGCGTGTTTCTATTCTTATTTCTCCTTGGTCTGCTCACAGTATAGACTACTAGAACGGTACATTTGCATTCACAGATCCCATCACTTGCTCCCCCGTGGACCCGATTGCACATTCTTGTGCTAGAGGGGACGATAATGATTCAGGTTTCTACGAATGTAATTTCCTCGTTCTCTGTAGCCTGTACGTATGTTACTTATTCATATCCTGCAGCCTCATCATGGGAAATGAGTTTCTTTGCGCCGCATTCAGTAGCCACACTCGTTCAACTGATGGGCGGGAACACCACGTTCGTAGACAGGGTGTAAGTTCTCATGCTCGCGTTCAAGGACTTTTCATTCATACTAACTTTGTGGTTTGCAGTAACAACTACTTCTCGAAAGGATACTTCACGGCTGGCAATGAGCCATCCTTCAATGTACCCTCAATCTACCATTATGCAGGCCGACCCGATCTCTCTGCCCTTCGTATTCGGAACGTCGTGTTCACGGACTTCAGCACCCAGATAGGCGGGTACGTGATGTGCTTCTTTTGAATCTTTTCTCCGCCTGTCCTTACATAATGCGTACCTAGCATCCCGGGGAATGACGATAGCGCCGCCATGGCTGCGCTCCTCACCTTTCACCTTCTTGGGTTATACCCCGTCCAAGCTTCTACGCAGCTTCTCATCGGCTCACCCTTTGTTTCCTCATATACTCTTATGAACCCGCTGTTCAACACCTCAACTACCTTTACCGTATCCGGGTTTGACAATACCACCCTAGTTGCGTCCCCACCGAGTGGGGGCAGGGTTTTCGTGAAGAGTGTGACGGTGAATGGGGTGGATACCGGGAGTGTATGTGTGATTGACTTTGCAGATGTCGTTGGCGGTGGAGAGGTCGTGATTGAGGTGGACGGAGATGCAGATGCTGCAGCGTTAAGAGGGTGTGGGCCTGCCGGACTCCCAGACTCCTTAGAGACTGGAGGATTCCCGATGTGAAACCACACTTCAAGCTGTCATCAATTATATCTGTGCCACCTGTACTTATACAAATATTAAACAAGGTACATAAGCAAGGGTGACAATTGGAAGAAAATGAAGTGATTGAAGATGATTACATAGAGAAGAAAGTACATGATTTAAGCGCCGCAGCTGCAGCCTCATCCAGAAGCTCCCACGTGTAACATTATCTGATAGAGTCTTTTAGATCCTTTCCTTTCCGAAATTTCTGGAGACCGAGGATTCGGAGTATGGTTCTCGCCGTTTGCCGTTTGCGAAGCATTGGGAAATGACAGAAAGCATGGCGTCCTTCACTTGTCGAATCTCTATGCAAATGTCACTTGTTGCTCCAGCTTTATCCCAACAGATCCCGACACGCAAAGGTATGTTATTATCATAGCCTCTTTCAAGTTCAAACGCGGATCCTCTGCTTCCTCTCTTGCTGCATTGAAGACCTCGATAGTATTGGCTGGAGCTGGCTGTCACGGTGGCACTTATTAATTCCCACCCTGAGGAGCTTTGGAATCTGACTTCGTAGCGACTTCGTAGCGCCGGACTATCCTTATATGATTCGCCTTCTAAACAGACCCGACTTCTATGTAGATAACGTCAAGAAACTAGTATATATATTACATTTCCCTTCGTGTAAACCTTACATCCCTTTCCTGGTTCCGACCTCTTCTTCATTGCGGCAACAATGGGCAACAACGAGAAGGGCTCCTCAAAGAGCAATATCTCTGAGTTGGAGCTTTTCGCTGATAATGGTGACGTGGTGCTTGATCCCGCAGAAGCCTCGCGAATCAGGTATGTTCTGGATGGCATCTAATATCGCAATACTTTAGGGAGCCTCCCTAAAGTATTGCGATTTTCTCGAATCAGTTCGGAACTGATTCGAGAAAATGGCAGAAAAAAGATCGACTGCAAGCACATATTCTCTTGTGCTCAACGCGCATTCAGTAACATGATCACTGATAGATGTTCTTATGCCTCTTATGTGCACTTTGTACTTGTGAGTCTAACAATAAATTTACACAAATTCCCTCACCACCACTACTCCTCAGTATTCAATACCTTGACAAGAGTACCTTGGGTAGTTCTTCCATCCTTGGAATCTTGTGCGTGCGCTGTACCTTGCAAGCTTCGAGATTGACTAATCAACTCGGACTCTGTAGAACCGCTACACATCTTGACGCAAACGAGTAAGCACTTATCCACATTTTCCATTTTGCCCATCACAGTTGACGCCTCGTCTTCGATGTGTCACCAGATATAATTGGAAAGTTTGAGCACGTCTTGTTATCTCACACATCCCTAACCTTCTTGTATAGGCTGAGCACTGTGTTTTATCTGAGCTACCTCGTTTTCGAATATCCTCAAAATCTAGCTCTCCAGAGATTCCCTGTTGGAAAATGGCTGAGGTAGGACCGCTTCTCATTCTTTGTAGTTTCGATCTCACGTCCTGCCTCCGTTATTCAGTTTGAACATATTCATTTGGTCAGTTGCCCTCTGCTGCCATGCCGCATGTCGAAACTTTAGGGAGCTCGTCGTCGTACGAATTATCCTTGGGATGTGTGAGGGATCGATTACAGCTGGCTTTCTATTGGTTAGTTCCATGTTTTATACCCGGAATGAGCAAATGCTTAGGGTGGGCTATTGGTGTAAGTTTCTAGCTATAATTCTTTCTCCGTTCTAACCCCCATTTTACTTGTGGTTAGATCTCATGAACGGGACGGGTATGCTTGAGTCACCTATCTCTTTAGCATGTCTGAATGGGGAACCGTAGCACAAATTGCGACTGGGTTCATCAGTTTTGGTGTCTTGCATATTCAAACCAGTGGCTTCCAACCTTGGCAATGGTATGTCATTCCCCGAGGCTGAAGCTCTCTCTCCGCATAAGTCATGGCTGATCACTTATCGACCTGAAGGCTGATGATCATCACTGGAATCTTAAGCTTTATTACCGCGGCCGCGTTCTGGTGCAGATAAATCTTCTCTTTCTCTACGAAGTCTCGCTCGAATCCCTTCGCTCCTAGGTTCTTGTTCCCCGATTCGCCGACTACAGCATGGTTCCTTACGCCTGAAGAGAGAGTCACAGCCATTCAAAGAGTCAAGGTTGAAGCTAATTATATATGTATCCATTTCTTTGACTGATTTTCTGAAATGACAGGTGAACCAAACCGGGGTTGGAAATAAGCACTTTAAGAAGGAACAGTAAGTATTCTTGTTTTCGTTTGTCGTTCTTTCAATATCATCCTGCTCTTTTTGACAGATTTTACGAAGCCATACGGGACCCTAAAACCTGGGGTTTCGCCCTTTTCTCTGGAATATCTAACGTCACCAATTCTATCTCAGCACAATCTCCATTAATCACGGCTTCCTTTGGGTTCACTTATCTCCAAACTTCATTACTGGGTATCGTCGGCGGCCTCATAGAGATTTGTACCATCTGGACTGGAGTCAATATTTGTGCAAGGATTCCGAATAGTCGGGCGTACATTGGGGCCATATACATCCTGCCCAACATCGTTGGGCTGCTCATGGTTAATCTTATCAACTGGAATGATAGGATCGCGCTTCTAGCGGGACAGTATCTGAACGGTGCGTCTCGAATTCCGCTTGCCTCAACAGAATTGTACTGAATGTAAATTTTCAGGTCTTGGGACCACATCTTTTGGTAAGGTTGAATCCATTCATCGAGAAAAGGACCTCTTGAATGTCTGCTGTGTAGTTCTGATGCTTTCATGGCTTAACGCCGTTACCGCTGGTCAGACTAAAAAAATAACAGGTCAGTCGAAGGTCCCTCGTTTCTATTCAATCTCTCTCGACTCTAGGTAACACATTCGCTCTTTTCAGTAAACGCGATCATGCTTTGCGCATACTGTATTGGAAACGCCGCTGGCCCTTTTATGTGGAAACAAAAATATAAGCCAAGGTGAGGAACCCGACTCGTATACACTGTTTGTTAAGGTTACCAACGCATCGCTCAACTCAGAAATCACGTCCCGTGGGCCGTTATCGGAGCCTGCTATGTCTCTACTATAACTCTTCTCCTACTCCTGCGACTGTACATGTCCCGTGAGAACCGAAAGCGCGACGCAGAACCTCAGGACGAGGCGGCGGACACCGATGTTTATGTGAAACAAGAGTCAGCGGAGGGAGATATAGTCAAGATGTTAAAAGTGGACAAGGTCTGTCCATTACTGCAGTGAAATGTTGAGCATGTGTCTGACCAAAGATTGCAGGGATTCCTGGACATGACTGATGTACAGAACAGGAGCTTCAGATATGTTCTGTGATTAAATACGTATATCATGACGTGAGTACGTAGATTTTATACTGTACTTGATGACATGCGTATCACTCAAACTTGGTTTACAGAAACCGTCTGCTTTCAGGAAATGTAAATGATCGGGTCAGAGTTACATACGTCTGTACAAAGGCTGTGACCCTTGAACGCAAGATGAATTAACGATACGTTCGAAAATCACCGACTGATCTTCTCCGAAAAGATCCTGAATATGTATGCAAGGGTTTCATTTGACGAAGAATCCATGTCCGCCACTTGTATTACAATGCTAAGGAGGAGAAAATTTTCGATGATACTATCCTGCTTTTATTTAGGATTCGAGTAGGTTTTTATGCGGCTGCATTTTAATTCGGAAAAGATGAGTACTATGGGCTTGATTTAGAGCATCTGCCGTGTACAAGATGTTGTTTGAGTAGAATTTCCGAGAATGCCGCGACCTTAGGCGACCTTTTCAGTGAGCGATTTCCTTCAAGGCAGTCCAATCTTACCCAATCTCATGTAGGTTAAGAAAGGCGTATTTTCAGTCGTCCGCCCACTGAAAAGCCGACCCGACATCTGTGTATAACTTACCATTGGCAGGTGGAATTCCAAATTCAGCTCCGAAGCTAGGGCGAGCTTCGAGCGCTCCGGTAATCAACGTTGGATGATTCGATACTATTCGATGACAACATATCGACTCACTAGCTATCGGAGCCTATGGTTTACCTACCAACCAGCCTATGGAATAATTCTTGCCATCGGGAACATTTGTGACGTCCAAGAGCGTCCAAGATGCTGGAGCCGTCGAATTAACAGTGTCTGTCTTCGCGATCACATTAGAATTATCAATCATGTGACTGACGATGAATTTGACCATAAAGTTGATAAACCATATTACCTTGCCTCTTGTCATCACCCCAGCTTTTGCCTTTTTTTTTTCTTCACTCTTTTCTTCACACACTCTTTACTATCCTTGCCATTATGCCTACGGATATATTCTTGGAATATCTTATTGACAGTATCTCAAGTATGCCTGTTTATCTAGATGAAAACGTTCTTACAGAGCTCGAGGATTCTTGGCGTTGGCGTCATATATCACCGGGCTTCTCTACGGATGATGATGAGGACGAGTTCATATTTGATTGGACGAAGGACACGTTAGCGGAGCCAGATGTACTCGGCGTCGTGGATTCTGAATTTAATCAGGTGTGTGTATTTCGACTAGTTGTTCTATTTCATGTTAGTAATGTAGAACTAGAAACTCGCACTGGCAATCAAAAGCGAGACCTTTCTTTTTAATATTCGAGCCACCCGTTGTCATCGTGATCCCCGAAGTCTGCCGACAAATGCTTTGTTCGGACTCGAGTATGTGCTTCGCTCAGGCAAGCTAGGCGATCCTCAAGATTTTCTCGATACAAACATCCTTCCTTGCTTGGATGCTGCTAGGATCTTATACAATGACTGGTACGCTTGATATTACGCCAGTTGCTTTCGGCGGTGACCCGATACTATTCAGGACCATCTTGAAGGAACGTGAGACGACTCGCATTTCTCGTAAGAAAACTATTTTTTCACGTCGTCTGTACTAAATGAGAAGGGTTTCAGAATTATCTCTATCGCCAAGCAAGATATTTATGCCCTTATCGAATGTTACAAATAATCACAACAGTGTACGTAAAGTTTGTCAACCACAGTCCTCATTCTCACTCTCAAGATCTGGTTTGAAGCCCGCCAAACGTCGTATATCACACGCTGTAACCTCGGTTCCTACGAAGAAACGAAATAGAGAGTTAAAATCCACCGGTGTGTCCATAGTCGACGTATCTAGCTTGTCTGACTGCTTTCCTAGGGTCAAGTATCGTGCTCATGACCAACTCTTCAAGGAAAAATCCTACAGCAAGGAGGAGGACATATTCGGTCAATTTGCATGTCGACAAAGCATGTGCCGTCTTTCTTGGGAATTACTTGCTCCTTACTTACTTTCAGGATCCCTCCTTTGACAAGGAAATGATGACTCGGAGTATTTTGATCATGCCTCCGGTCATGCAAGAGAGCGACATTCAACAGTTGATGAAAATACTTGAGGAAACTGTTGAACACGTTGAAGAATCGGAAATTTTCGCCTCGGGCCCCAATTTTCAGAACTATGCTGTACCGAGCAATGTTTCTCCAGACCTCAGATCATCCATCCTCTCGGAATCGGTTTCCCTTCCGGCCAACTGTTTTCTTCCAGAGATATAGAAACATCTGCAAATGGGAGAAGCTTATAACACGCGTGCTCTTCGTCTTTCTCGAATTCTATATTCTCGGTGTTCGCTACCCCGCCTCTTTCCCGATGCTCTTCGACGTCGACATCTGCAACATCTTTGTCGAACATTCCCAGGTTTCCCGGCATGTGTCTTTCTAGATCCTCTACTTAGTCTTTCGCTCCACACTCATCAGGTCCTGCTTCACTGAAACGTCTATCGTGGACAACAACGTCATATTCTCACTAGATCAGAACCGGCTTCAAGATACCAGCTGCAACCCCAATGTTAGCGATAGTGTCAAAAATTAGCCTTGCAATCCTTGATCAAGCTTCAACATCTTCCAGTCACCAGCACAAAGAACTCGATACTACCTTCTTACTTTCTCATTCCCGACGATTGTATATGCCACGATTTCCATCGTCATTACAATGTCACCCTAAATAGTTTTGTTTTACATACCGATTATTTTGTACTGTGTCCTGCTGGTGTCCTGATAAGTAAATGTATATGATACACTACTGTATCAATTGGCAGATTTTATCATTGAACTTTTGAATTCATCTCGGTCAAAGCTATTTATATCATGTCCAAAGGTGGCATTTCGGCCGTGTGATTTGTAGTGTTTCATTTGTTGGCTGTCCACGTCCTAGTGCAAGCCCAGTGCCAGGCAGTATCCTGGTTTGAATCGGCCCCTGGCTAGCATTAATTCTGCATTGGACTGTTGATTTATTGACACTCCCTAGTCCTGTGTACCTTGCGTCGCAGTTGAACGGCAGTGTTCATTAGGTGATGGCCTTTCAAAATTTAACCTTCTTGGAAACATTCCAGCTGGAATTTTGTGCTATTTTTCTCGATAGTGACCTTGATCGATTTATCTGCATGTAGCTTACGGTCTCCTAGAGGACATCGATCACTGACAGTGGCATCTTCAAGGAATGCTGAATATTCATTTGCATTCTGGGTTGCCGCTTTCATTCTCTCCTGGCTATGGACTCGATTTTTGCCCTGAAATCTGTATGTAGGTCGCAGCCTCCAAGAAGTCATCGACCACTGATGGTGGCAGCTTCGAATGCCGAGTATTGATTTGCATACTGGCTCGCTTTCGTTCTCGAGTCCTGGACTCGATTTTTTGCCTTGAAACACGTCACAACATGCCACAGTCCCCGGAAAGCACAAATGTACTCACCTTGATCTAAATATGAATCTTCTGCGATATATCGTCCTGGCTCTGGCTGAGCACTTTATAAGCCTGGCTCTTCTGGTTCTTGCCTTACCATCTCAATACTTGCTACGGTTTAGTCAGAAACATGTTCTCCTCGCACCCTTTTTTCAAGATTATGTGTACCGTGCTCGGCGGGTCAATGCTGCTAGCGCTAGAAGGAGTGCATGCCACTTTACCTTCCGACATTTCAATCCCAACACCAACGTTTGAGCCCGTGTACGACGCGACTCTTCTTCTCGTTCCTGGTGTTACGCAGGACCTTGTCGCTGGGCCATTTGGCGACCGAGCCTTCATTGGGTTTCTTGGGTGAGTAATTGTGACGAAAACCACATTCGACCCGCTGATTCCGATCCTCCTAGTGGAAACTTAACGAATTACGCCACAGGCGCTCTCGAAGGTCAAATCCTTGCCGGTTTCGGGGGAGAGTTTGGAGTCGTTTCCACCAACAGCATGTTTTACACAGACGTTGCTCTTGCTGTTCAATGGACAGACGACGACAAGTATGCCTTCTTCAGAGTGAATGGAATCGGGTAAGACAAGATTTATCATATCCCTGGAACCCTTTGATGTTTATGCATTGCTGTAGAGAGCTAGGAAATAGTACTTACGCAACATCTTATACGTACGTTCACCGTAAAGCGGTCTGATTACCTGTACTCATGAACATTTTTGGGAGCATAGTCGGTTGGAGACGGATTCCACCACAAGGCAGAACCTCGTCGACAATGTTCTTTTAATTAGCATTGTTGTTGAGACGGAAGATGCTCCGTCGAACGAGACCATCGCGTATTTCAGGCTCTTCGTAAAGGTGATTGGTTTCAAAACGGTTGCTACCCCGCGGTGACTGACATTGTGGTCTCGGAAATAGAACAGCACTAACCCGTCCATTCTGCCCTGAGGGAGTCTATCCACGAGTTCAAATGACCCAAGGTGTTCTTCAACGAACCTCGATGAACCATTACGTGTCTTCTGTCTTTTGTGTCAAGCTCTAAGTATAGTATCATATATTTGCATGTACCTAAATAGCAAAATTGACTTCCAAGGTTTGTATCTGGAGTTTGACCTTGCTTGATGTATGTTCGCCGGGAGGGAACATGGTGAGGAGTGGGCGCTCGTGATGACATAATAAGACTATATTTCTTTTTTCCCTACATGGTGAACGAGTCGAACACACCTATAGCAGGCCCGTCTTCTCTTGCTCCTGCTGAATCAAGCAAAAAATCAAGATCCAAGCGAAAGAGATCGATATTCGAGATTCCAGAGCCATATTCATCGACTTCTTCAACATATCAACCTAAACATTCACGAGATGACGACCAGCCTAGGCCAAAATCCAAAAAGAAAAGGTCCAAAGCGAAGGATAAGATGAAGGAAAAGCGGAAAGCGGATGCTGAGGCAGTGGAGATTGGACCAGCGCTGAACGGGGACGCGTCGTTTGAATCAGCGACCGATTTTATTGCACTGCCCAATGGCAGTGACGACGATGAAGAACGTGGCATTACACGGGATAGGAAAGGGAAAGGGAAAGAGGGGGACAATGAAGGAGTCTTTGAATCAGGTCGGCGGAGTGGGAGAAAACGCAGTCGAAGTAGGAGTTTGGACCGATACGATGACAGAGGGAAGGACAAGGTGCGGGATAGAGACCAGGACAGAGATAGAGACAATGGCAGGAAACGTAAAGGTGCCTAAAGCATCAAGCCCTCGAGATTAATGCTAATAACTAATACAGGTCGAGAAAGAACGCCTGAACGAGAATGGGACAGAGGCAAACGAAGAGACCAGGATAGAGAACGGCGGAGATATGATCAGCCCATTTCTGCCAGCGTCAAGTCAATCGGGGACAGGAAACTGCCATGGATAGACGGATTAGATCTCTTTGGTTGCCACAATGTCGCCGAATTGTAAGAATTCATGTATGTTCCTTACCCCGTTTACCGATATCTGCAGGTTGCATAAGGAAGTCGAAGCTTTTACAAAATGGATATCTCCCTCCCCTGTTGAGGATGAGATACGAAGCTTGCTAGTCCGGCAGATTACATCTGCTATAACGTCTAGGTATTTGGACGCTGATGTATATCCTTTCGGGAGTTATGCTACGAAGCTTTATTTACCTACAGGGTGAGTATTCTTTCCAAACACTGCGCTTGATTATCGCCTCACCTACACTTCAGTGATATCGACTTGGTAGTCATGTCCGAGACCATGCGCATGACTGACAAGCACGTTGTTCTTCGCTCACTCGCGGAGGTGATCAAACGAAACGGCATAGCATCCAATGTCAGCATTATTGCCAAGGCTAAAGTTCCAATCATCAAATTTGTTACAACCCATGGCCACATCCCAGTCGATGTTAGTATCAACCAAGGAAATGGAACAGTCGGAGCTGATGTCGTTAATGGTTTTCTACGGGACATGTCAACCAGTACGAAGGTTCTACAGTCAAATCTTGAGGGAAGTATTGCTCTTCGTGCTCTTGTCATGATTACCAAAATGTTCTTGAGTCAGCGAAGCATGAACGAGGTTTATACCGGTGGCTTAGGGAGCTATTCCATTGTTTCGCTGGTGATCAGTTTCTTGCAGATGCATCCAAAAATCAGAAGAGGAGAAATCGACGCGGATCAGAGCCTCGGGGTGATGTTGATTGAGTTCTTCGAGCTGTATGGGTCGTTTTTCAATTACGAGAATGTCGGAATATCAGTTCGGGATGGTGGGACGTATTTTAACAAGAGGCAACGGGGATGGTACAATGATACCTCTAATTACAAGGGGAAGGGTGGTGCAAGTTCCCTCTCTATTGAGGATCCTATCGACATTTGTGAGTCTATCTCGTTCTTTTTTTAGGCATTTTTCCTGATCCCACCATAAAGCGAACGATATCTCATCTGGGTCCTACGGTTTTGCAAAAGTCCGCGCTACCTTTGCTGGTGCTCACCGAATCCTTACTGCTACCGCATACCTAAAAGCCGGTATTCTCAGCGCTCGACAGTCAGGCCGAACAACTAGTCTCCGTCCAGATGATTACTACCGCCCGGAGGAGATGAGCGTGCTAGCCCATATTATCGATATTACACAAGATGTACGTTTCTTGCATTACTAGTGTCTATCGTCGCTCTGATGAACGTTGTCAATGCAGATCATCAACCACCGGAGAGTAGTTCAGGAGGTTTACGATCGAAGGATTCTTCATAAGTTGTTGAACGTCAAACCTAGAATCATTGTAGTCACAGACGATCCTGAGACTAAAGCTCTCGTGATGTCTAATGGTCGTCATACCTCGCAAATACTGGCCAAAGCTGAACCCGGCGCAACGAACGAAAACCCCATCGACCTTGAAGATGGTGAGATACCGATGGTAATTTCCAGCGAGGGCGATCGACACACAGGAGCAAACGATGATGAGGAAAATGATCATAGCAACAACCTTCATCGAAGACGACGAGACGAACGATCGGGTTCGGACTCGGAGGACGATCCGGGGAAGTACGGTATCAGTGGAAGGCAGCCACCAAAGAAACGAATGAAAACTGGTGGCGAAATGGATATGCATACATTGGTCACCATTTATACTACCGACGATGAGGAGGGGAATGACACGAGCTCGGAATCGGAGCTTGACAGCGTTGCGGAGGAAGAGGCAGAGTATGATGTCGACGTTATAGACGCAGATGCGGGTATGCATGTGGACATGGGCAAGGACGCTGTAGTATCGGAACCGGTCAACATGTTGACCAAGGCAGGAAGCAAACCGCTGTCGAACGGCGGTAACGAAAAGAAACGTTCGTACTGGTTGTCCAAAGGAATAGTTTCTGGGGATGTCGATATAAAAGGCGAAGATTGACCTTCTGATTTTAACTTGGCTTTTTGTGTATCACTCACATTTGCATGCTGTATCGTCTGACGCTGTCTTACTTGCTTTGAACTTTAGAAGTTCGACAATGTTGTCCCTCCCGAAGCGGGCCGCGCTATTCATTCAATGCTAATATTATTAGTCTCGACATATTTTTTACACTTTTCGTTGAGGTTACATACCATTGACTCCGATGTTTGATTTTGTGTAACATCACGGAGATCTTCGAAGCTTCATAGCAAACTCATCTTCCTTTCGCAAATCATCCGAAGTGGGAGTGGGGAAGCTGATAAGTACCGACTCGACAAAATAACACTACGTTGGGGATCTCAGATTTACAGTAGATTGAGAATGATGGTGCTGAGTGGTGCTGTTGTTTCTTCAGTTCGTAAAGTGCGTTTTTACTCAATATGTACCCTCTACAAAAATTGACTAACGTGTTCTAAACGATCGTCGCCTTACAGTATCTGGCCGGACGAGAACATGCCATCAAGCTTCTATTCTCTGGCATTATTTTCTTTCGGCCTTTTAATACTGTACCAACGCACTAGACTTTCGTGCTCTCTCACCTCCAGCTTCTGCACCCTCTAGGATGGGCATATTCGAGGAAGCTCGTGAGGAAGAGGCCCTTCAAGCACATATACGCCGACTGCTTTACGACTATGCCAAAGAACATCTCACTACTAGCTATGTAGAGTTCACTGAACGAGCAGTCGCTGAAGTGCGCAGTTTCCTTCATCCCTGGGATCGACACAAACAATTCTAACGCGTTTTTCAGCTGCTTTCTCAGTCATTACACGAGATTCCAATGGCAGATAGCACCTCTATCCGACTGCCTGAAGAGCCTTTCAATGTCTTGACGCGACTGTATGCGCTGAACGATCTCAAACCGTACAACGAGCAGGGGACAAGATCGACGGACGTGATGAAATATCTGAAGACGTTCCTCTCAACGTTGAAACAAGGAACCAAACTTCGATCTGAGCGTGCAGTAGAGATAGACGATTGTGGGCATTATTTTTCTTTACACATGATCAATCCTGATGATTGGTATCATACGAAGGCTATATACCGGAGGAACGATTTGTACCCATGCTTTCTCGACGCGCCAGACGTGAAACACTCCGTCCAGGATCGAATGATTTCCGCAAGTCGTTGAAAACCCCGTATGGCGCCTTCATGAAGTCATCTGAAGTTGGAATCAAACCCGTCGAAGTGCAAGTTTTGAAGGAGCCTGCGGTCAAACTAGAGAAAGTTCTGTACGTCACACACGATTCATTTTCTGTATACCTCTCATTACTGATCTCGTATCGCAGAAACGTTACCTGGTCCCTCCCGCATGACACTGGTATCGAAGTGAGAGATTTTTTGAAATCCATGGCCACACTTGCGTATCCCGGACCGTCATATAAGAATCAATACCTTGATCCCAGTTCCAGACCAGATTCTCCTCCTTTACAACTTGGACCTGGTTCTTCAATGTTCTATGAATCAGGAGATGGATTTGTACCCTTTGAGCCTATCTTCTCCAGGGCCCAGAGACCTGGATTCGGTCGAGCTAAGCCAAAGGAGAGGAATGAAGGACTCGTAATGCAGCCTATTGCGAAGTCGCATTTGTTCGGAATTAAGATAACCAAGGACAAAGGCAAAGATGTGGATGCTGGCATGGACACTAAAGACCTGCTTGCGTTAGGACTACCACCGCCACGGTCAATATCCCAGGTGGTTTCGAGATTAAGCACAGTGACAGTTGACGAAGACGAAGGATTTGACCTGTTGAAAGAGAATATGAAGATCGTGAATGGATGGGGTACGTTTTTTCTTTTCCTCTCTTCAATTCGTCTTCCTATATCAGAGCAATCACTCATCCTGTTCCTCTAGAAACGTACCACACCTCTTCCCCTGCTCTAGCGTCACAAGCATCAGGTGCATCGTCCCTCTCATCAGTGACCACGCCTCGCTCAAGTCAAGAGGTCGACGAGCTTAATTTGAATTTGGCCATTTCGTCTCCCAATACGGACCTATCGCCGATCAAATTGCTGAAAGAATCACGAATGGGTGAGTCAAATTTATATTTCCCCTCGGAGTCTATCTATACGTTTTTTGCTTATTTTGATGCGCAGATCTCCCTCTCATGCCTCGTTCTAAGAGGAACATTTTGAGCGCCAGAGGGTCGACAGCGACCAAAACTAAGAAAATCGGCGCGAAGCAGAGGTTGGTCATTAGCTTTGATTATAGTTTAACAAATCCTCACCCGTTATTCGATCCTCTCAGCTACGCCGCCTTTCTCCTCGAGACCTTGAATAAGCGGAATAATCGCCTCTCAAAGAAAGATGAACCGTTACCACCTATATTTCAAGACAAAATACAAGAAGCACTACCCGTGCCTTTGTCTTCCTTGCGAAACGACCTGCGATCTTCTCCGATATTGGACTTTGATGAACCGGATGTGAACCCATTGATAGATAAAACACCAATGAAGGTTGAAGCTGCATCAATAGTAAAGGAAAATTTCGATGACGCGGCATCGATGGCTGGTCAAGTAGGGTCGACTGTGGCGTTAGATTCTCTTGCGGCGGGCACGAGAGGAACAGATAATACTGCCGATGTCGATACATTTGAATCGGAACTCCATGCAATTTTCAAAGACGTTCAGACGGAAGACCCTTTGGGCCTGATTATGAGGGAGAAGCTAGACCCTATGAAAAATGGGAAGGAAATGCTCATGGAAGGTGGGCCTTTCATCTTCCTTGACTTGAGAAACGTTAATCGATTGTTACTTTGTGACTAACAGTCCCGACCCTCCCTGCACCGAACAAACATCCGCCCAACGACGATGTGCTCTTTCCAGCGAGTGGTTTGCGTCAATATGTGGTACCATCTGGTACAGGCGCGAACAGAGGAAGGGAGAAGAACAAGGTGTATCAGTTTTTGAGGAAAGCCAAAGGTACCGCTTCGGCTACGTTGGAGCTATCTTGGGTGTGAGTCGCTTCATCTTTTTGCACGACACCCACATAGTAATTCTTTCATTTCGGACTCTAGTCCGTTCGCTGTCACAACCTCTTTACCCACTCAAGAGGAAATACTCACTGTACACGATTTTTATGACAAAAACACTAGTATACTCAACGGATTCGACCGGCTTGGCATGACGAAAGAACAAGGTCTAGCGAGAGTGGAGGAATTGTCAGAACGAGCGGAAGATGCATGCAGAGTTGCGGAAAACGACAACGTAAACCACAATTCAGCTGCGGAATCTAGAGCCGAACGGATCTGGACGGAATGGTCTCATCATGGAGATCAAATAACATCGTCTGTGCTTCTCAGCCGGGCAGATGTCGGAAAGATTGATATCCTACTATCGAGAGAGGAGCGGAGGAGGTCGAAAGGACCAGGTCGTTCTAAAGTAGTAGAGAGGGTCGCGGATGATTGTGAGAACGGGGAAACGGCCCAACTCCTAGATGATCCAGAAGAGGAGGAATGTGGTGTTAATTCCGCAGAGAGAACAGCAGCGGTAGCTGGTGATTTCGAAGGGATGGCCGCGGTTGCCGAATATCACTCCCGCACTTCTCTTACTTCCGCCCCTGCTAATCTGAACACGCAACATCTGTTCAATTTCACTTCCGACGCTGCTCCGCCATCCCAGGTTTACGACGCCGAACTTTATTCCCGTGCCGAAACGGATTTCGGTATCCCTTCCTTCCTCGAAGAAAGCGACATTGCTATTCATACGCATGATCGTGCCCTCCACGCGGATGATCAACCTCTTGAGTCTTTTGCTGCGGTCCAGGTGCTAGATGAATATCTCCACACAAATCAGTACGGATATGAATTTGTTGAGGAGTTTGGGTCTGACAGTGACAAGGAGAATCAAGATCCGTCCAATCCTGAGGCGATTGCCCAGGTCACAGACTTGCAATGGGATCACTCCGATACCCCTTTGTTGCTGCATGGTCAACGAGAACGTCCCGACTATCAACAAGACGAGGATGATCGAAATCGTTTTGCAAAACGCCCTCGTCTATATTGGGAGGGCGATGACAGATACCAAAGTCGAGAATATAGATACGACGACGGCGGTCCGGAGGTAGAGGATTCCGGTATCGGATTATTGGATTACCTGTCGTGTTCTCCTGCGCGCGCTATAAATATGCCTCCCAACGCGACTCAGGATGACCAAGCTTACATTGTGAATCGGGTCCTGTTCGAAGATAACCATCCTACCGACGATGTGAATGATGAGCGTATCCAGAACTATTTTGACCTCGAGGATGACCCTATCTCAACACAACTTCAGAACTCCGACTTTGTTCCGCTCGCCTTCGACTCCCAACCAGTTCCCGATGCACAATCTCAACAGCCTTGGCCTCCTTCAACGCTCCAGTCACCACCGCGTGGTTCCTTCTCGAAGAAAGCGGCGCCATTTATTATTCCATTCCATGACCATTCAGTCGGAATCGCAGAATTTGCGAGACTACGCGCCAGGAAACTTCGCACTCCGCCACCTGCACCCGAACCTCCCAAGCCTACGACCGCAGAGTCGGACTCATTCGAGGAGGTAATAGCATCCAAGATTGCCCCAGAAGCTATATTCGATAAAAACACCCTTCGGTTACCGGGGGCTGACCGAACCTTGCGTACTACTGCACATTGGTACATGGCGTCGATGAATTTGATACAGAAACAAGCCTTGGTGCGATCATTGCGTTCTGGCATCTGTGGTGTTGGGTTGGTAGAACGTGAGATGTTGACGGGTGTGGATCTTATCATTGATCCTCACACCGCAGTCATATTCACGAACTTACTCGCGCTGCCATCTGAAGTCGACGTGCTCATAAATACTATCTGTGAGCAGTCTTGGAGATATGATCATCTGCTTGTTGTCTTTGAAGCCTTTGTCCCGTCGATGTCATTCAAGCCTGACTCGGCCGCCAGCGCCAAGGAGAGCCTTAGTGCATACTCCCCGCCTGTATTGAAGGCGATAAGAAAGTTTCGCAGGGATGTTTCTCTGGCGGAGGCATGTGGTAATAAACGTGAAGGGTGCCAAGTGATGTCTGCATTTGCAGAGACAGTACAGGACGCTGCAGTGTTTGCCAGAACATTTGGTGATAAAGCAGAGAGGAGGGGGGATAACGCGACCGGGCTCTGGGATAATCGCGCGTGGCTTGATGATGGAGTTGGGGAGGTGAGTATTGACTTTAAAATCTTTTTACCGAAATATTCTTTCTAATTTCTATCGAACAGGACGAAGAAAACCTTGCTGCTGCGGATGGAATGAACCATTTCGCGGCGTGTGTTGTTCTCTGTCAAATCACATTGGATGAATTGCTCGAGATCAGCCCTGAGGAGAGAATTGCTCGATTTTCACTACACCTTGGTTATGACAGGATGGTCGGTATTTTTGTATATTGAAGTATGTCAGAAATCTGATTATGAGCATCCATTATAGGTCAAATTGAATGAAGTGATTGACCGTGGGCGGCAGGTCATAGACGACGGAGTCTCAGTCATAGAGGAATAAATGATTGCTCGATTCTCCTTGCATGGGTTTCTTACCCCGACGCTACAGTACGCAGTACAACCCCCTCAGATAGATTGCTCTAAGTTGCTCAGGAAGATATAGTTTCATCTGTAAACTTGCCAATGTATTGCTTCTGAAACCTGAAATCCTGCAACGTCTGAAACGACCAACGCGCCAGTCCCAAGATCAGGGGGTGATGAAGCGAGGTGTACCTGAGATTTAGCTAGCTAGAAAAGGCAGCAGCTACCACCACTGCATGCAATAACTAATAAGTTCGCGCAGCTTAGCTAGAACTTATGATTGGGAGTAAGGCCGCAAGCAGCACGTGCCGAACACCACCTTCAATCACAGAAACAAGATACAGTATGAATTTATCTATCTACAGTAAGTAAAACAAAAATTCCCAGAGAAGCAAAAAGTCTCTTTTGCTTCTGATGCCTTTTGTGCAGAGTTTGACCCATTATGAGGATCATGCCTGTTCCACTTTTTGCTGCCCCCTTCAGCAAAAACATCTGGGTGACCAAGCCAGCTGTCAGGCAGAAGGCATATCCTGGGATAAACTTGCCCTTGGCAACCATTAACTGCTAGGACAGGTAGTGGAATAATGGTTAATGGAAAATAAAACCTGAAGAAATAGCTACATAACCTGGATTCAAAACATTCAAGAGCTGATCAAAATTGTTGATGCTTTACTTGAGTTGGGTTGGAAACTTTGAATAATACCATGACAAGTTATTTTTTGCAGCCTGTGCTGTTCTTGAACCAGATTCTCAATTCTTTTCAACTCAGATCTTAGTTCTTCTGAAATGTGATTTCTAACTGCAAAACATGTATATTTGGCTAATCATCCGAGAGCAGCTGAGAGCACTTCCCAGGTGTTGGGAGATACTTTCCCTATTGCTGCTGATTTATTCCGGACTCATGTGACTTCGATTACTTATATTCTGTTTCGCACGTTCATCACCCTCAGCTGTTTCTACCTTGTTGGTCCAACACTGAGGACTTCGGTTGTATTGCTCTTCATAGATATTTGACCTCTAAGAGGTTATGGGTTATTCTCTTTAGGTCTTTATCTGTATGTTGAATGTATAGAACCACAATTTTTTGCTCAACTTTTGGAGTGACACATTTGTTCTTGCTTAATGCAACCAATCAGTGAAAACTTACTGCTGTGGATGTATACTGACACTACAGGGTCTCTGATGGATCTGACAGATCCTGTTCATCGCGATTGTTGTTAAGATCATGTACACCGTGAAACTGTGCCAAAGGCCACAAGGTGTCTAAGGGCAGAGGGTGGAGTGGGACAGTAGTGAAGTTATTAACAACACTGCTGTTATGCCGCTAGTCCCCAGAGATCAAGAGTAGAGAAGGAGAGAGCCAGAAGCAGCCAAGTCGGAGTGGCGGTATTGCCGACATTGGGGAGCGAACCAAAGAACTTATAAGTCCTGAGGTCAGAGTAAGGAGAACTTCAAGGCAATGAGCCTGAAGACTTAAAGGATGAGAGACGAAGATCTAGTGATCTAAGTTGGAGAGGATAATCTAAGTTAATAATTAAACTGAGGAACTACAGTATTGTACAGGCAGTATTTATACATACGGTTCGGCATATTGGGGTGAAGCGCCAGTCTAACTACTAGGAGTTATACATGTAGTACCTGCATGGTAGAAATAAAACAATAAGGGAGAGCCTAGGTAGAAAGGGAATGTGTAGCGAGAAAGAACAATAAGGATGAGATTACAATCAATAGTAGATCTCAGAATACTGAGCAGCAGAGCGGGGCACCGAGGCATGGACTTAACAATTGTGCTCTGTTGGCACTATACCAAATGCCAGTCTCTGTGCCTCTTTGCCCAATCACTCATTCAACTGCATATATGTGTGTTCCAGCCCAGGATGGGACTTCACCTGATATAGAACTGGGACATTTGATCACTTTTCCTTCACCTCCTGTTCCTTCTCAACTCCATCATAGTTCTACATTCCCATCGTTTCCTTCTTTTCCCTTAATTAATACCATTCCTCAATCTGTTTCAGAGACTTGGCATCATCGTGTACCTACTGTTCAGCATAGCTTACCTCCAATAACAATACCCTTGATATGTCATATGTGAATGGTCATTCTTTGGATATAGTCCAAGTCTGGTATAATCCTGCTTGACAAACAGGTAGACTTTTATCTGAAGGTAGTATTGGGGATGGGTAAACTAACCCACTTGTGGTAGTATGGGTATAGAGTCCCTTCAACTATTAGACTGATTCAGTATTGACTTTGACTGTCAATCTGGGTCTCAATTACAGTCCTCTTGATACAAATCTACATGTGAAAGTGTCACAATTCACTGTAATGACGTCTAGCCAAAATTTAGGTGTGTCAGTGGTCCAGAGTTTTCAGCTCTATTTTGAACAAAACAAATAATTCAAATACTTTGAATAGATAGCATGAAAGTGCTGTGAAACTTTTACAAAAGCCAAACTCAACTGATTGAATGAAATAGTCAATGCCCAAGTGAATGCTTTAGCTCCATTACAAGCTGGAGACTATGTTCTGGTAGCAGCTAGTCCCACTGGAAATAATGACATCTACCTTGACAAAGGTATGTAGTTCTTATTCTTCTCTTCCTACCTCAGTCCTCCTCAGCCCTCATACCACCTCCCAATAGTCTTGGCTTCTTATGCAAAGGGTGGTGGCAAGTATGGAAAATACAATGCTGTTATTAACAGCAAGTCAAACATTTTGGCATTTTTAACATTGCAGTTCAATTATTTGAGCAGTCTTGCAATGGAGCCTTCAAGTCCATCACTGAGGCAGCAGCCCTTCTTGAACCAGTTGTTAACATTTGATGACTCACATACCATCTATGGAACATCATTCTCATATTACTAACTACTATCTCACTATCGTGTTATCAATCTCACCACCGTGTACTATTACTCTAGGACTACCAGTAGGATACATTGTATTGTACTTCCTTTCTCTCTTGCTGTGTTTAGCTGTAACATGACATCGTCTACCTTGGACTTGTATATAAACTTGTAGTATTCATCTCGTTGAACAAGTAGTCCTCTCTACTCCTTCATCGTCTGATCTGTGTGATCAACTACAGTGCTGTGTGCACTCTATCTCTTACTGCCATTGCTGCTGAATATAATGTGCTTATATTCTAACAGGTTATGGGCCCCACCCTAACCTAAATAAACAAGAAATACGGTGCATACATTGATTTATGTCATTAAGGACTAACCCTCCTCGCAAAGCCAATAACCGTCCAACCAAGCCAACTGCAGCTTGTGCTCGTAGGGAGCATATTTTCAACAAAGACGACACCAAGGATTGGTACCACGATCCCGACAGCAGCAAATACAGAGTTTGCAAAGATCAACCTTGTCCAAACAGATAAGACAAAATAACAACTGGTTATATCCCCAGCTTTGGTAGACTTATCGACAGAAAGCAAGAAGACCTTATACTTGGACAAGGAGCACCCCCAGAGCCGATTGCATTATTATCATCATCCCAGAAACCACAGGGTATGCCAGAAGCAGCTCCAGCTCCAGAACCAGAATATCCTGTATTCCCACCACCTAGCCCAGTACTAAACCGACCCTCATTACCAATATCTTCACTACCAAGATCTTCGCCACCTCCACCAGATCCGGAAGACCTAGATCCAGGAGCAGAAGTATCAGATCCAGAAAGTGATGATGACAACGACAATATGTCTAAAGTATTCAAAGCCTTTGACAAGGTATCTACACTTAAAAGTGATGGATCTAACTGGGACACATGGAAGAATCGAGTGGAGTGGAGCTAGCCACCCAATCAATTGGATTCTCAGATCACCTCACATCTAATCCAAAAGATGACACTGAAGCATGGGAAGCCAAGAAAGACGACAATGGAAATTTATTAAATGCCATTGTGGGTCGCCTATCAGACCAGATCTATAGGCGATACAAGAATTACGAAAACGTGTTTGATTTATGGAAAAATCTGCTGAGTGATTTTGATTCAAAAAGTGCTCTCACTAAAGCGCACTTACAACAACAGCTTCATTCCATCCATGCGCTGCCATGAACCGTCAAAGGTTAATGAGCATTTGGATAAATTGTTGGAAATCAGGGACAGTTTGGAGGCACGGAAAATCACCATTCCCAAGGAAATGTTCAATAACATGATTATTGCTTCCATCCCAAACATATTCAAACCAATGATCAATGCATTGGTAGTGGTTGCAGCAAGGATGTCAGTCCCGCTGACCACAAGGGAGCTAGTTTCGACGATACATGCAGAAGCATCAGGTCACACCCGAGGACAGTCTGGAAAGAAGGAATCTGCAAACTACGCTGGCGGAAATTTCAACTGCGGCAGGGGTGGATTTAACCAAAATCGGGGAAACTCCAGAGGCCAATCCAGGGGCAGAGGAAATGGTAATAGAGGAGGAGGTCAAAGTCAACCAAACTCTAACAATTCCACATGCTACAATTGTGGTGGAAAAGGGCATTTCGCTAATAAATGCAGTTCGCCAAAGCGACAACAGGCCAACGAGGCCCAAGAGAGTTCTCAGAAGAAGGAGAAAAACCAACCATCTGGGAGTGGCAGTAATAGTTGGAGATCAAAAAATAAAGAAGTGGGATCCTCAGCCACCATTGAGGAAGTACCTGAGTCATCGTGGGCAGCCATGGAAGTTACCACAACTACGTCGCAGGAAATATTTAATTTTTCTGAAATCACTAACAATTATGAGACAGCCTTCGTAGCATCTCACAGCAGCGGAGCAATTCTGTTTGACTTAGGATGCTGTCAAGTCCATGCCTCGGTGCTCTATTCCACCGCTCGGTATTCCGAAGATCCACCTTTATTGTAATCTTGTTTCTTATTGTTCTTTCTCGCTACACATACCCTTTCATTCTAGTCTCTCCTTATTGTCTTTTACTTTACCCTGCAGGTACTACTCGTATAGCTCCTAGTAGTTAGTCTAGCGTTCCGCACCGATGCGCCGATCCATAGATATAAATACTGCCTGTACGCTACTGTAGTTCCTCAGTTTAATTATCGGCTTAGATTCCCTTCCTAACTCTGTGCTCCTCTAAGTCTTCAGGCTCATCGCCTTGAAGTACTCTCTACTACAACCTTAGGACTTAGACGTTCTTTGGTTCGCT